TCTGTTATATCGGGTCTCTATTCTATTATAAGGAATACGCTAACGTTTATTATATTACGTTTCCCCTATACCCTACCTCTAGGCTAAGATTTACCTTTCTCCGAATAGGGATCTTAATAGGTATCTACTTTCCCTAGGCTAGGTCCTTTCTATTTTTTCTTTTACTATTACTACTCCTCTTAGGAGATTCCCGACTAGATTTAGCTAGTCCTATAATATTCGTAGTTGTTAAAATCGATTACTTTAGCGTTCTAATCTATAGTAGGGTTATATTTCCTTAACTATAGTATCCCTAGAACTATATTATACTTCCTAACTAAGGTAATATCGAAGTTAATTATTTCTAGGTATTATCTGATAATTATTATTATTAGTCTACTCTCGTTCTTAATAAGTAAGCCTAGTCTTTCTCCGTTAAGACCTACTATCGGTATAGAGTCTTGTTTCCTAATTATATCGATATTATTTTACTAGTAGTATCTTAGGCTTATAAAGTTTCCTACTACTCCCGAGTCTATTATAACTCTTATAGTTCGGTAGTTTAGATTTGCTTCGATAACCTAATATTTGCCTTATATTATAGCTACTAGTTGCTATATTTTTATCCTCCGGTTTCCTATCTAGAGTCCCGTAAATTTTCCTTTCTATTATAGCTTACTTATCTATATATAGGGTTTAGGTTCGATACCTAAGTCGAGTTTTCCTTATATATAGATCCCGTAGTTATTGTTATAATACCCTATTATCGCTTATTCGCGGTACTTTAGGTATCGAGTATACCCGATATATACGCACTTAGGGTTAGTGTATAGGTATCCTTCTAGATAACGCGCTATAAGTTTATCGGCTATCTATCGTAGGTTTTTAATCTTATCTCTAATACCGGCGACGCTCTCTAAGGCTACTTGCCTAACGTTATCCTTACTTTCTTTGTCGAGTATTCGCTATGCTTATAGCTTAAACTCTCTAAGACTTATATCGTCTTCTTCGCTTATATCGTTAGCGGTTATAGGGAATTCTTAAGGTATCTCCGGGATTTCTAGTAGCGTAGAGTGCGTTAGAGGTTTTAATATCTATTCGTACTCCTTAATCTCTTCCCTCTTACTATCTATAGGGCTACTATCCTTCGTAGTAAGATATTAAGCTTAGCTTTAGCTTTCTACTCTATCCCCTTTAATAGATAGGAATCGTTCCTTTATCTCTTCGCTTATAAAGGCTTCTTCTCGCTCTAGCGGTATTCGTTGTCTTAGTTTTCTCTTTATTGCTTATCGTAGCGTCGTAGGTCCCGAGTATCTAAATAGCTAGTTAAAGTCTAGGTCTTATAGCGTTATAGTGACCTATACCTTAGGTACCTCGATATTCTTATTAAGTATTTACTTAATCTATTATTTAGCCTACGCCTATTAGGCGTTCTCTCGTGCTAATTCTACGATTTCCTTTATCTTACTAGGATCTAGGCTAGTTCTGCCTTAAAGTATTCTCTCTTATTATTCTAGCGTTAGCTTCTTAAAGAGTCGTTTATATTAGTTTATTAGCCGAAACTCTTTCTAGCTCTATTTATAGTCTTAGGTAGTAATCTACTACTATCTTTAATCTTCGTTACTAGTAGCTCGGAGTTCCTATACTCGGATACCCGTAGTGTCGTATCCGCCTCGATTGTCGGATATCGCTCTTAGCTATTAGGTCCTTCCCTAGCCCTTATACTAATTTTCTCTCGGCTTATTACCCTAGCTACGCTACTCTAGGTAGTCCTTAATATAGTATCCCGGTTTCCCGTATTTAAAGTATAGGTTTTTCTCTTTCCTATCTACTTACTCTCTACTTAGGAGTCTCGCTACGTCGAGCTCTATTAGTCGTAGTCTATAGGGATCTTCCCTTTTTAGCCTATATAACTATTAGTAACTTAGTCTACTCCGACCTTATCTCTATATATCGATTTCTCGTTTCTATACTTATCGGTCGTAATATCGATTATCGATCCTAATAGCGGCTTTAATTAGCTTATTTAAGTCCTCGATAGGGTCTATTCGTGCTAGTTCGTCTTTAACGTGTAATTTAAGTCTATTATTATAGTACGGAATTAGCGCGTAGTCGTCCTATCCTAGCACTACTACGTGCTATATAAATTCGGCTATATAGGCTAAGGTCGAATTGATTTATCGTAGTTTTCTTAGTTTTCGTTTAGCGGCTTTCTTCGTATCGATATCGCCGAATATCTTCTCGAGATATTTCTTAAACTAGGCGTAGTAAGAGAATATTATTATAGTCGTTCCTACCTACTCGCTTCTATCCTTCTTATAATATTCTCTTATATATAGCTCGATCTACTCCTAGGCCTTCCCCTTAAGGTGAGTTAATATAAAAATTACCTTGCTAGGTTCTATAGGCAGCTTCCCCTTATTTATATAGATATATATATCTATCTATATTAGGAACCCCTGTAACTTAGTACGGTCTCTATTAAATAGTTCCGCTTTAGGAAGTATAAGAGTTACGTTAGTAGCGCCTATTAGTACTAGTACTATAACTTACGTATTAAGCTATTCGAGGTAATCTTTAGTATTAGCCCCGAAAGCGTTTAGTTGTTCTATAAGGATCTTAATACTTTTCTTAAGCTAGGCGATTTGTTCGTCTCGCTTATCGTCCGAGTCCGGGTCTAGCACCTATAACTAGGTAGTCGGTAGTACTAGTGCCTTCTTATTATAACTATCTACTAGAGCTATAATACTTGAATTATAGTTTAATAGATAGGGCGTTAATTATATTACGCGCTACTAACTAGTTAACGTAATATATATGTTATCGTAACGTACCTCTCTCGTAACTTCGACGATCTATCTCGCAATCGTACTATTGCCTGCTATAGCCTTATACGGACTCGGATCTATAGAGTAGATCGAAGACGTATATAGTTAAAGGGCGCCTAGTTAGTCGACTAAGTAGTTATGTAGTAACTACTAAGTATTCCTCCTAGTTAGAGTATATCCTTATATTATACCGTGAGGGTATTACGTCTCTCAAAGATAGTCGATTATTAAGTATGATTTGTTAAGTAACAAATGTAACTATAAGTAATAATAAATAAATTAACGCGAAGAACTAAATATATATAGGTGAATAAGCGTCCTTATATATCTAGTCCTTCCGTTCCTTCGACAGGACCTTTCCTGTTAACGGTCAGGTCCGTTCCGTTGAACGGAACGGATCGTTACGTGATCCTATGCTTAGGTGTTATAGCCTAAGCATCTCGATAGATTATCTGGCAGAATCTATCTAACCGCCTTATTGCTGAACTGATTAGTTCAGGCGAGTCTATAATTAGCATCCTAGGGGTGGGTCTGTAACAGATAGATTATATTACAATATACAGTCTAACGTAGCCTATATATAATAGAGGTAAGCAAAGGCTACAGGGAAGAGGGGTTCACGAATCCCTAATAGAAGGGCACCGAACCCTCAGGGCCTTATAGGTCATGCATCTATGTTAGGGAGAAGTAGGGCTGTTATAACGAAGCCTGACCGATAAGGTGTCGAACTGACACCTGAGGCGTGAAGTTGGGAATAGCTTCATGTTGCAATATCATATGACACTAGCATGCTAGGAAGCCTTCCTACCTAGCACTATACAATCAAGCTTTGCTAGCGCCGGCCTAGTTCCGCTAGATACCGACCGGAGTCCTATTAAAGCTTAATATATCGCTTCGAACACCTATACCTCCTACTACTACTACTAGTAGTAGGCCTATGTTAGGGAATAACTACTTGTACAGGGTAGAAAGCCTGTCGACTAGGTAGGAAGATAAAACGTCAAGTAAGGAAAGCAAAAAACTGTTTCTTGCTATTATGGATCTCTCCATAATCCTTAATTTATGTACAGGCTTCGATACCCTTCTATATAACTAAAGCAGAGATAATAGATTATTTTATAATATACGGTCTAACGTAGTTCCTATATAGTAGCATTAAGCGAAGGTATCGAGAAAGAGGGGTTCACGAATCCCTGATGAAAGGGCACTGAACCTACAGGGCATATATCTATGTCAGGGAGAAGCGGGGTTTTTATCATGAAGCCTGACAGGTAAGGTATCGAACTAGCGCCTAAGGCATTGAGTTAGGAATAACCTTATGTTGCAATATCATATGACAGCGTAACACTTTATAATAGGACCCTTTATGTTAAGTAGGATCTCAGTCTACTCCCTTAAATATAACCGATAATAAGTGAAATATTGCAATGGATGCGGGTATAAGAAGAGAGTGCGAGTAGAAGTGTGGGTATAGGTTGAAAAGGCATATAGGGAAGACAGTATTAAAATCAAGACCTAGTGATTCGGATCTATTAATACTGCAACATAGCACACCAGTAAATTTAGCGATTCAGAACTCATTAGCCTAAGGAACTAGAGAGATATCACAAAAAATATAAAGAAAGGGAGTGGGAAAGTGGTTACATATAGGAAATAGGATATATAGGAAGTGGGAATTTAGAATAGGAGCAGGCGGGCGGGGAGATTCTACTGCCGCGTGACGTTATCAATCAATCTGGAACAATAAGGCGGGTAGCATGATCTCTCTACCTGTACAACGCATGTTTTGAAGCCATTAAAAATCGATGAAAAGTGCCGAGGCCATAGAGGTGCATACTGTGATGTAGTGAACTCGACAACCGCTGAGGACTGTCGCGGGGACCGCAGGAGCGAGCCCTTCTCATGCGCACTAGGCTAGAAACTAGAAGTCGTAAGTACCTGTATTAAAACATTTGAACCGAGAATGCTCCGTCAGAGATCAGAAGATTGATTAATTAATTGCTTGACAGGAGGCACATGAGGTACACGGTGGAAGGTGGAGTTGGACCCATCCGGCCAGTTTAGGTAATTAGCTCCAACGTGGCCTCTTTCCATGCGGAGGCGGGCGATAACACGACAGGGGGACTAATCAGCTCCGCTTCCTCGACCAACATTCAATCGTGCCATTTGGTCACTACATCACTACCAGAAAATATGGTGAGTCCAGATACACCACTGCCCTCAGGCTTCAATGCCTGCTAATTCAATTATCCTCCCAGGTTCAAACACCCCAGCAACGACGTGCTAATGAGCGCTTTGCAAAGAACGAAGCGGCCAAGCGCGGAAAAGGACCAATCGTGAAGCCCAAACAACAGGCCAAGTCACCCCTTTCTGCTAGCTGGGTCGGTATGTATCTGATGTTCCATGCGATGAACTTTGGAGAGGTCTCTGGGCTCACATTGAATTAGTCGTCCTAGCCTTCGTCGTCTGCGGTGGGCTCATCTTGGAACTCCTGAGGATCGTTCCCGAGCTCTGGAGTGCGGTGGCCTCAACCTTCTCCCGGCTCACAGGATAAGATCATTGGCCCCTGTCTGCACACTTCGAAGATACCCCTGGCCCAACACTTACGATAACGGCGTTGCATTCGTTTCCCCGGGGATAGGTCTGGCGACATTTATAACCCTGTCCTCCGGTAACCCACGTTCTTCTCCCATTGAAATGCCCCGGCAGAGAAGGCAGGGGACGGCGACTTTGAGTTCTGGCTGATACGATGTCGGATGAACCGGCAGGTCGATGGATTGGGTCCTGTATGAATACATAACACTTGTGATTTCCATTGTTTAAGCTATTTGAGAGAATCACTTCGCAAGCGGGGAGATTCAAAGGGCCGTTACTGGCGTTCGGTAACCATTCAAACTTCCATTTGCTCCCGTTGCTTTTTCTTCTTTTTCTTCTTCTTCTCCTTCCCCCCCTCGACAGACTCAAGGTCCGCAGTACCCATGTGATCGGCCTGCGTACCTACATGCTTCTTCTTGGTTTTCTTCTTCCTGACGAGTGTTCCCTCTGCTGGAGTACCCTCCAATTGAATCCGCTCCGATGCCCGCTGCATCTGCAAGCGCATTCGCTCAACGTTCTGCATTGCTTTCCTCATTTCCATATCACCCTCATCCACGGGCAACACCGGATCCTGCCTCTCACTCGCCAATGAATGACTTCCCAAGCCGCTAGAGTCAACCTGAAGTAGAGAACGCTTAGCGCCAGCCAACCCACCAGTCGCCTTCGCCAAGAGATGATGGTCTTCAGAGTCTTCAAGTCCGAATGTTTCTTCTGTAGCCACTTCCATCCTCGTCGAATAGAAACGGCTACCCATGGAAACATTCTGTTCTCCATGACTATGTGGTACATCGCCTAGCTTCAAGTCGACAATGGGAATCGAGTCGATATCCAACGCATCACCATGAGCTGCACCCAGCAATGGCGGTGTGGACATGTCGGACGGTTCTGAGGGTGCAATATAGAATGGATCATCCTTATAACGCTCCCTTCGTTCGATTTTTCGTCTGTCCACTGCCTTTACCTGGTTGTCTGGGTCTTGTCGCAAATTCTGGTAAGAGCCGTCCAGCTGGATCTCCGCTGGTGTGAATTCCTGCAGTGCTCTGGTGGAAGGTGTAGATTGATCAGGAATGTTGTAGAAATTCTGCAAGACATTTCGCTGATTTGGGTCAAAAGACACTGCTTCCACTCGGCGGAAAAGATTGGGCAAGTTATCATTGAATGCAGCATCCAGCTGCAAGGCCGAGGGGAAGACCACTCTTTTTTGAGCACTCGAGGCCACGGGATTCAGCTCCAGTCCGGTGAATAGACTCGGCAGAATAGACGTAAGAAAGAAAGGCATCTGCTGGGTTTCGGAGTGCAATGCCTCGGCACCCAACCGGAGGACTTCCAAGAACTCAATGGCTCGCTCTTGCACGTCCAAATCTGGATGAGCCGCGAGCGCCTCTAAGAATTCCACTGCTCGAGCCAGGAGAAGTGATGTTTCACCCTTCCACGACTCTCGTGACATGGTACATTGGACGACTTGGGTAAAAACCTTAGGTAGTGCCTGGAGGAACAGCTGAAGTATCTTCGGAGGTAGTAAAACATTGGACTGATCAGTCAGAGATTGAAGAGTCCGACTCGCAGAAAGGAGAAATTCAGCATATTCCCCTGCAACCCAAGAGATGGGACCTAATACATCATTTCCAACATTGGAGCCGATTGGAAATAATGTTGATCTATTGTCGATGAGCAAAAGGGATTCTGCCGCTCTGGTAGCCTCTATCCGCACCCCCTTCACGCGCACAGCCACATTCCGAATCTCAGAACCAATCCGAAAAGCGACCGTCTTTTTGGAGTCAGATGCAGCATCCTGATTGGCGTAAATTGGCGAGCTATATTCATCATCTACTTCCGATGGCGGAAGAAGACCAACAAGTTGAACTAGGATGCGGATGTACCACTCAAAATCAACGATCTCGGCGTAGTTGTTCTGAGAACAGATGTCCAGAATACGATGAACAACCTCATTCCGATAGTCATTAGGTACGATGACTGCCGTTTCTATTTCACTGCCCATCTCCCCTCTCGTGAAGTCCTCTGTTTCAGATGATGTGGCTTCGTGATTGAATGAGATTTTTAAGGGTGAGGTTGTGGCCGATCGAAGTTGATCGACAAGGCGGTTGACAACCGCTTCAAGAGTATCGCTCGTGACCATCCCAGCAGCGAGTTCTAGAGCCTGTAATCGAATAGAGATATCCGCATCATCAAGGCAGTCCATGATCACATCTTGTTGCATTCCCACCAGCATAGGGTGAGTTGTGACGATGCGGTTTAGTGCCAGTAGGGCGACATATTTGACTGTTCTCAAGTGGTTAGCAGCACTGCCTATGTAATACACAGATTAAAGGAATCTTCACGATTAGGGTCGGAGTCCATCGCGATCATTCCTCGTAGCTTTCCCACGCAAAGAGTTGCCACATCATCTCGCTCCTCAAGATTGTCCTCTCCATCGAGGATACCACCCTGGATGATGCCATTGATGCACTCATACAGCAACGACATTGCAGTGGTTGTCTGGATAATATTTATTAATGGACGCAAGAGCTTACGTGTGAGTCGTGGTTCCAGCGGTGTCAACGTTGCAAACTAGAATGGACAGAAAGAAAAGAAGTGGTTAGCCAAGAAAAATCACTCAGTCAACACCGATCAGAAGAAACGAACCAGTTTGATAATCTTGATGGCCATCCAATTATTGCCGCTATCCACAAGAAGCTCAAAGAATCTCGGTGCCATCGGGAGAAAGTCATGAGGCCGACGCCAACCAAGTTCACAAACAACATTGATCGCCGCACTGGTGACACTGCTGTCCTCTTGGGGGTCCATAAGGTGATCCTGAATTTTGGGCCACGCGAGTTTGAGCGCCTCCGGGTAGACTAGAGCGAGCCTATATAGACATACAATGGTCTTTTTTCGTATGACTGCACTTGAGTGTGAGAGCCGGGATAAAATGTCTGGAAGCAGTGACATGGCCAACGATGGAGTGATAATATGTGGCAATGTAGCCAGTGGCAGTGATAGGGTAAGTATATTAGGAGAGACAATGTCCTTGGCCACAATTAGCTCGTCTGTAGACTAGAGGGCCAAGCAGTTTACAACGGACCTTTTTGAGCATATTTGTAGCCAACATGAGGACCTCTGTGTCTGGGCGAAAGCTCTGCACCGCCCCCAGATAGCCCACTCTTTTTTGAAGGTATTTCGAAGACGACATCACTTCCAGGACATGAAAGGACGCCCACGACATATCATATCCAAACATTTCCAGATATATGAGCTTTAGTAGCGCCGTTGCCTTTTTGTCTATGAGGAATTAGCATCTCAGACCATCGATCCAAGGAAAGACGCGTTGGGTCCTTACCCATGTCCTGCGACTTAATCTCCGCTTTGCATTCGCGGAGACAGCTTTTAATGAATTCATCCTCCCCTCCCTTGTGGTTGCGAAGACCCTTGATCAGGTCATAAAGCGACTTTTCAAACCTAGAATATACCATCAGCCTGCTGTGCTGGGATGGGGACGGCCTGGAATTGGATTCCGACTCCGCGAACTTACATTGTGCACACTCTCCCCCGCCCTGCCGCGAGGGGGATTAAAATCCAGTATCTGGTGTGCCTTAAAAGATAAAACCTCTCTGCAGCATGCTATCGAGTGCTCAATATCTCCATGGGTTTCTATGGCCGGGAGAAGCTTGACTGCAAGCGACGAGTTCACGAGTTGACGTGGGGGAGGCCGATAAGAATCACGGGACCGAGTATCTCCGGGGCGAGGTCTCCACCGCCCGCCATCCGTTAATTCATGATTACCCTGCTCGACATATTATCCTAGTGTCCCTTCTGCTTCCTCTTCCTTGCCTCTTAAATTCGACTTTCGCTCTACACTTTGATCATGAGCGTTGCCACCAATTCGGGAGTCAATGGATCGGATGTGATCTCTGCACTCCATCTCTCTCAGCAGGCCCCGGCGATTCTGGGCTACGGTTCCGGGTCAAATGCCAAAGCCAAACGCGCAGCTGGTACCGCCGAAGACTATGGCCAAATTGAAAAACTCCTATTAGCATGTCTTCGGACAGGCGATGATGCATCCGCCCTGGCGTGTTTGGATCGCCTAAGCCACCGGTTCGGCCCGTCAAATGAACGAGTGATGGGTCTGCGTGGCCTGTATCAGGAAGCAGTTGCTAAGGACCGCCCGGCTCTGGAGAAATGCTTGGAAGACTATGAAAGGATTCTTTTGGAAACACCCGTTAATATGGTTCGTTAATTCGGTCTTTACTTACTCTCCTATCCTGGAGACTTACTGCTAACCTGGAGGGCAATGGATGCATGTAGCCGATCATGAAGCGTCGAGCCGCGCTGCTGCGCTCTCTCAACCGACCGTCCGATGCAATCGCCTCCCTGGTTCAGCTACTTGATGCCGTTCCCACCGATGCGGAAGCGTGGTGTGAACTTGCCGATTTATATCAATCGCAGGGCCTTGGCTCCCAGGCAGTCTTCAGCCTCGAAGAGGCTCTGTTGATTGCCCCAAATGCCTGGAATGTATGGCCTGGCACTCTATCTGACCTGGGATACCTTTCTTCCATACTGACCCTTTGAAGATTCACGCACGACTCGGAGAGCTTCTTTATACCTGTGCATTTTCTTCCGATGACGATGTGCCCCGGCTTGCAGGCAAGTCGGTACAACATTTCTGCCGGAGTGTTGAGCTCTGCGACGATTACCTACGCGGATTTTATGGATTAGCCTCAGTATGCTTGCAACCAATGATTAGCTGGCGACTTTCCCCTTTCCGCCTTCTTCTTTCTGTCTTGCGCTGACCGGAGTTCCTCGGGAATATTATAGGTAACCTCCCGGATGTTGGAAAATCAGAATGTCGCCGAGAGTTCCTCGCCGTCGGCCGCTCCGTCCAGAAAAACTCTTACTCAGCTGAAAGACTTTGCTCTTCAGAAGCTGGAAGAGATCATCAAAACAAGGTCGGTGGATGATCAACATTGGGCATCCAACCGAAGTGAAGTTATTGCCGCCAGAGAGTTGTTGAATCGCCTGACGGCACCCAAATAACCCGGGTTGTGACCACTGACATACAGCCGTGGTACCCACTCCCTGGCCCCTTGCTCTATCTCCAATTCGATACCCTCATTCGTTGTTTACTTGTCCATCCATAATTAGAAGGGTATAATTGCCGTGTCTGCGCCGTGTGGCCATAATCTCTACCCAGAATCGGGAATGGCTTCTGGGCTCTGTAATTCAGCTGGGCTCTGTAATTCAGCTGTCAATGGCCGAGATTCTGCGAGTTTTATTCTGTTCTTTCTGACCCTTTCTGACTCTTTCTGACCCAGAGCCTGGCATGGGCAATGAATCTGTCCGTGAGACATGTATAAGAAAGGGCGTACCTCGGATGTTTCCTGGTCCTGGATTCCGTGTTCAACCATTCCGTGTCCAGCTAAATACATTGTCCATTATGTGGGCACATTTTATAGATGACAGTCCAAACACCTGTCTAATGAGGTGGATTAAATAATCTCTCCACTGGTGGTGGGCATTCGGTATATTAAGTACTATTCAGTAACGATGTACGATATCGGGATGGATCGACCTATCAGTGCTGTCGGTACCCAACCACATGTACCCAATTCTACATTATATATGACATCCAGATACGCCCCATTTAGATAGATATCTAGTATTAAGCATGAATGTGCATCTGGCAGATCCAGAGAACGAGTCTGGCTCGAGGTTCTCGAGTTTCTAGAGCGTTCGACTGGGATTGCCGGGGGCGCCTGGGCTCTTTCTAGGCCCCAGAGTGCAGCTCCAGCCAGGGTTATGATTGGGCATGGACTGGGTTTCGGGCAGCAGATCTGGTCTCGATCGTTCGCCATCAAAAATGGGCCCCCCTCTTCCCCCCCCGGAAATATAAAACCCCCTCGTAAACAAGGGCCCCGGGGTTAAAAGAAGAGGCTTGGGATGATTGCTTGGCTTTCTGCGTCTTCTAGAGTCCATAGATCTATGGAGATGTGGATTCATGGACTACTGGTCTTCATGAAGCATGCTTGATTCACTTGGTCCAAGTTCGACGGCTTTAGTTACACCCGACCCTGCCCAACTCGCCGAGAGACGCCCAATAGACCATTAGATCAGGTCAGGCAGGCATTCGGACCGCCTCAAAAAGCCCTCGGCCCGCTAACTTTTTAGGGTGCCTCCATTCCGCTTTTCTCCCTCCCCTGGGCTTTGACCGGCTTGACGGCTGCAGACGCTTGAATCTAGGATCCATCGATCCCGATCCGCAAGTAGAATTCCCTGGCGCAAGGGGCCTGATATCTAGGAAACCAAGTCCAATGTGATTGCGGGAAAACCAACGAAACCCAAAATTCCCCCGCGTCACACTCTTTTGCAAAAAACACCAAAACAAAACACAAAAACACAGAACAAAACAAAAAAAACAACAAAAAAACAACAAAAGAACAACAAAAAAACCTTACTTCAACCCAACCCAAACATGCAAACAACGGCCTAACCAAAAACAAACCAAAACTACCAAAAACTACCAACCCAAAATTCCATCCACTCCCCACCAACTTGATTTTCTATTCCTCCCGCCCTTGCATCTCACAACCCCCCCTCGATAACCTCAACCTCTCGTACCAACCCACCCCTTCCCTCCACCCCGAAATAGAGAGAGAAAGACAGAGAGGGTGTCTCACTACGCCCTTCTTTCGAGAGACGCTATCTAGTTCTGTCTTGTCTCTATGACGTATGTTACGCTCCCTTTGTCCTTTTCTCCCCCCTCCCCCCCTCTTCCCTTGTCATGCTTTTCGTTTCTGCCCCCATCCTCCCACCTTAACTCCTTCCTTGTCACTAACCACTCTCCTCCCGCGATCAGTTTCAGCATCTCCATTGACCCGCAAGATCCGCACGCCTCGGACCTGTCTGAGGACGACGAGTCCTCGGGCGTGCACGTCTCCTCCCACCCGTCGGACAGCCATGAACTTCAGGAATATGATAATGGGTGGGCGCATCTGTCATATCCGGATGAATTGAAACCGTCTGATTCAGCCTCTCGCCCAAGGACTTCGCACCGTAACCGCTCGCACCGTGGTTCCCGCTCCGCGTCGGGCCGCCCCCAGTCGCACCGGCGTATGATTTCCGAACGCGAGTCCTTTGGGACTCGACCCCGACGACATCACTCCCCAGAATCTCATGGCAGTGAGGAGTCCGATGAATACCAGCCCAGTCAATACCCTCGCAATCCCCACGACCGACGATGGGCTCAGGCACCGCCACCGGCAGGCTATGCTCAGAGTGCCTCGTCCGGCCAATCCTATAATCCTTACCCCCCGGCCATCCGGCCCATGGACACTTCCCCCATCACAGCGCCAACGGGAATCTCCAGTCGGACTCACTCATCCGCTTCGGCCATGCCAGTCCTGGGATGCAACAGGCGTATGGCTCGAACCCCTACCCATATGGTCCGCATGGCCCACAATTTCAATCCCCTCACGGAACCCCGCCCATTCAGTCTTTCTATGCCCAGGACCAGGCCCTCCCGCGGCATTCTCGCCAACCACCCCAGTCGCGCATGGACCCGCATGCTCTCTCTCAACCTCCTATTCCGCCTCCCATGGGTGCGCATGCAGCCCCTTCGCCGTTTGGCGCCGCGCCATTTCCTCATGAGCTGATGCACTACAACCCGAGTGCCTACTATAACTACCGGGATCACTATGCAATGATGTCCGGGATGATGCCACAGTCCTATTTTCCTCCTTACGCTCCAGTGCCATCCCCACCACAGACAGCACAGCCAGCCCCGCCCGCGCAACCTGCGCAGTCAGCCGAGCCTGCGCCATCTCCTGCACCTGCGGCGCCACCTCCAGACACGGCCACAACTGAAGATCCGATTGCGCGGCTGGAGAAATTGATCATGGATGAACGCATTGAGCGGCAAAACAAGGAAGCCGAGCGATTGGCTAAAATTGAACGTGAGGCGGCGGAGAAAGCGGCTCGAGAGCAGCAGCTGGCCCATGACCGGAAGATTGCCGAAGAGGCCGCCGCTTTGGCCCGCGCCGATGCCGAAAAGAGAGCCTCCGAAGACGCAGCTAAAGCCAAGGAAGAAGCCGATAAAGCTGCCGCCTCTGCCGCTTCGGAGGCTGCCGCCGCCGCGACCAAGGCGGCTACAGAAGCAGCAGCAGAGGCAGCCAGTGCGGCAGCCAATGCGGCAGCTGAAGCTGCGAAAAAACCACCCCCTGAGAAAAAGAAGCCCATCAAATTCAAAGATGCAGTGGGAAGAAAATTCAGCTTTCCCTTTGAACTATGCGCTACATGGCAGGTAAGACTCTGACCCCCTGAAGCAGTGTTTCTTATTCCTTTCCCTTTCTACCGTGCACCAGGTGACGAGCGGTGACTAACAATTGGTCGTCCTATAGGGCATGGAAGATCTTATCAAGCAGGCCTTCCTTCATATTGAAGTGATCGGTCCGCATGTTGCGGAGGGACACTATGACCTGTTGGGCCCCAACGGCGACATCATTCTTCCCCAAGTTTGGGAGACGGTTGTTGAGCCGGACTGGACGATTACGATGCACATGTGGCCCATACCGGAAAAGCCGAAGGATCCTGACCCGCCAGCTGCGGCTCCCGCAGCTCCATCCAAGGACCAAGCAACTTCTGCCGGAGAGCCGAAGAAGAAGACTGAAGGAGGTAAGTTTGTTGGAAGTTGATGTTTCCACCCCCCCCTTGTTCAGAAACCTTTCTCAGATTTCCCCCCGTTTCTTTCCGACAAAAATTGACACAATTTTTTAGGCAACAAGAAACCGCCCCGAAAGCCCGGTGACCCTGGCGGATTCGCCAAGTGGGTGATGGGCGGCCGTAACCCCCAAAAGCCGTCAAAACCCCCAAAGCTGAGAAGAAACCCGACCCGGCTCCACAGTGATGACTCAATGAATGGGAGGAAAATCGCCTGTTGGTGAATGTCCTTCCCGCAATATAACTCCGTTTCTAATCTCTCCTGCTTGCGGGGACGCTGTTGTTTTTGGACTTCTGAGATCTATCTCCTCGCTCCCTCGCCGAGTTTGAGCCAAACAAAAACTGGAACTCGAGCAGAGCAGAGATGTCCGATACGACGCATACAATGGATGTCCATGGGATCGACATAAAGCCCTCAACTAAGCACTCGATTCGTATAGCATTCCTCGTCATTCCTCGAAGGAAGGCGTATGAACTCGTCCTGCGCAGGAGCTTGACCCAAGCGGAATAGCGACTGCTTAGCGCTGGCCTTCCGAACTACGACATCGTTGTGCTTCGTCAATGGCGTCTTTTGGTCGCTTAATCATAGCCTAGCGATTGTTGAATCGAAGACCCGCGAATATATATCATCAAGATTCCCATGGTGCTCGTTCCTATGGATGTCGTTCCTCTCTTGCAATAAATATGAGATGAACTTATTTCATATCTTGCACAACATTCCCTTTTTCCAAGATGTGTATCTCTGGTGTAAAAGTACGGACCTGTGAATCACGTGGTCCTGTTAATTTTACATTATTAGGTTCAACGCCTTAACACGCCGAGCTGTAACATCCTCGTACATCCTGGTAAGGGGGGCTGTGGTTTACAAGATTCAACTAGTTTTAGCCTTTCGGTTTAGTACCCCAATTAGCTTCGGTTCAATTACTATACTATACGACAATGACCGGCTATTGGCCCTATAGATCTCTATGCCCATTCCAGCCTCCATGTAGGATGAAGTTGGGTGAGTCGTACTCCCGCCAATCCTCACCGCCACCTGAGATCCACCTGTTTCTGTCAATTTTCAGACGCTTCTGGCGGGCACTCAGACCCCAAAATGTACTGGAGAAAGTGATGAAAAGTGAATGGGGCTGACTGAAAAGGAATGGCTTGGAAGGGTCAAAATTAAGAGGTGCTGACTTCAGACTTGTTGGGAAAGACTACTCGATCATACGATATGTATTTTCATCGCCGTCTGGCAAAATCGTCCAGATAGGTTGACAGCGTATAAGGCAGCGAGACTCATCGGAATACTGTATGTCCAGTATTACGTTTGGTGTGGACCAATCATGTGATGCTGGAAACCAAATTTCCATGTATAGGACAGCTGAACGTCCAAAAAATACGGGTGGAAAGGCAGACGTCTCTGGCCTCAAAAGCGGTAATTTCGGCGTCAATTCCAAAGTTCCTCATCTCCTAGTCGTAAAGCAGTCCGAAGGGTCATCGTTGCGGTATAAGTGGCTTCCATTCGATTTGCTCCCCTGTAGCATCCGCCAGTAGGTCAGTAACACCAGGAGATCCGGCTGATTCCTCTCGGCCCCAGATACCCTGTGATTCCATGCCCTGACTCTGGCCAGAGCCTGAGGCCGTGGTTTGGCGGGCAGGATGAGAACTCAGTAATAGTGGTTTTCGAGGAACGGCTGGTGGTGATTTATCTGTATTTGGCTCCCTTCCACCAGCAGACGCAATGCCCCCCTGCAATCCATCCAAGCGTGCACCGCCAGGCTGGATAGGCTTCCTGGAAGAGACAGTGCCTGTATCCTGTCTCATTACGCTTGTATCCATAACCCAGTCAGGTTCACGGTCTGGGGAAAACGGATTGGATCTGCGCTGGATGTTTGGGATATAATCCTCTTCAGGTGGCTGCAAAGCTGCTTTAACGGACACCCCTGTCGCACAAATTAGCTTTTAGCTGCACAACGAAGAGCGCGGCGCTTCGATCACTTACCACTACCCAGCCACCATCGACTTCGATCAGAGCTAGCCGGGGGGTAAACCCGGGGCTATAGAAACATGTGCGGCACTCTCTTCGTCATCCAAATCTAACAGATGGCCTGACTCAGAGAGTGCATAGCGCTGTTTCTCTCCATATAACGAGCGCCTCAGGTTTTCTTTTAGCCCAAGGTCAACGACGTTAATTGTTAAGTCGAAAGTTGCAAAAACCGGCCGATGATCAGACACTCGCAGATCTGCAACGTTATACTGAGTTTGCCTTACGTTGGCACCTCTCCAAAGGATTCGGTCGCACCACGCAGGAATGCGTCCCTTCTCACTAATAGTAGATTAGTATTACTTGCCAACGGATAGAGAAACGAAGATAGCGAGCAAGGAGTCTATTACGAAGTGTCATATTGATCCGTTCCGACATCATATTTGTAGGTCGGAGCAAAATTGATGGATCCTTCAGAGTAGAATTGAAAGGCTCTTCCGGCAATCATTTGCAGATTCAGCTTATGCCCCTTGTCAGCAAAGTGTTGGCTTCGTGTGGTTGACCCATGCCATACCTGGTCATTATCATAAAGTTTCTGGTAGTCATGCTGCATTACGAGCTCTCTAACGATCTGGTTATTTAAACCAATTCGGTAGTTGAAGTCCCCGAGCCAAATGACTGAGTCGTGATCGGCAATGGATCGATTCTTTTGAAACCGTAGTCCTTGGTCGATAGTTTCATAATCTCTGTTTCTCTCCTCATAGTTCGCAAATCCAGCGGCCAGATGAGCCGTGATGAAGCAGATACTAGTGTTTGAGAAATCAAATCGGATGGCGCAACCCCCCTTGTTGCCAGCAATTCCGGATAAACCGGTCTGGAGCAAGTGTTAGTTCAGATAGCTCACAAGGGCAAAGAGGCAAGGCACACAACCCAGACTTGCCTTCTTGACAGTTCCTTCAACGTTCTTGATGCCTTTTAGAACATCAGCTTTCACGTAGATCATCAGAGCGGCTCCTACAAGCTGTCCGCTTCTCAACAAAACATATTTGCTGGTCCCCTTTGACCTTGTTCGTTCATTTAAACAGTTTTGCACGGCTTTCTCCCAAACTTTTCGATTACTTGGATTTGTCGACATGATCTGCTGAGGGCTCAACTCTACTATTTCCTGAAACCCAACTGCGAAAATCGTAGGATCTTCATTGGATTGGTCGGCTTTGGGGAAAAGCCACGGCGTGAGATCTGTTCCCGGGCCTTCATCGCGGCCATTCACATTGAATGTCCCAACCCAGAGACGAACATGTTTAGTAGAGGAGTATTCGGAAGCGCGTCGGCTCAGCTCTTCAGTGACCAAGTCATTCATAGGGTCATATAAGTGGACCGGGATTTGATTTGCTAGTCGACCTAAGAGGAGATCAATTGTCCTTTGCCTGGCCTTGTCGGTAAAGTTGTTAACATAGAGCCGAGTGGCGCTTTTACGAGCATCTGCGAGTGCTCCAGCAAGTGACATTTTTCCATGGCGTGTGAAGGATGATTTGAGGGCCCCCGTACCGGCATAAATCTTCGAGAGAGCATCTCCATTGTCGGCCCAGAGGGTTGAGTGTCGCATCTGGATGTCAGAACCAAACCTTCCGCCATTCTGGGAGAGAAACGATTCAAGTGCCATGGAGCTAATAATGGTCTGGACTAGATTGGTTCGGTCCAGACAGTCCAAACAGTTTGTTCGGAAGACACCCTCTTGCTGTAGAATCACAGAAGAGCTGCTGACTACATCTTCTCGATCCAAAATGGATGTTGCGGGACGGGTGGCATCCTCTGCAAGAAAATAGGCAAACCCATCTGAAGAATCTGCCAGCTCATATTTGATTTGATTACTTGCTTCATATCCGGAGGGGCCTCTGGTCTCCGCAAGAAAATCATACTCTGTTATTCGAAGAAGGCTGTGCTGTAAAGCTTTCGAGGGACCTTCTTTCCGCCTGAGTGAGCTTCGGGATATGTGCTCTCTAAACTTGGCCGACAGCTCTGCCTCTCCGGATTTGAGTTCACTGAGAAGATTGACAACATGGACCGCCCCATATTCTAGCTCAAGGGCCTCAAAATGCCGATTGAACGCATGTTGTGTTGCTTCGCTCGACCGTGTCACCTCGATCTTCTGCTGCCCTGGAATCAGACCAGGGGTTTGTTCCCAGAATATCGGGACCGAGCCTCTAACTTGCACATATGAGAACGTAATCCCCGGTGCAACCCAGAGCACCACTTCCGTCTCTACAGAATTAGCCACATTGCCATCATCGTCGATGCCGCGCGAATTGAATCTTGTTCCAGCACGCCGCGAGGATTGCCGAGAAATGATGGTTAATAATGAGGGGAAATTGGTCCGTAATTGGGGGAGAATGGAGATGGTTGCTGGGAGCTTGAGTGTACTGGCGTGCCCCCGAATGACGCATGTTAGCAGCTGAGAAGCGTCTAATTTGACCTTGTCTAAAGGCGGCAAATGGCTTCGAAACAAAAGAAGAGGATTGATCATGTAAGAGTTCCACAGCATGTCTTCATCCAGGGTGTCGATATCGAAGGCCGCTGATTTATCCGATCTGGAACAGTTAGCTCCCAAGTCAAGTCACACTGGCCAAGAAAATCACTATACCGGTCCTGTAAGCGATCGGTCAGGTTGAAGTCGAGGCTGTAATAGAAACTTCCATCTCCGAGGAGCTTCTTCAATGCCAGAAAAGGATGGTCAGTCGTCATTTCTTTCCCTTCTGCGCCCGCCCGCTCCTCGGCAGCGAACTGAGAGCCAGCCTCATAGTCTATGCCATATTCATATTCTGAACGGTTGAGACAATCTGGAATTGGTTAGAAGATGAAACCAGACAGAGAAACAGGGGTATATGAGTTTAGGAGAGGCACACAAAAGTCTACATTATCAATTCTGGAAATGGTCTCGCCGGGTCTCACGGAAGCAGCCTGAGAAGAGCCGGTTACCACACAAAGAAAAACATCTTCGTTCAATGTGATTAGACCAAGGGTACCATAACCTGCGCCGAGCGGCCGATACCCTGTAAGATCCACAGATGCCACTTCTGAGAATTCAACTTGACAGCGTGGAGCAACCTTGGCTCCGCTATCGGCTATGCTATAGTGAAAGATCAAGACATGGTCAGAGGTCACCAGTGCAATTGTCCGCTGAGGTTGATCCTGGCAAAGCACCCGGAGGTTGAACATGGTACGGTTGGTAGATCTGGCCAAATTTCCCTCAACATCGATTGAAATTTCGTGGAAGGCGCCTCGAGTGTTGAACCACAAGCAAGTGCAATGTTTGCCTTTTCTGGTCCGGAGCTTCGTGGGTTCACTTGGCTCAGTAGAGTCAGTTCAGCCACAGGCAGGTCAACATCGAGAAGTCCAATTGATGCAAAGAAAATGGGACTCCTTCTCCAAGGAAAGTTGGGCGGTCAGTGACTTCGGAGGGGGAGCGAGGTAGAATGAAGTGAGTGTATGCGTACGCGATATTGGACGGCTGGATCCAGACCCGCGGGGGCCTTATCGGACGCTGACTCAGCACCGCCTTATCGAATTTTCGTCTCCCAAAGTTTTCTTTTCTGGGGTTTCGATTTCCCTCGCATAATATTCTCCTCCCTCTGCCTCCCTCCCCTCCACCAGCCATGGGTCTAGCCGCACCCCGGAAGTATGTATTTTCATCCTGAAAATGAAGTTATCTTATCTAATCTTCTTTCCAGGAAAACCAAGATCTCCCATGATCCAAATAATACAAAATGGGCTCGGTCTACGTCGGGCTTTGGACACCGAATCATGAGTGCTCAAGGCTGGACGCCCGGCGGTCGCCTCGGTGCTCGAGATGCAGCTCACGCTGATTTTCTGACAAATGCGAGTGTTTCCCATATCCGAGTGACCGTCAAAGATGATACCCTGGGCCTTGGTGCCCGTGCTGGGCGTGAAAATGAACCCACTGGCCTGGATGCCTTCAAGGGACTATTGGGTCGGCTGAACGGCAAGAGCGACGAGGAATTGAACAAGGAGCAGCGAAAGCGAGATGATGTTAAATTGGCTCGCTATGTTGCCATGAAGTTCCAGGAAGTGCGGTTTGTCCGCGGCGGGCTCTTGACACAAGAGAAACTTCAAGCATTACCGGAGGATGATCAGAAGAAATCGAGCACCCCTGCTACCAAGGAAACATCCAGCGAGGATGTTATCACTCTTTCCAGCGACTCGACCGACCCGGTGTCCAAGTCATCCAAGTCCAAGTCCAAATCCAAATCCAAATCCTCGAAGAAGTCCCGATCTCAGTCAGACGAGGCAGATGACTTATCCTCCGCTACCGAGACAAAGAAGGAGAAGAAATCCAAGAAAAAATCCAATAAGCGCAAAGCAGATGACGATGGATCAGACTCTGTGGCGGGACAGGATTCCTCAGCTGAGCAGGACCACCAGACTGGATCGAAGGCCAAGACGGATTCGCCCGTGGCAGTTGCGCCACGAGAGCGCTTACCGATTGGGAGACAGTTGTTCCGCAGCCGTCATATTGCGCAGAAGAAGAGGGCACTGATGGATGATAAATCTCTAAAAGAGGTGAGTGGATCAAAATTCTTTGGTGACCAGATGATTATTGCGGTTCTAATTTCAATCTGCGGGAATAGATCTTTATGGTCAAAGCATAGACGTGACATTTTGCATTGTATAGATAAATACTCCGTATGGGACACATGGGCAGGGCGTTTGGGCGCAAACCAATCTCGATCTGGGTTACTGCAATTGATTAGTATATTGCACTAGCATCGATTTATGACACATTACTCGTGTATCTTTTCAGTATTGGACTCCATTCTCTCGTCCCGGTTGATGCCAATTCTAAATTTAAAAACCTGGCACGAAGCATGTACTGGTTATTGTAGATCTACACCGGCTTGCTCTGATGGATGTCTGGATGTTCAATGGCCTCGGTCTATATGTACGGATTACCTGGAGAATACCAATGGCCTCGATGAACCAAATTCCGACAATAGACCATTCCAAATACCGTCCACCTCTTTCTTGCTATATTCCTCCTCTCGCTATATATTTCATTCACTGATGCCTATCTATATGGTACATAGATCAACCTCTTTCTTGGCCGCGGGGATTACCTAATAGCCCCGAGCCACAACGTCATCTTCAACCCCCGATCAGATTGAATCACCTAGAGGCACGATAGATCCCCCAATTTCCCCCTGCGCGCGCGCCTTTTCTCTCCATCACAGATTACTCACGATGAATGGAGATGTGAGCATTCGTTCGGGCGCCTCGGACCGGCCGCCAAGTCGTACCGAGAATGCTGAGAGGAAACGGTACGCACTCCTGTCCAGCGTTCCAGGCTGGACCAAGGTTCTCCCAGAACTCGCTGACTGCTGTACAGCATCCACTGGGCACCATTGAATGTTGGACTTGAACGACGTCTGCAAACATTTGTGGTTTTATGCCACACTCTCACCATCGCCATTTTCCTAACCAGCTTCTTCTTTACATGTGCTATTCCCTTGTTTTGGCCGCTTCTGTTGCCATACTTGGTCTATATCTCGCTATTCTCGACGGCACCTACGTCAGGCGAACTCAAGGGCCGAAGTCCGTTCTTGAAGTCGCTTCCCATCTGGAAGCTTTATGCATCCTATTTTCCAGCCCGTCTCCATCGCGAGGAGCCTCTACCCCCAACTAAGAAGTACATCTTTGGCTACCATCCCCATGGCATCATTTCCCACGGAGCCTTTGCAGCGTTCGGAACCGAAGCGCTGGGTTTCTCTAAACTTTTTCCGGGAATTACCAACACCCTCTTGACTCTAGACTCCAACTTTCGGATTCCATTCTATCGCGAGTATGCGCTTGCGATGGGATTGGCGAGCGTGTCTCGGGAGTCATGCGAAAATCTCCTGACCAAAGGGGGTATCGACGGCGAAGGTATGGGACGGGCAATCACCATTGTCATCGGTGGGGCCCGTGAATCCCTCAATTCTCAACCAAACACCTTGCGTCTCGTCCTCAAACGGCGTAAAGGATTCATCAAACTCGCTATCCGAACCGGCGCCGATCTGGTCCCTGTTCTGGCCTTTGGAGAGAATGATCTTTATGAACAGGTGCATTCAGATCAGCATCCAATTATTCATAAGCTCCAAATGCTCGTGAAGCGTACTATGGGATTTACGATCCCTTTGTTTCATGCCCGAGGGGTTTTCAACTATGATGTGGGACTAATGCCTTACCGACGTCCCCTCAACATCGTGGTCGGTAGAGCGATCCCAGTGATGCAACAATCCAATCGAGACAAGATTAATGACAGCTATATTGACGAACTTCATGGCCGTTATGTCCAAGAGCTCCAACGGCTCTGGGATCAATGGAAGGATGTATACGCGAGAGACAGGACGGGTGAACTAGAAATCATTGCGTGACGGAACTAACTGACCAAGACTATCTATCGGCGCTGCATTCTTCTACCCGCCCCAACGGACTATATTCTTGAACATTCAATGGTCAGGTAGCATTTCTCTGCGAACAGTATATCGCCATTCATGTAGCATTTTGGTAAATATATCCTAATATTGGGGTAACACCTCGGGGAAAATACACTGCACTGCCTTCCTTGGCGAATATCAAAGTACAGATCTTTTTGGTTAAACAACGAAATTAAAAAAAGAGGACACATGAACATCCAAGCAAAACAAGATAGACGGGGTATCAGATCAACAGGAAGCATCGGCATAGACAGAAAGGAATAAAAAGAAACAAATGTATCGTGGCAACCTGATCAGCTCATCAACTTGTTGGGGAGCTTGGGGCAATCTCCATAGGCATGTTGGGATTCAATCCTGGAACCTCAGCCGAACTCGAAACCCGACGGCTATCCCTCGAATTATTCTTCGCGTTCCCAAAAGCACTCTTGTCGAGATGGCCGCTTTCGACGCGGCCCTGGATCATTTCATCCAACATCCTGGAGACTTCATCCATATTCTTTCTTCGGTCATCCTCTTTGTCTCCAAATTTCCCAGATGGGGCCGGTCCGGAAGGACTCATAGCCTTGTCGGCTATATCGCTTAGACCCCGGGGACTGTTGGGACCGGATGAAGTCAAATCTTCTTTGGTTTTGAGCTCGGATGACTGCGAGTCGCTAGTAACCGCAGCTAAATCTCGATGACGCGCTGCAGATCGAAGTGCAGCGAGCATCCGATCTTTGTCGTCGAGCTGTATACGGAGCTCATTGATTTCCATGTCTTTCTCGCGAATCAGAGCCATCATATCCGGATGCTCGGCGATTGTGGCGGTTGGTGTGCTCGATTTGACCCCCACTGACATTCGAGAATGGCTTGAGCGTCGGGCTTGAAGCAGTCTGCGTTCGAGAGTCGAGATATATCGGTTCTTGTCACCAAGGTCGGCTTGTAGTGCGGTAACCTGTCGTTGCAAGCTCGCTTTCCCATCGCCAAATTCACCCAAATCGTCTTCTTCTTCGTTGCCAAAAGAGCCACCCGAGAATGGCAAGGAACCCGTGGGCTCAGTGCTATTGATAGACATGAAAGAGACGGGCCGGATAGACGAATGAGCAGCGCCCAGGGTGGACTGGCTGGCTGATGAACGGAGGGAGCGTGTTCCCGATTCAATGGAGGACATTCTAGACAACCTGCCAAATGCCGAGAGGCTATTGTGACTGTTGACACCAGTTGACTTGGAGCTCAATATCAATCGATTCAAATGCTCGATGCGTTCCTTCAAAGCCGTCCGGGCCAGCTGCATCTCTAGGACCTGCTCCTCATGACGGGCCTGAGCTTCCTTTTCATACTGCTGTTCATCCCATTTCAGCTCCTTCTCCGCCTGCGCCTTGGCTTGGGTATCAAGTTGCCCGCGAAGAGCTTGGATCTCCATGCGGTAGCGTTCAAGCAAGACGCGACTTCCAGAATCACCACCACCGCCCCCATATGCTTCCTCGGCTCGCTTTGCATGGCTGACGATGTTGTTCTTGGCCCGTGCAGCAAATTTCAACGTATTCAGTGTTTCACCCGAGTGCGCGTTGATGCCATTGACCAACTGAATGGTACAGAGAATGCTTACCAGAGAGTTTCCTGACAAGGCCGGCTGAAGCAATCGCGTTAATTTGGAATCGCGATACGGTAAATGCCGTCCTTCCCGGTCCGTAGGGTTGCCTTGCTTGTCTTTGTTTTCCGAGAGCTTCGAGATGATGTTGCCCAAAGTGAGCAGACTCTTGTTGATATGGGCACCTTCAGTTCGGCGCTCCTTATCGTCGGCCGCGCGCTCCGAGCCAGCCAGGTCGATCAAACTCAGAGTTGACACTCGGACACCACCAGGGGCAATTCCAGATCGTTTGTCCTGCGAGCTGCTTGCAGGTACTCGTTCTCGGCTCTCGACCACAATTTGAACCACCGCGTGACTGCGAGAACTGCGTGAGTTGAATTGGGTGCTGCTTGTTCGTCTGGCATGATCTCCCCTCGCAATAACTCGCAGGAGCTGCGTCGGGCTCTGTACGATCTCTTCCTTCAGCGGTGTAGCGTATACGCCGCGTTTACTATCTTCGCGGAGCTTGATTTCCTCCTGCTGCGGCGCTGCGGCGCCATTGGCAACGGGAGTAGACAGAAGATCGTGAATTTTTTCATTGTAGATCTCCAAGTAACTGACTCGAAGGAGGAACTCTCGGTAAGGGGTTTCCCTGATAAAGGAAAAAATGTCGGTAATGGCGAGCGGGATGACACCGGGCGAGGTGGCTGTTCCTTGCATAGAGAACGTTTTGCCGGTACCCGTCATACCATAAGCAAAGACGGTTCCATGGTATCCCTCCATTACCCGCCGGACCAGTCGTTTCGCTGCCGAATCATAAACCTTGGCATTGTTTTCTTGCGGACTGAAAACATTGTCTGTGCCCTACCGGTGTTAGTCAAAGGGCCCCAAAATTTGATCACGACTGTAGACGAGGAGGGCGTACTGACCGTAATAATAATCGCCGCCATCTTTACCTCGGTGAGAAATGAGGCTTTGGCGTCCATCGACCACCCATTCCCCGTGGTTTCTCGGAGTCTCGCCTCCATTCGTATCGGGCCGCACCCGCACGCTGACCAGGACATTGCCTTTCGTTTCTTTCGGTTTGGGATTGCTCCCCTTACCGGGGCCGGTTGCATCCTCTGCATCCTCGAATGTTGTCGCGCTAGTCGAACAAGAACCCTGCGCGGAAGAGCTCCTACTATGCGCTGGGGAGGCTTCCGGGTCCCGGGCGTCCGAGAGGATCGACTTCCCGTCGCCACTTCCATTGAGCAGGGACGGTGTTTTTGAGCTCCGGTAGCTGCTATTGGTGCCGGTACTCAGCCGCGAGCTTCGCTTTGGTTTCGCATTTCCCGTGGCACCGATGCCCGGCACGCCCGAGACGGACGATGCCGGGGAGGGAAGAGTACTTCCGGCCTTGGGCGGTTGTGGGAACGAGGCAATGCTGATGGTCCGGCGCAATGACGCCTTCTCGGGGCTGCTGGGCGCACGGCCACTGGATGCGGAGCGGACCGTGCTTAGGTTCGAGGTGGAATTGGAACTCGATAGCGGCGAGCGGGAGAGAGAGGGCCTTGGACTGGACGGGGTCCGCAGCTTCGACGGTTGATATGGTGAGGTGGCTCGGGGGGCATCGGGAGCTGGCATACTTTTCCTCGGTTTGGGGTTCGGGATCGGTGGGAGTGCCCCGGTCGGGGGGTTGGTTGTTGGCCGTGACGGTTGGGGAAGTGCGGACATGGAGGCCATCTTGTTCGGTGTCGGGCGAAAGAGGACGAGTGGTGTTTCCCTCTCCCCAGAGGCGTCAATTCGGTCGATCTAGGGGAGACGGCGACACAACATGCGGGCAAGCTCGAGTCGGGGCACTGGATTTGAGATGCGTGTTGAGTCGGACGGGGGTGGGCTTTCTGTCCATGTATGAATGAATCAGTCACTGAAACAGGCCCAGGCCCAGGACTACGACGCCCGGGTTGTTGTCTAGACCGAGACTTTCGCGCGGCAGGAGTCTCCAACCGGTGGCTGGAGGGCGACGAGAGCCACAAGATACGCAAAGAGGAGGGCGCACTGAAATTCGGAAATGGGGGCGGGATTGGGGGGCGGGGATTGAGCTGCTGAGATTCGGATGCTTACAGCTTCAAACGACTATGTTGTGATCAGGACGGGAGAGGGGACCCGCGTGTGAAACTTGGAGGCGCCACTGCTGTTATGTCGAGCAACGTGCGAAAGATGGGCAAAAGCGCGTCTTCTGGTATTGATTTTGATCCGAGAATCGGATCAAACCGAAAATGGGAGTGTGAACTAAGTGGAGGAGGAGAAAGAGGAAGAGGAAGAGGGGGCAGAAGAGGAAGAGAGGAAGTGGAGGAGGAAATTGGTGTATCAAGAGTGCTTATTTCCCTTCCCCCCGCAGCGGTCCAGGCTTGTTTTTATCACGCTATCAGGCCATCGCCGTGGTCGACTTTGGACTCTACACTACGTTTTGCGTCCACGATAGACGCACTGGTTAATCTCCCAGGAGAAAAGGGACCCTGATTGAGGGGATATGGGGCCCATGGGGGACGATAGTCGTCAACTCCTCAACTCCTCGACCCCTCAACTCCTCAACTCCTGAACTCTTCACCTTCAAGATCGAATCCTCCTGTGTTAGGGAAACAGGGCAAGAGACGATAGGGCGATCGAAGCGTATAAGAGGATTATCCCGGAGATGGTGGCGAGAGGTCCGGTCCCTTGATGCTGTGATGTCTCGCCTGGCTCCAGGTCCCTTACCCCGTCTCTCGTCCAACCATCCGCCGTGCTCCGTGCTCCGTGCTTCGTTGAAGGAGGATATTGCCTGTCCCCAGATCGTGCAGGAGGTGCACGGGAGAAAAAAAAAGGGGCAAGATGGCGTGGAGCTAAAAGAGGACAATCACAGCCTAAGTCTCAAAGCAGTAAAGGCGCCACTTCTTGGCCTCGCGGGAGCTGTCGCGGATCCAATGACAGTGCCCATGGTGGAGGGGAGTTCGGGGACCCAAAGGGACCCAGCCCAAGTCCCAGCAAGATGAACCAAACGAAGCCTGATGAGCCAGGGGGTAAAAAGGGGGCAACGAATGAACGGCCTGGCGCTGGTGGAGAAGCCGGGACGGAGATCCCAAAGCGGGAAAACGAAGACCAAAAAAGAAGGATCAATTGGTAGATACAGTGGGAGAGAGGGCGGAGGAGAGGGCGAGGGTTTAGGCGCAAGGTAGATGAAAACTTGACGAAGTTGACGGTGACATGGAAATTGAAGTTGTGAAGTTCAAGGTCCAAGGGCGACAGGCGTTACCTAATCCATCGGCCATTCAAGTTCTAATGATCGCAATCCAGGCTTACTCGACTACTATAGTTTCCCACCGTTCATCTTCTGGACTCTTGATCGTGATTTGCCCAGCGAACGAGATCTCTCGACCAACAAGATCCATGCTTTCTTCGTTGTATGCTTTGTTTTATGGACACTTGTGTACTATTGTATATTATGCTTTGAGTGTTATTGTTTGTTTGTTTTTCAGGCGGCCACAGCGTTTAAACTTCCTCTCTGAGAGATCCACTCCCGAGGCTGATCTTTCTTTGATCTCCATCGTGCATCAACACCCAGACCCACCTACAACCAGCTTCTCCCGGACGACATAGAGGACGAAATGCGCTCCATGGTCCGAGTCCTGACTTCTTGCTCAATACTCACGATCGTCGTTCTTGTACCAGCCAGAGAATGTGAGTGGGCAAGGGTAGACAAAAGGAGGTTTACTCAATGATCCCTGCGCATCACCAAGGAGAGGTCAGGGGAGATCACACAGCGCAGGCAGCACTCCCGGCCAGCCGTGGACGGTGAGGGTCAGCGCAATAGATCGACGATGGACGTAAGGGGCCGCCATGCCTCCATCCCAGACAGGACCGATGAGCGGTGCACGGCCGAACCAATGGGGAATCAACGGCGTTCGGAGTACGACATGACAGGTCGGCGGGGTTTGACTGATAGAACGTCCCATCTCGTCCGTCCTCGGCTCCATTTCTTCAATCTTCAATAGCGCCAGCTGCATCCGCCTCCCCTCCCTGTCATCTTCGACCGGCTTTTCTTTTCGGGACAGCACTTGCGGTGCCCGTAGCGCACATCCCCGCATCTCGCATGCATCATGCAGCGTGTCGTGTTCGAAGGGCCGAAATTTCTGTGGAGATAGGTGGCAACGAACAAACACCATACGCATACACGGGCCAACGATATTGGGTCAACAGACAAGCGGGGCTCTCCAGCCTAGTATACACTTCGCATCTAAGATCGGTCCTTTCTTCAAGGCATTACTTCGTGGCTCCGAAATCCAATTGTCGGGCAGCGTTCTTGAACGGGCCATCATCGATCTCGCCACCCCGGCGGCTTAAATCGTCCCCCATCTTCTTGGTGCCCGACTTGCGTGGGAGATCCTCATTTTTAGTCGGCCGAGGTTCAACCGACCACCACTGGTGCTGCAGGACTTGGAGAGCGGTGCTGCGCTTGCGCGGATCCAGCGCGCACATAGACATCAGGAGGTCGGCCCCAACTGGACCCGCCGTGGGGAACTGCCGCAGGAAGAACTCTCGACCCTGCACCGGGACGACCTTGTCTGTTACGTAGTTGGGCAGCTGGGTGACTCCAGGCCAATTTGCTTCGGTCGGCGTGCCAAACGCCTCGCAGATTTTGGCAATTTGGTCCAGATCCGTGTTGCCGGCCACAAATGGGACGCGCAGGAGCAACTCGGCAAACACCATGCCCATGGACCAGACATCGACCGCTCCAGAGTATCGCCGTGCCCCGTAGAGCAGTTCGGGAGGTCGGTACCAACGAGTGATCACTTGATGGGTCATGTTGAGGTGTGGATCGGCAAAGGATCGGGCCAGACCAAAGTCGGCTAGTTTGACCTCGCCGTCCGCCGCGATCAACAGGTTGTTGGGTTTGATATCACGATGGAGGACAAAGTTCTCGTGGCAAAACCACACGCCGCGGGCAAGCATCCCCATCCAGGCCTTGATGTCAGCAACACCATAGTGCATGTCCCCGTCCTTGATCAACATCTCTAGGTCGCCCCCCGGGAGAAACTCGAGAACCAGGTTGAGGTTCTGGTCCTTGGAGGAAAAGACATCATGAAGTGCAATTACATTCTGGTGAGACAATTCTTGGAGGTACTTGACTTCTCGGATGGCGTCCATAGTCAGCCCATCTTTGTACTCCGCGTTGACCTTAATCTTCTTGATTGCGACACAGGAGGATGGATCATCTCGGAAGTGGCCCAAGTAGACTATGGCATATGTACCTTCGCCTAATTTTTTCCCTGTAGTTTATAACGGGTGTCAGTCTATGAGCCCCTGTGATAGTGAGAGTTTCATGTCATCCAGGCACAACATACCCTTGACATATTTCTGTCGCACATCATCATTCAGCTGTTCCGTAAGCTCTCGGTCTGGGTAAGGGTTCGTCTTGGCGGGAGCGGCGGGACCGGATGCACTCTTGGCTGCGGCGGCTCTTAACCGGAGAGTGTTGGGGGATGCCACAGTCACCGAAGGAGAGCGTGAGCCAAACGGTGAGAGCGCCATGCTGGATTACCACCAGCTTGCGGCAGGGTGAAAGCTCACCGAGGAGCTACACAGTAAGATGATGCTGGCAGGGGAAAGACACCAAAAATAATTGATTGGTGATCAAACAAAGGCCAGAGTGAAGCTGAACTAAAAGATTCACCTTGCGAGGAAGAGTAAAAGCGGGCTTTGCCCCCAGATATCGCGACGGGGGCGCGTTGTATGAAGTGTTCCCGGACTATCGTTAATCCCGCGGATCCCGACCGTGAAATTCTCAGGACCAAACAGCGGCCACCGAACGATTTGACTCCGCGATTCGACAGAACCCAAAAGCGCTAGCCTCTCCCTTCTCCCTTCACATCTCCCTCCCTGAAGGTGTCTAGGGCTTTTTGTTGGGTCATTTATAACAATCAAAAGCCAGGCAAGCAATCGGTGTGCGGGATTCAGCCCGCATTTGCACCCGTCCATCATGGCGATGCGCAACTTGCACCTACGCAGTCTTGCAAGCGGCCTCTTTCAAAGAGCCAGCATCTCCAGACAATGCATTCGACCTTTCCACCGCAAAGTGGCACCCTCAGTGCCTTCGCCGACCCCCTTTGTCCCGGATGTTCCAACCTTCCTTGCCTTGATCGGTCGTGAAATGTCGAAACATGCGAGCAAGATCCCTTCCTGGGAGCAACTCTTCACCTCCAACTCCAACCAACTCCGAGAATTCGGCATTGAGCCCGCTCGCCAGCGACGGTACCTTATCCGGAAGCGCGAAAAGTTTCGCAATGGGCTCTACGGCCCTGGAGGAGACCTGGATCAAGTAGTCGACGGAGTCGCACAGCTACGAGTTGTGGAAATTCCCGTTGAGGCTGCCGACGCAGAACAGAAACAAGGTGCCAGCTCGGCAACCTTGACCCCCGGCATGAAGAAAACGATTGTGAATTTGGCTCCCGGTGTGACGGAATACAAGCACAACCCGTTCGACCCGCTCAAGAAGTTCGCCCACATGAAGATCTATTCTAGCTCCAAGATCAGGGGTCCATTTTTGAAACCTGTCAAGGGCAGCCACGGGTCGGCAGCGACCATTGCTGTCCAGGAGGGCATGTGGGAAGACAAACGCGGACAGAAAGTGGACGGTGGTGAACGACGACGAGTCGAGGTCAGGGCCAGGATGAGACTCGAGGAACGAAGAAAGCGCGCGTGAAGTGTAGGATAATCGGGTTGGGTTGAAGCGTTGATTGCATATATCTCTCGAGTCCTGGTTGTCCCTGTGTTTTCCTTTCGCACTGTACTATATATATATACTATACTATGATCCCGCAGCAACAGAGATCTTCTGATACATTTCCTGTGAACAGTAGATGGAATTGGCCTAAAAATTAGTGTTTGCAGCTGATGGCCCGAACAAGGCTTAGTTATCATGCGACAGTACAACCACACGAAACTGTGACTATCGTGCGTGATGCTCAGGTGTCCGGTCGTTTTGAATCGTGTTCAATTAAGTGAATATGTAGGTGATCATGGTAAAAAATGAGAATGCCAAGTAGAGATAGCAGGGGAAAATCGCGGATCAGAAACATGAAAACAAAAAAGGGTTAATGTACAACGAGTCCAGTCGTTCAAGAACGTGGAGAAACGAAGAGGCCTGTAGCCAACAACCGATAGGAGTGGGCCTGTCAGTAGCGCATGTCGCTCACTTGTCCGTGGCCTTTCCCTGTCGCCCAAAGGACGGTCATTAAAGATGATATTTGGTGTCCAAGTGGAAAAAAGTTTTTTTTTTGGGTGTTGGAGGAAGGATTCTTTCAAGAAGGATTGGAAGACATCGCTTGTCCAAAAACACGTCTATGCCTTGGTTCCACGCTTCTCGTAAGAAACAAATGATTTGCCCAAAGGTTTCGAAAACAACGACTGAAGGATGAAATTAGCCACCGCCTAAGATACATATCGAACCATCTAGAGAGAAAGACTTACCGAGTAATCGGTTTCAGGAATGCCAGACGCGCCGGGCGGGCTGGAAAACTTGAAGTGCCTCACCAGCGTAGCCAAAATTGTGCCCAGCTGCACATACGCAAATTGCTCACCAATGCAGCGATGACGACCAGCTCCGAAGGGCAAGTATGGGCTGTTAGTGCCCTTGCTGACAAGACCATAGCCGTAATCGATCTGCTCTTCGTCGTCTTCGTGCTTGGCGGTCGAATCCTCATCCCAGCGGTGGGGGTTCCACTTCAGTGGGTTCGGGAAAAACTCCTCTGATCGGGCGGTAACGCCGGGGGAAGAGAGAACATTGTGGCTGGTGGGAATAACGTAAGGAGTTCCATCAACGGGCATTGGGTTCTTAACAGCGCGAATGATCGAGTGAATCGGTGCGTGAATGCGGAGAGTCTCCTTGATCACCTTGGAGTGCAGATCAAGCTTCTGAAGCCCCTCGTAGGTGAGGGCCGGGAGGTCACTGCCAAGAACACGGAGCTGCTCTTCGTAGAGTTCCTCCACAACTTCGGGGCAGGTGGCCAGACGCAGAACAATCCAAGCCGCGGTGGAAGAGGACGAGTGCTGGCCCGCCATCAACAGCGCAATCATCATATGGGCAACCTCCTCATCCGGAACTGGAGTACCGTTCTTATAGACACAGGACATCAAATTCCACACCATGTCCTCGGAGTCCTTCTTGCCACCAGCCTCGCGACGCTTACGGATGATCTCCATGTACGTCTCGGTCAACTTTTGCTGCGCCGCATCACGCTTGCGGTTATGGGGGAGAGGAGCCCAGGGCAACATGAAGTTGATCGGCGCGAAACCCATATCAAGGTCGTGGTACATCTCGGCGAAAGTGGAGTCGAAGCGATCCCGGACCTCCTTACCCTGAAGCGAGCGCGATGCCGTGTAGATAGTGATCTCAGCGATCACCTTGCAGACGTCGAAAGTACCCTTGGCATCCTGAAAAGCGGCGGAGTCCTTGACAAATTGGTCGACCTCGTTGGTAATCAGACGAACATAGGAGCGCAGCGCTTCGGAGGTGAGTCCAAATTTCACGAACTTTGTGGATTGAGTTAGCATCTGAATGAACATGCCATATTCTCCCGATCTTCCGATCTTCCCACTGCAGGTTCTTTGCCTACCTTCTTCTGCTCCATCAGCTTGGAGTTAGGACAGTCATAGACGACATGGCGCCCAAAAACGGGGGTGGTCAGTGGCGAGTAAACCTCCTCAGCGCAGACATCACGCAGTTTGCCGTTCAGGATGAACTCATTACCCTTTGTGCCTAGGTAAACGGTTGTTTTCTTTCCAAGAAGAATGAATGTAAAAATATCGCCGTACTGCAGGTCAAGACAAAGGATTAGATATCTGAGGGAGAGGGATTCACTTTTGGGAACTTGGAAGGAGTGCCACGTACCTTTGCGCGGGATTCAAAGAAAAACTTGTAGGGATCGATGCCATAGCTGATGGTGCTGCCAACGAAAGGAAACCAATGGAAGACCACGGGGGGTTCATGGGGGCTCTTGAAAAGTAACTGGCGTAGGACATTGACGACGACGGACAAGGAGATGAACGACAACAGCCCAACTGCAACGAGGGTGTAGATGGACTGGGACGAGCAATGCTCGCACAATTGGTCGAGGAGAGCCGAAAAGAGACCCATTGTGAAATGGGTGAGAGAGGGAAAGGGGGAGGGGAGTCGTGAAGCCTTCAAGGAAGAAGGTCGGGAAGAAGAAAGATCGGGAAGGGGGTTGCGCAAAATAATAATCTCCACTGTCATTCGGTGAGCCCGCGACCCGCCCCTCTTTTGCCCCCTGGTTGCTCTCGACACTTTTCAGATAATTTGACTAGCCTGACCCCGTTTAGATCTGCTGCGCCTTGAATCATTCGCGGACCGATTGTCTGCTTGACTGCCGACCGGACGCTCACAAGCACCCCCTTAATGATGTAGAATGGATTGTCACGCCACTTCGGTGGAGGCGCGTTCCGCGGGTGCCTGGCGATCACACGATGCATGGTGCAATGAGAAGGGGGCCAAAGGAACTCGATGACCAAATAACCGGGGCATGAGGCAGCGGGGAAAAAAAAGTACAACAGTACAGAAGTCCAGAAGCATAGAAAACCAGAAATATTGAAAGACAGACATACAGAACAGGAATCGGATTTTTCACACCAGTGCATGACTCCCTACAAAAACTATACACATATTAAGCCGGTTTATCTGGCCACTCCGGTCACCCAAATTCTCCCTGGATAACGAATAACCCCACTGAAACCGCAGTTAAAGTTGCACCTGGTACACACATACAAAGCAGCCCGGTAAGCATTATTGAACAAAAGGAGAGAACGAGAAACAAGAAACGATGCGCCGCCCCACCGCTCATCGGTATCGACTCGTGGGTTCATCGTCGTAGAGAGCAGGATCTCCACGCTGGCCCAGATTTGCGAAGTCCCGGGGTTCACGGTTGTTTCCAGGAGATGGTTCACGGCGTGAGGCCTTGGCAGGTCGGTTATGGACTCGCTTGCCCGCTTCGTTCTTGTGGAAGACCTTAACTGGAGCACTGCTGCCCTCGACAAGCTCGCTGAAGTGCACGTCATTGACACTGCTCAGCATGGTTCGCTCTCGTTCGACCTTTCGCTTCGAGAAATCCAGTTTGCCCAGGGCACCCGTCAGCCCGTCCGTGCTGTCGGTGACGCTGGGATACTTCTGGGTGAGCCAAGGGTGTTCCAGACACTCGTCCACCGTAATTCGCCGCTCAACGTCCACGGTGAGCATCCGGTCGATCAGGTCCAGAGCAGGGTCCCCCACGGAGTCCCAGTAGGGTGATGGAAAGTCGAAACGGCCCATACTGATCTGTTGGGCCAGGCTATAGGGGTTCTCCGCCGTGTACAATTCATCAGAGAAGGGGGAAACCCACACAGGCAGATGTAGAGAACCACTCCCAGGGACCAGACATCTACGGCCTTGGTGTAACGCCGGCGGCGATTCTCCTGTAAGATTTCGGGGGCCACATCTATCCAAGTTAGCTTTAATTACCAACGCAAGCCGCTCGATGAAGAGAAATCAACTTACAGCTCGGGGTCCCGCATCTACCAGAAGCAACGAGGAGATGATTAGCATTCCGAGCTCATGAACAGAAAACGACCTCTTGTAACTCACAGCGTGGTCGTAAAAGAATCCTCCCCAATGATCTTCGCAAGGCCAAAGTCGCCCAGTTTGACTGTCAATTTTTTGTCCGCAACCAGAATGTTCTCGGGCTTGATGTCCCGATGCACAATGCCGCGATCATGCTGGAGATCCGCATTAGCACGGCCTTCTATACCATCCTACCATTGTCCGTGGTTGAAAGATGGGGACCTACCAAGTACTTCAGTCCCTCGAAGAGCTGTCGGAATATGTGGCGGGTTTCCGATTCGCTGAGCTTCTGTTTGGTCACAATCAAGTTGAACAACTCTCCTTCGGGGGCTAGCTCAAGAATAAGATAAGCGCCGTCGTTTTCGTCAAAGGTGTCTTTCAAGCAAAGGAGATTGGGGTGATTGACTCCCATGAGAAGGGCAATTTCTTGCTGCACGGTGTCATTCTGCTGGGATTTCTGGGAGTCGCCAGGGCGCTTTTCAAAGACCTTGGCTGCATAATGCTTCCCGGTCGCTCGCTCAGCACACAGGTAGACGGTTGCGAAATGACCCTTGCCCAACTGCTGGAGCCGGCGATATTGCTGGCGAAAGCCGCTGGTGTCTCGGGTCCGGGGGTAGTAAAAGACAAATCGGGCCTCTTTTAAGATGGAGACCTCATCACGGTCCTCTAATTCACGGTGTTTGTTTCGTCCTACAATTGCTTCATTCACAAAGGTTCCGTTACTTGAGAGATCCTCCAGCATAGCCACCACATCCCCTTTCCGCTTCTCCGAGAAGAGAAGGCAATGCCGGTTCGAGATTGTGGGATTATTGATCACCAGGTCTGCCAAGGTTTGTTAGCAGCCGCCTCAAGGGACTCATCTCGGAAGGAGGGATGGTCACTCACCACACTCGGGGTGACGGCCGATCAGATAGCCACCAGGAGCCCGGCCGTTGGCTAATTTTCGAACTTGAGACTTCTTCCCAAGTTGGTCTTTGCTAGATTCATCCCGACTGCTGCAGCCATCTCGGTGTTTCAAGACGAGAGCACCTTTCACGTTGTCATCCAGTGGGACCAGATAACCCCAGACTCCCTCCTCAACTTCATCATCCACCTCATCTGTATAAGCCCGGGGCGGGTAAACGAACTGCGACAAAGCTTGAGTATCTCCTGGCGGCGAGGAGTAGGCCTGGGAGAATTGGGGGTTCGAAGGCGTATGCTGGCGACCCTGGCGTGGACTATCCGGCGGCGTGGCCGTGACTTCGTTACGGATATCTGTCGCCGTCGAATTCCCGTGGGTCAGAGGAGTGGGCAAGTAATCATGGTCAACCGGGGTCTCGAGTGAATGCTGTTGACTTGAAATTCTTTGAGAGCGCCGAGGCTTTTTCAAGTCCTGCGAATCGGCATCCGCGCTGACCTGCGGCAGACGGACGAGGTGAGCGAGCCAGTCCCTAAACGGGGCCTCTCGGGGATCCCACTTACTCTACCCCGTTTGAGTGAGCTTTTCTCACGAGGCGGCATCTTCCTCGTTCGTACCACACTGACCTCGTCGGCTGGGACGCTTATCCGACAGGCCAATCCGCAATGCTGGTCGCTCGGGTCTCAGTGTAGCATTGGCCGTCGGAAATCAGCGACGAATGAGGGATCAAGACCGTGCTAGGCTTCAATCAGCCTTTCAGGACCGAGAAGTCTGATGGGAGGTGGTTTGTGACGAGACAGAGTGTGTGGAGGCGAATGAGAGCTTGGAGGCTTAAGGAAGCTATCTTTGCGGGAGGGTTTTGGATCGCGCCGCTACCGGGGGGGGGGGGCCCTCGTCATACATGTCATTTAGCCCGGGTCCTTGAGCGACACCGATCCTTAAATGGTGGTCCAACAGTCCGATTTTAATCGATTACATTTTTTACTGGTAATTGTCGTTGGAACATAGATCCTCCCGAGAAACCGTCGAGTAACCGTAAACAATAACAACGACATTCCTGAGGGCAATCCAGGGGAAGTCGTCAAGCGGTTCGGCTGGGGCGGACGACCTAGGTTCGCGCGCCGACACGTGCCGTCCACTTCCCCAGGAATCTTAAGGTTGTTAGGCCCCCTTCTCATTTCTTCCCCTTCCTCAAGACCAACGAGATGGATGGGTAAGTAGAGACCTGATGAAACCGTTCCAGCAACAACGGAACGGCTGCTTATGTCGTGCATACTAACGCTCGCTTTTAGCCTTTCGGTCGGGATTCGACGCTCCGCGTTTGAGAAGCTTGCGGCATTGGCCGTCAACTCGCCAGCCCGCGATGATGGGTCTGACCTGGCCCGTCTTGCGAAACAGACTCGATTGGCCCGTCAGGGTGATGAATCTCTGAATGGGATCTTCAAGGAGCAGGCCCCGACATCCCGAGTTCCAATGGTACGTCACTGTTGGCTTCGTTAAACCAACCCCCTCCCCCCCCTCCGAAGTTCTGGACCCAGCCTAATACCTGTATCCTCTATGTAGGGAAATCGCGAACTCGATGTCCTTCTGGCCCTATGCAAAGCTGCCTCCGCCGTCAACGATCTAGAGCATGCCTCGCAATTGGCCGCGCAGCTATCCCGATATTTGCCTGAATGTCCGAGCCAGTTGTTTCGATCGTCGCCGTTCCTTCAGAGTGTGAAGCCTTCACCTTGGGAAACCCTTTCCCAAAGTCTGACTACCGCACTGCTATCACTCGCAACCAAATACTCGTCACTGCGCAAAATCGTTCTAGGGGCAGTCAACGGATATTTGCACAATTGCTCCGAGGCCATCAACGCAGCCACTCCGTTCCAATATTCCACATCTGAAGCAGGAGGACGAGGGGTCGTACAGGAATCAATTGCAATTCTCTCTATCGCAGTCTCTCTGGTTGGATTCCTCGAAGCTTCGGCGAAGTATACAGTCATTTGGACTGCAGATGAAAAGCTCCGGATGATCGATCATCTGCGCGCCATGCTCTCAGAGTCGTTTATGATTGCCGTGGAGACCGCTTCGTCCACCATCCGCAATGCCGGTGTTGCCGACAACACCTTGAAGGACTGGAGGAAGTATACTAGGCGTTACGCAGCTCATGGTCGCCCGCTCGGGGCCATGCTTGTTCAGGAGGGCTTCATGCGGTTTGTGAAGTCGAGCGCAGCATCTCTGATTGGATCCCAGAATTTGTCCGATGATCAATTGTTGGACGAGTACATGGCGGGCGTTGGAATTGCCAAGAGCAATGATGAGGCTGACATTGCTCTCCTCGAGCGGATTACCAACTTAATTAGCGAGGAGATCCGTTTGCTAGAGGACGGGTCGGATTATCTACAGGTCGGCTCTCCCTCACAACAGCGGCTTGCTTTCTCTGTGAAGGGAGAGGCACTGGTTGGTTTCCTGAATTGCGTTGTTTTGGGCGAAGATGCGGCCAACAATGATGTTCTTCTGTCGTGGCTTGAGGATACCTTGGGCGATCCTCAGCAGATGTCATCTAGCCAACTTGCCATCACGGCGCTGAAATGCTCGGCGATTCTCGCCCGGCTATCATCCGAAGGTGCATCGCTGGGAAGACGCTGCCTCTTGAAATTCCTCTCCCAAGGAGGTATCTCAAAGAGCTCAGTCATCATTGTGGCCTCTCGATGCCTTGCTCAAGTTCTCAGCATTCTTTCCGAAGATTCCGTAATTGCGACTTTGTATTCACTGGGTAACACACTGAGCCCTAGTTCTAATACCAACCAGATGCCCCAAGATCAACCTATGGGAGATTCCGCTGGAACAGCCAACAATCTTGCATCTTTTGCGCAGAATGGGAATGCTAGCCAACCCTCTTTTTCCGCTATTAGCGAAGAAGGAGCGACGACTCACAGGAATGTTATACATGCCATTGTGACCATTGCTACCAGTTGCAACGACGACAAGATCAGTGCCCTTGCACAATCTATGCTTCTACAAAAAGTCGGCAAAATCAATGTTGCGGTTGATGCCTACATAATACAAGAAACTGCCGTGCTCGCTTTGAGCAGCGGACAGGCCGAGTTTCAGTTACTGCTCAAATTCTATACCCGAGTCTACCTCGATGGAATCCGTAAAGGCATTGATGTCATCGCGGATGCAGTTCAGTGCGCAATGGCGTATATTTCGGTGACTTTGAGTCGCCACTCTCCCCTTCACCGTCTCTATCTCACCCATCTATTAGAGAGTATCGTCAACAAAGGCGATGTTCCGGACCTCGAGACAGAACGCCACAGAGAGGTTGTTTTTGCTCCTAGTGACATCACGCCTCTATTGAAGCCATTGGCACTGTTGGTTTCGTCCAAAAATAGTTCCGCAGATACGTCTTTGCCGTCGACGAGCTATGATGATGCCACCCTATCTTTATTCCGGGATGCCTGGTTCAACATAGCTATTCATGGAATCTCACTCACCTCAACTGCCGCCCAGAGACATCTCAAGGAACTTTGTTTGCTTGCCAGCCATTCTCCTCCTTTGGTGGCAGAAGATCGCATGGAGTCTTTGGAGAGCGACGTGGAGCTAAATACTGTTCTCAGAAGAGGCACAGGGCCCCAACGAGTCCTGGAACAAAAGCGAACACTGATTGCGGAACTTCCTGGTCGAGAATCGGATATAAAGCGTCTTGATTATCCTCGATCGGTCTTTCTCAACGCTGTGTTGCTGGTTGAAAGCCTTCGGGCGTCATCTGGGGACTGCACCAAAGTCCTCAGCTATTTCCGCGATCCTGCCGTCGCCGCCCCAGAGATGGTCATTTGCATGAATTCTGTTGCCGAAAAAGTTGTTACCTGCTATCTCTCCCGTACCCTTTCTGGAGACTATGATGAATTCTCAGCTCCATACTTGTCGAAGCAGCTGGCCGAGTTTCTAGTCGCGTGCTGCCATCGCATTGAGAGAATCCAAAACATCGCCGCTCAGTGCACCGACAAAATCATTCGTGAATGCCCATCTGCTCTCTGCGAAAAGCATTCTCTCTTTGCTTTGCTTGAAATCCTGACCGTTATGTGGTCCTCTTGTCTTCAAGGGGAACTGGACGAGTTTGAGTGGAAGCCTACTCTGGTTTCGCCTATGGGTATTGTGAAGGTTGATTTACCTGATAATTACGCTTTGAGAAAGGCGACTTTGAATCGGTTCCTCGAGCGAGCCAGAGTATGGGTAACGGCAGTTCTGAATGTCGCACCATTGGATATTAAAGGGTTACTCCAGGTAGGCGCCGAAATCAAAAACCTGATGAGTTGTTCGAACTAATTCAACTCCAGACCTACCTCTCCGAGTATGACGACGATGGTGGCTACGGACATATTGCAATGGGCCGTTCCTTTGCTCTGGAGATGGGCTCCCTCATTCCCCATAGTGACCCACGCCTTGGTAAGATCTTTCCTGCTATATGCAGCCGCATTTGTTCGAGCTCTCTCTTGTCTAACAAATCAATAGGTTCCATTGATAGCCATGAGAGTGGTGTCAATATTGCGTCCGACTTCATGGCCCTTTATACCACGCGTCAGAAGTACCGGCGACCAGACATCTCTTTGCTTGATACTCCCGATGGCCAGGTCATTGGAATTGATAGTTCGTGACCCTTGTAATTTGTGAATTTTTTTCTAATACCTAACGCATCCTGATCCAGGCCGGAATCCCGAAGCGGAGTTTTCACAAGAGTCTGCCACCAATCTAGAATACTCGCTTGCTCGCCTCTACGGGCGTAGCATGAAGGGAGACGAGATCCCTCTGGTTGAAGTGAGGGATGCTTTACGCCAAGCCGCCAGTTTAATTTGCAGCAGTAGTAAACCTCGACTCTCAGTTGTTCACTATCTTGTTGCATTGCCGTTCCAAATTTTCACTAAGGAAACCATCAAGCTGGGTGTTTCCTTATGGCTTGGTGTTATTCACGAGAACCCGGGCGTTGAACCGCGAATCCTCGCACATGTTGTTGAAGCCTGGGAAAGAAGCATCCAGCGTCGACAGGGATTATTTGACCCATCCTTTGAGTATCGTCTCCCTTGACCTTTTTTGTTTGTCAATTTCAAAGATGCTAACTGTTGTAGGTATCTGGATCCCTTGCAAACCAAGATTGAGCTGCTTCCCACAGATAAGGCATTGATGCTCCAAGGACAACAGAAGGCGCAGAATACACTCTCACCGCATTTGCGCATCCTTCAATTTTTTGAGAGTCACTTCAGTGCCATCCGCCTGGGAAATCTTCAGGACCAGCAGCTGTTCTGTCGTTTGATTAGCAGTACACTTGTGGCCCTTTCCAAGACTCGGGGACATCCATTGGCTAGAGAGATACATTTCCGAATAGTTCTCTTTGGTCTGAGAATCCTCAAACATCTCAGCCCGCGAAACGCGGCCGCGTCTTGGAAACTCAAAGATCAGATCCTGTCGGCTGCCTTGAGCTGGTTTAAACATACTCCGAGGTACTTGCCCTTCTAATACCCCAGAAAAGCCCGAGAAGAATGTGCTCTGATATCGTATATGTTAGGTGGTCCTTCGGAGGCAACCGATTGCAAATCAAGGCCGAGGACAAGATCCTTGGCGATGTGTTATCTACACTACGGACTGTCGCAGATATTGCCGCTCAGACCCAAGGGTCCTTCAAATCATTGCAGTCCAAACAAGACTTGGTCCAGATTCTGATTGAGAATGAGAGGTCTCGTCTTCGCGTTTGGCTATTCCCTTTGGAACCTGAGCGGAAGCACCACATGCCCTCGCTCGGTGGCAAGAACCCCACTGAGGTATGTTTGAACAAGGTTTCTGTCCCTTGGCCGTCGCATTTGACGTATTAATCTCAACTTCTATCGAATAGGGTATTGCATCTTTCCTGCGGCTGGCATGGGCAGAGAGCCCGGGCTTGGCCATTCAACTTGCTGCACGATTCCCATCTGCAAAGATGCAGACTGACATTCGATGGCTCATTTTGAACTTCCCTGAAAAGGCTCTTCAGGAGCCAAGCGCCTTGGATATCATGTTCGAATCATCTCTCCCTAGCGACGTCAATTTCCAGTTGAAGGTCGGTACTTAATCTCCCAACCCACTTCCCTCAATCTAACCATCTCCTAGTATCTGTTGTTCTGGGCCCCAGTCAACCCAACTGAAGCTCTTACATACTTTTTGCCGGCTTACGGGAATCACCCCTTTATACTGCAGTACGCCATGCGAGCTTTGGAGAGTCACTCCATCGATGTTAGGTTCTACTTTGTTCCACAACTGGTCCAGGCGCTCCGTTATGATGCTCTCGGTTATGTTGAGCGCTACATTCTGGAAACGGCGAAGTTATCCCAACTATTTGCTCACCAGGTAATTTGGAACATGAAAGCCAACTCTTACAAGGATGAGGATTCTCAAGTGGTTAGTGTCACCATCATTAAATCTAGTTATATCCATCACTGACCTTGCGATGCTATGTATCAGCCGGATCCGATCAAGCCGACCCTGGACCGCTTCGTCGAGACACTGATCTCCAGCTTCTCCAACGAAGAACGTGACTTCTACGAACGAGAATTTTCTTTCTTCAACGAGATCACTGGTGTTTCCGGCAAGCTTCGCCCATATATCAAGAGAAGCAAGCCCGAGAAGAAAGAGAAGATCGAAGAAGAGTTGCGTAAGATCAAGGTGGAGGTTGGAGTGTATCTTCCCAGCAACCCTGACGGCGTGGTCGTTGGCATTGATCGCAAATCGGGTAAACCCTTGCAGAGTCATGCGAAGGCACCGTACATGGCAACCTTTAGAATTCAGAAAACCAGACCTCGATCCGACGAGAAGATCGATTCCGCCAAACCTAAGGCTCGGGGATCTGATCAGCGCCAGCTAGTCGCACATTCGTCGGTGCCTGAGCTAGAGACTTATGAAGTTTGGCAATCGGCGATCTTCAAGGTCGGTGATGACTGTCGTCAGGACATGCTTGCTTTGCAGATGATCGCAGCCTTCCGAAGCATCTTCTCCAGTGTTGGGCTGGATGTCTGGGTTTTTCCCTATCGAGTCACTTCCACTGCACCTGGCTGTGGTGTAATCGATGTGCTGCCGAACTCCATTTCTCGTGATATGCTTGGCCGTGAAGCTGTGAACGGCTTATATGATTACTTTGTCTCTAAGTACGGCGGAGAGGATTCCATCCGGTTCCAGGAGGCGCGCACCAATTTTGTCAAGAGTATGGCGGCGTACTCGGTCATTTCCTATCTCCTCCAATTCAAGGATCGACACAATGGTAACATCATGGTTGATGATGCCGGGCATATTATTCACATTGACTTTGGATTCTGTTTCGACATCGCCCCCGGTGGCGTGCGATTCGAACGAGCTCCATTCAAGCTCACCTCTGAGATGGTTGCTGTGATGAGCGGCACACACAATCCTACACATCACCCGAACGGAACCTCGGGCATCAGTCTGCCGGGAACCAATTCCCACAACCCGACCACTACTCAACCCTACCGGTGGTTTGAATCGTTGGTGGTCAAGGCATTCCTGGCATCTCGCCCCTACTGCACCAAGCTGGCACACATTGTCTCTTTGATGCTCGATAGCGGCCTACCTTGCTTCAAACCCGAGACGCTCAAGAACTTCCGTGACCGGTTTGTGCTAGAGAAAACCGAGAGGGACGCTGCCGAATATATGCGAGATCTTGTGCGCAAGTCGTACATGAGTGTGTCCACGAAGGGATATGACCAGTTCCAATTGATGACCAATGGCATTCCCTACTAGTTCTTTGGGCCAGGACGGTCTGGTTTATTTTCTATCTGCTATTTACGCATTGTGCCATTCCGAGATACCAATCTCATTAATCTCATCTGAATTGTCATCTAAATTCTCTAAGCTCAAAATATTGCAAGACATGTATTTTGCCTCCGCATTACAACCGCTGGTTCAATTCAGGAGGCGGGCCAAAGAAGTAGTACAGCACATCCGTGGATCCGAGACTCCTCAAGTACCGCGTCAGCTGAGTAGCAACATTATGCGTATCGCCTCTGCGTTCTTTTCGAGACTTTCGAGATCGCCAGCTTAAGCTCCTAGTATAGTGGCGATCAAGCATGGTTCGCACCCGGCGCCTCCCTGGTTGCATCTGTTGACAGGCGAGGGTGACTGACGTCATGACTTTATTGTCACCGCGGCTTTCACTATGCCCCGCCTCATCAAAGGGCAAGTCGTTCTCGAGGGAGAAGAATAAGCTTCTAGACAGTAATATGGCTATCAAACGTTAGCTATTAGCAAAATATAAGTGATTGAAATACTAGTTTGATATTGAGTGAGCTTTCGGGTGGTGGCTGCGGGTAGAGCACATGAACCCGGGCACCCGTCACACCGGATGACGAGCCTTCGAGCCACCACCAACCTTAACCATGCCACCGGTGGCGAGCATGATCCATGACGGGCTCACTGTACTGTTAGGACAACTCGGGCTCGGAGGTGGGGGAGGCGCGGAAAGTGGCGGACCCGTTTATAACTCAGGATTTGTGCCTTGCGTGGACAATTTCCTTTCCAGTCGTTCCTTTCTAAGACCATTCGAATCAATCCAATCACGAAATATATGGTGTTGGTTCTTCAGTTGAGAACAAACAAGTCCACCTTTATCTTCCAGGATGAAGGTTCCATTCTTTAACAAGCAAGACGGCGAAGTGGCCCAGTCGCCGCCTCTGACCGACCTGTCTGGGGGATCTGCAGACCGTGAGAAGCGACGTAGTAGCTCGTTTGACGAGTCCCGTGTGCCATGGGTTACCTGGCGATCGCTGGTGCTCGGCGCCTTCGTGTCCATTGGCGGTATCATCTTTGGTTATGATACTGGCCAGATCTCCGGGTTTCTCGAGATGAATAACTATAAACAGCGGTATGGCCAATTGAAGGATGGCGAGTATGTTTTCAGCAACGTTCGCTCAGGACTGATTGTGTCTTTGGTGAGTGATGGTTACCGCCTCATCAAGTACTAGTCAGGAGATTTCTAACGGGATTGTTTGGGTATAGCTGTCAATTGGAACATTGATAGGCGCTCTCATAGCTGGACCACTAGCAGATTACGTTGGACGTAAATGGTCGATCTTTTTCTGGTGTATCATTCTACATGTTGGCCTCATCATTCAGATCTCCTCACCCGATCAAAAATGGTATCAGATGATGATGGGTCGATTTGTCACTGGATTCGGCGTGGGTGCTTGCTCACTGTTGGTTCCCATGTATCAAGGTGAAATTGCACCACGTCATATTCGAGGTGCTATGGTATGGTAAGTAGCAATGACACCGATGAAGATTCCGGGGGACAATAAAATAACAAGCGTTGGGGCCCAGTTCATACCAATTGTTTGTCACACTGGGCATCTTCGTCGCCTACTGTATCAATTTTGGCACGGAGCATATTCAAAATACTGCATCGTGGAGAATCCCGCTTGGAATAACCTTCCTCTGGGGTCTATTGCTAGGCCTGGGAATTTTACTATTCCCCGAGAGCCCTCGATATGACTACCGGCATGGACGAATTGACGAGGCGAAGAATACGATGGCCAAGCTATATGGTGTGCCTGAAAATCATCGTGCGATTGTACATGAGGTTCTCGAGATCCAAGAGCAGCTGGATGCAGAGAAGGGTGCCAAAGGTGGATGGCATGGCTGGATTGAGATGTTCCAAGCGCCACGGATGCCCTATCGGATTGTCTTGGGTATGACTCTGCAAGCATTGCAGCAACTGACCGGTGCCAACTACTTCTTCTACTATGTAAGCTGTCCCCAACACCCACTCATGAAAGCGAATCGAGCAAATGCTCTGGACCAGCAAAGAAAAACAGCTGCTGACGGTTCTCTCACTCTCAGGGAACGGTGATCTTTAACGGCGCCGGTATCAGTAACACGTATGTCACACAGATGATCCTGGGTGGTGTAAACTTCGGCACCACGTTCGGAGGCCTGTATATCATCGAACACTATGGCCGACGCAAGTCACTGATTGCAGGTGGCATTTGGATGTTCATCTGTTTCATGGTCTTTGCGTCAGTGGGGCACTTCTCGCTGGATGTTCAGAATCCACCCAACACCCCTGGAGCTGGCAAGGCGATGGTGGTGTTTGCCTGTCTTTTCATCACTGGGTTCGCCATGACTTGGGGCCCCATGGTGTGGGCCATTGTGGCCGAGCTGTACCCTTCACGGTATCGTGCCCGTGCAATGGCCCTTGCAACAGCGTCAAATTGGCTGTGGAACTTCCTGATCGGGTTCTTCACCCCGTTCATCACGGGCGACATCGATTTCGCATACGGATACGTGTTTGCGGGATGTCTGGTGATAGCTGTTCTGGTGGTATACTTCTTTGTCATCGAGGGCAAAGACAAGACTCTTGAGGAAATGGACATGATGTATGTGATGCGAGTGAAGCCCTGGCAGAGCAGCAAGTGGGAGACTCCGGCTCCCGAGAACCAATTGACGACGGCACAACTTATGGACCGGCGAGTGGCGGAGCAATATGACAAGGAGGAAGAGACGTCCGCCAACGACAAGCAAACGGAAGGCACACCTGGTCATTCGCATGAAGAAGATCCTGTGGGGGCCGGTCCTTCCACGGCTTAGCTGGCGGGTTAATGCATGTCAAGAGTGAGACAAGGGTAGTCAAAAGAGGGGAAAGGGGAGGATCGGCATAGAGGAGAGAAAGGGGGAGGGGGAAGAAAGAGGAGGCAAGAGGCAGAAGCGAGGAGCGAGAACAGCATGCAGATGTCTCAGATTCCAGGGACATGTGATATGACAGCGACCTTGACGAGATTGTATAAACTATATACTACCTCTACTTGTGAATACACATCAAAAATAAATTCATGATACGAAAGACTCGCTGTCGTTAGGCTTGTAAGACTTGTACACTGCGATTTAATGAGAAAATGGTGTCAATTTGGTAGTCATATAAAATAGCAAGAGAACTAGAGAATCGACCCCAGCACCAGGATGAGGAAGATGACCATCTAACAAAAGTAACAGAGAGGCGCAGATAAACCCATATGCATCGGAAACTCAAATGGCTCATGACAATCTCGGTCTTCCCCAGAGGACTATCCAATATGCATCATACCAACGTATGGGATCCCGTAATGATTCCATTTTTCAAATAATATGAAGAAGTCCTGACAGAAACTAACGCATGTCTGAAACGTGCATCGCATAGAAACTCCCGGCACTCTTGCATGTATGCCGGGAGAGGGAGAAAAGTAAGGAGGGGGGGAGGAATTGAAAGAAGAAAGTACCCTTCGGAGATGGTGAATATATCAAATCCTCCATTGCAAAGAAGCCTTTCTCTCTCTAGTCCATGAAGTCGCCGCGCAGGATCTTCTCTTGGAAGAAATCGGGCTTGTTCTGCTTTGGCTGCCTAGGGAGTTCCCGAACTGGTTGCTCCATCGAGGCGATCGACGCGGCCCGCTGGTGCCCGGACTGGCGGGCGGCCGCCTGGGCCGGGGAGATCGGCCCCCCGAGGGACGGGGCACGCTCGGCACGGTGACGGAGTGCCTCGGACCAGTTGAAGCCTTCGCCTGGACGGCGTGATACGTTAGATTTCTCTTCCTGAGGAGAAGCTGAGGGACTTGCAACAGAAGCTCGGGTAGGGCTGGAGACGGAGGCGGAGCCGCTGGCCGCGGAGGCGGTCCGGCGCGCCCCTGCCAGGGATGAACTAGGGGGTATCTACCATTGCCTATGCTTCCGGCCCGGGCCTCACGCAGAGCTTGGGCACCAAAGGAAACCCGCCGAGCAAAGGGTGAGTTGGGGGTCGCACTCGGCGAGCTCCCCTCGGGATCCTCTGTCACTGCCTCCTCGTTATTCGGGATGGATCCCCATGAGCTGGATAAGCTGCCCCGGCGGAATGCCTGGCTGCCGAAGGCTGCCGAGGTTTGGGTGGGCGAACCGCCGGAAAGACCCAGCGTGGTGATGGACAGACGTCGCTGCTGATTGGCATGGGCACTGGAGGCTGGATTCCCCGATGAACTGCTCTGTTTCGAGAAGAGATCGTTGAACGGGAGTCCAGAAGCGATGGAACCACGTCGAGGGCGAGTGGCCGAGTCCGGGACAGTGATGGGCGAAGTGGAGCGGTCGTTAGACATGATGAAGTTGGATATGGACGATGCTCTCGGGGAAATCGAAAGAGCAAGCGATACTATGTAAGTGTGGGCGAGGGAATGGACGGGAGAGAAATATAGTCTCGTGAGGCGGAATCAATGTACTGAGCAGGAGATGAGAAGGCAGATCTCGGACGGACTCGCCGCCCTTCTCATTAAATGGGAATCGAATGGAGGAAAGAGAATCGAGAGAAGTCAGTGTCAAAGGGAAGCAATAATTCAGTCGCTGCGAATCGAGAAGTAGGGGGATGAAAGGAGGGGATGAGGAGATGGGAAAGCAAGAAGAAGAAGAGGGAAGAGGGGGGGGGGGAGAAAGGGCCAGGGGGTCGAGGGAGATTTCGAGAGGAGCAGACGAGGTGGTGCCACCTTAGGCGAACGAAGCAAACGTAGCTCAGTAGCTTGACCAACTCACGGGGAGTAAGCTCGGGGCTAATATCTGGGGTAGCGCCACTCTAGACGGTGGGAAGGGGATGCAATGATCGAATCCGGTTGGCCAAGTGGAGAGTGGTGATGTTGATGATCGCATTGCGCCCGCTGAGTGGCTGCGGAGCCGGTTGACCGTGGGCCGTTTTGGGGTTAAGCAAAGAGGCCAAGTGGGGGGAGGGGGGGGGAAAGGTGATGACTGACGAATGGGTTACTGTACTCTTTTAGGGGTGGGAGATTTGATTGAAAGTGAGGTTGAAGCCGCAGTGATGAAGATGGACTTCGCTTTATATTTTTGACAAGATGGCTAGTGGAAGAGTTTGTGAGTTTGGGCAAGGTAAAGTTCGCGATCATGTGAGAAAGGAGCACGACAAGTCCCGATCACGGGCTGTCGAGTCGAGCATGCCTGCTAGGCTCCAAATGGGTGTTAGACCTTCAATATTCTTCCATGCCCATTTCAGCTGACTACAATAGGATTGCATAGGAGTGCTCTCGGCGGGGGAAATCTATAATATCAGACCCCTGAGGTCATCATGGCGTCGGTCGGAGATCCGGCCCTGCTCGACGCAACCGGTCTTTTGCGATCTATACCACCCCCAGCTCTCGTATACACTCCAAGCCACCCATTAAAAATTACAAAATGTAGACCGAAAGACCCAGGAGATCAATGAACTGGAGCAGATGAATAAAAGCAGCATAGAAAATGAGGGAAGTCGGGGAGAGGGCGGGGCGAAGAGAGACAACAACATCAAATCATAGAGAGGGTATACGAAGAACTTGGGCACAGAATGAAGGAGAAGTGATACATCGCCATACATCATTGAAAGAGAAGGAAGAGAGACACCATCAAAACGTTCAAAAAAAAAAAGAATTTGTTGCCTTGAAACTTGAAAGGGGTACATGGATGGAGCCAACGCGAACACCGTCGAAGACAAGGGCTCGATTGGTTTCCCCCAAGTGGTAAAGACGAAATAGTAAGAAAAGCTGAAATAGACGTACATCATATATTACTCGTTTCCCGTTAATATTTTTTGATCCTCTCTGATCCTCTCGACCAGATCTGGCAGGATCCCCGCCGTTCTTCTGTCATGAAGCCTTTTTTTTCTTCCCTGTTTCGATTCGTCTTCTCTCATGTCGGGTTCGGTTGATTACTGTGAACATCTCCATCCGGCTTGCGACAGAAACCCAAGCTCCGAAATACATCCCGTGAGACTTGAAGGGATGCAGAGAAGGGCACTAGAATCGTCCGAACCCTCCCTGACAGAAGCGGCGAAAGATGAATGAATGCGGACGGTGGCAAGGTGGCAAAATTTCCCGAACCCCCAGGAACTCAGGAACCGAACGCCCATCAATGAGAGAGAGAGATTGAACCCTCAAACTCCATGAAATCCGGGAAGACACTCAGCTAAGGTGAAACAGCGCAATCAGTTTTCGGCCAATCGCCGGCTCGATTTCGGTTCCGTCGCGGGCGATTTTCACTTCGCGGTTCGCATTCCACGGATTGCGCAGGCCTCGCGTGCGGTGAAAAGGCACTCGCTCCGTAGATAGCCATTCGATGCGGAAGGGCTTGCCGAAAGATTGACCCTCCAAGTCAGTCTCCTCAATGGCTCCGTCTGGGTCACTCTTTTCGCTATGGGCGTCGTTATCGTCATCCTCACCTTCCTCGGACTCGACCTCCCAGAATATGGTGCCCCGCGCCGAATCGTCTATGATCCGTCCTTTCGGGGCCGTGGGTGTGGCGGCGGTTGGTATCACTTCTAGTTCCTCCCCGCTCCCCACAAGAGGCTCTGGTCGAGGAGGCATCTCCAGGGCCAGCTCCTCGTCGTCGTTAATAGGGGATAGCATGCGAGCATATCCAAAGTACTCGCCCGATTTATTCGCTGAGAAGATCAGGTAAACATGATCGGTCGTCTGTTATAGGCGAAACGATAATGGTATTAGAGCATGATTGGGTACTCGTTTCTGGAAAAATGGGGGGAGGGGGAAGAGGAAGCAGATCATGGGGAATTCAACCCACACACTTACCTCGAATGCGTGGTTCAGATTGGTTTCGTTGTGCATTTGAGTGGCCCATATTCCACTTTGCTTGCTAAGCTTCAAGTCCTCCACGGTGAGACTTTTGACGATAAAGTAACGGTCCAAGGTACGAGCATCGTTTATTTGATCAACAACGGCGGTAGCCTCGGGTTTCACGGCAGCTTCATCGCTGGGAGGATCTATCATCTCACCCGGACGAGATCGGACTCCCATGCCAGACGCCACCATCCCGGTACCAGTGCTCGGGGCAGTGAAGCCCTTCCGGAGCCGACACACGAGACGAACACCCTGGAACCGGGAGTCGTGAAACCTTGTCAACGCAGCAGCACAAGCAGCAGCAGATTTGTAGTTCACAAACGCACAATTACTCTTCGAGATTAAAAAAACGCTTTCGATGTCGTTGGTTGCATCTTGGGAGAAGTGATCTTTGAGATCCATCACGTTTGCACCGGGCGGAAGATTGCCAACCCATAGGGCATGGCCTGATTGTTTCGGCTTACGTGGAGGGCCACGAGGGGCATTAGGGATATTTGAAGTTGAGAGTAGAGGAGCAGCGGCCGGATCTATGGACAGAAATTGTGATTTGTTAGTAGAAAGACCCTTCACTCACGATACAGCAACCCAAGAGCGAGACGAGGAAGGGAGTATTCTAACCGGAAGCTTGTAACGAATGTGGTGGTAGCTTCATCGGGTTTGAGCCATCCACAATGGTCTTAGATACATCATACTCTGCTTCCAGAACCCTGTTGTCGATTTCCTTTTTGGTGGCAGCCCCAAGATTCACGGCTGGGGGCCCATTAGGCCCCTGCCGGGTTTGTGAGCCAGCTTGTCGCACTTGACTGGTCGAAGGAGGTACACCATGTCCATATGATGCCGTGTAGCTCGGGTGTGGGTGCGGATGATGATAATACCCAGCCCCATATAACGGTGTCTGTCCATGACCCATGATCTGCATTGATTGAGGTGCCATAAATGGTTGGTAGTAGCTGCCAACCTGCTGAGACGCGCCCGGGTGCTGTATAGAATACGGCGGGTAATTCGAAGCATAGGATATTTCATAAGGAACTCCTCCACCTGCACTCTGTCCCGGGTAATGACTTATGGACTGAATCGGATAGACCAGTCCTTGACCATGGGCAGGTGGATATTGATGAACCATATTCTGATTTTCGTACGATTGAGGGTGGGAGGGATGATTTGGCAATGAGTAGGCCATGATGCCCATATTATTCATGGGAGAGGACGGTCCATATCGCGACTGTGGGGGAAGCCCGTGTTCGAGTGATGGGTTCCAGGCGCTGAATGGGAATGTTGACTGACAGTGGCAGTACCTATATTGTCAAGATATACCGTTAGTGGACACTGCTCTATCCGCCTAGATAACATCTGTTCAACTTTTCAAGGCATATGATAAGGCAAAGACTGACCGGACCCTGTTGGTTTTGTCGTCGAAACACTCGACTCTGATACTGGGACACTGTCCCTTGTCCCTCGGGATGAGTTTGTCTTGGCTGGAGGAACATCGCCCATGGGGTTCGGTCGTAGACAAAGTACGAATGGGTAACGAAAAGCGTCGAAGTAGTCACTTCCTGGCAAAAATTAGCCTAGTTCATCGATTGCTTGGATGGCATGTGGATCGAAACAAACCTATCGGGTTGAGATAGACAAGAGCGTGAGACCACTCGGGTCTTTACGGCTCCTCACGGAGATGGAAGTCGCAGACACAGATGGAGGAGGTAGTCACACGATCCGTCGTTATTTGGACGTTGGACGTACTGTATATATTCAAGCTCTGTTCCGAATGGATTCGTAAGCGATGATGCATGGAAAATAAGCACAATTAAAATAGAGACAGGGAAAAGTGTCAAGTCAATGGCGCAGACGTTAATTTGTCTCGCCCCAGGAGATGCACATGCGCAACAGACAACTATTTTTTTTCTTTCATGGAAAAAGGAAACGGAAATGATGGGGAGGAGCCAGTGAAAGTTGGCATAGGACTGAGGCTGAGGACAAAATATGGCTGAGAAGGCAAGAATTAGAAAGACCAACTGAGAGGAGACAGAGCGAAACTGTAGAAATTGAAGAGATTGCTCCATCGTTTGCATCTGTGCTCACATGGGGCACAGAGCAGTAGTCCATGGCGTGGTTCCCGAGATCAAAACCACATAGCGTGATCCCAGAGTGAACATCTCAAATGACAGCCGGATGAACATAAAAGAAGAAAATAGCGGGAGGAAGCATGGCAGCCATGGGGAAACACGACAGTTGGGGAGACGCGACGGTTGGGCCAGACCCTGGTGGGGGCCCATTCGGGGCAATTCTCCAAAGGGTGAGAGGACGAAGGGATTTAGGAGATTAGGGGGAGGCGCCACTAGCGTATGGAACGCTTCACCTGAGCCCAATTGAACGGGCTGGCAATGAGTGTTGACGACGCCCGGGAAAGCCAGCAAAGGTAGGGTTAGACAGACGGGGAACAAGGAAAATGGAAACAGATTCCGCAGATGGCATGATTGGATGGGCCACGAGACGTAGGGCTGGGGAGAAGATAACCGCACAGAATCGACACCGAAAGGACGAATAATTAAAAGCCAAAAAACTGGGGCCTTGGATGAAGCAAAGAAATAACAATAGCACATACCAAGTAGGACTGATGTTGAAGGCAAAGTGACTATAGTCTTGGGCGAGGCGACAGGAAAAGAGACGACCGGATTGACCCTGTGTCACCACAATCAAGTCAGCGAACTGATGAAAGGATACATGGATACCGGTGGGGGAAAGCAACACAGTATAGACCTGGTTGGGTAGGAGGAGCCTTAGGCACAGACAAGGGTGCGCCCCCAAGCAATGCCCAGAAGCAATGGGGAATCGACAGGGCTGCTGCAGAAACAAGGAAGACGAAGAGGCGCCGAACAGGGAGGGGAAAAGGAAGATCGGGGTTTGGCTTTACTTGGATCCAGGAGGGGAATTGAACTTGGGCTACTGCAGGCGGGTAACGCACACTCACCCTTTTTGGGATCTTCGAGCTAAAATAGAATCTCTGAAACGAGGTGCAATGGCCCGACGGGGCCTGGATTGTCCAGATATACCTCCGGGCGGACTGCTGGGGCGGCGATGGTGGTGGAGAGCTCGAGGCCCAGTGAGCGGAGAATCAGAAAATAAAACAAAAACAAAAGGATAAATAAAATAATATGTTGATATTCGATAAGGTCACTGGATCAGTTGGGAAAAGCGGAGGCGGTGGTCCTGCTGACGAACAAGCCACACGCCGTTTGTCTGCCTTAGTATCGAAGAACGAATAAATTTGGATCGATTCTAGATGCACGACAGTGGCGGACTCCAACCGCTGGCACATCCAAGGGAACAGAACAATCGGAACCACCGTGGACTCTGTGAGAGTGTGTGGCTGAAGAATGACACATGTACTCTTTGCATCAACAAATGGAACCTCACTCCAGGGGTGGTGTGGTTGGGTACGAGTGGCTACGGCCCAGACGACGGAGTGAACCGATGCGAGTAGGATCGGAACCAGGAAGGTTCGGGATGTATACTGTACCCTCGGTGGGTCCTTGTTTTTTTTTTTTTTTTTTTTTTTTGCTGCGTGTCACTCAAATGCGTGGGTGGATGTAGTGTCCGTGTGTTTGGTGCGTGCGTGCGCCAGTGGCATAGTGTGCGGACCAAGCTGCCCAGCGTGACTACCGCAACATAAGCTCCAGACTGCTCTGTGGCCTTTTTTTTCAGACCAACAGTGGGTGTGCCACCAAGGCCAATAATCTCGTCTCGGACTCCCGGGGTTGGGGGTCACGGTGCGAAAGTAGTGTTTGCCATCCAGTGGAGTTCCTCCCAAACCCGATGATTCAAAAGGGCAAAAATAACGAGAAATTTCTATGTGACAGAGCGGCTCCGGGGGAGGATGTTGAGACAGTACCGTGCCACACTGGAGGGGTTGAGGCTTAAGCAGTCCCACGGATCTGCTGGGGCAGACGCCCGTCAGTGGGAAGAACGGGGACTCAATGGAGTCCGGGATGGAACCAAGTCAAGCGGCCTCGGAAATCGGAAGCCAATCACGCCGGTATCAGTTGAATGATGAATTGATCCGGTTTGGGAATTCAGCGAGAGCCTGTGGCGATCAGGGAGCAAGTGGAATTTCTAAACCTCCTGGTTGGGGGATCTACTGGACTGCACTAAATGTTCGGATAAAGGGTTCACTAGGCCCCAGGGTAGGACCAAGAATGGCCGCAGTAAAGGTCAAAGTGTTGTGACAGGCAATTGGCCGGGTCGAGGCTTTGTATAAGAAATAGAAATAATTCGCGGGAGACGCAAATGGGCCTTCCCAAGACACTATGGCAGTGATTAGCGCTTCACATGCAGTTTAGTTTGCCACCATCACGGAAGTGGGTTCTGGCATTCAATTATAGACTCGATGAGGGAGGGGGATGGGAACAGAAGGTGGAGAATGTATACATTAGGAAAACAGTATGAAAATAGCAGAGAAAAAAAATAAGGGAATAGAAAAATAAGAGATTGATTACATGGTGTTTTACCTGAGGCGACACCATCTAGACATATCAGCGCCACCCAGGAATTTGTTTCCGGGAAATCTTACTATGGGACCAGTAAAATTGTCGGGCGGAGCCTATCACACGGGCAGAAGGAATTGACTTTTGCATCCGACGGGCGGCGGGTGGACACTCTCGGGTAAGTCCAACACTTTTGGATGGGGAAGAAATTGAGGGACAACTGGGTACACTGGGTATGCTGGGTACACTCCCACTAGGCTCGATCAGAGATCCCACCAATAGAGAACGTGTCCTTCAAATCCCGGACTTTGGCGCCAGGCTCGGGCTGCTACCCGTTTAGGAAGCCGTCGACGTGTGTGGTGTTGGAGACGATCGGAGGTTGGGGTTCCCTCGTTCTCGGCTGCTGGTTATCGAAGCAAGGCCGGTCTGCAGGGAGGTAAAAGAGAGGGAGAAAACCTGGCTACCCACCCCGGATTCTCTTGCAAACCATGCAGATGGCTCATCTGAAGGGCCGTTGTACAACATTTGGGTTCCCGGATATGACCCAAGGCACCAGGTCGATCATACCATACTGTCGGGTACGGCGAGAACCCGCTGCAGGTGCTGTATTTTGACCTCTGTCGTTCTTTTGTCATTGGGCAGCCCCTGTTGACGGCAGAAAGGAAGGCCCTCTTCCCTCATCCCCACTGGGCTAGGGGTTCCGGAGAAAAAGAAGCGAGGAGAATCGGCGACGCTCATTGGAATCCGCCAGACAGATTGTCGTTGGTCAAGCAGCTGGCTTATTAAGGTGCAGGCGAGGTGGTTGTTGGTGAGAGAAGTGGTCAGCTCCACCCGTCGGGATGAAATGCCAGCCAATCACGGGACCGACTCAGCAACGACGCAACAACATCCCATCATCTCCCATTCCAGCCTTTGGATTCCTCATGTCCATACAGCGGTCGACAGGCAACTTCAATTCTCGCTCTGGTCGAAGGGCAGTGACATGCATGGTTCTTTTTTTTTTTTGGCCACGAAGCCACTCTCATATATAGTTCATTATTCATCGGACAAGTGAATTCCAGTCAGATCCGCCGTCTTTTCTGAATCTATACGCCTGGCGCCTCTAGCAGGACTGTACATACGTACTATATAACCCGGTACAAATGGTACGATCCTCAGTCACGGAAAGATGGGACAGGGCTATGTTTCTCTACCACTAATCGGAGCTCTGAATAGCCCTCACATCTCGTGCAGAAGAGTGGAATCTCGTTAAATTCCTCTTCCCAGAAACTTCCCCGTAGTCAGGTGACTTGCCCTCTCCGAGGGGGTCTTAAGCGCAAATCCGAAGTCCTCGCAAGCATACAAATTCCATTCTCCACAGTACACAACAGAGCAAAACGCAGTGCTGAAGAGAAGAGTGTGGCTTCTCATATCTCGCATGTTGCCACCTATCATACTCCGCAAAGCGCTGGCCTCCCCTGTTGTACTTCGAGGCGCCTGCGAGGTGGTATCTGATATTCGAATCCCAACATTGGAGCTCTCCCGCACTCTACTCTAGTGACCCAGACCCAACCATGATGCCTGATTCGAACCAGCCGACCCCATTCATGGCTGCATCGAGTTGCATCGAATAGCGTATCCCCCAAGAGTGTACAGCTGCGGCGTTGGCGCCCAATGTTCCTGGCCCTTTCCTAAACTATACCGCCGTGACCTCAGTATCCTGGTGTATCCAACGCCACCGCGTATGACCGCAGCTACGAACAGCGGTCAATTGACCGAGAAACCTTCCAAATCAACAGCTCGGCTGATTCCCCCATCTTCGAGAACCATCGCTCCTGTCGCAAGGATCGGCGCCACCCGGACACCTCAGGCGCCACATGGAGCCCCGTGACGTCATGGCTTACTGTACATCGGCACCCCTCTCCACGTTCCTGGATCACCACCCAGCCATCGGCCGCTGTCCTCATCCAACCAACGTTCATCGCGCATGCTCGATACCTAAACTAAAGGATAGAAATGTGAGCTCCGAAATGAGCCCCTCCGGTTGTGCCCCATGTCGATGGTTCCTTGGCGCCACTGATGGTATTCTGATGCACCGCTCGGCGTCTGATATAGTAATGAGTTAAGCGGCGTCAGTCAGAAATCTGCCCTCGGGCCATTCACCCGTCTCCCGGGACCAAATTTAACGTACCCCTCCCTCATTTGAGCATCTCTATCGCCTGTGGGGAGGGGCAACGCCCTCTCGTCTCCGCTCCCCCGTTCTGGTGGTCTGCGTCTGAGTAGATCCCATTCCCAATCAGAGACGTTGAATGGAGAGGATCAGCCTAATGTCGACGTAGACTCCTGATGGGGCAATGGTACCATCCCCTATCCTGCGCCAAAGGGTGGGCACAGCCCCGTTCCTGGAATTAGACCGATATGCGATGGGCTCACAGTCTGATTGTACGGTGATCAGATGGCACCTGAACGGCTCACTGGTCGATCTCTGGACACGATAGTGGTGGCAGTGAGCCACAAAAGGCGGACCGGGTCAGATTAGTCTCTTCCAGACTAGGCATGAGCTGTTGCATGGATCGACAAGGCACCTGTTGGAAATGTGAAAATCCCTTTTCCGACAGTACTCTAGATACCTTCCATCTTTCACATTTGCCTCACCTTCTCCGGGAATTGATCCTCCGCAGCTGCTATGGGCTTCCGATCGTCTAACTTCTTATCATAGCCACCACCAGGATCCACAGCCTCCTCCAAGGAAGCCAGAAATGACCGTGGAACTGGCGCAAACCTGCTCCTGGTTTGAGGGTCCTTAGCCTTTACATTCCCAGCATGTCGCATGTCTCGGCCACTTTTGCATGCCACGGCCCCACGCCTTACTCTCTTTATTGCGTAGGTGGATATCATGGACTTCAGTAATAAAGTCGGTGAAGATCACAACAGGAAGATCAACCATTGCCACTGTTAGGCAACAAAATACCCCTCTGATCATTCAATGTTTTCGGTAAGCCCGGAGAGCCCACTGAAGTGGCTGGCTATCACCAGGACACTTGAAAGGCTTGCCAAATTGAGTACTTCCATCGGCCAACATGTGAAAATATACGTTGAGTTGGGTTCCAATACCGAATAATTCATGATGGAAAACAGAGCAGATACCTCCGGACCGGCATCTCTTTTATGAAAAACAGACCTGAATTCTCCCCCATTAGGCCAAGCTAACGACCCTGCGATATGGTACTGTCTAGACGTAGAACTACGCAGAAGCTGAGTTTCTTGTATGCTGCGAATACTTCCTCCCTTCTGATAGCAGTATTAATTCCCGAGAAAAAGACCTAAATGAACCTCAATACACCCATAACCCTGCCAGGCTACGTGCCCTACTTGGGATAAAAACGGGTATCAATCTGACCCAGTTAGGAAAACCTAGAGAAATTCATGCTAGGTATTGGTACAAGAGATGGGTTAGGTCCCAAACCAATGGTCTCGTCCGAGGGCAGAAAGTAAACGGAAAAAAAATGGACAGAAGGGGGGGATGGTGTGGGGGATTGGAGAGAATGGCAGAACAAATGCACTTGTGAGGCATCATGCCTCACCAAGGTGGATGAAACGCAAGAAAGGCTCAAGTTTGACGCCTGCAGAGGTCAAGGGAATAGCGAAGTATTCAGGTTCAGACAACCAAAGGGCACCAGAAGAGAAGTAAAGCCAAAAAGCGAGATCAAAAAATAAGATGAAATGGAGGACAAGGGGAATAAAAAGGAGGGGGAAGAAAATCAGCCGCCGAAGATCTCAATAACACGTCTCAACGGACCTAAAGCCATACACAGGTGAAAAGTCATCAGAGGTAGAATGTTCATATGAATCTCATTAAGAAGGGATATAATTAGGATTAGACAGAGGTAGAGCAGGGTAGCCGTACTGCTACCCTGCTGTACCGGATGACGGAGGAAGATTATCGGTCGATTCCAAGGGAGGCCACCTTGCCTGCGAATCGAGCACCGGCGCTGCCCCGTTTGGACAACTTCTCCTTCTCCTTAGAATCCAAAGAGCTCGCGGCTTGGGACGAGGCGGGATCTTTGCCCGCCGCACGGATGGTGGGGAGAGAACCAAGGGTGTCACTGGCACTCGACTTCCCCGAGAGGGGCCCCGGGGCCGGAGCGCTAAATGCAGATGATCGGGTGGTGCGTTGGCTGAGATACAGCTGAGCAGCCGGTGAGAGGGGGATGGAGGGTGGTTGTGGGGGGATCTCCGTGCCGTTCTGAACCAGCAGCTCGGCGATGGGGAAAGGAATCGCCTTCACGTTGGAGCGGGCGGAAAGAGTTGTAGGTGTGGACCCAGGCGATGCAGGGTCGGCGGCCGCGAGGGCCAGGAACACCGCGTGGGTGTTGCGGGAACGGTCCGGGACGTTCACGTTGGCACGTAGGGCAATGCCGTAAAGCACACCTTGGATATCATTCTTTTTGATGGATGCCAGGAGGGTCTCGTCTGGGGTTGCAAAACGCGAGCGTGGGGATGGCAGGCCCTCGACATATGTGTGGTCGACATACTTGGCCGTAATAAACTTCAACCGCTGCTCTCGTGTGGAGCTGGCAATTGGCTTGACCGACTGGTCCAATGTTGCCTCCCAGATCATGTTACTGACACGGTTGCCGATCTGCAAAAGAATCTCGACGATGTCGTTTGAGAACGAATGGACATCCAGTGTGAGTGAGCGAATCTTGGAGATATGTGTTCCCAACGAGCGGTGGATGCCGCTGCACTCAATACACAGCACGATGCCCAAATTGATAGAAACCCATTCGACCTTGGAAGAGGATCCACAATCGGCACACCAATTATTGCCCTCATCAGCATCGCGTACCACCTGAAGCAAACGGGACGGGTTCTCTTCATAGCCGTTACTGTCACTGCGGACATAGCTTGGTCGGGCCCCAACAGTCGTTCGGCGATTGACACCACTGCTGCTGGAGCTGCTTGAATAAGAGTGATGGCCAGAGACCGATGAGCTCTTCCCGGTCAACACCGACCCGATGTCTCGCCCACTAGAGGACTCGTTCTTAGACGCAGAGGGAGGCGCAGGAGGCATGCCTCGACCTTCCACTGCGCTCTGAAGAGCATTGTTGATAGATCGAATCCAGGTCGCCATGTCTTCCTCGGAAGTGGCTTGGTAAATACGCTTGTACTGGGGGGTGATGACTTCGAAACAGAACCGACGCTCCGCATTTCTGGCTTCCCGAACCGACGCCATTCGAAGGTCAATCGGTTCCATATGGAGATCCAGCTTTTGTTTCCAATTACTATATTCCGAAAGCTTTCCTTGGTCAAGGACGATCCAAAACCTGCAACCCAACTCATGTCAGTACCGGGAAAAATAGTCGTGACAGGGAAATAAATGTGATTGGACTTACTTGTGCCATGCTTGCTTGTTGATTCCTTTTGGATCAATGTGGGAACCTGGACGAGACAAAGCCCATAAAAGACCTTCTTTTCGTTGCTGGCTTGCAGTCCGATCGGACCCAGTGGTGTCTCGCTCCTCGAGGTCTCGAATACCCTTGAAGCGGTTTTGACTCGGGGTAGTGGAAGAGCTGGCCCCAGCGGTGGGCGCAGTCGATCCGGTAGATGATGCAACATACCCTGCGTTTGCCTGAGAAGAAACCGAAGAACTGTTGCTGATCACACCACGAAGTTGCGAGCCTGTACTATCGGCCCGGCCCAATTCCGTTTCATTGGCGGTGCCCCCGTTGGGAGCCACGCTGGGTGTAGATGCAACACTCGGGGCGCCAGCCACGATATCGGGCTCCAAGTACGGGTTGCTATTCTTTTCCAGAGCCCGGCGCTTCTCTTCGCGCTCAGTCCTCTTAAACTGGAACTCCTTGTCGGCTTGGGTCACTTCATGGACAAGGGCATTTAGCTGGGGCACCATCTCCTCCACCTTTCTAGCAGTCGACAAGAATCCCTTCGCTTGGAATTCTGCAAACTTGGTCAGATGAGATAGAACTTCTTGTTCTTTGCGACCACCATGAAGGTCCTGCATGAAGGATGAATAATCGAAGCGCTTGAGCTCAAAGTTTCGGCGTTTGGCTTGGTATTTAGAATCGCTCTCCGCACGCTTCTTCTCCTTCAACGAGTCTTGCCGCTGGCCTAAATATCGACTGACATAGGCGTAATAATCACGACTTTCTTCGTCGAAATCCTTCTTCTTGGCTTCCGCCTGCTTGATGTCATTGTGGTAGAGTCTCGTGAGGGGATCTATCACAAGCCTCTGCAGCTGGACCGTGTTGAGCTGCTCATAGCTTTGGATCTGCCGGGCAGTCTTCTCAAAGTAGTGATCCAGCGCGGGTTGAATTGCATTGGCATTGGAGGTGGATGCATCGTTCAACGACCCTAGGAAGGCCTCCATGGCTTCGTTGCAAGCCACTTGTGCTTGCTGGGCGGCCTCGGCCTTTTTGAGGACCTTTTTAATTTTTGAACGCATGTTGCCGGTCTTTTGTTCCAGTGCCTTCATTGTAGCACGGAATAGCGGGCCATCTTCCACCACGCTCATATCGTCTCCTGGTCGAGAGTGCGGTAGGTCAACCTTCACGGGCGGTGGGGGAGGGGGTGCGCTCGGGGGAGGGGGCAACCCATCTGCCGATTCCGGCGGGGTGGTTGTAGGGAGGTTCGGGTTGGAGACACCATCGCTGTCGCTAAAGTGGGAGATGGCCGACTGGGTGGAGGGAACGCGACTACGAGGGGGAGGGACAGGTAACTCGAGATTGGGCGAAGACATTTGCGGGCTGGGCAGCAAACGGACAGTGCTTTGGACCCAGAAGGAAAAATGGGCAAGGGTATTCAAGCGATTAGTTTTCTGGTCATAATCCAAGAGGCTGCAGCTGTTCCGCCAGCCGCCACCTTTGTCTTCGGTTGCTTTGGGGGGCTTCCATGTCCACGACCAGTCGAAGGACACCGAAGGCGAGCCGTCGGTCGAGAAATTTCCGATAAGCTGGACGTTGGAATTATTTTGCAAATTCGGGTTGGCGTGGAATTCTCGTGTGATAAGAGTATCGAGCTCCTTCGAGTTGGACGCGTGGGCGAACGTAAGCCCGGTGAGGACGGTGTCGGCGACCTCGGGCAGCGATGTCGCAACGCCATTGACAGTGGACCCAGCAACATTGCCGGTCGGGGTTTGGCGAAGGATGAAGGTAAAATTGAAGATCAGCTCGTCGTCATTCGACAGGCGAAGCAAGAACGTCGGCACTGACGCGGTGGAAGGGACGTCGGGATCCTGCGTTGTTGATTCTCCACGGTTAGTCCGCTGACCACGGCAGCTTGGGGGAGAGGTTCGGTGGGACAGGGTGACCCATGGGCGATTTGGGGTGATACCTGAATATATCCGATCGGCGTCTCGTCGTTTGCATCTCGTTTCGCGATGTACCGAGCGGCCGGGAACGCGTTGGGCGAGAGGGTCAGCAGGCGGCGCCGGGAGTTGCTTATGGTGACAGATGCGATGGAGACTGGAGCGCTATCAGTGTCCGACACAGATGGGGTTAGAGGCAGCGGGGACCTACAGCGATTCTGGTCCTTGAGAAACAAGTTCCCTGCATCGTCGAGACGACTGGCGACATTACCCATGATGGAGGAACAGGCACCAAAGAAATCAGGTCACGGCGCGAGAAGGAGTCAAGGCAAGCACCGAGCCAATCGGCCATCGACGGGGTGCGCAGCAGTCGGATGGCCTGTGGAAGGAAGTTGGCGAACGAGCTGAGGAATCCGTCATTCGTGAGTGAAAAGCTGAGCCTGAGTTTTGAGAGGGGGAGTGGAGTCGAGAAGCTTGGGATCGTGGATGTGAAGGAGGGGGTGGATTCTGGCTCGGGGGAACAGTGGAGTGCTGCGCCCCCTCCGAAGATCGTGATTTTGCCGGATCGGATCTGATTCAGGATCTCTTGAGCATCTGGAGCTTCTAATCTCTCTCTTCTTCCTCTTTTCTTTTCTCTTTCTATCTTCCCCTCCCTCCTTCCTTCTCTTTCTCTCTCTCTCTTTTGGGTCTCGTCCGATTTTCTCGGCCCTGCTTTGTACGAGAGAGGGGGTTTCCACGGCCGCTTTGTTTCAGCCTCCGACAGCGACGTCCCTCGACAAGCGCCCAACCAAATACCGCCTTCAAAAAAGTACAAGCGCATGGAGAAAGCCGCCTCGATAAGAATTCATTCAGACAAGACCGAAAAGACATGACATTTGTATCCCAAACTTCGGGATCCAGGCAGTGGGATTAATAGAACTATAGAAACGCGGTATCGAGTCTACTATGCAATCCTCCCTTCCCGAGCAACCGAACACGGTAATCAGATCGTAAAACAGCATTTCGGGACCATGAAACATGAAACGTGGACTTCGTGAAACCCTCAGTACCGGACCGAGGGGGCATTAGATAGACGGGGAATCACAGGATCAAACAACACATCAGAGCGTAACAGAAACCAACAGGCCAAAAGAGAATAGCCGGAATCGCGAAATATTTATAGGAGACCGAGATATGAGAACAGAAAGAGCAAACAAGGCAAACCCCACAGATGAAGGTCATACTTGGAGCGCCATCTAGGTGGTTGGGTTGGCCGCTGAAGGCACCGCCGGCGCTTGACGAATCTCCCCCGTCGAGGAGGCTCGTTCGCGCCCGACGATATAGCGATGCTTCGGCCGATCTGCATGTCCATCGGCTTCGACCCATTTCAGCATCTGGCCCTTCATATCGCGCATCTCGTGCACCCGCCGGGACAGATCTCCCCGTTGCTTGGAGGGTTCCCCACTTCGCTGGTTGAGTTCTTCCTCATCCGAACTCGAGATGGAGAATGAGGACACGCTGCTCTGCTGGAGAAAGGTGATGAGATGGCCCTGTTCCTTCTTGAACTCGCGTTGCTCCGCTTTCATCTGCCCCATGCGCTCGGCATCCCCGGTGCAATCCAGCGTAGAGATATGGAGGCCCGGCAAGTTGGAGATTAGGAATGCCTTCAGGACAGGGAGCTTTTTGTTATTGGGCCGATACGTTCCACTGTCGTTGTCGATAAAGAGCTCGTAGTCAGTCGGCTCGGTGGAGGGCTCCGTCGACACCTCCTTCCTCCTTTCATCCTCTTCATCCTCCTCGACGGGGAAGTCGGTGGACGGGCGAGAGATAGGCGACTGAGAGCGCGAGCGGTGTCGATGGTGGTGCCGGCGACGGCGCACGAAGAATTCACCCGAGTACGCAATGTAGCTAGACACATCGCTGTGCATTGTGTGCTTGCTCAGGAGGTCGATCCCAAATTCCTTACCCGTTTCTGTAAACCGAAGCTGACCATCCAGCATCAACACATAAGTGAAGATCCGACCTCCCTGGCCATAATGAGTGAATTCCAGGAATTTCTGCGTAAATTCCCGGCAGGGCTCGGGGAACACGCCATGCAGAGTCGAGCGGTCGAAGTTATAGATCCGCTGATGTTGATGGTGAAGGGCTTTGTGAAGGATTCGGCCTCTCAAACTTTGTGCTTGGAACATACCCGCAACGAACGGTTTGAATTCCACATAACGATGGTAGAGATCGGAGGGAACGGGCCCTCGGAGTTGCATCTGAATCGCTTGGAAACTGGTCAAGTTAGCATACTCTTACCGCCAGAAATGCCCTAGATAAGCCCATCTCCTTGATCTCCCTCTCTCTCCGGATAACAGATAATAAATCATTAAACATAGAAATGGAAGAAATGGAAGGATGCAGCTATACACGCCAGGAAATAGTGGAAGGGCTTACTTGTATCGGCTGATGGCCTTCCCACTACCATCCTGGACCTGAACCTGATCTTTTGTTCCGGTCAGTCGCCCGATCAACGGAGAGAAGTGTTTGAACCAGTGATTTGGACCGAGGGTATACATCTGGCCCCCATCAGTGCCGGGGGTTCGGCCCAAGCACTCGGCGCTTATGGTGATAAACGACTCCTTATGATGACCGGTCGCGAAGGCGGAGACATTGGTAAAGACATAGACCCGCTTGCTGCCGAAGCGCTTCTTCACCTTAAACGATTGCTCTTTGATGCCCGGCCAATCCTCCGACATTGACGGTACATCCAGAAAGGCGATGCCCAGCTTATCATCATGGTCGGCGGGGTCCTCATCATACACGTAGGCCTTGAGGTGAAAGCCCGAGGCAGGGACATTGGCGACAATCCATTCGCAATTCCACACGGGGTTCATGTCTTTGCGCACAGTGGGAGTCCGGAAGGTGATATCGGGATCCTGTTTATGACGCCGAGGGAGGTTGACGTCCAAATGCGCGAAAACATACGGATCCGAAGAAAAACTGCCAAAATCCGCGACGGGCAAGTCTTTGCCCCGGTGAAAAGTGAACTTGATGGTGTATCCGGGCGGCGCAGGGGGAATCGGGGTGGCATCGAACCCTCCGGCAGGTTGCGCACCGTCTTTCATGCTGAGTCGGTGCTGCAGTTTGTCGACCTTTTCCACCAGCTTGGGGCCATACTGGTCAACCTTCTGGGTGGCCATGGCTACTGATGGTTCGTAGGCGGGAGGGGGGGTTTGTGGGGGGGGGAAGGGCAGCGATCAGGTTATGAGTAATGATAAATGGAATAAATTCGAGGACGGAGGCGGGGGAGCATAATAATAATCCGATAAGAATGCGATAACCGGGCCCGAGACCACGAGGACCACGAGCACCACAAGAACCACGCGAGGGGAGGTGACGAGAGGTTTGCGAGTGAAAGGGTTTGGTGGGGACAGTTGAGGCAAGCCAAGCTTTTCAGCCTTACTGGGCTGCGCAGGCAACAGCGTTTGACCGATGCAAGCCAAAGGAAGAGAACCCGATACTATAATGTTGCCAAGTTCACAAGGGGATCTGGGCGATGACCTCATGTGGCCGTCGTTCCTGGTTCCCCCACCACACGTTGCAATCATTCAATCCCGCCCCGACGCTAGGACACCGGAAACACTCGAGGACCTGCAATGGGTCTCTAATGACATGGGGCAGACTATAGCTCAGTATGGAGACGGATGATGAAATGAAAGGGAACCAGAGAGATTGGGCTAACTGTCGCCTAAAATACACACAGCGGAAAATATACGAGCTTCAGAAGAAATGGACTGAATCAAAAGCCGATCAACTGTATCAACACCGGGAAATACCCTCTGGAGGAATGTGATAAAAAGAAACAAAAACAGAGAGAGCAAGGTTCGTGGACTTCATAAGGTTGCGCAGAAAACAGAAGAGGCCGCCTATGAAGAAGGGAATGTTCTAGTACCGTCGGGTTTACATCGAGATCATCGTGAGACACGCAAGCGATCAAACCAATCCAAGGGAATGAGATATGGGTGGCCAGTCAAGACCGGTTACGATCCCCGGAACAGGAACTGCATATCCTCGGGGGTCAGCTTCTCCAGAGCCTTGTCTTGGTCCTTGTTAATAGTGCCGCGGATCAGATTGGCTTTCTTCTCTTGAAGCTGGACGATCCGAGACTCAACAGAATCTTCGATGGTAAGACGGGTGATCACACAGGGCCGCTGCTGGCCAATGCGATGGCTGCGATCTGCACTCTGCCATTCCGCTGCGGGGTTCCACCATCTGCAGTTTGGAAAAGTCAGTAAACGGATGGGATGAGACAATCGATATACAGAGGGCAAAAGACCCCAGAAACCCGCGAAAAAAAGGCAAACAAGTTCCCACTTACGGATCGATAATAAAGACTCGAGAGGCTTCCGTCAGATTGAGTGCCACTCCACCGGCTTTCAAGGACACCAAAAACACCTCCACGTCCGCATTGTTCATGAAGTGTTCAATGGATTTCTGTCGCTGAGCGGGTGTCATCGTTCCGTCCAGCATAACCGTGTTGAAACCAGCATGCCGAAGACGCCACTCCACCAACTGCAACATCGAAGTAAATTGGGAAAAGATGATCGATTTGGGTGTGTGGGTCTTGCTGCGTTGCTGGTACAGTTCGTAGAGAAGGGTTTCAATCTTCGTTGAGGAAGTCCAATCCTCCATGAGGATGCGGTTGATGATCGAGTTTTTCTTCACAGACTCTTCCGATTGCTCGATGGTCGGCTGCTCCAGGTCGATCGACAGCGGAATGTGGCACTGCGGGCAGTCCACCGTGGTTTCATCCTCAAATGACTGAATATAGTCCTTGGCACACTTCCGACAGAACTCGTGCCGGCAGCGGGACCGAATAGCATCTTCGGCAGGTTCGTCGCAAACGCGGCAGACAAGAATATTGAAGCCAGGCTGCACATGCTTCTTCAAAATTAGATCGGGGTGGTTCGCCACTTGCCGCATCTGCATGATCAACCCGAAGATGTTGGCATAATTATTCAACATGACACCTCGGCTGACATAGGTATCAAACTGGCGTGTCGAGTTGGTCATGATACTGCGAGAGAAATCATGCTCAATCTCCCCAAAGAACTCATTGTGAATGGTGATGCGTTTCGGCGGAAGTTCCATAGAAGATGTGTGTTCTTCCTTCATTCGTCGAAGCATGATATGATCTGTAATCAAACGAAGCTTGGCAAGGCCTTCTTTGCGTTCTTGTTGAGTTCTACCCTCCGTGATCGGGTTGAGAATTTCCTTGTTGAAGATCGAAATGTGGTTGAAGCCAGTATGGCCACAGCAGGTGCAGCGGCCATGCTTGTCCGAAGTCCATTGAAGCTGTTCACAGTCACACTGCTTGCAGAAATAGCAGGCAAATGGGCGAACTTGCAGAAATCGCAAAAGAGAGAAGAATTCACCAATCCGATTTTGGACAGGGGTGCCAGACAGACACCACTTGTAGGACGCTTTCAAGGCAAAACAAGCCTTGGCTACACCCGTAGTACGTTGCTAGACAGGTCAGCGTCATATAACCCACTGAGAGCTTCAGAGATAAAACCAAGAACCCTCCGCATACCTTAATGCTATGTGCTTCATCGAGAATCAGTCGATGGTAGTCAATTGAATGAATCACACCTTCACAAAGTTAGCAACTATTGGTCAACTGAAATAGATATCAACAGAAAGCTCACTGTCTTCTTTCACGGTTCCGCCGCTACGACTCCAGCCTTTCTCCTGCTTCCGGTGAATTGACTCCAAGCTCGAGTCTATATGCCCAATTAGCTCCATATCCAGGACAAGGACACAGCGGTGCAAAAGACATACATGAGATCATGATCACATCGTACTTCCGGAGATCCGCCGGTGTCAGCTTTTTAACTTTCGAGTCTGAATTGTGATAAACAAGAACTTTCAATTTCCCATTGGTGTATTCCTGTTAATTTATATGGTCAGTACCTTGGATGATAGGAAAAAAAAACGAGTAGCGGAATCCAACCTTGATTTCAGATACCCATTGCATCAGAGCAACAGGCGGTACGAGAACCAGTGTTGGTTCGGGCTGAGGAAAGTCAGACATTATGAGGGAAACAGCCTGGATTGTCTTTCCCATTCCCATTTCATCGCCAAGAAGACCGCCTCGATATTCAGTCTTCTCTTGTTCCATCATCCAACTCAAACCTTCCAATTGAAAGGGTTTTAGTTTACGGGTGATTGAATCGGGTTGCCTGGCCGCCTTGGGGGTGATGATTGGTGTCGCCTTCAGAGTCTCCCACATGGAAGTGATGGTTGGATGCTTCTTCTCCAGCTTTTTTCGGTCCGCTTGCATCTAATGAATGGTTAGCCAAAGCCTGGGGATAGAAGTTATTAGAACACAGAAGTCTTACACGGCGAGCTTTGCGTTGTTCATCCCATGTCGGCGGTAAGTCTTCGTGCTCATGATGAGCCGCCTGGTCTTGTTCATACATCTCTATGAAGTGATCGTAATCTGCCGGATTCAATTGCTCAGCAGCTCCTCGGTATCTACGGTATGCATTCCCTGGAGCGTCAGAATCGTCATCTGAATCATACATATCCTCCAAATCCGAAAGAGCTGAGGAAAGATAGGTCTCGTCGGTCTCGCTTCCTGACCAGTCCTCGAGGAGGGCGTTCGTGAGAATCTCGCGCGATAAACGAGAACCTGATCGCTGGGTTTTGGGTTTCTTGGAAACAGGTTGCTCGTACTCCTCCATCTGAAGGGCATGAGCTAGGGCTGCATCAGTGGCTTCGCGGTCCGCTTCATCCGTAGAAATGGCCGCAGCAGATCTCTTTGTTCCCCGTAGAGACTTTCTTCGGGGCTGGTTGTTCAAATGGAGATTCTGAGCACGCGCCGAGGCATTGACTCGTGTCCGAGGGAGTTTAATGTCGGACTCCGCGGCAGCTTCGACACTGGTTGCCGGTGTATTGCAGCCCGTGGTTCCTTCGGTAGATTGGATGCCCAGAGAGCGACTCGGGGAGTCGCTTGATGATCCATCTTCCTTTAACGGTATCACGACTGCTAGTTTTCCTGACGCAGTGCTCTTGCCTTCCGCGAGAGCAAGCTTATTGGTATCCAGGTCGTCTTCACCTTCGGAATCTTGGATGACGGGGACGCCCCGTGTTCTGGAATTCGTCGACCCACTCTTTGGCAAGGATCTGGCGCGACGGAGGGGTGAAGAATCTCGCAGTGACATGCCACTGAATGATGCGTCATCTTCGGAATCGGGAACGACAGAGCGGCGAATTCTCTGTGATCTCCTCATTGTGGCAGCAGGCGAGTGTAGAAGGCTATGGAGAGCGTCTCCACGGCGGGTATCGAGGCAACTGGGTAGAAGGGAGAACGGTCAAATGAGGATCTATAACATCCAGTTAGATTGCTATCTGCTATAATGTACGGGTTGAAGGCGCAATGCAAAAGAGGTAGAGATCACACGGTGCCGGAATTGTATGCGGCTCACCTGGATAGAAAGCCGTGCAGTGTTGACGCGCCCGAATGCAAAAGCCAAGGATCAGAAAGAACCAAGATTATTTATGCAACGAAAAAATCCAGGCGTGTCATTGACATTGCAAAGAAGTGTAGAGAGAATGGAAGGGAGAGCGTAAGGGAAAGGGGGAGGGGAACGAGAAATCGGGAAAAGTGATCAATCGAGGTGCCTGAACCAGGAAAACTCTTCAATCGGTCGACCCCGTGCCGACTTTTGCCATCCCCAATATCTGGGTCTTTTGCCTCATTCCACTCTCCCTACGTGCGCAAGACCGGATTCGTGTGGTGGAAACGAGGATTTGCGAGATCGTGAGATCGAGATCGCCCAATAGGCTAACGCACTTATCGCTCCTGTCACGTCGCTGATAAGAGCCTCACCGCGTTAAGTGCAACGCGAAACTGCCACGAAACCTGTGACCTTGGGCTGCGGCGGCGAAACACCCACTCTCCCAATCCATCGGGATCTCTCTTGCGCGTTGATTGCCATGTAAGTCTCGGCCGCGACTCTATCACCCAAAAATGGATGCTGACATGTCGAAGGGCTGGACGGAGGCAGGCAGGAAATATTCGGGGCCCGTATGGTTTCTCTTATTGAGCCTCCTGGACACAGATAACTAACTCACCATTCCGACTAGACGCTCCGCCCTCACAGATTTCCTTGCTGTATGTGCACACAAGAGACTCTCTTTCTGCTTTCAATAGTATTGTCCTGCTCATACTTCCTTTTTCTCTCTTCTCTCTAGTCAAACAATATCTCCGCCGCTCAAATTCGCGATGACTATGACCGTCGAGTCGCGGAGGCCACACGTCAGGTTACCGAGGAGGAAGAGGCTGCCGCCCTAGATCGAGAGGAGCCGGAATATGAACTTGAAACCGAGCCCGAGCCCGAGCCCGATTCGCCGGAAGAGAAGACAAAGAAGCGCAAGCGACAACAGGCCATTGAAAGGATCAAGAAGAGCAAGGAGTTTGCCCGTCGGAAGGCTCGACGAACTGGGGAACCCGATGATGATGATGATGAATTGGCTAATGAAATGATGAATGAGAAACAGCGACCTCTCCCAGGTCAGCTGGAGAATTGTGAAATCTGTGGAAAACGCTTCACTGTGACGGCCTACAGCAAAACGGGACCCAGTGGCGGTCTTCTCTGCGCTGACTGCTCGAAGAAACATATCGATGGGGATAAGAAGACGCCAGCTAAAAAGCGCAACCCTGGAATTAAACGTCGTCAAAACCAAAGCAATTTGCTGGACGGGCTGACCCCTCAAGGCGCTCAGAGCTTGCTGGAGATGTGCATCAAAGTACGATCTCAGAAATCTCCCCCCTTTTTTTTTGATAATTTCGTTTCCTAACCCTGAATATAGAAAGTTGCGGAGAATATTAATGATGTGGAAGAATTTGGTGACTTGCCTCCAGCGCTCATGCACCGACTCAGCCAAATCCTGAGTAGAAGACGAGCGGTCACATCGAAAACCCTGGATCTTTTCTTACGGCCTCAGAACAAGGAGATCAACATTTATGATTGTGCCAGTATGTACTTTGTGTCATATGTACATGTGATGCATCCTCTTTTTTTTCTCCTATCCCCCTCTAATAGCATACTGAACTTGCCTTTAGAGCTTGGAACCGATGATTTCCACAAGATACTTGCCTCTATGCCAGGGTTGACTCGCCTGAATCTTCGGTTTGTCACTCCGATGAAGGATCCCAATTTCGAGTACATGATAGATCGCGATATGAACATCCATGATCTTCATCTCGACTCACCCAATCTCGTGACCGATAAGTGCTGGCGTCAAGTATTCACTCATCTGGGTCCTCGACTACGAAGCCTGAAATTGTGGAATCTCGACTCAGCCTTTGATGATGAAACTGCCGAGATTATGGCAAAACATTGCACGGAGCTTCAGCGCTTAAAATTGAAACATCTCTCCAAACTTGGTGACAGCGCACTTGAAGCAATCGCGACGATCAAGACACTGGAGCATCTGTCTCTATTTCTCGATCAAAAAACCGGTTCTGAGCCTCTTAACCTTGAACCTCTTCTTCAGATTATTACCGAACTTGGACCCCAGTTACGCTCTTTGTCCTTGGAGGAATTTACCGCCGCAGATGACAGACTTCTTGAACATATCCATGACAAGTGTCACAATCTTTTCAAGCTTCGCATTTCGATCAATTCCGAACTCACCGATATGGCTGTTCAGAACCTCTTCCATGGGTGGACCAACCCCGCCTTGAAATATATCGACTTCCACCGCGTCCGACACGAAGACATGACCAATCCCGCTGGCCCGGAGCAGCCAATTGGAGTCGCATCCGATGGATTCATTGCTTTGATGGCTCATTCCGGCTCCAAGCTGGAACACTTGAACGTCGCATCGTGTCGCCATATCTCACGTAAAGCATATGAGGAAGTCTTTAGTGAACATAAGCGATATGCAGAACTCAAGTATCTGGATATTTCCTTCAACGGAGTAGTCGACGACTATCTCGTGCAGTGTATTTTCCGATGCTGTCCCGCACTAGCCAGAATCGTGGTCTTCGGCTGCTTCAAGATTCGCGACATTCACGTACCTAGGGGTGTGGCTGTGATTGGCACGATTGGTGCTAAGCTCACGGTTGATGGCATCGCCCAGAAAGAGATTATTTGATGGCAAAGGTCTCCTTCGAAATCTAATATCTTTTTTTTCCCTTTTGCACAGTACAGTCACTTTGGGATTCAGGATTGGTGTTATGGCAGTCAATGATGGGTGGCTTTTTCTTCGAGATTGATACCTCCTTCTAGTTCTCCTTTCCATTTATTGATCTCCAAGCGGGCTTTTTGTTCCTACACTTGAAATACATTTTCGCACATTGTCGTTACGTTGTATACCAGAACACACCAGTTATAAATGATCGTGATTCATTCCGAGATTGAAGTATCTGTTCATAACGCCAAATTCTCATGCTCTATACAATTCAAAAAAGAAAACAAAAAGTCATCGCAGGTCAAGTCTAATAAGCCATACGCTTGCCGATCTCACTCTGCCAGTTCCGCGACTTTTCAAACCCGTTGGATGCGGTCTGGAAATCCACCATGGCCTGATAGACTTCCTCCTGGCTGTTGAGCACAAAAGGACCATACTGCACCACCTTCTGGTCCAACGGTTGGCCAGCAACAATCATGAAGCGAGCCTCTGTATCAGCATTCTCGGGAACCGAGGCCTCGACAAAGTCCCCGGACTGCTCGAAGACCACATTGTGGAACTCCTTCACCGTCTGGGTCGCGTCGTTCGAGCCAAAGATCGTGTTGCCGGACAAGGTGTAGGCAAAGGCGTTCCAGCCCTGCGGCAAGGGCTGGGAGAGACGACCGCCGGGACGGATGGTGACGTCCAAGATCCAGACCGGGGTATAAGCTAGGTCGCGGACGGAGTCGATACCGTACGACTGGCCGGAGATGACCTTAACAGTGACACGACCTTCGTCGGCGGTCGCGACGGGGATTTCGCTGGCGCGCAGGTCCCGGTAGCGGGGCTCGCACATCTTCAGCTTTTGGGGCAGGTCCACCCAGAGCTGCATGCCGACGTTGGGGCTCCCGTCGGGGTTCTCGTGGGGCATTTCAGCGTGCATGATGCCGCGGCCGGCCGTCATGAACTGCAGGTCGCCGGGTCCAATGGTGCCCTTGTTGCCGGCGAAGTCTTCGTGGTCCACGCCACCGGAGAGCAGATACGTGATGGTCTCCTGCCCGCGGTGCGGGTGGTCCGGAAAGCCCGCGCCCTTGCCAATGGTAAAATGGTCGAGCATGAGGAACGGGCTAAAATTGCGCAGCTTGGGCGTGCCGATGGAGCGGCGCACACGCGCGCCTGCACCCTCGGCCTGCTCAATGGCCAGGAAAACCTGTCGGATTGCACGAGCGGCGCTCATGTTGGTGACTGGGTGGATGACGGGGGCGGGATAGTTCAAGTTGAGAGAAGAATCCAAAGAGCTGTCGGAGGTTGTGAGAAACTGCGACAGGCTGGTGGGGAGTCTTTGCTGGAAAAAGGTGGTAAAGGTGTCTTTGATGGCAAGCGGACTATAAGCCAGAAAGATTGCGACGATGCAAATTAAAATTGGCAGAAGGAGTTTCATGGATGTTGACAGCCGCTCTTTATACCTGGGGGAGTCTGTCTCGAAGGTTCGAGTCGAACGTGGCAGAGGAGAATGCACTGCGGGTGAATCAGCGTGAGCCAATCCCCGAAATTTAGTATTAGTATTTAACATCTCCGGATTATGATTTGAAGGCCGTTTGCCAGTGCTTTGCAAGACATCAGTCAGCGACAGTCGACCAATCCCGTGCCGCGTAGGCCATTGACGAAAGATGACCAAGACGCCCGTCAGCAGCCGCTAAACCGTAACCGGAAATCCACCTGGGACTCTTGTTGATGCCTGGGTGCCTGGCTGACTGGCTGACAGAACATTTGGTCAGGGATGATTACCTCATCTGACGGCCATCTTCCGCGCGAGTCCCTTTCGGGAAGGGTCGAGAGGGGACTCCGGATATTCCAATAGGCAATAGAAATCAAGTCTATCTCTCCCAACGCATTGGTCAAAAGCGCAATCAGATTTGTTATAGTGGTGACGGTAAAGGCTTCCGGTTCGGGTAGGTCACCGCGGTGCGGAGCGATTGGCGCTCCGCGGGCAGCTCTTCGTAGCGGCCATGACAGGTGCATGCTGTCAAGTTCGTTGTTGCAGCCGTTTGTCTGAATTCCTCTATTTTCTTCTGCATCTCCACCCATGCATCCTTGTAGCTCTTCGTCTCTTCCTTATATCTCCCATCCCACCGGCTCAGCTCGTTGCGAAGCTGAGTGATCTGTGATTGGAATCTGGAGGTCTCGACGTGTCTGGCTTCAATCTCTTGGTGGAGGTACTTGTTTGAGGTCTCAATCTTCCCGAAGGCCTCTAGAGTCGCTCGTAAAATGGAGTCTGTGTGGTCGGGTGCAGGTGTAGCGTGTCCCGCTATCGCATTCTCTCGCAGGCTCGATTCCGGTGGGCTCTTTCTCTGGCGTCTGCTAGCTGCGTCCCTCTCTTGCTCCTGAGAGTACGATACAGGGACCGTGATGAGCCGATTGCTCGGTCAGCCCGGGTGTTGCCGCCCGCTCGGCTGCCCCTGGAGGCATCTTGCCTTCACAGGGAGGTCGTTCTGGATTGTTCATGTCGATTAGCAGGCAGATATGTCCGTCCTAGATCGACACGCATATTTCTTTCCTTGTCTCCGCATTTACTATGTGTTTTGCGGTGGGCGGTTCGCTTTGGAATTACGTTATCGAGTATCACTAGTTAGTTAGTTAATTAACTATCCTATCTGCCACTAATCATGGTTTGTGCAATCTTTTTTTCACACGATGACACCATTTCAGCTTCATGAATGAAGTTTCTGATGTATGTTCTAGCCTGCCTCAATGGCAGATTGTACTTGACCGGCTAGTCGAACACAAGCGCGGCTTTAATCACTGACTTATTTTTCATTGCGTCAAGGCAAGCCTGCCATTCCTCCAGTTTGAACGTCCTATTCACAATTCCACCAACATTAACCCGTTTTCCATCTGTTCAATTCAATATTTCTTAGTAGAGCTGCGGTATTCGGGATAGGAAGGTACTGACCAAGATAGTCGATAGCAGCTGGAAACTTGTAGGTCTGACTGAATGACCCTATGACATTTATCTCCTCTTTGAAAATCTTGTTCGGTGGTATAGAGACGCGATCGCTTTCACCATAGACTCCATATACTACCAGTTTACCCCCCTTGGTAACGAAGTTGATCGAATTTTCCAAAATTTTAGCGTTGCCTGTAGCTTCAACGACAATGTCAAAGCCATATGGATTTTTGGTTCGAAGGTCCTCCATCTTAGCGGCCGATGCATGGGCATCACGGGGGAGTTCCACAAATTCATCGGCTGCATTGAGAGACTTGGCAAGTTCCATCTTCAACCCGGCCGGCGCAGCGATTACAGTATGACACCCGCCGTTTTGACGAAGAAGCTGAGCCAGAATAAGTCCCGTCGGGCCCGCGCCAAACAAAAGTACACTGGAACCCATTTGGGGAGCGATTTTGTCCAATCCGTGGGCTGCACAGGCTGCGGGCTCCAACAATGTCGCATCCACATCTGAGAGATTTTTGAATTTGAAGACTCGGTTTGCCGGGTACGTGGCATACTCCGCGAATCCTCCATCAACCATAACACCATGGGCGACAAAATTCTCGCAGAAAAGCTCCTTGCCTCGGCGGCAGTAATGACAGTGTCCGCACAACTCAGAGTTGTCTGCCACTACACGATCTCCAATATTGAAATCCAGAACCCCACTGCCAAATGCTGCAACCACACCTACAGTCTCATGGCCAGGGACAAGGGGAAACTATGTCACATCGTCAGCAATCTCTACTGTACATGAAACCTGTAAATTGACCTACCTGGGCTCCAAATTCACCATCGTGAATATGAAGGTCTGTACCACAGATTCCAGAGGCCTTTACTTTGATCTGCCAAGCTGTTAGATGCCAGAATTCTGACCCGTTTGCTTGTGGCATACCAAAACATCATGCTCGCGAATTGTCGGAAGACTCTTCTCAACAATGCTGAACTTTCGAGCTTCACTATACTCTATAAGGACATGAGTTGACATTAGCTCAATGCAGCTATAAGGAGTTTGTGGTCAGCTTGTTACAAACCCAAAGCTCGCATGGAAGGGGGAAGATCAAAGTGATTCGGTCTGTCCATGGTCGATTCAAATGACTCCGAGCTTGGAAGTTGTGCTTGGATGAATTTACTTAACTAGATGGGATGCTAAGATACCAAGGTATGACATAGGAAGTAGTAAGGTCATTCAATAAGTACTGTTTTAAACCCGGATTACTCATGCGCATGCGACGTCTCAAATGTCTAGAGGAGTCGGAATGCATCCAAACGGGAAATGATGGACGAATTCCTCGAGACGGTGACCGAGACGGGGACGGGTTGGAAATTGTGGAGATAGACCCCGCATATACAGCGGGCCTGGTCAGTAAATCAATCAAACGATGTGGCACCAGTCAGAATTATGCGTATGCGTCATCTGCATTTTGATAGAAAGTTCAACCTGCAATTTCAAACACTTCTGGAAAAGACTCCATGGGCTGTTGGCTTGGTCGAGTGAGAGGAGCTCAGCAGATAGTCCTTGCTTTCAAATATTATCCCTCCGAGTCGGTGTTATGGATTATACGCAATATAAGATACCCTTTTCTGACATGAAATCTGGGGCAGTCTTTGAAATGGAAGTTTGAGATCATATTTTGTGCCATCAGGAAACAGAGATCCTACTATCTCCAGTCCTTTTGACAGGCATACTAGGGACTCGGATGTTTACAAACTAGCACTGGGGTGTTTGGCAAAGTGCTACATATCAGAACATCCAACACTCTACATAAATGACTCGGTGTGAATGATAGCAAGTAGAAGATGTCATTGTATTCCTAATCTCTGAGCCCCTCAATATAAAGACTAGTTCATTGTGCTCATTTCTGAATTATCACCATCTCTCGCGCAGATCCTAGCAGAAAGATTTTGAGGATTAAGGACTGTGGACCGGATTTCAAGCCTCAACCTTCTCAGCAACTTCCAAATGCTGCACTGGGTCTTCTTTTTCGCGAATGATATGTTCATCTCGAGCTTCGTATCTCTTGGGCCGCTTGCTAGAGATTGCTTCTTTGTCAAGACAGGCGAAAACAGGGGGGTTGCCACGATAGTAGTCGTCCATGTCTTCCAAAGTGCGGCCGGCTGTCTCCGGATAAAAGATGTAGATTGCAGGTATCATAACCGCATTCAACACAACCCAAACGATATAAAAGCGCCACCCTAGATTTTCAATACCGATTGGAGTAATCTCGACGACCATGAAGTTGAAAATCCAATTAGTGGCAGCTCCAAGTGCGGCACCTTTCGTTCGCATAGTAAGTGAGTTTATTTCAGTTGGGTACACTATATCATGAGTAAGTACGAGAGTGCCCGTAAGATGAGCTTGATTCGGAGATAAAACTTACGCCATGGCACTCCTTGCATGCCAATGCCGAAAAAGACATAGTACAAAAAGAAAAATGCCACGGATGCCGAGGCGACCTCTTCCCGGTAAGCATAACCGGGCATTTCGTTATATCTAATAAGAGCTGTGATGAAGATATAGCAGAAGCACATTCCGGCTGCTCCAAACATCAGTAGCATTCGACGTCCCCATCGCTCGACGTTTGGAATGCCGATCATAGAGAAGAGAAGGTATTGAACGCTGTTGCAGGCTGTAAGCAGCCTTGCTAACGATTCCTCTAGTCCCACGGACTTTGTCAGTACTGTTGGCAAATAATAAGAAGTTACATTAATTCCCGAGAACTGCTGCATTGCCTGGGCACCCATTCCAAGAATAAGTCGGCGGATTGTCTTTGTGCCTGCCTTCTCATGCCCTCGCCCGCGTAGAATATCGCCAAAGCTAACGCTGTTTGCTCGTTCATACTCCACACTGTATTTAATCTGGCTCATCTGAAGCTGAACGAAAGGGTCGCTGTTATCCTTGTCTTCAAGATCTGCAATAATTTGCAAAGCCTCATCTAGGCGACCATGGGCAACAAGCCATCTGTTACAGAATCAGTTATAAAGCACACAAGAAGGGCATAGAAATTGTTCTACCTAGGTGACTCAGGGAGCCACGGCACTGTGCAAAATAAGATAATATTAAAGATGAGTTGAAAAGAGAGTGGGAATCGCCACGAGACTGGTCCACTTGCGAACGAAAGGCCGTAATTAAGCCAATTTGCAAGCGAAAAGCCCACAAGTACGAGGACATTCTCTAAAATAACCAATTTGCCTCGTAATTGAACCTTCGAAGTTTCAACTTGCCAAATGGGTGCAGTCGATGTATTGAGCCCTGCAAAAAATAGACAGGTTAACTTTTAGTATTTCAGGGACTTTCTACGTTTCTGCGTACCGTTACCAATCCCTGCAATGACACGGCCAGCCATCATATGACCTAGACTGTATGAGGAGGCCTGCAGAATAGCGCCAATTGTCATGATGGTAGTGCCCACCAAGACCGTGTTTCTGCGGCCTAGCCGTTCTCCAAGCCAGTAGGCGAACACAGATCCCAGAAAACAACCGACATCATAAATGGCAGCGACTGTTCCCACTAAAGACGCTTTGGATGACTCTGCAAGCCCATGTAGCCGAAGGAAATCTTGTGAGATCACGACTCCACTGAAAACTCCCTGGACTAGAATTAAAGCCCGGCACAATATATGGCCTTATTTATAACGTACTTGATCATATCCATAAAGAGTCATGTCAGCACCGCAGGCCAACGTGATCCAGAACGTCAGCCATCCGCCTCGAAGGCCAAAATATGGTTTTGCAAATTTTAACATCTTGTGACAGGACAAAATCGGACAAATGTCTCATGGTTTTCCTCAGTGTCGACGCCATGACAGCTATTTATTTCTCTCCAGTCCACGCTATTCTGTGGAGATCAAATCTGGGGTGACGATATTCTCCACTTCATCGGCATAATGGTATGAGCCGCGAGACGGGCTGTTCAAAACTGCTCGATTCTAGTGCTGAAAACAACTTCTGTTCCCCGGATTAAGACTTACCCCAGATTACCCCAGTCCACGGGTCGGGTTAGTCTTAAATTAGGTAAGCCCCCTCTTCAGTTAGTTAACTAACTAGTTATCTCTCATCCCGCATGACGACGACGTCCCCGAGACGAGGAAACGTGGGAGTTGCTGCAGCAAAGATGAGCTTGCCTTTTAATCAGTGTGATTTTGATTACGCAGAGTTCTATGGCACCAGAACGATGCATTTGCGATCACCTTACCGACGGCTACGCTTCCGAAAGTCTCGTGGCCGCGGCTTGCGAACGAGGAACGGATAGTGAGTTGTGTTTGCCTTCCGAAATTGTTGTGGTTACTTTAATCCGGGTGAAAGCCTGTTCTCTATCCCATATTACTACTTGTCACCTTCTAACGCATTGTTTGCATCTGTACGATAGTTAAGCCTACTAGCGGATAATGCTCGAGACAATTTAGAAGTGTGGACGATCGTAAATTCCTAGGCGAACCAAAATCTCTCATCGAACCACTCTAATTATGACGATTCAACTTAATTAAGCTCACTATAACGAGCGACTTTGAGTACCGGACGGCCCTTCTTCCGTATATAGGAGTTATGATCAAACGTATGTTGGTGTTGGTGCGTCGGTAGAAAGTCCGCTAGAGGAAGAGTAGAGTTGGTAATCACGGGAGCTAATTAAACTCCTGCTAGCTGAGGCTACCTGATTTAGATGTTTTGTAGAACGAGTGAGCCTCTGGGTATGTTCTGTTTGCTCTATTAATGACTTGGAAAGGCTCATCAACTTACATTTAGCCTGAACAGATAGATTTATTTGACCCGATGGCCCGATTTTCCATGCTCGTTGCGCACTTAGCTGTAGGCTTATCTTCATTCTATGAGGGAATACCACTCCTAGAGTAGAAATATGAGGACTATATATACACAATACCGGCCTAATATATGCTATACTCGCTCTCGTATATCAATATCTAGCTTTACTATATTTGAATAGCTATAATCCTTTAAATAAGGATAACTCGGCTTTTTAATATTACTACCAGACCTTCTTTTATTCTGCCTTTAGTATCCCGAGGGAATCAGTCTGGGCCTCGCTTAAAGGCGCACGGGTAATATTTGCTTAACAGAAGATCGATATATAGGGTGTCAAATCTCGAAGGGAATTATCCTCAGCGCTCTCTATATCGTCTAGATGATAATTATTCTACTATAGCTTTGTGCCGACGAAATTCTCCTCTCGTAGAACTTCACTTTTCTTTATTCCCCTTCCGACTTGCTCTTCTATATTATAATCCCGAGTTATATCAATAAGCCGTATACCCTTTTGTAAAGCTAAGCTGACGGTGTCTTCCTAAGAGTCGGGATCTTAGAAAGTACCGAATTCGAGTGCTAGAATTTTCGCACCGGTACTAAGCATGTAAGAGTCGTATAGGTGCTCAGAGCACGATAAGCGGTTGACTATAGAAAAAATGGCTTCTTCCCCAACATAGTTGCCCGGGTCGCTCTAGCTGCCAGAAACGCTATTGTATCAGATTGAGCACAAGATGGGATAATGGTAGAAAGCAATAGGTCGATGGCAGCCCTTTCTAGCTGGTAGGAGTTGAGCTAATGTTTAAATGTTCGAATGCATGGAAATGCATTGTGAGTTGCTAGGTGAAGCGAGATCTGTTGGGGAAGCTGTGGTTCCCGTGTCGGCGGGGGTGGACGCGAGACGAAGAGACAAATCAATGCCAAGAATACCCCGTAACGGTATGGCAGTGAAGAACACCCCACAGTGCCCCGCCATGACGAGTTGTGAATTCTGTCAAGACTCGGAGTATTCAGAAGGCGATCCTTGTCTGAGGCCTTCATCGCAGCAGCACGCTCATCTCCATTGATTTACGTTATACTAGGTATGCTCCAAACCTATGAGACATTCAACATTTGCTATCTAATTGGCTACGGTTTGTAGGGGGGTATACATTGGTCCAGGAGTACGCCAAGAAATACCCAAGTTTTGACAGCCGTGACAAAGTCGGTCGACGACTACTTGACAGAGCCTGAAGATATGTTGAAAGTTGTTGGAGTCGGCTCTTGAAAAGCGGCATTAAAGACTCAATCCCCCAGTACTTTTTCTACTACTTTAAATAGTCGACTGTAACGGACTTCTTTTCTTCTACCTGTTCAACGACATTCCAAAATCAAGTGTTTTCGGGTTTCTCAATCATGGCAGTTCAACTACCCCAATGATAATTTGAAATTTCGGCTCAGATTTATACCGCATGACTCATTTCAAGGATCTTCCGAGAGGTGATTCCTACAGATTTCCCGCCGTGAAAAAAGGGTAGTGAAAAAGAGAGGATGGTGGGTGAATTCTTGAGGTCAACTATGGAGGGCCTAATCCCCTCGTCCGCTATTTCGCTTGCGTATCGCAGGCTCATCGACTGAATTGGTAGCTTAGCTTACCCGTTAGAGCAGAAACGTGATGCACCTCGAACTGGCGTAGAATTGATGAAAAGAAGACAAGCTGGCCATAGAAAGCGGTTTGAATATCTGATCAGTCATTGAAGATCTTTTATCTGACCCCTATAGCTTGCTAGTAGATTGTCGCTTGAATATCTTTGACGAAAGCTCGTTCAGAATGCAGTTTCGACCGCAATAATTAGGACTGCGAACTGCGAAGTGGCGGGTTACGATAGAGTGCATGTACTACGCCCAGTTGTCTCTTGCCCCAATTACTGAACACATGCCACTTCATGAGTAGAATATTGGAGCTTTTCCTGAGCCAGTCATTATTTGAGGGAATGAGAATGTCAGAATGTCAGAATGTCTATTTTCCACAGCTGCAGACTTGCGATATGGACTGTAGGTCGATTTAGAGGTTGTTTGTCGATTTAGGACGTAAGATAGCTACTATAGCTATCCAGAATTAGTAGCTAAATTAACTACGTAAACGCAAATTCATTAATAGGATAAATAGCTTTTCTAATAGTGTGGGCTAATATTATGCAACTTCCACCTACCGTCCGGACTATAATAGGAGGCACCTGTTTCCTCTCTGAGAGGCTCCCTTCCATCGTGGTGTGGTGTAGTTTGTTGGCTTGTTTGTTGATCCATCTCATCCTGCCTGCATTCGCAGCTTGCCGTAGAGGGCCCTGGTTCAATATATATATTTGATGTTGGGGTGGTGAAAGTGGGGATCGGAACAGACTTTTGAACACCCACTATATACTACGTACCATGTCAGCGACAGTGTTCGAACTAAACGGGTCAACCCAACAAACTTATAAATACCAGATAGAACGCACAATATTCACAAAATATACAACTATCCTCTGATGATACCGCGAACAATAATATATAAATAAATGGACTGGTATCGTTGCTGCCAGATCGCATCCAGACCAAAAATGAGCGAAACTCGAAGGTATGCAGGTTCCCGAGGCCAAGCAGCTCGCTATCTGATAAGGCCACGCAGCAGCTCCCGCTCTCTCCATCCCAGCTCATCCCCTCCTCCCCCCAAACGCGCCGGATCGCGGAACTGTACTGAGACTCTCATCTTGAGATCGTTTTTGCGATATACCTCTCCCTCATATGGTACAGCAAGTCTTTTGCCTTCCGTCAGGACTGTGAGGACCGCCTGGAGACGTGCGGCAACGCCATCCTTTCATTGCCGTATTGCTACCCCAGAGTCCGTTCCTTGGGGTCTCTACATCACAGACTGCCAATAATGGGCCAATCCAGGTGGGGCCTCGCGCCATGGATTGTGCTGGGATGCGCCGCATCTACTGCTTGGGCAGGCAAACGGCCATTCAATATCCATGATGATTTGCTGGCTTATCCACAGGTATGCTCACGCGACCAAGACCGATTCAATCCTCCCTGGAGTACCTTGAACTAACCCAAGACATCCCATTTTTAGTACCAAGTAGTCTTCCCCGAGGACTACATCCTAGATGCACAGGCCGAAGAACTGCTTCGGACCCAGACGACCCCCGGGACCGATGATTCGAGTCACACCATCCAGAAGAATCCCCAAGTATACACGGGCACCCAACAGAATTATGGAGATAGCACTCCACGAGGGAGTGAAGATCTCAGTCCCTCGGCTTACACATACGAGGAAATGATCATGGATGACCGGCGGCTCCTCTGCCAGATCCCACGCGTTTCACCAGCGGACCACAACAACACGAGTGGCAAGGCCAATGAATTGGATGAGCAAAAAGAACTGGCCCGAGCGACGGATCGTGGCCTGGAGCTTCTTAGCGAGATGGAAGGAAAATGCATGTACTACTTCTCAGGCTGGTGGTCATACTCCTTCTGCTACCAAAAACAGATTAAGCAGTTCCATGCCCTCCCCGCAGGTCGTGGAGTTCCACACTATCCACCCGTGGAGGACCCCAACGCCCATTCCTTTATTTTGGGACAGTTTGCCCCCGGAGCGAACCGAGGTGTCAAGGAGGATGAGAAAACACAGAGTCTCAAGACCGATGTGGCGGAGCTACACACGAAAGGTGGTTCGCGATATCTAGTGCAGCATCTACGCGGGGGTACGAAATGCGACTTGACGGGACGGGACCGTCGGGTGGAGGTGCAGTTCCACTGCCACCCTCAGTCAACGGATCAGATCGGTTGGATCAAGGAACTGACTACCTGTTCCTACTTAATGGTGATCTACACCCCCCGACTCTGCGACGATGTGGCATTCTTGCCCCCCAGCAGGATGAAGTGCACAACATCGAGTGCCGGGAGATTCTCTTCCCCGAGGACGTTCCTGAATGGGAAGCCGTGAAAGAGTGGTACCTGGCTCATCAACTAACGGACTCCGCGACTGACAATTCCGACATTCAAATTGTCGGTGGCATAGAGGTTGGTGGACAAAAGCTTGTGGGAATGGAAGGAAAGGTGATTGAAAAGGGTCGGGTTGCCTTCACCGGTGAGGAACGGGCCGAGGAGCGAGGCGAAATGGTTGCAAAGCGTGAGAATGGCGAAGTTAAACGAGCCTCCAAGCAGGTGCTGAAGAAATATGACCTCGACCCCGAGAAAGTCGAGGACATGAAGAAACGGCTTGAAGAAATCGCCAAGGGCAAGGATTGGACACTGGAAGTGGTCGAGACCAACGGAGTGATCAAGTTCCAAGGCATTGTGGAACCAGAGGATGATGACGAAGAAGCCGAGGGCGAAGACAAGAAAGGCATCGTTTCGTCTTCACGGCCTCCCCGAAAGGACGCAGAATCGCCTCAATCCGACAACGCCGTAACCCCGGATGCTTTACAGCCCGAGTCGCGAGCGGCGGAAGATCCCGTGAACCGGAACGAAGAGGAAACGGAAGGCAGCGAGGAGACGTTCAAAGATGAGCTATGAGGGTGATCTTTGTATATTAGTTTGATAACTTGTGCATATAATGTATTCATGGATCTATGAATCTGCCATTGCATGGCCATCTTCCGTAAAGACAGCTGATATTCAACAATTTCCACCTGAGGGTCAGTATTTATTGACAATCAGTTATATCGTGGTTCAATTGCCAAAATAGCGGAACCATAGAATAGGATTTTTCAATAATTATTGACGTGGAGCTTGCGATTCGTAGATAATCAAGCCGGACCAAAGAAGTCTTTTAGTCTGGCTGGAAGTTTGCCTGGGCAGCGTCAGGAACGGCCGGTTAGCTTCATGCCCAAAGACGTCAGTTGCCCCAGTTGCCGGGACCCGAGTGGGGGATAGGAGAACCTTCAGGAGCGGGATGCAAGGACACGCGATTGCGACAAGATTTACGATATACTCCGTGAAGTGGCATTGAGAAGAATAGATCGAAGAAGGACTGGTGAGAGATGAAGATGAAGAGAGGAAGAGGTCTCGTGGAGAGAAACAAGCCTGACACTACGTAAGGAACGTGACTTCGAACTCCTACCGATCGCCCGGCCCACCTTCCCACTCCCTGATCCCCGACCTCTTCCACTTCCACGCCTGGGTCTTTTTCTTGAATTCGCGCTTCCCTCTCCCCTCCCTCTATCCTCCTCTTTCTCCCGTTCCCCCTTACCCCTTAATCTCTCCGCGCACCGAGGCTCTGCCAAGACTGACCCCAGTACTGGCTTGCGTTATCATCGCACCCCCCTCGAACCATCTCCGATACGACGCCTCGAACAAACGCACAATTCGAATAAGCATTGCTTTCTGACGCTGCTACCAGCGGCGAGAGGACTCTGTTTATAGCTTTAGACCTCAAACTCTAGTGAATCGAACGCTTCGCTTTGATCATGGGGTTCCTGGGGGTCTACTCGGCTGTGTATGATTACCAGCCTCAGGGAGAGGGTGAACTGGAAATCCGAGAGGGCGATCTGTTATTTATCCTGGAGAAGAGCTCAGAGGATGATTGGTGGAAGGCCAAGAAGAAAGCCGAAAGGGACGACGAGGACGAGCCTGAAGGTCTAGTCCCGAACAACTACGTTGAAGAGGTAAGTTGACTCGGGATCTACGTTGAGCATTTGCGAATTTTGCGGTCAAATCTGTTGTCCGAGGCCATAGCTATATCGGGAGGCTGTCAGCTTTTACTCCGGCCCTCTTCTATGTGATGTCCCGGAAATCTGGGCAATGAATTGATGCTGACTGAGCGAAATCACCTAGGCGCAACCTGCACATCATGCGAAGGCCCTGTTCGATTACACACGGCAGACAGACGAGGAGGTTTCATTCTCAGAAGATGCAGATATCCTGGTGTATGATACGTCGGATCCAGATTGGACTTTGGTCGGGGTCAACTCGGACTTTGGATTTGCGCCATCCAACTACATTGAGATCATCGACGATGTGACTGCTGCCACCTCAGCCGCCTCAGCCCCGGCTGGAGCCGCCCCTCTGCCAGTACCTGAGCCTCAAGCGCCATCTCTTCCATCACGGCCGATCCCGGCAGCTCCAGAGGAGCATGAACCATCGCCATCCCCCCTTCACCTATCGCCGCGGCGCAGAACCCTGCCGCTGCCGCCATCGCCAATATCATCCACCAGCAGCATGCGTCCGCGAACGCATATGCGGAGCCCACACGAGAAGAACCACCTGCCCCTCAGCTCCCAATTCGACCCTCACATGAAGATGAAAATGACCGTGATGAAGAATCCCCGGCGCCTGCTTTGCCACGTCGACCTCCATCCGAACAGGCCACCCCACCAATGCCTTCATACTCTCCCGATCCATCCTCACCGCCGCCACGTCCGCAGCAGCCGGCGCCGGCAATGAAACGTGATATAACTCATGTTAAAGAATCCCCTCCTTACAACAGGGCGGGCGAGCTGACGCCACGATCGCCTTCCGGCTACCATATCTATAACATAAATGAAATGGTCGAGGTGATGGGCAAACGGAAAAAGAAGCCTACAACATTAGGAATCAATCTGGTGACCGGAATTATTTTCATCTCCCCCGAAGGCGACGATCACCAGCAAGAGTGGACCGCAGAGAAACTTACTCACTATTCGATTGAACATAAACATGTCTTTGTCGACCTTGTCCGGCCAAGCAGGAGTATTGATTTCCACGCTGGAGCGAAGGACACTGCTCAAGAGATCGTGGCTGCTCTTGGAGAGATTGCTGGGGCTTATCGTGCAGAGGGGCTTCGGGAGGTTCTTGCCGCTGGCGAAGGTGGCGGTGCTCAGAAGAAGGGTCAAATCTTGTATGACTTCATGGCGCAAGGGGATGATGAAGTCACCGTGGCTGTGGGTGACGAGGTTGCCATCATCGATGACACCAAGTCCGAAGAATGGTGGATGGTACGTCGGCTAAAGAACGGCAGAGAGGGAGTAGTCCCCAGCAGCTACGTCGAAATAATCGGCTTCATGGCCCCCAGCGAACCGAGTATGGAATCAACTCGATCCACAGTCGAACGAAACCGCGCAGATGAGGCTCGGCTTGCGAAAGCAGCGATTGGAAAGCCAAGAACGGATTCAATTGATTCCAACGAGGTAAGATCATGGCAATCTCAAGCAGAACAATCTCAAGAAGCCAAATTATTATAGTGCCTCAGCTGATGTTTTTTTGTTATCCAGCGTCATAAGCGTGATAGCAAACGCGATAGCAAGTCCAAGTCCAGTATGTATTTTATTTTCCTATGGCTATCTATTCCTTACTGCAACTATGGCTAACAACCGAATCTAGAGCCTGATCCTAGCAAGGTGCGAAAGTGGACAGACCGGAGCAAGGCCTTCACAGTGGAAGCACAATTTATTGGACTTTTGGATGGGAAAATCCAGCTCCACAAGGTCAACGGAATCAAGATTGCAGTCCCAGTTGCGAAGATGTCTGTTGAAGATTTGGAGTACGTGGAGAGAACTGCCGGTGTCTCTCTGGATGAAGACAAGCCTCTCTCGAGTATTCGGGCTCGTTCTACTTCTGATGCAAAAGGGTCTGGATCTGCTGGTGCTACTGTAAAACGTCCCGAGTATGACTGGTTTGATTTCTTCTTGAAGGCAGGTGTTGGGCCGCACCAATGTGAGCGGTATGCGCAGAACTTCCTCAAGGATTCAATGGATGAGTCTATTTTGCCCGATATTACTCCCGAAACCCTCCGATCTCTGGGTTTGAAGGAGGGCGACATTCTGCGCGTCATGAAATATCTCGATTCCACTCTCGGCCGCACTGGATCCAAGTCCAAGCTGCGCAATGTGAGCTTTGGCGGAGAGGAAGTCATTGGCAATGGTGAAGAGGGTGGGCTCTTTGCTGGCCCTGGTGGTATGCTGCGGAACAACACTCGCAAGGGAAGGCCTGCCCCCTCCGTACAAGCCGGGGATGTGGTTGACCCCAAGGCGTTTCAACAAGCCGATGAGTCAGTCGCAGTCAAGGATAAGGAACGATCTTCGACCCCTCCAGCTCCTGCTGCGGAGCCTGAAAAGCCCGTTTCCCGCGGATTTGATGATGATGCATGGGAGGTTAAGCAGCCAAAGCAGCCTGCTTCGGCTTCGCCGCCTCCTGCTGCTACCGCATCAGCACCAGCAGCTCAAGCTCCAATTCCAAAGCAGGTCACTGGCGCGATGGCAGACTTGACACTTCTTCAAGCTCCTCTGCAGCCCACACCTGCGCAGCCCACTCCTTCACAGCCAGTTCTGGCGCCACCTGCTCTTGAACCCCAGCAAACTGCCGTGCAAACTCCACCAATTCAGCAACCCCAGCAAACTGGTGCTACCCCCAGCTTGTTTGCGCAGGTGGCACAGATTGGGCAGCATCAGGCTAGACAGCGCCCTCAGCCTCCACAAACCATGAATCAAAATTCCCTTCTCCCGCCTCCTCCCCAGCGTCCGCTTTCTGCACCGCAGAACTTTTCGCAGCAACAAAGCTCCTTTGGACCGCCCCCATTGCAGCCTCAGCTCACAGGAGTCCCGCAGCCTGGCCCTGCGCCCCCAGGTCATAGCCTGACCGAGCCGAACCAGCAACGTTTCCAGCCGCAGGCCACTGGCTTTATGGGACAAAACCAGTTCCAGAATGGAGTGATGCCCCAGCCAACTGGTTTTACGCCGCAATCACAGTTTGGCATTCAGCAGCAGCAGCAGCAGCAGCAGCCGTTTATCAATGGTCCTTCCGGGTTCCAGGGCATGGCTCCACAGCCGACTGGATTTGGATATGTCCAGCCGCAGCAGCCCATGCAAACCGGTATCAATTCTGTCCTACCCCCTGCCTTGCAGCCCCAGCCGACTGGCGCCAATGGCTTCGGAAATACATACACCGCCACGAACCCACCCCCAGTACCTCCAATTCCCCAGCAGCCTACAGCCACTCCACTCTCACCCCAGAAGACCGGACCGGCTCCAGCTATCAGGTTTGGCGTCAAGCCAGAAGCTCCCAAGAAGCTGGCCCCGCAGCCCACGGGTCTCAGGGCGAACCTCTCACAAGCTAGTAAGTCTTTCTCCTTATGACACCGCTTGGGGGAAGCCGGCAAGATAACTAATCCATTGTTCACAAACAGCACCCACCAACCCCTTCGGCTTCTAACTTGCCATCCTTCTTGTATCGCTTTCCCGATTGGCACTATATAATCCCGTCCGTCTGGGAAGTGATATTTTCTATTCTCTGCTGCAATGTTTGTTGTGTTCGCCGAGACTGAGGCTTTACATATCTCAGCTTGTCCTTTTCGATTTTGCGCTCTTGGAATTGACATACGTACATATTCATGGCCCGCCTCGTCCTAATGCAGCGCGTATCGAAAATCATGAGCCTGGCTTCTTTGGAAAACTCCCCACTTAGCGAGCCTTTATCGAATTCCTCCCCCAACCACCCTAGCACCTTGTCACCCATCTGTTTATGCCCTGCATTTTGCTGTCCTCTTGTCTCTCGCCATATAATTCCGTTGATCATGATGCTTACTGCCGTTTGGATAAGATGTCTCTCATTTCTTTTTCCATTTGTTCCTCGGACGGCTATCTTTGGTTTGCCCTTTTCTTCTTTTCACCTGCTCTCCTGTTTCACTTCCTTCCCCACCACCTGTCCCATACTTCATACACTCTCATAAAACAGATAATACTATGCTATTAGTGCTGATGGCCTTCTTTCTATTCCTCTGTAATTACCTTCTAGACACCGTAGGATACATGAATATTCTTCCTGGCTTGAGCAGCATGGAAAATCAAAGTCGGGTGGGACCCAATCGCTATCTTAACTGACAAATAGTGTCTTCATACGAGAAGAAAAATGCTCAAGAGTGTTTTTAATTTATAAGCAATTCGTTGCCTACTGGGGTATATATAAGTTATAGACATCAAAGGCTTTTTGGGGGGAGTTGTTAGAGTAGATACTATATACAGAAGGTATCTGAGAAATCATCAAATCATAGATCGCCATCCGACTTCTAGAGAGACCATAGTCAGCGCCGAGAAAACAGAATCAAGAATTTACCCCCGATGCGCCCTGGTATCAATCACAGATCCAACACACGAAAGAACAAGTGAAACAAAGTAAAGACCCTAGATGTCCTTCGGGATAGCTAGGGCTCGTCCCAAATACCAAACACCGGCAGGTCCTCGGCCATGTACAATAAACCATTTTCAGGAAACATCACATCGGAGAGAGGAGATGGTCCGCCTGAAAGTGCAGGTTGTCCAGATGGAATGGTGCCACCCGGAGAGCAGCCAACAGGAATCCCAGAAGTGGTGAGAGCAGAAATTGCCGCATCATAAGATAGAGCCGCGGCTCCTCCATCCGGTCCATTGTAGAGGGCATCCCACATATCACTACCCGGTGGTTGAGGTCCAGCCGATCCTGTAGGCTGCGAGGCAAATAGAGACGACGGCGTGGTCCCGGCCACTTTACTGGACGATGTGGGAGAGGGCACGACAGGTGAATGTTGCGTCTCGCCTTGTTGACTGGGAGTGATAATCTCATGAATTGGACGCGAGATATTTGAGGCCGCAGGGTCGTTGCCGCCACCAACTTGGCCGAAAAGTTGGTCGACTTGTTTGCTTCGACGTTCCATCCACTGGCGATTACGTCGCTGGACATATTCGGCCACTGCAGCACGAAGGTACTTTATGATCTGGAAGAAGCGGCATGCATGAGGATCATGCGGGACAAATAGCCCCAGAAAGCGTTCTGCTTTGTTTAGCCCTTCCTCTAGGGGTAACATATTGTCGTAATCGGCGAAGAATGCCGCGCCAAGAACAACAGCTGAATTGAAGACCGAATTAATGAGGAAAGGTAGCCGGCGAGGAAGCGATGCGAATCGAGTGAGATCATCGACCACATCCAGCCCGCGCAGCGCAGAATAAACACATGCATCGGCGAAAAGAGAGATTCGAGAACTTCCATTCCGGGTTTCGGAAGAAGCCGATGCGTCGGCTTTGCTTTTCACATGCCGAGCTACGCGATAAACGAGGAATGGCCGCGTGAGGAGGATAATGGACCAGTAATAGGACCCGAAGACATGGGCTGCAGCTAGGCTGTCTTCCATGGGTTTGTTGTCAAGCCTTTCAGTCTGCATTTTGAGAACTGTGGGCAACGTGCGGACCCAATCACGATGCTGATTGGATATTTCCTCGGCAACGTTAATCGAAATGACTTGTTTCATGTAGACATCTGTTAAGATGCGTTCGAATATCCGACATAAGGAAACCACTGCCACTGAGAGCTGCTGATCAGAGGTAAGGTTCCGCTGTTGTTCTTCAGAGGCGAAAGTTTCGTCACGTATATCATAATCATAATCTGACGTTGCTGGTGGGCGCCCCAACGAGGCACTGAGGAACAGATCCATCATGCGAAGGCTCTTCCAGACGCGTTCCCTCGCTCTCCGTTCACGGCCACAAAAGAGTGCATTGGCATCTTTTCGATGAATGCCAACTGCATAAGCTGCTCGCAAAGCAATTCCCAAGTTCATGAATGCGCCGTTACGTCGACATGCGCCCAACATGTACATCGAGACAAGGATATAAGACTGGATGGTATGAATGCTGGGGGTTTCTTGGAAAGCAGAGAATGCCAATTGGCGTCCACTGCTAAAGTACTGTTCTGCTAGGCTCTGGTTTATATTGGAGACCTGGGCTCCAATTGCGAGGACGAGGTAGAAAATGGAGCTGACAGTGTCTTCATCGCCAGATGGGTTGCTGACCCAATTGGCAAGGCGGGGATGGAATTCCTCAAGATCGAAAAGATCGAGCAATGGGCTAGTCGCAAGGACATACTGACGAGAAAGCCGCTGGGCTTCTTCGTTACTGGGTGGTGGGATGAGAGAACCCGGGTGGTTGCTGGAGTTATTCTGAAAAGCCTCCAGCATGGAGTGACGAGAGTTGTCTTCGGTGAACTCGCATCGACCGATTGATGAGGATACTACTCGACGAACACTCTGCAGGAATGACAAGCTCGCCGAGTCACCAATATACATGAACTTCCCCTGCCCATCACGGAGGAGTCTTGCTACTTTGGGGACGGGAGCGGTTCCTTCTTTCTCGTCTCGAACCTGTTGCTCCAAATTCATCCCACGGTCTTCAAGCGAGTTCAGTAAGCGGTCCATTGCGGTTTCTCGCTGCGGCGAGGGAATTATTCGTTCGCTTAGCAACATAGTCGAGTCTTTTTGGTCGGGCTTGAGCAGGCGTGCGGGGCGATCTGAGAAATGGCATTCGGCCTCCTTATGGCGCTGTACACAGATGGTGCATGGGCGCTCTCCATTACACTTCTGCTTACGACGTTTGCAGCTATCGCAGGCCCGGCGACATCGGAGCCGAGCCCCAGGAGCCGTACTGGCTCGAGGCATGTCGACCGCACCTGCGCAGCTTTTCCGGGTTTCGTGGGTCGCTCGGAGGTCTAGTATGTGGGAGGATCATCGAAGCTCGAACGGAAAGAGGTATAGGCGATATCAAACTGAAGACAACTGTCCCGCCGGTGGCGGCTTTGCAGGCGTTGGGGAAGTATCCTCCAGGTGAACGGACGAAGTGCGGGCTGCCGGTGCTTTCCCCGGACTCGACAAACTGACTAAGCGCATCCCATTCGATGCCAAGCATTTCCACTGGAGTAATTAACCTTGTTTGTACTTGAGATTCCGCTGGCGCAGAAAATGGACATGGCATTCTTATTTACTCCGAACGAAAAGATACAACCTTGCCCCAGGTATCTGCAGTGCCCCAAATACCGGACCGGAGGCACATGAGTTGGACAATCTGACTATGATCTACAAACAGATTGACATCGATGCCGAACTCGCGGATGTACCAGTTGAAGACTTTGGGGTCCGCAGCTTCAAACATGACCTGCTCGGAAGGAAGCTCCTTCATGATCTTAGATACCACATCTGTCCGCCATGAGCTGACATTCTCTGTGATACCCTCCGACTCGATCATCAGGCGTTTCACTCCCGCCTTGAGGAACCGATGGCCCAGATTCACCAATTTTCCCGGATCGGAAGTCCCAATAACTTGAAGACCGGAGGTGGGAGTATCACCCCCAGCCCCGAATTGGATCCCCAACTCGGGTTTTGCTTCAAGCTTGTAAGAGTGAACCTTGTCGACAAGTCGAAGCCAATCCTCCTCCGGTAAGGAGATGAAGCCAGAGGACAGCTCAATGACATCGAAACTATTTCACGATCAGTGAATTGTTGGCATTGTTGGTGAAGTTATGTTGATAAACGCACCCAAGGTCCTTGCACTTTTGAAGATAGCGGTCGAATACGGTATTTGGGTCCGGATGCGCGAGTAGATGTTCAGCCCAACCCCCCTAGAGACCAGCATGGCATTATGAGAGCGGGCACGACTTTGGGTCTGGTTAGGATTTTTGACAAACATACCGTGGATATATAGACCCCATGCTCGTGAGCAAGGTCGATCAGTTCACGTAATGCCCTTTCCTGGAACAGAGTGAAAGAACCTGATACCGTCTGAATACCGGGACATTGTTCGAAGGGCATGGGGATAGCTGACCTCCGGCAAACTTGAGCCCATCTATATGGTTTCCCATCCTGTAGCGAGGTTTTGAACTTTGTTAAAAAACGCGCTGGCTCATATTTGGATACTTAGAACAAGAGTGTGCAAAAGAAGGTGAAGCTTTACGTTTCCAGAACATCGGCTAGGTACCGCTTTCCCATAACCTGGGGCCTATGTCAGCTTATAGAGGCTGCCGATGCAGAGTAAAGTGCTTGAAGTACCGAATAGTACGGACCGCGAATCTCAGTCACTCCTTTATTTCTGGGCTTGGCCGGCCGGGTATTGGACCTCGCAAAGCCAAAGCCATCCTTTTTATCTTGTAAGAGGATGCGTCCTTGCGCTGGCGCTTTCGCGGTTGACAGCCCTCGGAAATGGATGGACATATATAATGGGGGAAGACGAAATAGGAACCTGCGCAAAGGTAGATGCGAGATCGTTGAAAGAGAGCTCTGAGCTTTAAACATCACCGTAGGACAATCGTGAATACGATAATAGGATAATTTAAGTTAAAATTCCCTTTGCCGATTAGTTCAAATCAGATAGGTCGTATTTGAAAACGTGAATAACCTACTACAGGGATCTGACGACGATAGTTGATTCAAAAGAAGAGATTAAATTCTTTGACTATGCCTTTGAACTGTCTACGGTTGGCATATTCAACATAGCGGCGGTTGACGTCAAACATACTTCACCAGGTCGAGCCAACGAGCAGATTAGAAAAACTCGAAGTTTGGACCTTGGATCCTGTTAACCCCCATTGGGCTTGGTCATTATGACACCAAACAACCCAGAATACTATACATCGAGGAAATTGAGCTTGTTTACTGTCCCTGTCGGTTTCGGTCGCAGAAGCTCCCGCTGAGTCACGATGCCAGCATTCGGAGACAACGGGCTCCGTCTTCATAAACACAAAAAATCAACCTGAGAATAGTATGGCATAATTCTTTCTCTAGGAGGGATCGGGATCTTCACCGTGTTCCGGTGCATCCGCGCAAGCTGAAAGCCTGAGCGCCATTCAAAGAACAGCGGGGACCTTGGCATTGCCTAGGTACACGTCTACGTCTCTATATCTCCACACTCCTACATTTTTACATGTATATCTCTGTCGTAATCTGAATTGCTTCTAGCTAACCAGGCGTTCAAGTATTCATCGGTGCTCCCGAGGTAGCCCTCGATAATAGAACTACGTTTATAGCGAGGGGGCTTGTAAGACTTGTGGGACGTGTAAGAGAGGCAATACAAATGATACTCAGTTGAAGGGGCAGCGATACCGAATTTGCCGTCTTAGCTCTAGGCTCGCAGTAAAGAAAAATATAGATGGATACGAGAACGGGGAGGAGGCACGCGACAACCCCTTCCTCCTTCCCGTTTTTTGATTCCTTCATTCTCCACCACCAATCTTCCAATCTCCAAACCCCGATGACATGATGACCTGGCACGAGCCTAATCCATGTATTACGCGTTCCCTCAAGCCATGCTCTCCCAAGCCATGCTCTCCCTTTTCGGCTTCCGGAGACTCCGGAGCCCGGCGGCTTGCTCTATCCCGAACATGGACGTTGTCACAACATCTCTATCGTGCCTGCCTCCTTCTCTGGGCCAAAAAGGGTCTCCAAGAGCCTGTTCGGCCATTCGGGCGATGGAAGGGCCGCACGATGCTCCCAGTCTGACCGGGTCAAACTTAACCGGGGCTCAGTCCTCAGCGACTGCCCTGAGGTGTCCAAACCCAACCCGTGCTTTTACTTTGGCCCGACATCATGATGCCAATGCTGCTCATGTTGGTCTCTTACACTTCTCCACTCCTCATCTCTGTGGTATTCTTACGGTGACGTGAGGTCATCCGTATAGATGCATGTTTAAGACCTGCTCGGCTTTCTTTTACGCTTGTTTTGGTTATCCTCAGTTACCCATATTGTTGGATTTGGTCGTGTTTCTTTTCCCACTCCCTCCTCGGAGCTCACCATGGGTCTTGGCGTCGTCGTTGAGCCGCTGGTGGTCATTGTGCTCTTGTTTGGAGGTACCTGGGTCAATAGGACGACTGAAACGTCTTCTACGTCGTCATCCTCTTATATTCGTCGGCGAGAATCGAGCGCGACCCGAGCAGACTCTCCTGCCCTCTCGGAGTCTGGGTATTCGAGCCCGACATCCAAAGATGGACTGTTGAGCTCTCGATCCCTCTCCCCGCTGCCAGGAGTATCTGATGATCAATGGCAGAAGCGGCATATTAGCTTGTTTGGCTTGTCTTGGACGGTTATGTCTCCCAATACCCATGTCTTCCAAGACCGCCTCTTGAGTCGCCTACTTCGAAGACTTCCGTTCCTGGTGGAATGCTGGTACTGGGCATTGGTATACTGGGTATGTTCAAGACAGACATAGGCCTGGGAACCCAGGAGTCTCGGTTCTCCTCCCACCCGGACTGACCATCCATATAGACCTATCAGCTCGGCCGTGCATTCACTGCGGTCACTCTTCAGGAAAGTACCGTCAAGGTGGCCAGACGACATGCGCTCCAATTGATCCGGATAGAGGAGATACTGGAAATTTTTTGGGAAGTCAAGATTCAACAGTTCTTTCTTCGCCATCCGTTGAGCTTGAAATGGATTAACTGGATTTATTCCTTCATCCATATTCCCGGGACTATCGCGTTCCTGGTGTGGCTGTATTACTATACTATCACGCGAAACCGAATCGAAGAATCTCAACATATGAAGCCACGCGGGATTGTGAGGGGAGCACCATCAGGGCCATTACTCTACCAAGCGCGACGACGAACACTGGCAGTCTGTAATCTTCTGGCCTTTGTGGTGTTTACCTTATGGCCGTGTATGCCGCCTCGATTGCTTAGCGATCCCGATGTTGATGGTCATGACGGTGACGTGGGTCGAAGTTATGGATTTATAGACACTGTGCATGGTGCCAGCGGTGCGAGGAGCGTGTGGACAGAGAATCGCTTCTGTAATCAATACGGTGAGTACTATAAGCATACCCCTTTGATTCTACTCCCTGGTGTGGATGAGATACCATACTGACGGGGCCTCTAGCGGCAATGCCATCCTTACATTTTGGTTATTCGCTCATGATTGGGCTCACTATTATGACTATTCCTATTCCATCCCACAACCAGCGAATTCTTCACCCTCGTTTTGGCCGAGGAAGTGGATGGCGCCTAATCTGCTGGCGTCGCTTGGTCTGCCTGATGCTCGGGTTCTTCTATCCATTCATCATCCTGGTCGCCATTGTGGCTACCGCAAACCACTTCCTCCTTGATGCAATTGCAGGGGCTATAGTATGCGCCGTCGGATGGCAGTTCAATGGTGTTCTGCTGAATCTTTTGGCGGTAGAGGACTACTTCCTCTGGCTGGTCCGAATCCACAAACCGGAACCGTTTGCAGGGCGGGTGATTGACAAACCAGAAGACTGGGACTCAGATGACTCGGACTCTCGGCAACCTGTGTTAATAGCATGATGAAATGGCCCTCATGGCCGTGATTGATCTCCCGAAACGATATGCTGGACCCCTGCTCCTGCATTGGGATCTTGAGATGCCCCGCAAGAAGATGGTGGGAGTCATGCCTAGGGGTGTCGATATGGTGTGAATATGACAGAGCCACTTCTATTATCATTATTGAAAGACTCCTAATACACGAGCCCTTAGCCATTGGAATCGTTACATCATGGTTTGATGCTTATTCTTATCCGGTCGTCCGCGCTGTGTTAACGAGTCGGATGTCCCTGTCATTGTAAACCCCTGGAAAAAAGTTCATGCTGCTCTAGATTACAAAAATAGAATGCAACGCTCATATCCCTAGGTCCAAATGATCTTCTCTTTTGCTTTATCCTGCTTGTTCCCGGCTCACTCGTCTTTCTAAGGCGCCTTTTCAAACGCTCTGTACAGAAAAATTTTCCTTCCCTTTTTTCTTAAAAAATAAGAGTCAATAATAAAAAGTGTGGAAATGGAACTTAAGTTGTATTTGAGACTTTCGCAAACATTATCCGTGTGTAAACGTAGACGTTCCAGAACAAGTGATGTTCCGGCGAAGCAGTGGGGTTGCTGCTTACAGAGCGGAGCTTAAATATCACCTTCAATAGACGACCACCGACCTTCCCAATCACATCCAGGAAATGAGACCTGCACTGAACCTCATATCCTGAAGCCTGGCAAGACTTCCAGCTCCTTTCATGGAGCCTATAGGCCTCGTCCAATCTCAAGGTCCATTGCGCATTAGGTTCTCACTCATGAGGCTCTAGCTATCGCAGACCAGTCAGTCTTCAACCTTGATGGACCCAGTCTTGATCTAATCATGTATCAATAGGATCTTGTATATTATTCTGACTGAAAAACGTATGTTTAATACTAGCTAGATGGCCAAAAGCACCCTTCTCCCAATATTCTCTGCCACGGGATACTACCAACCCTCGAGTACTCTCAATACGCCGGTTCCTGGCTACCGAAATATCCAGCCAAAAAGAAGCACTCCAGTTCGTCTGTAAGGCACTTGTCGCTCACTTCTAATTACTTGCCTTATCGTCTCTCGGTCTATCACAATTTCCAGGTCCTCTAGCTACGTCTCAGGCTACGATCCAGACTACGAGCCACCAGGAGATATTTGCTGCTTCTCCAAGGGGCCAGACCTTTCAGCACAGACCGGGCTCCTCGTCAAAAGCTCATTGCGAGAGCAGCTAGCGTTCATAATTCCAGACCCATTGACTTGGCCGACGTGAGGCCCCGCGAAGGTTGAGGGACTGTGGAACCCATTCCGGCCCTCCTCTGGCGTTGTACTCCCCCCTGCAAAGCCCGCACCACATTCAAATCCACTGGGCTCCTTTGGACTATTAACATTGACCTATCTCCCATTCAATTTCCCGCAATCATCAGTGCCGAGATTCTCAGACAGCGCCGTTGCACGTCGACGTGGTTGAGCCCGGCCGGAGTTGTGGCGTCATTGTGGTTGTTCCCCGTTCTCAGACCCAACGCGTCTCTTCCCGCGATCCGACCTGCGCGACTCGACTCTACCTTCTCCACATCTTTCTCACCCACCTTCCCCTACAACCCCATCACTCACCCACCACCACCCTCACTCTCAATTCCTGAATTCACTCCAAATACACACTGCTTGCTGCCATCATGGCCGACGAGACTGTCGCTGCGCCCGCCGTAGCCGTCGAGCAGCCCGAGCTTACCCCGGCTGCCGACAAGACGGCCGACCAGGAGTCGGAGAATGTGCCTAACTCTGACGATAAGCCTACCGGTGAGCTCATGACTCGACCCTTCCCTTACAATATACCATAATTCACGCTAGGAGCTTTGCGATTGAAGCTATCTGGTAGTCAGGCGGTTTATCCTACCTTCTGTACTACCACAGTCTGCTGACCTCGCCCGCTTTCTCCATCAGAAAACGCGAACGCGACGACCGAAGAGAAGGGGTCTGAGGTCGCGACAGGCAAGGAGACCATCTCTGGCGATGCGCCGAAGCTCCAGGCCGAGGAGGACGACGTCCCTGCTGCTTCGGAGGAGGCTGCGACCGCCCCAGACCCTAACGGAACTCCTGCGTCTGCGAAGAAATCCTCCAAGGATCGCCGTCGATCGAGTGGTGTTGCCGATAAAAAATCTCTGAGCCGGAAGAAGTCCATGAGCCGCATCGTTAACGTGGACGTGAAGCCCGGCCAGTACTACCTGGCGCGTCTGCGCAGCTATGCGCCATGGCCGTCCATTATTTGCGATGAGGAGATGCTTCCACAGTCTCTTCTCGACACTCGCCCGGTCACTGCCGCGCAAAGCGATGGAACTTACCGTGAGGACTACGCCGATGGGGGCAAGCGCGTCCATGAGCGGACGTTCCCCGTGATGTTCTTCCAAACCAACGAGTTGTATGTTCCCCCTCTCCTGCTGTCCCCTCGCGCGACATTGCATTTACGATCGAATGGACTAATTATCATCTTTCCCACTTTTCTAGTGCCTGGATTGCCAACTCTGCTCTCACTCCTCTTGCCCCTGCCGAATGCAAGGAAGTCTCCGAGAAGAACAAGGCGAAGACGTTGATCGGTGCCTACAATATTGCTAGCGAGGGCCATGATCTCGCTTACTTTAAGAAGCTCCTGTCAGATCACCAAGCCGCCATCCAGCAAGAGATTGAAGAACAAGAGGCCGAGGAGGCTGCCAAGGCAGCTGCCAAGGCCGAGAAGGAGGCAAAGAAGAAGAAGAGCAACAGCAGCAAGCGCAAGAGCAAAGGTGCAGACACCGATGTTGATATGGAAGATGCCGATGATTCCAAGAAATCCAAGAGCTCGAAAAAACGCAAGAACGAGGCGGATGGTGAAGCAGACAAGGTGTGTTCGACCGATAGAGCGGGATACTTACAACCGGTTATTTGTGGCTAACTTAATCTCGCATAGCCCGCTAAGACACCCAAGACTGGCACCAAGTTGAAGTTGACTACCCCCAAGGCCCCCGCGGAAGAGAAGAAGACCCCCGCCAGCAAGACCAAGAAAGCTGCCACCAAGAAGGGCAAGACTGCTGCCGAGGATGCTACCCCCGAAGCCAAGGAGCCAGAAAAGCAGGTCGACCCCGAGGAGTTGAAGAAGAAAAAGGAGAAGGAAGGTATGTATTGAAAGATTCTGAAATCATACAAGAGGAATTGTCTGGGAAGCTAATGTCTCTACAGTTCTCTTCCTGCGTCATAAACTCCAGAAGGGCTTCATTTCTCGAGATCAACCTCCCAAGGAAGATGAAATGGCCGCGATGGCTACCTATTTCGATAAACTCGAGAAACATGCCGACCTAGAGGTGTCGATCATTCGCTCGACCAAGATCAACAAGGTTTTGAAGATGATTGTCAAGCTCGACTCGATCCCCCGGGACGAAGAGTTCAACTTCCGCCATCGTGCCATGAACATCTTGACTAGCTGGAAGAGCGTGTTGGAAACCGATGCCCCTATTGCCTCGGCGGATAAAGATTCTAAGTCCACGCCAAATGGCACCCACAAAGACGAGGACGGGGCTGATACCCCCAAACTGGAAACTGAGGAGGAGAAGGAACCCGAGACCAAGGCCGCCAACGAAGATACCCCTATGGCCGATGCTGATGAGGCTCCCAAGGTCGAGACAACCGAATCTGACAAGCCGGCCGACAAGAAATTGGCAGAAGAGAGTGCTGTTGACGCTGTCGCATAAAACTGTATGCTAAGGGTGTCTGTTTTTTTTTCTGTTTTCAATTTCCTCGTCAGGCTATGGAGCTCTGATTCTGAATGTCTTCTTTTCTATTGTTCCTTCTTACTCTGACCTGAACTGAGTTGTTTTTTTTTCCCGATAATGCTGCCGTCGTTCTCGCCATGTAGTATCAGGAATCTGGGGCTGGGCTGACTCGCAAGTGTTATCCACCTGTTTCCGATTGAATGAAAAATCCGTTCGCTATTTCCTTCTGTTTTTACTTTCTGCGTTAACCCCCCTGCTCTTCTTATTCTGTACATGGAAATTTACCCGCAGAGTGTGTCATGGTCCATTGTGATTCTAATTTTATCAGTCAAAATCTGTGGCGGCGTAATACTCGCATCGAGTATGTGGATGATGGATTCGAACAAACAAGATGGCCATTTAAGAGGTTGTAGATAGCCTCCGTACGCCGTGCTTTTTATCCGTGGTAAAAGCCAAAAAGCTGTGGGAAATCTTGAGAAGCGTACTGGTTTAATGTACATGAAATAGATTACTCAAATTACGAGTGAGCCATGATCTGATGCAATGATGTCGTTGTTGACCTAGTATCTATAAAAGTTATTTCGGAACCCATTTCGCAATGGTTCAATATCTATCTAATTATAAGGTATCACTTCCCGCGGGGCCCAAAACCAAGGAAACCAAAAAGAAAAAGAAATGAATAAAAAAACCGGAGCGCAAACGTGGTGAAATGATGCCATGCCACGCAAGATTCCGCCCAATACGTCAAATAGCGAATAAGAAACAACCCCGGCGCCCGCCAGATGCAGAGAATGGGAATTCATAAGTGAGGAGTATGTGGTCCCCAGCGGCGATATACCTCGTGGTGACTTCATATATTGAAGTTTAGAGAGTCTCTCTTACTCGGTGCGGCTTTCGGCAGCTAGACTCTCATTGACGGCCACAAGGACTAGCGCGCAGATATCATCGACTTTGCCTCCGCGGTAGTAATCACCTGGGTAATAGCGTTGAGCCTCTTTAGCGAAGGGACCGTCGCGGCGGAAATCCGCGCTGGCGGCCTTGGCCTCGCCGGCGATGGAGGCCGCGAGAAGAGACTGGAGAGTGAAGGTAGATTCCAGGTTTGACTGCTCCTTCGCATTGGATTTAGTTGGAGAAGGGAATGCGGAAGCAAGTCCGCCGGCGATTGTTAAACCAGCAAGGGCATCCGAAACACCAACACCATAGTCTGGCGTGGCAGTCCACGCGCCCGTCAGAATCATGCGGCTGGTGACCACCTTGAGAATGTCCTGGTTGTTGAGGTTGTCGAAGACGCCATCCGTTGCCAAAATCAGAACATCGCCGTGCTGCATCTGAACGTTGGTGACCGCCGCATCGCGAGGGAAGTCTTCCAGAAAAGCGCCACCAAATACAGAGGCCTGCGCTCGCATGCGCGGGGGAATAATGCTTAGTTGATAGGGTGTATTGAAGCCATGCGTCTGCGGGACCGAATAGTGGTGTACCGCGGCGAGACGGAGCAAGACCGAACCCGAGTCACCCAAATTCGCCAGCTCGACACTGCCATCAGGCAGCGCAATGCCGACTGATGCTGTGCTGCCACCAGCCTTGACTGTGGGATCCGCCACGATATGGTCGTAGCCTTCCTGCAGAAGCTGCTTCGGTCGCAACTTATCTGCGGCGGCATCCCATGCCAGGGCTGACTGAGCCATATATCCACACAGACCATGCGAAAAGTCTGCTGGATCAACCCGGGACTCCGCCCAGCCGCCCACGCCATCGGCGACTGCAAAGGCAACGGCCTCCGCATCGGGGGCGCCAGAGCGGTGCGAGTTTTGTGAGCCGATCCGGCTCACGAAGAACGCATCCTCGCCGCTGTCGGGGCGGTTGCGCCTCCGGGTGCTCGGGTTCTTGTCTTTCGAGACGCCGATAACCTCAGACACCGCCGGATCAAAATTATATGCGTTTTTGAGAGGGTGAAAACGGCGTCCTTTACCCGACGACGAGACGGCAACCCGATAGGAGATCCGGGACGAGGCCGGAGGGGCCTCCGAAAGTCGGACTGGGGATGAGTGAAAGGCTCGTCGAGGTGGGAATCCGATTGCACATCCGCGAGCAATCGGAGTCTCAGGAGACGGTGCGTGCAGGAGCGAGGCAAAGAAGGCGGCGCTGGACCGGGGGGCTGCGCGAATCCCGGCTCGAAGAAGGGTTCGTAGCCTGCAGGCGGGACTGCAGGCTCCAGACCGGGCACTTGGCGGGATCATCGGGAAGAAACCGACCCCTCGGACCCGAGGCTCAGACGAGCATCGGAGGACCAGAGAGGAGAGAGGGGGGTTAGACGGGCGAAAGAGTGGTTTTGGAAGTTTGGAGGAATAAAAATGTCCAGATGGTCGGATAATACAGCAGCCGCCTGGATCTTATCGCGATTGACCGCCTGGCGTCATTGCGGCTTTGGGGTTTGGGGGCTTCTGTTGGGAGCCTGCAATTGGGTGTCTAGAGGAGACTAATTTTGGATTGATAGTGCAGTAGATAATAGAACAAGGGATACGGCTATATTTGCACTGAGTTGATCGACGGCAGGCTCCTGCGAACGTGTCTCACTGTCTCGTATACTCTATAGTTTCTTGTTTGGGGGGAGCGCATTCGCGGCAAATTTTCAGTTTCGGGTTTGGCGCTTGGACTGCTTTATCGGTTCTGCCGCCCGCTTCCACCACCTCCAACGCGCCTGGAAACGCTCTCCTTCCTCAGTGTCTTCCCCTTTCTCCTCTCGCAAATTGTCTTCATTATTCACTCTTTACCTAGAAGCGCGAGCTTCTTTCTGCGCCCAAGATGATGCACCCCTCTCGACAGGCCTATGTCGAGGAGGCGGCTGAGGTGAGCAACCTCTGTAACTTTTAACTGACGCCATTATCCTGGTCATTCAAGGTCTCCAGTGAACTTGCAAATCTCTGTGAGATAAACCACTGTTACCGACCTTCCATAAATGGATCCTGGCGCGCTGGCAACTGGGTAGATGTTGTGACTAACAATTGCCGTTTACTAGGAGATGGATACTGGCATTGATCTCGCCAATTTGCGTATGTGACTACCCCCAGATTCCTTACTGACTCTCCGGCTAATGGCAACATAGCTGTTGACCAAGACTATGAGATTCCCTCATCGGTGGCGGGTATCCCGTCCGAACGGGCCTCCGCTATCATATCACAGTTCGAGCGAAAACGGAGAGCTGCTGCGATGGTGGTACCGACAGATGATACTCGAGTTCGCGCTCGGTTACGAGAGCTGGGAGAACCGATTACTCTGTTTGGCGAAGGACCTGCAGATCGTCGAGATCGTTTGCGCGAGCTGTTGACCGACATGGCGGACAAGCAAGGCGAGGGGGATATCGAGATGGAGGAAGCGGATGAGGAAGAGGAGGTGGAACAACAAGAAGAATTCTATACGGAAGGCACAAATGAGTTGCTGGAAGCCCGGAAAGCAATTGCGCGCTATTCTTTACCGAGGGCCAAGGCGAGAGTGGCCCGGTTGAAGGACGAGTCGACAATTCCACTTCGAACACACGTCAAGCATCGGAAGGCAATCAAAGAGAAATTGCAAGGATTTGATCTCTGGGGATCCCAGATTGCAGGCGAACGTCCCGTGAGCATTTGCCGATTCGCGCCGGACGGACATACCATTGCTGCCGGAAACTGGGGCGGTGCTATCAAGCTGCTATCGGTACCGAATTTAGAGGAGAAAGCGAATCTTAAGGGACACGATGATCGAGTGGGTGGTCTTGCGTGGTTCCCTGGGGCTACATTACCAGAGTCAAACGTTTCACCATCGACAGTCAACCTCATTTCTGGAGGAGGAGAAGGGAATATCAATCTTTGGGCTCTCGACCAGGACAAACCGCTGGCAACTTTGTCCGGACATTCGGGTCGTGTATGCCGTACGGAATTCCACCCGTCAGGTCGATATGCGGCATCTGCTTCTTTCGATACTACTTGGCGACTATGGGACGTGGAGACAACTTCAGAGCTTCTTCTGCAGGAAGGCCATTCACGCGAAGTGTATGCGGTATCATTTAACAGCGACGGGTCACTCCTAGCGAGTGGTGGATTGGACAGTATTGGGCGGATCTGGGATCTGCGTACAGGGCGCACGGTGATGATCCTGGAAGGCCATATTCGGGAGATCTATGGCATGGACTGGGGTACTGATGGGTACCGAGTCCTCTCTGGCTCCGGTGATGGCTGGGTCAAATGCTGGGACCTCAGGCAAGTGCGCAGTACCGGTGGCATTGGTGCACATAAAAGTGTCGTTTCCGATCTCCGCTGGTACAAGGGCGCCGAGTCGGTATCATACTTGCCTTCGACAGACAGCGGCCCGATGGAGATTGATGGCGCACCCGCACCCGCCGACGAATCATCGGGGGTCCAGCCCAAGAAATCCGGAACCTTCTTTGTCTCCAGCGGATTTGACCGGAGCGTGAATATCTTCAGCGCAGATGACTGGTCCCTCGTGAAGACGCTGAGTGGGCACTCGGGCAACGTCTTGAGTGCGGATGTCAGCAATGACGCCAAGTGGATTGCCAGCTGCGGTCATGACCGCACCGTTAAACTCTGGGGCATTGAGTGAGCGTTCACTCTCATACACATATTCATTTTTCATGCTATCGCAGCTGCTTCCCTCTCAGCCTACTTATAAAGAGGATTCTCATCTACAAAAAGTCTTCCCCTTGGAGGCGTTCCAGCGTTTGGCCCATGCGCTACTGCTTACTTGCTCCTCAAATTCTGATTCTTTTTCAGCGCGGATGAATTGAGTGAGATCAAGATACCACTAGGAGCAACCCATATCTCATGTCCCATGTCTTTGAGCTCCATACCATGTCCTAGGCTCATAATATGTAACGTTTAGCGAATCTAATCATCAAGAACCAATACAACATATATCACGTGCTAAATACGGGATGACGTAAGGTTTAGTTTCTCGCCGCGTCTCCGAGTCTTCGGCTTCGGCCTCTGGTTTATTCTTGCTTTCATGTATTTGCACCATGGCGTTTCGTCCACCGGGCCTGATGCGGCATTTGTGTCGCTTTGCAAACATTCGTTCGATCAGCACATCCACTAGACCAAGTGCTAGCAGCATAAACTCACAGAATGCGTGTTCACTTTGCCGATTTCGCACGCAGCAAGCTCGTCGCCCGGCGCTTGCTCCAACAACCCGGTTCCTCTCTCCAATGTTGCCGATATTGACTGGCCGCTATGCATCCACCGAATCCACGGAACCCACCCTCGTTGGCGCCCCCGATATTACCAATCACTATACAATCTTCTCTCGAACAATCCCGGCGGGCCCCCCGCCAGCTTCACCCTTCAACATCTCGCTCGGCGACCTCAAGCGTGAGTTCCTGCAGTTGCAAGGGTTAATACACCCTGACAAGTACCCCGCTGGAGCGGCTAAGCAACAAGCGGAGGCGCTCTCTGCGCGCATCAACGAGGCATACCGGACATTGGCCGACCCACTCCAGCGGGCGCAGTACCTGCTGCGTGAATGGCACGGGATTGATGTGACCGCCGAGGACGCGGCGACAAAGCATGCACTGGATCCGGAGACGCTGATGGAAGTGATGGAGGTGCAAGAGACGATCGAGGAAGTCGGGGCGGAACCTGAGGCGGAAACGGAGATCAATGCGCTGAAGAAAGAGAACGACGGTCGCATCGAGGCATGTGTGGAATCGCTATCGAATGCATTCAATCGCGGCGACCAGGAGGCTGCACGCAAAGAGTGCGTGCGACTCCGATTCTGGTACAGCGTTGGAGAAGGACTGCGGGAATGGGAGCCGGGGAAGACAGAGATTCGGTTGGTGCACAGCAGCTGAAGATGATATGCGTACGTCAGACGATTTGATACCTATTTTCCCGCCTGTATTATGGCCATGATGGCATTTGGGGCCTTTGTGCTTGTATAGACTTGAGATATACCCTCCTCTCCAATTTGATCTATCCATCCTCCAAGTTTTGCTTCCATCTCACAAGGTAGAGCTTCCATCCACTGTATCCATAACACATACTAAGCGCGCAAGACATTTTTTACGAGAATACTGTATAAATTCTGCCAAACAAAAATTAGCTCGGAATAAGGATGTATATTTCTAGTGATTGGATAACAGATACGAAACTGGGCAACTTACTCTTCCAATAATGTTTGCAGACTCTCTCCAATTAAATCTTACAGACATAATCCCACAATTCTACGTTAACATTACCCGATAAGCTACCCAGGGTGTCATCATTTCGCAGGGGATTTTGTCAAGATTCGCATGTTGGACAGCAAATCACCGACCGGGAAATCAGGCTGCGGGTTAGACATTAGGGCACGGCTCTCGATCGCCTTACCATATCAGCATTGACCAGCCAACGCACCAGCATCCTCAGACCGCCACAATTGGCCCCGCGATATCGAGGCGATACCAAGGGAGAAAATAAAAATAAAGCTGGCAACAAACACTGCAGCACAAAACCCACTTAGAACCCTGCGAAGTGGTCCCTTTCAACCAGTGAGGGCCCGCATTGGGTTCTCAGAAGGCTGGGGATTGGGCACGAATGTTTCCCATTGTCACTCTCCAGTCTCCTCGTTGATCGAATGACTCTTGTCCACGGTTATGACTGAGCATTATTCCTGCAATATGCGATGCACTGCATAGAGATGGAAATGGACAGTTGTTCCCCCGGTGTGGCGGCATGGGTTTGTGAACAGGCATTCCAAACATTGCCAACAGTAACCCATCAAGCACGAGGTTAATGACACCCGTAAGATGCTACCACTGTGTTTAATACCTGATCAGTGAGTTTCTGACCGATCCGAGTCGGTCTGCTGGCACGGCGTTGGCGTCGATGGCATCCGCCCCGCCTCTCTCCCATCAGGACTGCACACGTAGCCAACCACCCAGACTATCTGGGTCGCTTGCTGTGCCCGAGCAGACAGGCTTCGGTACCTCGGTGACTTGGCCCAAGCTAGCGGAGACCTAGACACTATTTAAGCTTGTAATCATCCGACATTGTAGATGCAGGGGGTAACCATACTTCTACTTTGATCTTTCTCATCACTGGATCGAAACCCTAGAGAAGCACCCAGCTCCCATGGACTCCATTCCCAACTATAGTAGGTATGTGATGCAACATTTCGCATCCATGTCTTCGAAGAACTCCGCTGACAGATTCGAGGGATATCTTGCTTACAGTATCATCCATTCGCCGTCCTTCACATTTCTCGTCGGTCCGAAGCATACCAAATTAACTATCCAATCTGGATTAGCTCAACATGTCTCGAAGCCGTTGCACAATCTCATGAACAATGGGCACACCCGAGAGTCCAAGCATCGAATAGCAGTTCTCGAGGAGGAGGATGCTGAGACCTTTGTCGCCTTCTGTGAATATGCGTATACCGGTGATTATAATGTTCCACAGTTGCCCGTCCCGCAAGAGGAATATCGCGCGGGTGTGGCAGATAGTGCGCCCAGTCCTGGAAACTCGTGGAGAGGCACATATCGCTCAGACTCTGTATCATCGGGAATTCCTCCCCCAGCTCCGTCGCCACCTCCGGAATCGATTGGCAAGTCTAGCCAGACGGCCAAGCTTGACTCCCCCCCGATGATCGAGGAGGACATACCCGCAGAGGCTGCGGCGGAAGTCGAAGCAGAGGCTGCGGTTGAGACACAGGAAGTGAGCAAAGAAGATGAGAATTCCGATGTTCCAACACTCGAGCCTCTAGACCAGCCCCAGAAGCCCGCCGAATATCTCAACGAATCTCCCAATGCGGAATATCCTGGAACAGCTCCCGAACAAGGCTGTGTCGATGCAGAGGTGACCCCAACTCCGACCGACGAAGACGATCGTTTGGAATTACCCGAAGAATGGTCCAAGCCAAGCAAACTATCAAAAAAGGACAAAAAGAAGAAGAAGCAGCAACAGCAAAAATTGGAAGAGGAGCGTCCCGCCAGCTTGACACCACCTTCCACACCTCCTCCCGAGCACCCCTCAAATGAGGTGCATCCCGAGCCTGTAGTGGAAACCCCGGCTGGAGCAGAGAAAATGCTTCCCCGAGAAGAACTAAAGCCAGTACCGGCAGAGGAGCCATATGCGGAACATGAAACTGAGCCTGAGCCTGAAGTTGAACCTAAGATAGCACTTGAAGAAGCCCCCGAAGAGTGGGAAGAGCCATCTGCATACCCCACCGAGGACGCACAGCGACAGGATGAATGGGAAGCCGACGATGCCGAAAATCAGGGCCGGGTATACCAAAGCGAGACTAACGAAACGCAAGAAACAACAAAACCTGTGATCGACATGTCCTTTGCCAAACAAACCGATTCATCGCCTCGTACACCTGGACTGAGCCTGTGGGACGAGTTTGCCGCTCTTCAGTACAACTACAACCGGCCGAGCCCTAGTGCGAATACTAACGCCGACGTCAGCGATGCCAGCAGAGCTACCGAGTTACCGTATCTCACCTTCCACGCGAAAGTCTATGTCTTCGCCACTCGCTACCTTATCCCCGCTCTGGCCCAGTTATGCCTGCGCAAACTGCACCGGGATCTGGTCCATCTCTCGTTTGCCGACGAGGAAATTCTGCGGGACCCATATGTGGACATGCAACAGGATGTCGGCAGCTTGGCCATGCAGCAGGATCTCGGCAGCTTGGCCATGCGGCAGGCCCCGATGGTCCTTGACCTGTTACGGTATGCCTATACCAGGACAACTCGGCTCGAGCCGATCAACCCGACATCAGCGACGCAGCTTCGAGAGAACGAGCTACGACGGCTGGTGGTACACTATGCGGCGTGCAAGGTGAAAGAGCTTGCGCGATACCACGCGCCGGGAGATAGCGAGACGGCGACACCTTCTGTCCGACCGGTGGATGTGAAATTGAACCGAACTAACCTTGGGTTTCCGAAGAGTCTGCGGTCCTTGTTAGATATGACGCCAGAACTAGCCTCTGACCTGGTGTACCGCATGATGTGAATGCATGAAGTGATATGATTGGGAAGGGTTGAACGCATGGATGGAACACGCCAAGGCGGATGAGAGTATGACATGAAACCTTCTCTTCTCCTTATGTCTTTTTTCTTTTCTTTTTTTTCTTTTCTTTTCTTCTGCGGCATTGCTGGCTTGTTTTCGTGTCGTGGAAAGCCCTGCTGTATCCTGTTGCATTATTTGTCATTTCAGGCGCTCATCATTGACGGGTTTTGATCACTTTCTTGACTGCGTTCTCATCTCTGTAGTTGTGTTTTCCACCAGTATGAAGCAAGTTGTACATTTCGATCATTATTGGTCCTGCGGAAGATCAAGAAAGTGTGATGCATGAAACCATATGAATCATTGCTATGGTGGAATAGACCTGATTGATTTCGATGTTTTCGACCAAACTCTGCATGGGTAATTCATAGAGACCAAGGAGGAAAGCTGTGTTTCCTGTTGACTGTTAGCACGCCAGATCCACTGTAAAGCATCGCAGGTCTGGGCATCTTGGCGGATGATGTCGAAGCGAACATTTCCAAGCGCCCAAAAATAAGCATGAAACCCACACATGCAGGTGATCGACATCAACCATGTCCGGCTTTTTTCTTGGCGACCATCCCGTAGTCAATAGTGCTGGGTTGGCGCGGAGGCTGTGAAGATAAGAGCCAGCAACCCAAGGCATTTAGGGCATTCAGGGGCAGAAGAACGCTTTGACTTGGGATCTATCGACTTTCCACACTTCCGACTTCTCTCTCCATGCTTGCACAAATCTGGTTCATCCCCCTTTTCCGTCTGCTCCCAACTTATTCACAGCCCCCCAAAAGCTTGGCAGCGGACCGCTCCTCGATGATGCGGGCGTCGATCATCGGTCTTGGCTTGGCCACTATGCACGTTGCACACGCCGTGCCAGGCCGGAGAATTGGCGGCTTCCATGCTTACCGGTCGGGCTTGGACAGGGCATAGACGAGCATCCGCAAAATTCGGGCCGAAGAACGGACATGGATACATCGCGAGAGTCTCAAGCGTAAATCATGATTCACACTCCTCGCATTGAAGAGAATACCACGAGACGAGAGACATGATCAATCAAAGGAGGCTCTCTTGGCGACACAATTTTCATTTCAGCGAGGCACAGGCGGAGAGCAGCCTTGCTGTTGAACAGCGGAGTTCTTGGCGCAACTGATGAACGCTTTCCCGGCCAGGCATCGAGGTTTTCTATACCGCTCCCAGTATCTATCACCCCGACGCTCAATGGCCAGACTAGGTAGATCATCGTACAACATACGGCGTAATCATGCGTGCTTTGCCCCCTGCGCCCCTTGGTGGAAACTAGGGCCCCCTGGACCTAGTGCATAAGGCCAATGTATGTACTTCTTCCCCAGGAGCATTGGCTCTGCCAAGCCCGATGAACTGGGCCGATCTATCCTGGTGAATTCTTGGTTTGATGTGGCCTTTGATGGGTCCTGATAACCGTCTCAACGCTGGTAGGCCCATTTTGGACGAGCGCCAGGCTTCAGGAGAAACTAGACCCGTTCCACTTGGACACTGCAGTTCTCGGGCAGCGAAGGTGGTCTTGGTTTTTTCTTGGCGATGGAGACATCATTAGAGTATGGTGGCTCAGGATGGATTGGTGGCGGTTCGATTGCGCATGTGTCTTGGATAGTTGTAAGAGGAAAGGCTGGAAGGAGAATGGCGGATGGCATAAAGGATCGACTCCTCACGACTTCTCCATTTTCTCCATCTTCAATTCCCCTTCAATTCACTCAATTCATTGCACGGTCATTTGCATCAGCCATAGCTTGTTATATCTCTTTTTGTCGCATCTCGTCTCATTTGTTCTCATCTTGTTTTCCTGCCTTCATTCCTAAACGACGCCCTAGTTCGTTTCCATTTTGATACTCTACCAGACGTTATTTCAATCATTCTTTAAACCTCCTTGGATGTTCAAGTTCATTCAATTATAGCATAGCTGCTCATCTTATATAACAACGACAACATCATGCACTCTCATCCACCCAGTCCCGGTTTATTGGGAGGAGAATGCTATGAAATGCCCCCCCAGTCATCTCATTCTAATGACCCGATGCTCGACACCGAAAAGACGCTCAAGCCCATTCGATTGGACTTTCGTCAACGGCTGCGCCATTTCACCTGGGCTTGGTATACATTAACTATGAGCACGGGGGGGTTGGCTCTTCTGATCATTAACCAGCCCAACAAGTTCAACGGCATCTACGAGATCGGACTGGCTGTCTACGTGATCAATCTCGTTCTGTTTGCTCTGGTCTGCTCCTTGATGGCTGCTCGATTCATTATTCACGGTGGTTTCGTCCAATCACTTACCCACGACCGCGAGGGCCTCTTCTTCCCTACACTCTGGCTCACCATTGCGACTATGATCACCGGCCTCGAAAAGTACTTCGGTGATGATCCTGCGCCCGCATTTTCCACCACTCTCGAAGTCCTCTTCTGGGTCTACTGTGCGTGTACATTTGCAGTGGCCGTGATCCAATACTCCTTCCTCTTCTCTTCGATCACATACCGTCTCCAGACCATGATGCCTTCGTGGATCCTTCCAGCTTTTCCCATCATGCTCAGTGGCACCATTGCATCCGTCATCGCAGAACGGCAACCAGACCGATCCGCAATCCCCATTGTCACAGCCGGCATAACGTTCCAGGGCCTTGGGTTCTGCATCAGTTTCATGATGTACTCCCACTACATTGGCCGGCTGATGGAATCAGGCCTTCCCTGCCGCGAGCACCGACCGGGCATGTTCATTTGCGTTGGTCCACCGGCCTTCACAGCCCTGGCCCTCATCGGCATGGCACGCGGTCTCCCGGCAACCTTCAGTGTTATGGGCAGCGAAGATACTGAAGCGGACGGGCGCATGATCGAGATCCTGGCTCTGGCCGCCGGGGCATTCCTATGGGCCCTGAGTTTCTGGTTCTTCTGCATTGCACTCATTGCAGTGATTCGATCCCCTCCCACCGCATTCCACCTAAGCTGGTGGGCAATGGTTTTCCCCAACACAGGTTTCACGCTGGCCACTATTACCCTAGGCAGCTCCTTCGAGAGCTCGGCCATCAAAGGAGTTGGGTCAGCGCTATCCATCTGCGTCATCTGCATGTGGCTTTTTGTTTTCGTCAACCACGTATTAGCTGTCATTCGACAAGACATCATGTTCCCAGGCAAAGACGAGGATGTCTCGGATTGAGATTATAGCCATTTTGATCTTTAGTGACTGTCGTCGACTATCTTTTGCCTTTTTTTTTTTTTTTTTTTTTTTCCGTGAACGTCTTGATATTTGCGACCATCTTTCATTCTTGCCATCAGCATTCAGTTCTTCATATTGGGCTAACGGGAGATTTGCAAGCATTTTCTTTTGGCGTTCGGGCATACATTCGGGCATATACTTGATCACAGCAACCAGATGCACTGGGCGATCGTGGGGCCTAGGGCTAGACTTTTGGTGATTATGATGATAGAATCAAAGAATGATAGAACATCCATTCAAATAAATACTCGACTGCATCCATAGCAACTACAACAAAGGGTATAAGCAACAAAGTCTCCGCCAGTAAAAGGAGTAATGAACGAAGAGCTCTCAAACAAGACTAGTATCTATAAGATAGAGAGACACAGACGTTTCCCCAGTCAGACCAGCTAACTCACCTGCAAGTCCAACGTGTTCAGGGAGAAATCCTTGACATAGATGAGTCAAACCACACTGTGACAAATATGGATAGAACCAAAGGTGGTTGGGGAGATTTGGAGGAACGGGGAGAGGATGGTGAAGGGCAAAGGAGAAAGGATTTTGCGGGACTTTTTGCCTTTACCTGGCTGGTAAGAAGGTGCTAACGAACAGAAAGCTGGCTCCGAGCGACAATTGACAGGAGGTTTCCAGAAGAGAAAAAATTAGATAAAGCGACTCGCCTGGTTAGCGACGAAACCGATCACAGTAAATTGACTCCACATAACGCTCTGCTTGCTTCAGGCTATGACACCCGCCGGATCCCGGCGCATACTATTCGGGAAAATGGGAGCCGCCAGAGTTGGACGGCGGTTGGTTGGTGAAGCAAGAAAGCAAGTTGGGACCTAGCACATGAATTTAATGCTCGTTGTCATATGTGGCAGTTTATTCGGAAAGGAGTCTTTCTAAACATAGTTCATTTGGCGAGGCGAAATGGAAACTGATCTCGCAACACGGACCTGGCTTATTTGGCGCTGTTGACATGTGGGTCGACTCCCCATAGTAATCCAGGCGCTTGTTGGTTATGACCCGATAGCTAACTAGTCCGGTGGGTATCCGATTGGAAAGCGCTTGTACAGATTATCGGGGGAAGAGACGGTGTGTCGTTCCTACACTTCAATCGATACTCTGAGTTGATAGTAAAAGTTGCCTGGCCGGCGTGAATGAACTACTTGTTAGTACATAGTATAGTCATTTTGCCGATCAAGTAAGGAACCGAAGATGAGCCATTGAGGTATATGAACATCAGCTGACTCTTCATTTAATCCGAGTCTGGATATTGGAGATTTGGTGCCAGTAAATACAATTCCTCGCTTCAATGCGGACGAATTGAAGCAATGAATGCGAATGATACAAAGAGCGAGTAAGCATGCCGCTGCTATGATTGGGTCCATGGACAGTGGAACTGCGATCTTATAGTCCCCACCAAGTGTCTGTTGAATGCAGGCGTCTAGTCAGTTGGAAGTCGACCAGAGAGATAATTGGACAAATCAAGTTAGAGGATGACATGATTGTGCTACAGTTGTATGTGGTAGGTCGTCAACCTCCGAGGCGTTCTAAGAGCTCCAGTACCGATACGTTTCCAAGTAGGTCATAGCTGCTCCTTCCATATGAGCGATAATAGATCCTTCAATAGCGATATCAGGTATTTTTAGTCCGAGATGTCCTAGACAGACAGCTATAAAAAGGGCTTGAGATCTCGGCTCAGTCTGTCAGAGCGACAAATACAAAACCATCCTTCTTCGTTCTATCAATCTTTCCTTTAACTGTCAAAGACAATCAACCGATATGGGCGCAGAAGGCTCGAAGCTCACGGCTGCCGCAAAGGACAAGGTGCAAAAAAAGGTGGATGAAACGCTGGATAAGAGAGGGATAAGACACAGCCCCGCGCCAAAAGAGGACAAGAAAAAGAAGGAAAAGGGGCCTCCTGTACCTCCCAAGGATGGCTTAGGAGAGCAGCAGAATGGCGTCATCAGGAGGAATTGAGAAGATCTCGGTGGATGGAAATTATCTCTTTGATCTGATATTCGCATTGGGTGTCTACCTCCGTTCCTATGCAATGTCATTTTCGGCGTACTGGCAGTGTGGCCAAAGTCCCTGTACGAACATAGATCGATATGGACAATTATTTCCCGTTGATCTAATCTTGTCTTAATGATTTCTTGTCGGACATCCGTTTGCGTCTACTATTTGGAGAAGATTTCATTTCCGCTCACTCCTCCATCCTGTTTGTATATACTCTCTATATATACAGACTTAGCAGCGTGTCACAACCAGATCAATCATCACTTCCTACTCATAACTCAATTTCCCGTAACTATATGGCTGGACTGTCAGATGTCGCGCGAGCATTGCTCTTCTAGCAATGCAAATTGCAGAGGTACCGCCCCAGTCAATTGCCTGGTTAACTTTGGATTATATGGGCACCACAACACGAGACCCTATAATTTGTCTGAGCCTTCAAATCGTCTCAAATTGTTCACACAGTGTAGAACTATTGTAAGAACCTTGCTCAACAAGAAGGTGAGAGTTAAACAATTGACCAACTAATCCATTAACCCTGAGCCTCTAAACTAACCAACCAGCTAACCAACCAACAAGCCCACTGACTACGCAAGCTACCAACTCATTAACCAAGCAGCTTTCGCAAATGAAACCAAAAGAGGTACGATATTTGCAGTCATTTGATAGGCTCTTTATACCGGATTTTCTTCGGAGGTATCGGTCTGACGAGATAGCGATCGCGTGACCCTTCCCTGCTCTTTCCATGCCTATCACATTTCGCTTTCCCATTTTCGTCACGAGTGGTGTGTTTTGAAGTATGATTATTTAAACAAGGGCTTCTACAAGGCCCTGGTATCAATTCCAAATGACCTATTCGTATACCTCAACGACTTATCTTGGATTCCCTACCCAATCAATAACTTGACTACCCTGACGGGTAGTTTCCTTCTAGGATAATTCACGCACTTCAGCATCAGACCTCCATCAGAATTTAAAATACCATAAAGGAATTATTGATTGACATCCGACATGGAAAAAGATGTGAATAAGCAACCGTATCAACCTATGTACACCGAACACCTTGATACAACCTGGCCACAAAGGCACCCTATGCAAAATGTATATGTAGAACAGAAGACAAAAGACATCGGGTATCATGATTTTTTGAGTCTGAAGAAGACCAGTAGAAGTAGGACTTTTTGGAGGCACTGTGTCGGGACAGTGTCATTGAGAAGCCGGGCGAGAATTCCGCCCAAGGTTCCTGGGAGGACCACTAGGGGCCAAATCCGCAAAAATTTCCCACAGATACCAGATAGGGTTACAGACTCATGTTTCCAGTGTAAAGAGACCAGAAATTTCGAGTCAGAGTGCCAGGCGAGGGAGTAGCCCATTTCTTGAGGGCATCTGTAGTGGGAAAAGTTTGGCAGATTGTGACCGGTGAGTCTGTGGTACACCGAACAAGCTGAAGGTGCACCAGGCATTCAGAGACCACAGTCCATCGCTTAAGCGACCTTGCGACCGACATTGCCAATACCACGTCCCACAACACTGACGATAACGTCACCTTCCTCATTCTCGCTAGCAGCATCCCGAATACCCCACCCAGAAGCCCCGAACTTGGCCAGATCACGAGCGAGCTGAATGACGTTGGGGTCTGCAATGACTTCACGACCGAGCTGTAGGCGGCCAACGTCTTCAGAACCCATGGTCATCAGGGTCAACATGGTGGCAGCGGCTGCGGGGGGAACACAGCCACCCTTGGAGATGGTCTCCAGCAGTTGGTAAGCACAGTTCTTGCCAATATCCTCAGGAGGCTCACCGCCTGAGGGAGGAGAAGCCACATCAGCCGAATAGAGGCAGCCAGTGGAGGACTCGGCAACCAAAGACAGACCGAAACCCAGGCCAATCTTCTTCTTTGCGCTCGGGTTGTTCTTGTCCGGCGCAGGGACAAGCGGGGCAGATGACATATCGGAGAATACATATGTGTCGGGGCTGAGAGGGTTCAAGATACCACGGGCAGCCTCGATCATTCGGGCGTTATTCGAGCCTGACACGCCCACGGAGTATGCAACACCACGAATACGCTTGATGCGGCCGGGATTCATCAGGTGCAGAGTCTTCGGCAGACGAATTTGGTGACCAAAAGTGAACTGCACTTCGCCACCACCGCCTCGACCGTTCGGGCCGGGATTTGACCGCTTCAAGATTCGCAATTCCACGTTGTTAAAGATGCCAAATTGGTTGTACAGCGGAAGAACGGCGGTACGGACGCTGTCGACGGACATATCGCCATTGGGGGTCGAAGATGTGATGACACCAGAACCAGTAAAAAGAATCTTAATGGGCGCTTTGGAGAAGGGTGCCAGAAGACAAAGCGGAATCAGGTAGTAGCTGAGGCCCCGATTGCAGTTTGAGGGGAGCTCATGGGTGATCATGCCGCCGTTGGGCGCCGAGCTTGAGCTGCCTGTGATGAGACCCGGTTTGTAAACCACAATTGTACCGGTGTAAGAGATTTCCATTTGGGAGCCATTCGTGACAGCATCGAGCAGACGCAGAAAAGAAATCTCGTGGGGCAGCAGGCCGGGGTTTGTGGGCGAAGACGAGCGAATTTGCGAAATGTGCACAGTACGGCCGGTAAGGGTAGAGAGCACCAAACGATAGACCAGATTGTGGTGCGAAGTGAACCGCAGCGGGGGTTGTTGTGTCGCCATTTTTGCGATGCGATGCCTTGCTGTCTTCGAGCCGAAGGTGAAGCTGCTTCCCGGCAAAAAAGAAAAATCCACGGAGCAAGGTTGATCCGTTCCGGGGCCGCGGCTTAAATCCGATTAGTATCTCCGCGCATCAGATAATTGAGTGGACTGATGGAACTGGACCCTTTGACATGCGACAGTTGTCCCTTCTCTCTTTCTCTCATCCTTCGACACGATCTCCCCTTGGTTCCGCTCATCGAATCGGACCAGCGTGGAGGTAATTGACATCACGATGCTTCCACCCGCCCTCAATATCCCCAAATGGTTGGTCATGCTCTAATTCCTATCACGCTGCCCCTCGATGAATCATTGCGGGGGCCCCCGGAACAATCTCATCTTGCGATGACAGCGGCATGAACTTGAAACTCATAAAATAACCACGTCTATCTAGGCTCGAAGCCAACTCCCATCTCTTGCAGCCGCCTGTGAACAACTATTGTGTCTACCACCCTTCCTCTCCGGCGACAGCCGGTTATACCGTGATGATCGTCGGCGGCCCGAATGCACGAACAGACTACCACATCAACACCACACCCGAATTCTTCTACCAGTACCGGGGCTCGATGCTGCTCAAGACGGTTGACACCTCCACCACGCCGCCCACATTCCAAGATATCCCGATCCACGAGGGCTCAATCTTCCTGCTCCCACCGAACACCCCGCATTGCCCCGTGCGCTTCAAAGATACGGTGGGAGTGGTCATGGAGCAACCACGCAAAGAAGGTGCGGTAGATATTATGCGATGGTATTGTGGGAAATGCAGCGAGATCGTTTGGGAGAAATACTTTGTGTGTACCGACCTGGGAACCCAAGTCAAGGCGGTGGTGGAGGAATTTGGTGCCGACGAAGAAAAGCGAAGATGCAAGGCATGTGGAGAAATCGCAGCGACCAAGTATGGACCGGGAGAGCTGGTACAACCGCCGAGGCACCCCGAGTAAGCAACGATCAACTCACTGAATGCCTGACTGGACAGGAGCCCTGACAAAACTTGGGCCAAGAGCCCCCAATGTGTAAATTTTATGAATATATATCGCAGTAGACGAGTTTGTATTATGAGTGACGAGTTTAATATTCTTTCCTCCAATGGAAGTAACATTGATCCGAATTAGGTCGTCGCGAGGAGGGAGAGAGACACTATGGGTCCTTACTGAGACAGAGAAATATGGATTTTAGGAGAGATGGTCCGATGCGTGGGGTATGAGTGATTAGATTTGATATTAACGTCTACATATGAAGCCTGTAGAATGGCAGTATGACACGGATGATCGATCAGCAGCTGAGACTGACCTAGTTCCAGGGAACGCGAGAACAAAATGATATGATCAAAGAAGGGTCAAGAAAAAGGGGTTATCAAAACGAAGGTCGGGTCCGATGAAGGACCCACGAAGGGAGAAGTGAGGTGTATAGACACACGTGAAGAGAATGAACCATGAACCGAAATGATGGGAGAAATAATACACACGGGGAAAAAGAGAAGGACATCAACACTCCGACATGACACTTGAACCACAATTGCGCATCAAAATCTCACGCGCCGAATGCAAAAGGATGAGCCAAGTCAAGAGGAAGAAAAGATGAAGAAAAGAGAGAAGAAAGAGAATGTCCTAGAAGATGACCAAGGGAGCAACGAAATCTATCCCCAGCTGGATCATCTCATGCAGTACGCTCAAAACAATCACACCAATCACACATTCGCTATGGAACATTATTCATCAAAAGGACAGTCAATGCTCTCATGGCCATCCCGTTCACAGAGAGCACACCACTTCGACTCGTCAATGATACCAGATGACTTGCCGGCAATGGGATCCATGGAGGATCCGAGGCCGCCAATACCTTTCAGTCCTTCAAGGACAACGTCCCGGCCGGTCTTCTGGGACGGCAAACTCCCGGTGTGGCTCTCGGAGCCAACTGGAGTTGGTACCCGCTGTTCATCAGCCAAGATGTCATGCTTCTCGGTCGAAGCATCGGGAGTCTTTTCTTGAGGAGCATTTTTCTTGTCAGAGCCGAACATGCTGGTGCAGTTCAAGATGTCATGGCCACCGGTCTCGCAGATCTCACACCACAGGGTATCGTCATCAGAAGAGCGCTCTGATTCTGGCATTGGCTCCAACCGTGGCTGGGAGGAGCTCGACGTGCCACGGTGGTGCTGGGGCGGACCATTCACGGGAGGGTCGTTCCAGTCATTCGGCACCACCGTGCGGTCGGAGAGACGATGCGCATGGTTGATATTGTGGTTGACGGAGATGTTGCTGGACGAGTTTGTCGGCTTATGCTGCTTGGGGGAGAGAGTAATGGTGGAGCTGCGATTGCGGCTACCGGAGTTGGAGTTCATGCGGAACTCCTGCAGTTCTCTCTCCAGCTCTTCGATCCGAGTGTCTTTGCGCTGCGCGGTGCCCTCGACCTCCTGCAGCCGTTGTTCCAACTGGGAAACCTGCTCTTTCTGGTCGTTGTGGACTTCCGCATGGCTGTGTTCGCCCAGGTTAGCCGCACTCGGGTTACCACGGCTGAGAGAGTGGATGATGGCTTTCAGCCCTCGAATCTCATCATCCTTCTGCTCCAGCTCGTGGGAGTTGCGAGGGCTCTCAGCTGCCGCTTGCGCACCCTTAAGAGCGGCGGCTCCATGATCGCGTTCTTTCTGTAACTCCAACTTGGTCCGCTCAACTTCGCCGCGGAGGAATTCCACCTCGGCCCTTGCTTCTGCCTCGCCCCGCCTTGCGTCTTCGAGGCCCTCCTCGAGTTCTGAGACCAATTCTTCCAGTTGTTTCAGCTGCTGTGCCACAATCTCGACATCTTCCCCTCGGTCCTGTAGCTCCTTATTCTGTTGGAGAAGCTCATCCAGGCGCTGCTCATAAACGCGTTCCGTCTCGGACGCCGCAATCTCCAAGGTGTCCAATGTACTCCGAAAGTCCGCTCGATGACCGTCGAATTCGGCGGTCAATTGGTTGATCCGTTCGTTTCGCTCGCGTAGTTGAGCCCGGATGTTCAGCGAATCCGACCCTTCGAGTTCCTCGAGAGTTTTTGAAAGTCGCCCAGGGTCTTTGATTGTTCCTCTAACTGCTTATCCCGATCCAGTAATTGCCTTTCCAGACTCTTGATATGATCCTTCAGCTCTTGGGTCTCCGCCGAGGAAGGCCGCTGGAAATCCGACGGCCGGCCATATGTCGACGCGTTATCATCATCCAAGCTAATTCGAGACGGAGGTCGATCTGACAGCCGAGAGGGAGCTTTAACCGGGCTTTTGATTGGGCTGCGCTGGAATCCGTTGGAGGCCGACGTTCTCGACGCCGCCGAGGGGGTGCGAAGGCCCCCCAGGCTTAACTTGGGAGGCGAGACGGTGGTTCGCGGGGACTCCGGACGAGGTAGAGATGGCCGGCGGATTCGCGGACGAGGCATCGACGGGCTGGGACCCATGGATTTGCTGAAGTTGACCGGCGGGGCGCGCGCAGGAGTCGTGGGCACCGCGAATGTGCTGGCCGAGGGGACTCGCAGCGTGACGTATTTGCTGTTGTTCATGGGCACGAAGATACCCGAGCCGGGCACGGATGTCGCGAAATACTGTCGGCCCTCCACATCGCCGCTATTTTTCCCTCGTTGCGCGTGTTCGGCCCCGAGTTCAATTCCTGCAAAGCGGCCAGGCTTGCCCGCCACGGTGCCCAAGTATTTGACGGTGCCGTACATGCCACCAGGCACGTTCACCAGGTCGCCAACCTGCACGTCCGCCATGTCAAACACGAGAAGCAACGGTTTCCACGTAGAAATTCCGCGTTCGTTTCAGTCGTCTAGAGGGGGAAGGATGTTTGAAGTCGAGAGCAAGAGTTGCAAGTTGAGAGTTGCCTGCGCGGGCCGAAAGTCAAAGAGGACAAGAAGAATCAGGCTGATGCTGGTCAGCGGTCAAGCGATGAAGAGCAAGGCCCAATCCGGATCATGGTCGGGTCTTCCAGAGGACCCGTGCCAGAAAAAAGAGAAGAGAAGAAGCAGTCGAAGACAGCAGCGGCATAGACACCGTTGGCGGGCAGAAAGGGGGGTTCGGCGGAGGGACAACAAATAAACCATGGACGCAGGTGGATGCAGCCTCCACTCCGCGTAATCCCATTCCGGTCACTCCAGCTCTCTTCTTTCGCCTCCCTTACCTCTCCCATCTGTCCTCCCAATCGAGTTGTTCTGTCGCGCAGATTGGCCGATCGCAGTATATCTGCAGTATCTCTTTTATCGTATCGCCTCCGATCTTGATCTGCTAAATCGTCCCGAGCTCTCGACTTGTTCCTCTCCAACCTGGGGAAAACACCGGTCCACCATGGCGCAGTACTTCTTCGACCTTCTTTACAACTTCACAGATTGCATGTGCTGTTTCCCAGGCACTCCACAGCTAAAGATCAATAACCGCAGCTTCAAACTGCTGCGATTGCTGGGTGAGGTATGTTAGATAATCTTACGGCTGGCAGAATCCCCCCGATCGCATTGTCGATGAAGGCCACTTAATCACCCAAAGTGACCGAGTCCCCCAACTGACTGCGATACAATCCTAGGGCGGTTTCTCCTATGTATACCTCGTCCAAGATAAAAACTCCTCTGAGCTGTTTGCGCTCAAAAAGATCCGCTGTCCGTTTGGCCAAGAATCCGTATCACAGGCCCTGAAGGAAGTGGAAGCCTACAACCTGTTTACCTCTACCGAAAATATCATCCATTCAATCGACCATTGCGTTTCAACAGAGTCCGGGTCCAAGTTCCGTTCTGATGGCGGCGATCCCGGCTCGAAGACCGTCTACATCCTGCTGCCTTACTACCAACGAGGGAACCTGCAGGATGCGATCAATGCAAACTTAGTCAACCATACCCGGTTTCCCGAGAAGCAGTTGATGACGCTGATGCTGGGCATCGCAAACGCGCTCAAATCCATGCACCAGTATCGGGTGAAGAATGGCGCCGGGTCTACCCGCAAGGCAGAGGGCGTGCGGAGAGAGGGTGAGCAGGCCGACGAGGAACGAACGATGCAAATGAAGCCGAAGCGGCGTGCCAGCCATCGTCAGGAGGAGGAGGACGAGGAGAACGAGCCATTGATGGATGACGAGGTAACCCGCAGTCAGGAGGGTGTCCAGGATGGTGATCTGCGCCCTTATGCGCACCGCGACATCAAGCCAGGTAAGTAGTCACTTCCCGTAGAAGTGGACCTCTTTCTGCCATTCAGAACTTTCCATGCTGATCCGTGGGTCCCTAGGCAATATCATGATTGATGACGATGGCCGAACACCCATCTTGATGGACCTCGGCTCCCTCGCACCCAGTCCAATTGCCATCACCTCTCGCTCACTTGCCCTGGCTGTCCAAGATACGGCGGCAGAACACAGCACGATGCCCTATCGCGCCCCAGAGCTCTTCGACGTCAAAACCGGATCGATCATTGACACCAAAGTCGATATCTGGTCACTGGGCTGCACCCTGTACGCCTGTTTGGTCGGCAAGAGCCCCTTTGAAGCTCGCAGCGACGAGACCGGCGGAAGTCTGAGCATGTGTGTGCTGGGTGGCGACTGGCGCTTCCCCGATGAGAAATCCACGGCCACCAAGGGCAAGGGTAAAGGGGCCGCTACTGAGAGCGACGACTCTTCCAGCAGTAATGCGAACTCGATCAGCGCTCCCGTGAAGGAAGTTGTTCGCAAATGTCTCCAGGTGGAATCTTCCGAGCGCCCGGATATTGACGAGCTAATTCAGATTCTCAAGGATGTCATCAACGAGTTACCGGATGACGATGGCATTGCAGGAGCCTCTCGCTAGGCTCGGGTATGGTATACATAATCTTGATCTGTATTTTCTCTCCATCCTATGACTCACCCAGTCTTGTCTTTTGATTTGTTTTTTTTTTTTTTTGCTGTTCCTTCATACCTTATCCGGCAGGCTCCGCTGACTGTCTTGCGATCTGTGATCTTGAGCGATTTGTACAGTATGGGTTGAACATTTGGGTATACATCTGGCATCAGTCAATCGTCCTTCAATTTGGTTTTGATCGTCAATATCACTTTTACCTAAGCAGGAACCTCCTCCTCTAGCCCATTTAGGTGTTATCATAAATGCAGTCCTAGAATCTCCACGCTGCGAGAGTGTAGCGTGTCAAGTGTCTAGAATGTCTACGATAAAACGTGCATGAGAATCTGTAGACTGGTTCTACACTCATCATGACGACAACATCCAGTACGACCGACTCACCCATGATAAGCGGTCTCACCGAAAAGTTATCCCTGACTCTCCTCCCCATTGATCCTATCGTGGTAAGATTTCCAACATGACTGAGCATTTCAAAAGCGACACCAGGGGAATGGAAGTGGCTGAGATGTTTCCCGAGAGGCTAAAGCACAAGACATGTATATAGACCCCTGCTCTCCCGCATCTGCAGGGAAAAAAGAATGCACTGACATCCACTCTCTATGACATCCTAGTTATTCTAGCTGGACTCGTGCGGGGGGAGCTGGCAGCTACGGTCGCCGACGTCTTGAGCCATGGCGGCGCAGGGTGCATCATCTTCACGGGCGGCTCTCAGTCCGCACTCCAATCGACCCTCACTCACATCCACCGCAAGCACCCTAAGACCAAGATCCTCTTTATTACCGCGGATACGAATGACTTGGCATCGATGCGCGAAGCTGCCAATACCATCAAGGCACTTGATGTGCCCATCGACGGCATTATCTGCTTTCAGACAGTGATGGCGGCCACCTGGGAGACCACGGTGAATGGGATTGAGTCGCATTTCCAGAAGAACTACCTGGGTTACTTTGTGCTGGTCAATTTACTGCTGGAGACCCTGTCCCAAGGGTCGCGAGTGGTTCTGATGACAACCAGTATTCGGCGGGAGGCCGCGGCGCCTAAGTGGGAAGACGTGAATTTCTCGGTGAGTGTTCTACTGGTGGTGTGATTTGAGGCGAGAGAATAAAGGACCGGGGCTGAAATTAAGTGCTACTCCAAGACCGGGGAGACCTATCACTGTCTCGATGGGTATGCACAGTCCATGTTTGCGAACATCCAGTTCGCCAAGTCCCTGGCTTCGCGGTGTCTAGATCGATCGATTTCGTCCTTCTCCGTCAACCCTGGAAGTAAGTGTTTAGAGGTGTGGGGATTGGGTCATTGCAAAACGACTCATGGGCAACAGACACCAAGACTAATGTCCAAACCTACGTTACGCCGGAGGTGGTGGAGTCGTGGCTGCAATGTAAAAAGGACGGTATGTCAGAACATGCCCTATTGAGCCTGTGTCAGTTACTAATCTCATCCTCAGTGGGCGAGGAGCTGCCTATATTGCTCCAACAAGCCCCGAAATCGCAGTCGCAGGCCAGCGCCTCCGTGCTCCGGGGTCTTCTCGATCCGACTCTCGAAGGTGAGCCAACTAGGACCAACTCCCCCGCACCTCGTTTCTTTCTTGGTATGGGGCAAATGACAGGTAATTGCTGAACCTCGGCCCTTCAGAAAAGTCTGGCGCCTTTCTAGACAACTGTCAAGTTCTCCCACTGCCGCATCTTGACTTCCCTGCCGGTACAGAAAGCGCCGCAGCGCTGTGGAAGCTGAGTGAGGAATTAGTTGACCGAGCAGGACTCGGGCAATTAGTCTAAGATGTGCTACCAAGATAAACAGAACTAATGTCGGGTGTGCCATCTGTCCCAAAAAGGCCGAGTTCTAAACTAGGCTCCGCCGGAATCAGTCCGCGGTCGATATCCTACTTAGATAGGAAAGCCGTCATCATGCTCGTTGAGCTCGTCGCATTCGCTGATAAGGTACTGAGGGTTGAAAGAGGAAAAGCGGGCTCGAGTCCGCCGGCAACGTGTGTTGTCTACCATCCCCTCATCAACCTGCCGCTTTGACCTGCCGGAATGGGTCAGTGGACCAGGGTAGCACATTATTGGCGAATGGAGTCCCGGGACGCGGCATTGGCGATAGCTTGTCTTCTCTTCTCGGCCAGCTGTCCGAGCAGTAGGACCCTAGGTGCAGGGCAGCCACTGGACGAGACATATTCTGAGCAAATCAAAGAGGAGGGGAACAGACCTAGATTATTTGCTATTCATAGATAGGGTGATAGGATAGATCGGTGAGAATGCCAACCTGATTTGCTAGTTGTGTTCTCATTATCAGGGTTTATATCTGTCGAGAAGGAAGACTGCATAATACGGGCGAGACCCACATATCTCCATGCGCGTCAGGATATTACAGGGATACTCGATTTGCTACTTGTTTTGTATAGTATCCCGGGTATACTCGGAACCTAGCGCCGTAACACGCTAGACAGCAAGGTAGGGGATATTCAACATTCCCCCGCCTATACACTTAGATAGTTCAGTCACCTAATATATCACTATATTAAGCATCTCGTTCTATTAGATCCTAGCTTTCCTAGCCGATACCGTATCCTACTATATTGATAGTTATGAGCCCGATCCGCACGCGTTAGGATTGAATAGAGATAATCCCTACGCACCTGTATAGCGCTTATTAACACGGTAGAGCGGTTAGAACCCCTGAATCGTTAGTATTCGAGTATCGCTAGCGACGTTATACACCTTCTAGCTACGCCTAGTGTTATAGTTCGAATCTCGACAGCGAGACTATATATTCCTAATTAGGAAATAGAGGCTGTTTAGAAAGGCTTCGGATATAGAAGATTTAAAGGTAATAGACTCGGTCTTACCGCTCGAAGAGAAGCTTCGGTTAGAAACGTAGTAGAGGGTCTAGATAGACTATATTTAGTTAGCAGCTGTTACCGAAGATATCTAGGATTACCTGAATCCGGATATATTAGATAAGGATATCAAGACCTTACCGCTAGCGTTAGAGGAACCTAATCCTCTAGGAGAATTCTCGTCGCTATCCGACGTATAGATCCGTAAATAGAATATAGAGATCTCGTATATAGAGCGATAAGAAACGCGAAGGCAACGCTTAAAGAAGGTATTAGCTAGAGTAGATATACTAATCTAGAAGTTAATAGCAATAGAAGTATACTATTTAGTAGTAGGAATAGATAGACCTAGACTTAGGCTCTAGAAGCTCGCTGCTATCTTCTATCCGGATACGTCTAATAGACGCTAGGAGCTCTAACGGGTATAGAGATTAATACTCTACTAATTACTAAAAGATATAGTATAGGATTATATCCTTAGCAAGTAGGAAGCGCTATTTAGAGAGTACAAAGCTACTAAAGTGCTAGACTATATCGATAATTAAGATACTATTCGAGACTTCTTAGATACGCTACCGTTATCGGACAATACGTTTATTATATAGTACTTAAGGGATCTTAAAGAGAATAAAGAATTACTTACGTTCTATACGGTTATAGCTATATATCGTACTCGACGACGTACGATCGTATAAGTAAGCACTAGAAAGGGAGGTTTAAAGGTATTATTTATAATATTAAATAATTAGGAAGAAGCCTTACTAACAACGATAACGTCTATATAGAATCGGAATAAGAAGGGACTAGCTAAATATATATACGGGAAGGTTTACTAGTATAGTGAATACCTCTTTATTAACCCGGCTATAAGAACTATAGCTTTTCGGCCGAAAAAAGAGAAGGTTAACAAGGTCGAAGCGGAGATACTAAAGCTTAATAACTGTAAGCGAGTAAGGATAGAATAGCTAAGGTCGGAGGTATAAGAGACTCCTTAGCTATCTATACTAGCTATATTCTTCTTCTCTAATATACCGTAAGCCGATTATCCTTTATTAAACCGTTAGATACTAGACTCGGGAAGCACGTATTATATATATAATAATCGTAAAGCGTTTATAACGTTTAAGGCGACGAATAAATCTATTAAAACTAGTAATAGTTATACGGACCTACTTAGAAGAGGTAACGTTATTATTATAATATAGAATAGATAAGGGAATTAGCTTAAACTACGTCTAAGAGATATCTAATACTCGCCTAAATTCTATACGAATCTAATATCTTATTCGAAGATTAGGAAGCTTAGATTCCGATAGGATAATAGCAAGGGAGTGATATATTATAAGGGATCTATTCCGACGAGGGTAATACTCGAAGATTATAGCAGGCTATTCGCTCTTACGAAACTATTATAATAGGATCTTACGATAGTAACGCGCTATAGCGAGAAGCTATTAGTATTAGAAGTAAAAGCTAATATTTAGTATCGACGTTTAGGGTATACTTACTAAGGAAAAGTCGAGAAGCTACCGGAGCTTATCGAGGGTGTTAAGATAATACTGGACTTGAAATCTAAAGATAATCCTAAACGATACGAGGTCTATTAGCAAGCAAAAGTAAAGCGTTAAATATCTAGACGACTAAATAGAAAAGTGTATAGTAGATTCAGCTAAGTACACTTTAACCTTATCTAAATTATACCTAGTTATAATAGGGATCGCTAGATTATATACTTCTATCTTAATAGTATTCGATTATACGTTATATATACGTATTAGAAGAAGAATAAATACTAGGAAGCTATTAGGAAGTTCTATATACTCGCGAAGATATAATAGAACCTTCTAATAAAGGCCTTTCGATATAATTATAAACGCTCCGTAGGAAGAGTAGTTAAGGAATACCTTAAGAATATAGGATTCGTTATTAAATAGAGTATTATAGGTATACTAGAATAGAACTCTTTTAGTAAACGCTCTAGGGGGGTAATAATAACCGGTATAAGAGCACTCTTACTTAATACTAAGCTGCCGAAGGATCTATAGCTAGAAATAGCTCGTTATATAGCTTATATATTGAATAGATCGCCTACTAAAATACTAGATAGGAAGTAGATTATACTATAGCAAGAGGCCTATACCTAGATTAACTCCGAATTATCGAAGACACGCCTAAACCTTACGAATTTAAGGCTATACGGATACCGTGCGTATATTAAGAGATAGAGTATACTATATAGTGATAAGATAGTATCGAGAATAGAGACTAGTTATATAGTTAGCTATACTATATCGAATATCTAGCGTATTTAGATACTATAAAGAGGACTCGTATAGGACACGAGAGATATTATATTTAATAAGAAGGTCTTCTATAATAAGAAGTAGGATACCGTTAAGCCTATAGATATATTAGAACAACTTCCTATTTTAGAAATTAATAAAGCTAAAGAGGATAAGGATAAAGTATTAAAGCTAATAGAGATATCTAATATCTAGGAGATATAAACTAAGTAAACTAATTCTAGTTTAACTAATTAGGAGGCAGGATTTAGTTATAGTAAACGCTTATAGCAAATAGGCTAAGAGCGTACGCTAGAAGAGCAGCTTATATACGACCTTATAGCCTTACTCCTAATACCTTAATCTATTATCTACTACTCTTCTCTATCTCTAAATCCTTTAAATCTATTATAGTAAGCTATAGAAATATTATTAGTATTACTAGAACCACTATAAATAATGCTAGGAGCATTTTCCCTGATCGAAAACGAGCTAGAATCGACTAAGAATAATACCGAGCGAGCTCTAAGAGATATCGTAGAAGATATAACCTTAGAAAACGTTATATAAGGAAGTAGGAAGCGAAGAGCACGCTTCGAGGATAACTTTATTACTTATCTAGCTATTAATAATAATAGTAACGATAGAGATATACCTTAGATACTAGCTATATTCGCTATAGCTCTTTATTAAAGCCGGATCGACTAACTAAGATACTACCGAGATAAGCTATTACTAGAGCCTCGAGGATAGAAAGAGATAATAAACTATCTATTTAGAGACGGCTTCTTATAAGCTATAAATAATAAAATTAAGATACTAGAAGATAAAGGAACGTACAAGATCGTACGATATCCGAGTAATACTAGGAAGTAGATTCTTCTATTAAAATAGGTATTTATATATAAATATAATAGCGATAGATATCTTAAGAAGCTAAAGGCTCGGATTTATATCCGTAGAGACCTTTAAACTATAACTACCGAGGAGAAGTACTTAGCTACACTAGCTATATAGACTATAAGGGTAGTACTCTCTCTTATTATAGTATTTAACCTTAATACTCGGTAATTTAACGCTATTAACGTATTCTTAAATAGTCTACTCGATAAGGAAGTCTATACTAAGTTACCGGAAAGCTTCGGCCGCGTAGGGCTTAGTTAGAAGCTTAAGAAAGCACTTTATAGGCTACGTAAATCTCCTCGACTATAGTAGAAGGAAGCAAGTTATAGAATAAGATAATATAGATTTAAAGTCGTATAGGATAACCTTTATATACTCGTCGACGACGGTATTATTATTATCTTCTATATTAATAATATAATTATCGTGAACTACCCTTTATAGCGCGAATAGGTAAAGAGAGTATACTAGGCACTCTACCGTTAATAGGAGCTACGTAATATAGGAGAAGCTTTATAGTTCCTTAGGATTAGGATTATTCGAGATAGATTATAGAAGGTACTCTAGCTCTATCAAGATTCCTATATCTCCGCTATAGCTACCCGATATTATCTTACCGATAGTAGGAAGCCTACTATACTACTACCTATATAAACGCTTACTAAATATATAGGAATAGCTAATTATTATAGAGTTAAAGAATACTAAGAGAAGGTAGGAAGCGCCTAATACGCGATAATAATATCTAGACTAGATACCGCTAAAGCGACGGCTATACTCGCTTAATTCCTTAAGAACCCTAGACTAGAATACCTCGCCGCCGTAAACTAAGTTATTATATACCTCTATTACACTCGCTCTCTCGCTATCGTATACCGGCTACGTAATAACGCTAACTCGGAAGCTATACGCTTCGCTAGCGATATATTATTCGCCGATATATAGGATCGCAAGAGCTCGTAGGGGTATATCGGGATAATATTTAGAGGACCGGTTAACTAGAAAGCTAGCAAGTAAAAGACGGTAACAACTAGCACTACCGAAGCGGAACTACTTACTATATCGGAAGCCGCTCGTTTAATTACGATATAGAAGCGCCTATATAAAGCAATTAGATTCGATCCTTAATATCCACTTACTATCACTTATAATAACTAGTAGACGCTCGGACTATTAACGAAGGAGACGCCTCTCCTAAAGACTAAGCTCCGATATATTAATATTTATTAGCACTAGTTAAGGCAGGAGGTTTAGGCATAACGTATTACCGTTAGATAGGTCAAGTCGAAAGATATAATTGCTAATAGCCTTACTAAGAGCCTTCCCCGGTAGCGATATAAAGCATTCGTTAACTAGCTCGGGATAGAAGATATTGAAACGCTATTAAAGATTTCCTAAATAGGAAATAGAGGTTGATTCGTAGAGACGCCGGAAATCGAAGATTTAGAAGATTGTGAAATCGCCTATCCCTAGGAGGGTATATCGAGAAGGAAGACTATATAATACGGGCGAGACCCACATATCTCTATACGCGTCAGGATATTACAGGGATACTCGATTTGCTACTTGTTTTGTATAGTATCCCGGGTATACTCGGAACCCAGCGCCGTAACACGCTAGACAGCAAGGTAGGGGATATTCAACATTCCCCCGCCTATACACTTAGATAGTTCAGTCACCCAATACATCACTATATTGAGCATCTCGTTCCATTGGATCCTAGCTTTCCTAGCCGATACCGTATCCTACTATATTGACAATATCTACAACCATTCACCATGATGTGAACTATATAAAACCATGCCGAATTGGCAGCAACTCGGGCCCCAGAAGTAGCCTCCGAGGCTCGACCTCTACATGTCAGCCCCCAAACCCCCTTCCATCTGGCAATACCGTAGACAGCCATGACTGTGAAACTTATGAAGTAAGTGTAACCAAATCACATGGTCCCAGCTCCCTGCTTCGGTGTTTTCGTGTTGGTTGATTGTTTGGGCCAGTCGAGGCAACCAACGATCGGCACGGATTGTAAAGGATTCAAGGTTTGGCGTGCGGGGAAGATTATCGTAGTTATCACGGTCGAGTCGCCCTTATCGGGTCTGCATTCCACGCTGCAAAAGCAGTCCCGGAACAGATCCGCTCTTTCTTTGTCCTCATTCTGCATTTTCTACTCATTCCACATTGAGACTGTTCTTCTCGACCCAGAGTGTACGAAGGTTTCGGCCCAAGAAAGCTACCACGTTATCATGCAGTGACTTTCTTTGTTCTCCACTACTTGGACCAAATCTCACCGAGCTCTCGAGAGTATTTGATTTCGGCCTGACGGTCGCGACTGTCAAACGTCGCAGTTCTTCACCCCACCTATCTTACAGTCTGCATTGCAAAAGGACAATACACAATGACAGTAGACACCTCGGCAATTCCAGGCACTGTCACCCTGGTAGATGTGCAACATGTGTTGCATACACGCCATCTAGGGAATGGAGATATTGTGCTGATCCCAACACCCTCCCATGATCCAGATGATCCGCTGAATTGGGGTCCCAAGAGAAAACTACTGTCGACCATCTGTGTGAGCGTGTATGTGTGACATCCAACCGACCTGCCTGGACATGCATTGATTTCCGGCTTTCCTTTCAAACTAACGACGACCGGATATGCTCCTAGATACACGTTATTTGCCGGCATCGCCTGCTCCGTCGTCTATTCGGTCCTCACGCCTCTTTCCGAACAGACTGGGCTGTCTGTCAGCACACTCAACGAAGGCACAGGGTATATGTTTCTGTTGGCCGGATGGGGTCTGCTATTCTGGCAGCCCTTTGCGATGCAATATGGTAAACGCATGACTTATCTGTTGTCCTTGGCCGGAATCCTGGTCGGTCTTTACCCCCGAATAGATAAACAAGGAAGCTTTTGCTAACAAAATTTAGGGTACGACGATGTGGGGGTAAGGATATTTGCTCTTCGAACAAGAGCACCTACTAATTGCTAATGACAATCTTAGACCGTATGCACACACAAATGGGCAATGGACTGCTCGATGCGTCTTGTCTGGATTCTTCACTGCCCCCATCGAGGCTCTACCGGAGATCACGGTAACCGATGTGGTACGCTATTTGCCCCTACGCTACTTTCCCAAGTAGATCAATCTCAGGCCAGAGACTGATAGATACATCACAAGTACTTTACCCACGAGCGCGGCACGTATATGGGTCTTTACGCCTTCTTCCTTGCAGGCAGCAACTTCTTTGCACCGGTAATCTGTGGCTTCATTGCCGAGTACCAGGGCTGGCGCTGGGTATTCTACTGGCCCAGCATCTTTGTTGGATGCGCCATGATCTTCCTCTTTTTCTTCATGGAGGAGACCAACTATATACGCGAGGATATCCAGGATACCACCGTCGCTAATGTACGCCTTCATTCCTCTCATAGCTCGCAAAGCGGAGACACGGAGAAAGCCATCTCGGTCGATGATCAGCCTTCTCCGCCCCCGGAGATCGGCGCGGTCTATCAGAAGAAGTCTTACATGAAGAAACTCTCGCTTCTTGGTCCGCGACAGAAGCAGAATACAATGTTTCGGCGAGCATGGCAGACGCTGTATTATCTCTCATGGCCGGTCATTTTTTATGCTGGGTTGTTGACCTTCCCGTATTGCTCATATGACTGACAGCTAACATATGAGTAGTTTCTCCTATGGATCTTATCTGATTCTATTCAATATTCTGAATGGAACTGCTTCAATCATTCTGGGATCTGAGCCATACAACTTCGGGTATGTTGCAAAAAAAAAAAAAAAAAAAACTGATGAGATATCTCTTGCTAATTTATGCCAAGTTCATCTATGGTTGGCTTGAGCTATCTGGCGTGCTGTCTAGGGGTTATTGGAGGGTAAGTTTCCAACCATATATTTGAGACCAGTTGGGCCTATACTAACCATCCCTAGATCTCTATTCACTGGGCGATTCAGCGACTGGTTGACCATCAAGCTTGCTCGACGAAATGGTGGTATTATGGAGGCCGAACACCGATTATGGCCATTTACAGCCTGCTTATTCATTGTGCCTGGATCGCTCCTTCTCTGGGGCGTCGGCGCCGCCCACCATGTGCACTGGTTTGGCCTCATTGTAGCCATGTGCACGACAGCGTTCATTAATACCTGCGGTATTACCCTGAGTGTGAACTACCTGGTTGACAGCTACCGGGAGCTGAGCGGAGTGGCGATGGCTACTGTGATTATCGTGCGCAATACCATGTCTTTTGCGATTGGTTATGGGTAAGTTTAAGTTATTCGTTCTCAAAATCCAGCGCTAACCAGGTAATTTGTAGTATTACGCCTTGGATTGACAACCTGGGCTACCAGAACTGCTTCATTTCAGCAGCATTTGTCGGTATGGCCTGCGCTGCTGTGTTTTTGGTCATGATCAAGTATGGCAAGTCTTGTCGAATTCGAAGCCGGGAGAAGTATTGGCAGATTGTCCAAGAGAATCTGGCAAAGGGCATGGGCCATTAGTTAATAATGGCGAACTTGGTTTGGATGCCGATTCCTAATACAAGTTTCCTGATGCCCAATTGGGTAGTGGTGATCCACGGTTAAAGCTTGTCTTCCATCCACGGTTGCCCTAACAGCCCGCGCAGGGACTAGTTCTGTATCCTGACCATTGAAAAGGGACTAGAAGCAATCTAATGTAGATAGTATGGATCAGATCCAAATATTTGATTTTATCGCATCCTCGACGATGCTCTGCTTTTCTAACAGCATCTTTGTGACCACTGTATTCAAAATCCTCGATTTCGATCTCCCTCAACAAGTGAAGTCCAAGAACGGCTCCAAGCCGCCAACCATGTATTTCAATCGGACACAACAGAACCGAAAGAATATACCTAAATTCTCAAGCTTTGCTCGCCACTTGAAGCAAGGTCCCAAGCGAGCTTTTGCTTATTTCAACACGCCCTACTTAGTCAAGTGTTACTTGGAAGAGCAATCTAAATCCGAGATACAACTATGTGAGGATCAATTCACGTCGCAAAGTATTCAACCCTCACTCGCATGGAAAATGTCACCTGCAGAGGAGCTCAAATTACGCAGCTTACTACTTGCTCACTTTAAATTACATCGCAAGGCGACCTCATACGCCAACGCACTCGGCCTCCACGGTCTCCCAGATATCGAGGATTGGATCCCCCTTGAAACTGCCGCGTTATACGATTCTGATGCACATTGCGAGTACACTGGGATGATCTTGGAATCCGGGGTCCTGGATATTCCTGAAGACCCTCTGTACGAGGGCATCCATCACTATTATAAGCCAGCTTCTTATTTGGCGGCGGCAATGTTGCTGACAGGATATGATGCTAACGGTGTCACGGAAGCCATTGGCAGGCTGCGTATAATGGAGAATAAGAAGCATAAATTTGAAAGGTTTGGGAGGATTAAGAATAGGGTTGGGAAACTTGTGGGGGATTTCCCTAATGATTTTCTACTGTTTGTGCCGTTTGCCGCGATGTGATATTGTAGCTATTTGAACCTCTTTCAAAATGATAATTTTAACCCAATTATATCCCATTGAAGCGATACCTTTTGCCAAGCAGATCTGAGAAGTTCTTGGCCTTTGACTGCCTCTCACTCGTGTAATTATATACATATTATGTCGTCCTTACCCACTCATTAGAAACTCGGAAAGAAATAAACAATGGTATATCTCTTATGATGATAAATTCATTACTTGATACATAGTGGTAGACCAAAAATTTAAGCTAGATTAATCCTCCCTTCCTTGTCATACACAATCTCCCTTGCCTTGACAGACCGCAGATGATCTACACCTCCCGACAACTCGCAATCATGATAAAACAAGAACCACCGTCCTTTAAATTCGACGATAGAATGATGCGTCGTCCATCCCAGCACCGGCTCCAAAATGCGACCTTCGTACGTGAACGGGCCCAGAGGTGATGTCCCCGTCGCGTAGACGAGATAATGCGAGTCTCCAGTCGAGTACGAGAAGTAATATTTGCCATTATAGCGATGCATCCACGCAGCCTCGAAGAAGCGTCTCTCATGGTCATCCGCCGCGATTGGCTCGCCCGTTTCTGGAGCCAAGATTTGCAGATCTTGTGGCGGCGAGACGAAGCTGAGCATGTCGTCACTCAGCCTCGCGACTCGAGGACAGAGAGCAGAGACGCCCTGTCCTGACGGCTCCTGAGGACCTGATTTAGAGGCATCGAAGACCAGACCATTCACATCGTCGGTTCCTTTGCTGTCGGATGTGGGCTGCGACCAGCATTGGAGTTGGCCGCCCCAGATGCCCCCAAAGTATAAGTAAGCCTGGCCATCCTCGTCAACAAAAGAGGCCGGATCGATACTATAGCTGCCTGGAATGTAATTCTGCTCGGGGACAAAAGGGCCTTCAGGGGAATCTGAGACGGCGACCCCAATGCGGAAAATCCCGGTCTTGTCCCTGGCGGGGAAGTATAGATAGTATTTGCCGTTCTTAGTCGCTGCATCGGGCGCCCACATTTGCTTGGAGACCCAGGGAACGTCGTCAGCCGTCAGAACAACGCCGTGGTCGGTGACAGAGCCGTCGATTGAGTCCATGGAGAACACATGGTAGTCCGTCATGTCGTACTGGTCGCCATTGTCGTTGAAGGCGATGTCTGTTTCTCGATCATGAGAAGGGTAGACATAGAGCTTGTTGTTAAACACATGGGCTGAAGGGTCTGCGGTATACAGATGCGTAATGAGGGGTTTCGTCGCCATGCTGGCTGCCAGCAGTATATTTATTGGAATCTTCCGACAATGATGAGATTATTCCGAGTCGCGGAGGACGAACGAATATACGCTCAAGCGTCCCTATGAGAAGTATGGAGGCGATAGATTGGTCAACAGCCGGTGTAGCAATCGAATAAGAATAAAACCGGAGCAAGTGCTCCTCAATACCCATTATTTATACAAGTTCGGTCGAGCCGTCACAGCCAAGTCTCGCGATGCTTTTATCCGAACCGGCTAAACTGCAGCCCTCACGGCGGCGTCGCCTCCGCATAGACAAATCAGGCAGGCCAAAACGGCTCTCGACCTCGGCAATACGGTGACTCAATATTTGAGCCAGGAGAGATATTCAGAGACTGTACAGTGGATTTTAAAAGCCAGGTATAGATCCCAACTCGAGTTGATTCGGAATATTAGTTCAACAAGCCTGCTTTCTCATGCCTCAAACTAGCCCTAGCCTAATCATCCAGTGCCTATCCCTATTAGCCTCCGAATTCAACCTTCCCTTTTAACTTTCTTTCAAGTGTCACTTTGGCTTATGTGAGTTTGAGTGTTTCTTCCTCCTAATTTTCAAATATTGACGTTATTATAGGGTGCGACAATACTATATCATCGAAATATGGAGGACAAGAAACCAATGAAAAGACAGATGATACTATTTGGCTCATGATATCGGTTCTCAAGCTCCAAACTTGGCGCCCTTTTGACGGCCAGCCTGAATTAATGCTTGATTATAGTGGGACTCTGGTTGAAATCACCACGTTAATTCGATGAATGATCAAATAATGGCGAAGCACAAAGTCAAACGAGTATTTTTCTGGAAACGCATTTGAAAAATTTGGCTATTGAAAAATGCTTCTGTGTCTGAGTGAATATGAGAAAAGTCTTTTCTCTCCAAACTATATCCAATACATTGACAGCGTGCCCTGCTCACAGAAGCACCTAGTTGCACCGAGATTGAAATGATACTTGAATGAAACAAAGAGAAACATAAGGCTCAAAATCGTGCTACGGCCAATAAAAGCATGATATTCTGAAAAAAAGAATGCAAACAAAGAAACATGAATCCAATGCAAGCGCTCGAACATCAAAGAGCATGGCTCATGATATGCCTGATCGATCTTGAGCTCTGGCAAAGCACATAATCAATATCACACCAAGCTAACAGAGCAAACTCATTTCCAGCCAAACCAATTGCGATCCTTCAAGGCTGCGACAAGCGCCTCTTGCCATTCCCATTCTATGCGCTCGAGAATCTGCTGTTCTGTTTCGGTCTCGTGTTCGTCCTTCACGAGTTCCGATCCTGATTCCGATAATTCTGATTCCGGTTCTGATTGCCCAGAATTCCTATGGTCGTCGATGGGAGACTCGCAGCCCTGAAGCCCGATAAACTGGCCAAAGCGACGGCGCTTGGTTGCGAGGTCGATCGTCGCCTCATATGGAGTTCCGAGCCATGGGCGGATTGAAACTGGATAGTCCTTGGTGTCTACAGTGGCGGGCCAGACTTGGTGGTAATAGTATGCCAGATTATCGAGCTGACAAGATGTGAGGAGATGGAAGGCCAGGATATTGGGCGGGAAGTCTGGATGCGCCTGGCCGTTGGTGCAAGAGATCAGGGGATGTAAGGGCGTTCGGAAGTGGTCAAGCAGCTGGAAAAACTGAGGGTGAAATCGAAGGGCTGTTGGTGAGTGCACATATTCCTCGATCGGGGATGAGCCTTGGGATGAATTCGAAGATGTGGTGCATGAGGACCAGCTGCAACGGCGAGGATACATAGGTGTCGGCATAGCGATGATCGAATAAAGCAATGGACAAACTGGTTGTATATTTGTGCTTTCGATGGAAAACAGAGTCGTATATCGACGTGCCACTGTAGGATACGCAAAATCATAGTGAGAAGAGGGGCATTCTTATATAGTGCACATACAGGTGCTCCGAATTCCGATTGTCCAGATGTGAGTTCAATGAGAAAGTTATACACAATAATGGGGTGAAACCTCCTAAAATAGCAGTGGGCGGCACGGCCCACGAACAAACTGCGCCCTTTGTGTCCATCAAAGACCATGCACCCTCAAACACTGACCGATCATGAGTCTTTGTTCCAAGAAAAGAGATAGGCAACGAGTTAAAAAAAAGAGAAAAAAAAGGAAAAGGCGCGCGTTTTCATCATATCTGAGTCCATCTTCGGCATTTCTCAAATTTCATACGCATTCATCGCAGCTTTTAAAGGGAAAGGCTGTTCATTCGGAGGGAGAGATCCGGCTCCTCCGAAATGGGCGAAAGACCAACATATTTGTTGATCCAATTGATGACAGTTCGGTGCCACATGAGCGAGTTTTCCGGGTTAAGAACCCAGTGGTTTTCATCGGGGAACGTCAAGAAAGCGCTGTCAATGCCTCGCATCTGCAGCACATTAAGGGCTGCCAGTCCTTCGGCAATAGTCAAACGGTAGTCCAGTTCGTTATGGATGATGAGATGAGGCGTTTTCCAGTTAGCCGTGAAGCGCGATGGATCCCACTTGGCCCAATTCTCAGGAACTCTCCAGATTGGGCCCTTCAGGTCATGCAGGGGGAAATATTGTTCTTCACTGGCGAGTTGTGAGGTCATACTGAACACACCATCATGTGTGACGAGAGCCTTGAACTTGCGGCCCAAGGGATGGCCTTGAATCCAGTTCATCATATAACCACCATAGGATGCACCAAGCGCCACGGCACGCGAGGTGTCGATGTATTTCAAGTTTTGCTCAATGTATTCAAATCCTTTCACGAGATCTTCATACGGCCGACCACCCCATTCGCCACAGATACCATCCGTGAAATCTTGTCCATAACCAGTGCTGCCAGTCGGGTTGGGTGTAATCACGACATAGCCCTGTTCAGCGAAAACGGCTGGGTTCCATCGAGTGCTCCATTGGTCATTCCACGCGCCCTGAGGACCACCGTGGATCAGATACGCCAGCGGATATTTCTCGCCAGGCTTAAAATTGGAAGGTTTCACAATGAATGCATGCACTTTATGGTTTTCTGCTCCCGTGTACCAGAATTCACTCACTTGGGCCGAGTGCAGACCGAATGCAGCCCCTCCACGACCAAGTGAGGATACAATTTGGTTTTCGCTAGGGTTGTACGGGTCAATAATAGACCAGATGCTGTTATCCACAAGGCTGCTGCTCGATACGAAAAGCTTGGAGGTTTTGGCGGCGGCTGGAACAACATCATTGACGGATCCCTCACTGGTAAGCTTCCTCATCGAGTTCGGACCGGCGGTTTGAATTCCATCAATAGCCAGCTGATACAAGACAACACGGCCCTGCTCCTCAACCTGGACAAGCAAGGATTTATCATCATGGGCAAACGATACAGCAGAAGGGCTTAGTTCCCAAGCTCCCTTTCTGTCGGAAGATTCGAAAACTTCGAACATCTCTCCATTCCATGGATTGGGCACATAGAGAATTCGGTTCTTGTCAGATTCATACCCATCCTTCCGCATGGCTAACAGAGCAATGGAGCTACCATCCGAAGATAGAACAGGCGACGCCATCGCTCCTTGAAGACTCGTGACTCTGCAGGGCTTTACATCTGAGACGGTCATACTAGTCCACGAAAACATGGGGGCGTAGTAGCACGAGCAGGCGGTGTGGGTAGCTGGATTGAGCTTTGGGTCCTTGGCAATGAAGACAATCGCGGAAGGACTGATATCAAAATCACCAGTACCGCCAAATGGAGGAATTGGCGACTCAACTCCTGCCAGTCCCGATACCGAGATCAGGTTGGTCAGGCCAGACACGGAGAATTTCCCGGCCTGTCTTCGGGCTGGTGTCAAGGGAGCTTGCTCAAGCAAACCGTACCAAATGGCATTCTTCTGTGGTTCAATGTATGCATCCCAGTGTCGAACAAAAAGTGATGTGTATAAACGGCCGGTCGTATGCGGCTTCTTCGCATCATGGGGATTGTAAAGCGACCCATCCGGGTTAGCCTTTCCGGTAACAGCGAAGCCAATCTTTCCGGGCTCAATGACGGTCACCTTCAAGTCCGAGACCGGGCCAGGAACTGTGCCTGCAGTGTATGTCTTATCGGCTTCACGTGCATCGCCAACAATGAAGCTGGTGTTTCCGTTGGACTTGGTCTTCAGCCAGACAAGCTGGTCGCTGTCGCCCAGCCACTGGGGGTTACTGGCGCCAGGATCATTGGTGATAAGAGCGGATCGACCTGTCTGTATTTCGATGACTCGTATCTCGTTTGTTTTGGAGTGGGACTCGAAGGAATAGGACGTCTGCGTATACACCGCAAGTGTGCCGGCTGCATTGGGAAGGGCAGAGGACCGCCTTGGGGCGCCGAGGAGAACCCTGCGAGCTGTCAATTGAAATGCACGGTTAAATTGGGAGCGGCAGAGCTAAGTATAGAGTCCCAGCTTTGCTACGATCAGAAGAGAAGACCTACTCGGGTGTGAACTTCATAGGGCGGATGGCCATATCAGCTCAAGGTGAGATAAGATAGCTAGCAAGGAGCTTTGCAGAGGTGGGAAACTGCCAAGAAAGCTAATAGAAATACGCAATGACAAAATATGAGCAGATTTTCAAGGCTGAGACAAAAAGGCAACAGGGGTCAAGACGGTTGACAGAGGTAATGCAAGGATGAGAAGGATGAGGAGAAGGGGGACAAGGACACCGGGAGGTTGGGGTTGCGGTTGCAACGTGACTCCGTGCGGGGTTTATCGTACCACGACGGAGCACGATAAAGCAGCACTACAATACCAGAACGCGACCAAGGAATATCGACTTTGCTTTTTTACGCGAAATGATATCTTAAACAGCATAAAAACACCTATTGTATCCGGTAGGCTCCAAAATAAAACTATTATTACAGACCAAACAAATAAATCATCTACTCTTCTTCTTCTTCACTCTCATCCTCCTCTATACCTTCCGCCGCATTCACAGTGAAAGTAGGAGCTTGATCAACACCAACATAACTGTCGCTCATGAGGTAAAGCGTCAACTCGTGCTCACCGGGAGTGGGCACCACATATTCCAGGCGCAGCTCTAGCTTGCGACCAATGGTAACTCGCTTGATGGCCAGCAAATTTTTAGTCTTCTCCTCGCCGACGACAAGCCACCAGTTCTCCATCTTCTGGGTAGGATAGAAGGGCGCGTGAACAACGGTGTCAACCTCATCATCCTCTTCCACTTCCCGTTCAATCTTAACCTGAAGGTAGGCGGGTTCGCCAGAGGTAACGCTCTCTGGGTCCTCGACTTCAAAGTCCAACTCAATGCTGGGATACTTGTCGTTGGTAAAAGCGGCAGCCTGTGCCAGTTGCTTGTTGTTGAGACCCAGACGCTTGACAAGAGATGCATAGTCCTTATTCTCCGAGGGGTCCATGGCATCCATGAACTCGAAGATGTCATTGATACTGCAAACATGAATATTAGTAACAGACGGTAAACAAGGACTGGTTGATACATACTTATACTCCTTGGCCACCTGGATGACCTCGGGAGAGAAGTGAGGAATCTGCTTCAGCGGGCTGTCACGATCCCACATGGCTTGAACCACCATCTGCGACAACTCCATGGCATTCATGGCGTTGATGTGACCTTCCGAGGATAGAACGTCTACACAGGCACTGAGCAGGTTGAGGACCTTGCGGATGATGTCTTCTTGATCCTTGGCAAGATCGATCGGTAGCTGCATGCGCGAAAAGTGTGCCTGGAGAAGAACGAATGCCTTGAAGTGCGGTGAATCGAAGGCAGGCTCGGACATCTTCACTGGCACACGGTCATAAACCCGGCGGAGGATGTGATCCTCGTGGCGACGCATTTGAATGGACTCGAATTCCGTAGCGGAGGTCACAATCTCCAGAATGCCCTTGAGCTTGGTGCGAGCAGAGAGAGACAGTAGGAAGGTCTGCATGGTGATGAAGGAGATGTTGTAGTAGGCGCTGATCATGGCCGCGTTCAGAGGAGATACACTGTCATCCTCCTCATCCAGGTCGATAATCTTAGCCTCGGACAACTCCTTCAGCGTGTTCTCAACGAGTTCTGACAAGAAGGTGCTAAGGCCCTCATGGCTCACGTCACTGAGACCATAGAAACTGGGGTTGGCGAGGAGGCGGCGGTAGAAGTAAGTATAAGTCATCCAGTCGACAGCATCCTGGGTCGAAGAAAGAGTCCGGGTGCTGGATTCCGTAACAAATGCGTCGTGGAGATAGACTTGCAGGTGACTCTCCACGGGCAAAGCCTCGTTGAGGAACTTCTTGTAGTATTCGCGCTTCACGGCTGGGACCATCAGAACACCACGGCCACTCTTGTCAACGCCCGGCCGAGAAGCCTTGCCGAACATCTGGAGGATTTCGCTGATGGGGTAGTCAACGTAGCGGTGCTCACGGCCATCGAAGAATTGAGTATTCATTACGATAACGAGATGAGCTGTTAGATCCAACTCCCAGCATACATCGCGAGAGGCAAGAAGAACCTGAATGGCACCGATGCTGAACAGATGCGAGACGATACGCTTATCGGTCTGGCTCAAAGCCTCGTGGTAATATCCAATACCATGAGTCAACGAAGTAGCAAGTGTCTGCTCCTGGACACGGGAAAGCAGAGGTGCGAGTTCCTCAACATCGGCGTTCAAGAATCGATCCTCATCATCATCCATCGCACATGCGGCCAGGAGATCCATAGCGGTGGACCGAGTCTGCTTGCGACTAGGTACAAAGACCAAGGCCGGCTTATCAGGTGACAATGACAAGATCGCTTGATAGGCGGGCCTGGACATAGCGACCATAAGAGAGGGGAAGTGGGGAATCGTGAAAGACTGAATGTGAAGTTCTAAAGGAATGGGGCGAGCATGAGGGCTGAAGTTGTAGATGGTATGCTTATTGGCGCCAATCCACTCGCCGATATCGCGAGCATTAGAAAGCGGCACGCTCAGACCGATGATACGCATGTCATTCTCAGTCTGCAAAGCCATATAGTGCATACGAGAAACGACTACCTCGTAGACGTAACCGCCGTAGCCGCCAAGCATGTGGAGCTCATCAGCGATAAACAGCTGCACTGTCTGTACATTCTTACGTCTCTGCCATTGGCGAGACAAGACGTCCCATTGAACGGGCGTGGCCAGAACGAGATCAGCTTGTTCCAGCAGCTTCAGATCGGCGGTAGTCTCTCCAGTAAGCTTGACAATGGTTTTACCACCTGCAAGATTACCCAGTCTCTTCTCCCAGTCAGCCAAGCGTTGATCAACCAACTCTTGGAAGGGAGCGATGTAAACAGCGCGGCCACTGTTTTCGCTGGCCCAATGGCGCAGCAAGGCCAACTCGGCGCAGACAGTTTTACCGCTTCCCGTGGGTGCACCAATGAAGACGTTGTCATCAGTGTCAAAAACGGATTTGAAGACTTGGGTCTGGATCTTGTTGAAGTGCTCCCAATCGGGGTACAGCTTCTGGTACTCCTCGCGCTTCAAGGCCTTCACCGGCGCACGTTGCATGTCCAGCAAAGGGGTGTGAGGAGGGAAGCGCTCCGGAAGGATCAACTTCTGGAACGAAACGGCAATTTTGGTTTCGGAATGCATCCAGCGGTCAGACACTAGAGAAATGAAGTAGTTTGGTGGCATTGGCTCAGTGATGGGCACAGTGAACTCAACAAGGTGCTCGTTCATCTCGGCCATGGCAAACTCGCGTCGCAGCAGGAAGCGGTCGTGGAAAAGAATCTCCTCTCCATCACAATCTTCGACCAGGATCCAGAAGTCTTGCGCAGTACCATGCACGGCATCTTCCCAAACAAAGTTAGGGGTGATGGTCAATTCAACGCGGAGCATGGAGCGAGTGATAGGTTGCACTTGGGCTTGGACGTCGAGCCGCGGGAACTTCGAGACCAAGTCGCAAACAACACGTCCCGCCTTGGGCATGCCAAGGAGCTCGCCCATGCGAGGAGGATCTAGGTCAAAATAGCTAGCCCAGGGGACGTCAATCCGCTCAGCCTTCTGGAGGATGTCTCGAGGGCAGTGTGGAAATTGACGCAGCGGAGACATGGTCGGCCACATGCGCTTCTCTGCCATCTTGCACAGATCGAGAGCAGTCTTGGCAACAGAAGACCAACCCTTCTTCAGGCAAATTTCAAAAAGAGCACGGATGATACGTCCAGCAGACTGGGTCACGTAGACCATGTCTGCCATCAGTGCAAGTCCATCCAGCTTGAGACGGGAGATGTAAGCCTGGAGCAAAACGTTGATCTTCGCATGAGGCTCGTCAATAGTTTCCTTGACAGGGACTGGGACTCGGCCCAGAAGCTTGCCAAGCTCCAGCTTCTCATCCTGGCGAACGGGGATATACTTGAACTCATCACTAAGAGCAAAGATGCGGAACAGCTCAATAGTGGTAATTGAAGGTTGCAGATGTTGAGCGTAGGTAAGCATCGAGTTGTGACCAATGTAATAATGCGAAGAAATCCGTCCGAGTTCGGTCGACTGAACACGACCTGTTTTCTTCTCATACTTGACCAGGCCAGCTCTCTCAAGAACGGTAGCAGCAGAGTGAATGAGATCAACTCGCTTCTGCTCCAAAGCATCATCATTTTCATAGTCGGCGCCAACACTGTAAAGGCCGGGGGAGCGGAGCATCCGAACGTAGAGGTAGGTGTAGCCCAGCCATTCCACGCCTTCATCACGGGTGCGTACGTTGCCAAGGACAATTTCAGCATTCAAGTTGTCCGCAAGCTTGCTCACCAGCTGAGATTCGATCGGCAATTGCTGGTTCAGCAGCGAGAGGTAGTATTGGATCTCAGATTGAGAAGTAATGATAATACCTTCGCCGAAAGTGTCATATTGGGGTCGACCTGCACGTCCGAGCATCTGGAGAACATCCTGCGGACTCAACTCGACCCAGCTACCCTTCTCGGGGGAGTAGACTTGGGTTCCCTTGATAATGACCGTATGGGCTGGAAGATTAACACCCCAGGCCAGAGTCGCAGTACAGACGAGCACCTGGATACTTCCATCGGCGAAAAGAGCTTGAACCGAGTCACGATCCGCAAGACTCAACCCAGCATGGTGAATACCAAGACCATAAGGCAGAAGATCCTTCAGAGAGGCATCGTCAACGGACTCGGCTTCCTCGGACAGAATTGCACGGCTAGCAGCATCACTGCGAAGAATCTGGCCGATAGTCTCATTTTCAACTGCCTTGTCTCGGATGTACTTGGCGGTCTTAGCTGTCTCTTTTCGTGAGTGAACAAAGATAAGCATCTGGTTTCGACGTTGACCAACTTGTTCCAAGACCTTGGTGTAACAAATGTCGTTCATCGTCTTGAGTTGCTTGATGGCTTTTTTGTCGGTGACACCAATGAACTCCTGCTTAAGGGGGCAAGGACGATAGGAGCCATCGAAGTGGAACACGCCCTTCTCGGGATCCGCGCGAAGAAAGCTTGCAACATCGCGGTAATTGGGAAGTGTAGCACTGAGACCGACAATGCGCACAGGCTCGCCAGTCTGCTCGGTACGGCGGATGGTTCTGCTCACAATACTCTCGATGACAGGACCACGCTCATCGTGGAGCAAGTGAATCTCATCAATCACCACAAGACGAACAAGGTTAGTGTAGCTTGTCTCAGATGCTTTTCTCGTGATGACATCGAACTTCTCGGGTGTGGTGACAATGATCTGGGTATCGGCAATTTGCTGCTTGGTGAGTTGACGATCACCAGTAAGCTCGGCCACGCGGATTCCATAAGGCTCAAGGCGCTTGCCAAGGTTTCCGACCTGCTCCTGTACAAGAGCCTTCAAGGGAGAAATATAAATGATCTTGAAGTCATCCAGCATGATCTCGCCTGTCTCAGGGTTGCGGTTTTTGCCAATTTCGCGCAGGATGGTTAGCATAGCAACGTTAGTTTTTCCGGATCCTGTAGGTGCGCAGACAAGCATGTTTCCGTCATCATGGAAAGCGGTTGGGAAGCATTTGGTCTGAACGCGGTTAAGCTCCTTAGCGGATCCGAAGCCAACGCGCGCCCACTCGGGCAGCTCAGTGGCCGGAATGTTCTTCTCACCAGGCAGCTTCTTAGCCTGGGGTGGCGGCACGTGGATCTCCTCATAGCCCTTGAAAGTCCGCTTAGTTGAGCCCTGAGGAAGCTTAACGTTAGGGTTGGTCATGAGATGGTTACCCTGGTGGAAGACCAGGTTCTCGAGGTTGATCAGTCGCTTTGGCTGCAGACCACCAACAAGGCCATTCTCCCCAACGGGTTTCTCCTCTGCTTCGGGAGCTGAGGGGACATCAACATCCATCAAGTCTAACTTCATTTTCTTCTCGGGGCGATCAGCGAGGTCATCGCGGGCGGTCTTGCCCCGAATTTCGTCCAGAATAGCTCGATGTCCAGCCTCCACCATTTCGATTTCCAGAAGATTGCGCGCGTTCGTGTCTTCTGCAACCCGTCTCCAGCGAGTTACCCAGACAACCTTGTCGCGGTTGGAAACCAATTTGGCGACGAGGTCGGGGTGGTCATAGTCGAAAAGTTCCATCAAGTCGTTCTCCGCGTCACGTAAAGATTTCTCGGAACCGTCCTCTGTCTTTCCACCGAGGATCTCGAGCGCTTCTTGAGTCTTTTCTTGCTGAATGTGAGCATCATTATACACATCACCGATTTGACGCTGTAACCAGTAGGCATCGATTTCGCGGGCTGCGACACTCAACCCAGTTTCACCCTTGGTCTTATCCTCTCGGGCAAGCCCACCGTCAATGACCATTTCGTCGCCATCTTCGGGTTCTTCGGCGGCGCCCTCGTAGATGTCAGGTCGATCTTGGTCGTCCGCCTCATCTTCATCGGAATCCTCGTCACGGATTTCGTCCACGGTGCCCGTACGCTCGTCGTCCTCATCTTCCTCATCGAAGACAACAGCGACACCTTGGCGCTCATCAAGTTCAGCGCCTTCTTCGTCCAAGCCGCCTTCCATATCTTCGTCTTCATCCTGGGCATCGTAATCTGTAATTTTCTTGCCCAGATTGACCAACTCATTGAACTCCTTCGGGTTCATTGAGCTGCCCAGAAGATCGTCAATCTCCTTCTTCTTATCGAAATCCTTCATTTCTTCGTCCTTGAGCAACTCCAACACGGCATCGGCCGCGCTGCGGACAACTTCGTGCGGGACATCGCCCAGGTTGGTTCCGGTGATCGTAAGAATAAGGTCATAAGTGGCTCGCGTAGCTGGTGTTCGTGGGCGATATTTCAAGCCTTCGACAAGGGCATCCGCAGCGGAAAGAATACCCTGGCCTCGTAGTTGTGCCGGCTGGCCGCGCTGGCGTTTCTTCTGTTCCCGCATAAGCACGTCTTCGCCTTCGTGGATTGCGCCCCGCTCGAGGTCGGACGGCCCAACGGCCTTCTTTTTCGATTTCGGCGCATCGTCGCGGGCAATTCGCGAGCCCATCTCTCGGATTCCGATGCGACCTGCGAGAGACTCCGGGTCTCCGGTGGCCTCGTCATTGACGCGGCTGATGAATCGACGGTCCGCCTGGAGAACCAGGTTGGACATCGCCGAGTACTTATACTGCGAGATATTTTGATCCGCCATCTTGCTGGTTAAACGGCTGTATCAAAGTAAAAAGGATCAAAAGAAACAAAAAAAGAGAGTCGCGACTCTGATCGGCTTGATGCGCCGAACTCAGTAGTCGACCACGCCGCACAGAGTGGTATGTCAGCGATTGGAAGAATTCAAAAGATCTCACAAACCTGGCTCATCCTCCTGCCGCAAGCGAGTTGACTTGATGGGGGAGAAATGGAGGCCAGGGTTGATGAGAGGATTGGGGTCTGTAGGGAGAACAGCTCGGGAAGATTTCAGTGGCGAAGGCGGAAGAGAGGGGAGCTTTGTAGTTCTGCCGCTTCTTCTCCGTACTGGCGGGCTCGAAGACAACAACGTCACAAGAACGATGCGCCTCAGTGGTCGGTCTCTGTGCCAATTTAAATCTCGCCCTTATCTTGCTGTTTCGATCTCACTCGTCTTGTCATACCATTGTCCAGTCCATCGAACTATTTGTCATCATGCACAGCGTACCCCCATACGCGCTCGCGTGCCAAGCGCGGTCCCACACGCCGGATTACAGAGAGGCGCGAAAACGAAAGCCACCGTCAAACTAAAGGACCTTCCTCAGGGCGTTTTAAAGCTGGAGACATATAACGATGGAGTGGACGATGCGCCCCAGTATCCGACGGTGGTGCAAGGCCATCGAAACAATATGCAGAAATTCAAGAACTGTGTCATTCTTACCAGAGTGGGAGGCTTCTACGAAGTAGGCACCGCGTAATAGTCGAGAGTCTTCCACCACACAGAAGCTGATCACTTGTTTCTAGCTGTATTTTGAGCAGGCCGAAGAACTTGCGTCACTTCTTAGTTTGAAGCTTGCAACCAAAAAGACCAGTGCCGGCCCAGTGCCCATGGCTGGCTTCCCCTTTTCCAGCTCGATCGATTTCTCAAGATCCTCGTCCAGGATCTAAACAAGTACGTGGCTATCAGTGAGGAGTTTGCAATTGAAGCAGAGGGCAAGGCAAAGTCCACAGGACTTATGTTTGATCGAAAGGTGGCCCGGATTGTTACGCCCGGTACATTGATTGATGAAAAATTCATTGACCCGTCGGAGAATAACTTCTTACTGGCTATTTACCTGGATGTTTCTTCTCTGAAAGAGCAGTCGCGACAACATGTTCATGTCCAATCAGGCCAGCATGTGCTATCCTCGGTGCCTCAGCGAGTAGGACTATCGTGGTTGGACTTGTCGACGGGGGACTTCTATACCCAGCTTACCACCACGCAAATGCTCGCATCTGCCATTGCACGGATTGGTGCTCGAGAAATTCTTGTGGATCAGAATTTCCGCGATTTGATCGGACAAGAGTTGCAACAGCTAGTTGGACACGAGCATCGTTTGGTCACATTCTTCAAATTCCCTGAAGCGTATGCACCTCTAGCCCAGTGGGGCCCGATGCTGGAGGCTCCTATTCCTGATGAAGTGCATTCGTCATTTACGGAGGAGGAAGTTGCTGCCGGATACAGCTTACTCGAATATATTCGCGTGCAGCTGCAGAGAACGGACCTCAAGCTCCAACCCCCGCGTCGAAGGCACCTCGACGAGTCCATGAACATTGACCGCAATAGCTTGAGAGGGCTGGAAATTCTAGAGACGGCAAGAGACGGATTCGGAAAGGGAAGCTTGCTTCATGCTGTGCGTAGAACCAGCACGAAGAGTGGAGCTCGCCTTCTCCGCGATCGATTGAGTATGTCTTAGCGCCTTCTCATCTCCGAGCTCATCGCTTTTTTTGCGTTTTATATCTCTATTTTATTTACTAACATGTATGCTATAGCATCTCCTTCCACGTCTCTCCACATCATCAACGAAAGGCTCGACCTGGTGTCAGTGTTTCTGGAGAACGAAGACCTTCGAGACGGCATCATTGACCTACTTAAACGCAGCTATGATGCCCAACGTTTAGTTCAGAAGTTTGCCCTCGGAAAGGGCGACGCCGATGACCTGATCTGTCTCTCACGAGCCATCGAAGCGTCAAAAGGCGTCAAACAAGTTCTATCTGACTATGAGAGACCTCTCTGTTCCTCCACAAAAGCAGCCACGGGAGCGAAGAAAAGCCTTTACGCTATGATATCCCGGCTCCATCTTGATGGGCCTATGGCCCTTGCAGAGCGAATATTCGCCGCTATTGACGAAGAGGGCCTCCTCCAACAACAACGTATTGAAGACAGTACCGCCGCCGAAGCTGCCCGTTTAGCACAAGAGGTGACCCTCAGTGAAGGGACATCCAGTGAGCTCGAGTCCTTACCTAAAAAGGTGCGGTCCACCAGGACGAGTGAGCGCACCGCGGTGGTGGACTCGGAATCGGGTCCTGTTGAGACTTGGATCATGAGACGCAATGCTAGCGAGATCCTCAACATTCTCCATGGCGATCTCGAGCGTCTCGTGGACGAAAAGGCTCGATTGACCCAGCGCCTCCGGGACTATGTCGGCTCCTCGACGCTGACCTTGAAATGGACTCCGGGCCTGGGCCACATCTGCCACGTCAAAGGCGCCAAGGTCACACAGACCTCTCTTGAGGAGCTGGGAGTGACCCGGAACGTGTCCTCGACCAAATCCACCCGATCCTTCTACCTGCCTGCCTGGTCCGATCTTGGGCGCCGCATGGACCATGCCAAAATTCGGATCCGGCAAGAGGAGAAAGCCATCTTCGACGAGCTCCGCCGCCAGGTCCTCCTGAACCTGGTCAAGATCCGGCGCAATGCGGCCGTGATGGACGAGCTGGACGTGGCCTGTTCGTTCGCGATCCTGGCCCGGGAGCAGCGCCTGGTGCGGCCGATTGTGAACACCGGCACGGTGCACAAGATCGCGGGTGGGCGCCACCCGACGGTGACGCTGGGACTGGAGGAGCAAGGGCGGTCGTTCGTGAGCAACGACTGCTTCCTGGGCGGCGAGGAGCGCATCTGGCTGATCACGGGGCCGAACATGGCGGGCAAAAGTACCTTCCTGCGGCAGAACGCGCTGATTACGATCCTCGCGCAAGTTGGGGCCTACGTACCTGCAGCATACGCCGAGATCGGCCTTGTGGACCAGATCTTCAGTCGCATCGGGGCGGCGGACGACCTGTTCCGCGACCAGTCGACGTTCATGGTGGAGATGCTGGAGACGGCAGCGATCCTGAAGCAAGCCACGGCGCGGTCGTTCGTGATCATGGACGAGGTCGGGCGGGGCACGACGCCGGAGGACGGGACGGCCGTGAGCTTTGCGTGTCTACACCACCTCCACGAGCGGACGCGGTGCCGAACGCTGTTCGCGACGCACTTCCATGCGCTGGCGGAGATGACAAGCGGATTCGCCCAGTTAGCGCGGTACTGTACCGACGTGAAGGAGACGGAGGCTGGCTCGTTCTCGTTCGTGCATCGGCTGCGCAAGGGCGTCAACCGGGAGTCGCACGCGCTCAAAGTTGCGCAGCTAGCCGGGCTGCCCCGGGAGACGCTGGATCTGGCTCGACGTGTCCGGGAGCAGATGAGGGAGACGAGCGCGGCGAGAGAAGGAGATGCTGCTTCCTGTTCCAGCGGCCGGTGAGGATGTCTGCAGGATCATCACATGGGCCCTGGTGTGGCTGACGAGTAAGTTGGTGGAATGGATGGATGGATGGATGGATGTGTATTATAGTTCTGTACAATTATATACCCTGCTCTGTTTCTCTCTTTCACACACTCTCTCTCTTTCTCTGTTTCTTTATGTTTTGTCTCTATTTCTCTCTTTTTATGTCTCCACCTCTCTTTCCCTATCGGTCCCGTTCGAAGGGGTCGATGTTGATGAAAATAAGCGTGCCCGCAACGAAGTCATCTGATGTCCCGGAGATAAGAGATCAGTGACGCCGCAAACTTCGCGCTGATACGCTGATTCGGCGGGAAGGACGACGGCGCGTTCTTAATTTTCCCGCCGTCATGGGAATTATCAACACATGATCCTAGGCGATCAGGATGCTTATCAGGGCTATGATTTGCCCCCTTCCTGATTTATGATAATTCCCGTTCGGTCCTCGCCCCGAAATCGCGAGCCCTGGTAAACTAGCCAGGCCCTCCAGAGTACTACCTAGTACTAGTATAAGGAGTAGAAGCAATAACAGTATCAGATTAGTAATAGTAGTGGTAGTAGTAGTAGTAGTAGTTGTTGTTGTTGTAGTCGTCGTAACTACTTGATAAGACGACATAATGGTGAGATAAGCAAACGCTCGGTCCCGAGTTCCGGGGAACCCGCCAATTGAGTTACGCAGCGGTCCGCGGTTATGTTTGTTTTATGCTTTATGTTTCTTGGGAATATTCCCCACCAGAGAAGTATATAGTTATCATTCCCGAGGTGGCGTCCCCGAGGGGAGGGGGGGTTGGAGGGGGTCTTGCTGTTGGATGGTAGATACGCCCTGTCCTCTGATGTTGTACGATGCACTCTACGCCTAGATGTATATAGAAAGAGAGAGCGGGCGAGCGAGCGAACGACAGAGAGCGAAAGTGTGTGGAGTAGAGGACCCCGCCCACCTCCAACAGGGCTGCAGCTCACATGTGAAACACGTAGATTAACGACTGGTCCATGCGCAGTGGGCCCACGGGATGTGGTGGCCCTCCCCAAGTCGGCATGAGAAGGGGGGGAACCCTATCGAGTTGGTGCAACGGCCAGCACACCACTAGGGTCGATGCCCAACTGGGCTGGCAAGGTGCATGGAGGATGCGAAGAGGGGAAACAGGGACGCGCGAGACGGAGGGTGTGAGAGAGCAAGAGACGAGAGAGCAACGGATGTCGTCAACGGTTGCGAGACCAAGAGGCGGTTGAAGGCCAGGATACCCTTGTGGGTCACTCTGTAGGGCTCCAGTGTACTCAGTGTACCCAGCTATACCAAGTGGCATCGACTGCGTTGACAGCATCACTTGCGCATCATGCAAACATGCTCGCTGCTTGCCATTGGATATGGAGATATCCGATGTGCCGGGGGAGGGGAAGGATCGATGCTCGGTATCAGCGGGAGGACGATCTCCGGGACAAGAAGTGACAAGACAGCAGGGAAGAGGGGGCAGGCTGGTTCGCAGCAGGCAACCGGAGAATTGGAAGGTGACATGCGGCTCTTGGGAACTGGGAAAGACGGGCCTGCTTGGGACTGTTTGGGCACAGAAGACGTGGGCGAGCATCGTCGATCGTGAATCCGCCTGTTCTATGCCCAACGCGGGTCACGGGTCGAGTCGGCGCGAACGTAGATGTTCTGAAACCCTCTAACAAAAGCATAAAAAAAAACCAAAAAAAAGAATCCTATTCGATCGCGGGAAAAATTATCGAGACAGACTAGATACGATATAAAAAGAAGGGCCGGTCCCCCTCCCACACGCTGGCCGGACTCCGTGGTCGCCATAAGATGCGCCTGCACTCCTGGCACATTCATCCGCCGTGATATTCCCCCCCCAGACTACATCGACAAGGAGGGACATCTCAATATCCACTGTTCCTTTCTTCTCGTTTTCCTCTTTCCTCTTCGGTCAGGGTCAACCCCTGTTCCATCAACCACAGGATGGATTCCACGAAAAATGCCAACGGTTCCCCTCAGGGCAAATCGTCGCCTCAAGGCGCGACAACCAACGGCAATTCCGGAGCCAGCTCTAGCAAGAGCCCGGCAAAGCCGACGAGGTAGGCATTCTTTGTTGGAGATAGCTAGCTCCATGCCAGCGAGCATGGTGTTTTCCCCTTCCTCCTCAAAACAACCCAAACAACCCAAACGAAACAGAATCAATGGACCCCTGAGCTAATGGAAAGCTTTGCGACATGATAGAACGCCCTCGAACTCATCGCAGCGAGAAGCAGATCTCCGGCATATCGGCAGTTGGGTATGTACAATACCTGTGTTCTTTTTCCTCCTCCCTCCCTCCCCCTCTCCTTCTCCATTGATCGTGCCATCATTTCGCTCAACAGCCCTGCTATCTAGGCCGACAGCCAGAATAGTCGCAGATAGCGTTGCTCCGCGCCACACCAGGGATAGCATGTCGAGGAGGGAGGGGGAGGGGGAGGTGGGGTGCAAGGGGGGAGGAAAGCAAGATGACGGCCCGGAAAGCATCATCTGGGACCCAATGAGCGGCAGAAGGATTAGAAGGAGGGGAAATGAACCCGGCCACGAATAAGAGCGTGTCCGACTATACCCGAATGGCCGAGGAGCATTGGGCTACTCCTGGTCGATGACCTATGACTTATGACGTGGAATGATTGGACATCATATTTCTGCTTGAAGCAAAGAAATTGCCACTGCGCCTTCCTAATATAGTATGAGGTAGGACATTTGTTAGAAATCAATCACAACTGATGAGGCTCCCAAGGGTGTGTAAGGGTGTATTGTCATCTTGAAGCGTTGGTAGTGGAGGCTCTTCTGATGGCCGAAGAGAAGATCCTGATAAACAGTAAACAGGCCGGATGGATAACTCCAAAGCATCAGAGGCTTCAACTAGAGAGAACAAACCGTGATATCTATATATAGGCATGAAGTCACTGAGAGATTACATTCCTTCGGCTAGCTTGATACAGCATCAATACTCCGGGGATTAAATTCGAATTTACTCCATGCGCACACTTGGCAAAGTGAAATCATTAAGGGATTCATCCACGTGTTAGATCATCTACAGAGTAGTCCTCAAGTCGTTAAAAATGAAGCACGATGAAGTTTCCTGTATTATGAATGCACCGTAATGCTGGATACAGATTCCATTTTATCTTCCCTGTTAATAAGTTGGCGCTTGGGAAATATCAGCATATTGTCGAATTATTGATGGGACCTAGATAGGGCGTATGTATGGTATGTCGGTTGAAAAGTTAATGCTCAAACGAAACATATTTACTGTCGCTCAGATCTAAAAAAGGGAAAGGAAAGAAAAAATAAAAAAAGAAACAATCAAACCTTACTGCCAAAGAAGATTGAGTACATAATCAGACCTGAATTAGAAGGAGAGTGTCTCTGACAGGAGAAGTGGGTGGAAATCCCTGCATAATAATAATTCATTTGACATCGGCTTCAGATCTTTGGTGGGAAGACTTGACCCGCGTCTAAGGGTATGATAACTGGACAGCGCTTGCCGGCGCTAGGTAGGTGTTGATCACCAGTTGGGAACAAAGCATATAAACACTGTTAAACAAATATATCTTCAATGTCAAATAGACGGATAAGCTGACTTGCAAACGGCACAACGCATGGGGCAATAAAGAGAGGATGTGATCTTGCTGACAGGGGAACCGGACCCCCTCTCCCCCATTTCTAACAAGAGCCGAACCAATAACGTATCTTAGTCGCAAATAAAATACCCTACAATATGCAGCGGCACAAAGACTACCATATTCAGGCTAGCGCCAGCTCTTTGTGCTCCAATGATATAAGAATCAACTGATCGAGAAATGAGTTAGTCACTAGTTTCCATTTCCAGGACCAAGCTGTGCCTGACATGATCTTGTCCAATCATTCCAGATGGCCTTTCCATACCAGAAAGACTAGGGACAGTCTTAACTAATGGTGGTGATGGTTGCCAAAGTTCTTGGGGACAGTGCCAGACTATAGATTGATTGATTTACGGTGGCTGGTTGCTTATGGACGGACACCAACTCTCTCCTCGAATGATAAGTAAGGTATGTAGCAGCATGAATGCGTACCGCCGAGGGCGGATCCAGTTAGAGTCCACATTAGTATTAGAAAAATGTGGTTACCTATCTTATCTTTAAATAAGTTTTTATAGCACTACTTTATAGCAGTATCAGATTCGAGGGTTACATCAACGCTCTTGTTCTGCCGTCTGGCTGTCTATCCTCCGTTAGACTTGGAGTCTATACTATCAAGCTTTAGACAACCAACCCTCAAAGTTCGATATCAGTATTATTTCAAGGAAATATTAAACTGCCGGAAAGGAATGCCACACTAGGAACACATCCTTTGCAAAGAGGGCAAGAAGTCGGAATCAGACTCATGGTTATTGAGTCCTTTGCAGCTTGGAAAATGCAGTGGCTTCAGAGCCGTCTGTGGAGGTATAGTTGGTTCCAAATATTGCTTTATGCACCGTTAATGAACCAGTGTAATTACGATATCTTGTCTTTCCAAGTCCAAGAGGGCGGAGAAATGGCCGCGAGTGGGGACTGGGGCTTCATCTCTGAGACACGGACCAGAATTGCCATGAGGGGGAAAACAGGTATATGAGACGATAGGATGAGGTGCTAGGCATTAATTCCTCCAATCGCGCAATTGGACCGCCATCCAGGTGATAGTACCAGCCGTGCCGAGAATGTTGGGCGGGGGATATCGTGCATTGGTCCCAGTGTTAGGAAATTAAAGAATGATAGAAAGATACTATAGTAGCCAGTCCTCCTTCTTCTCTTGTCTTCTCTTCCCTGTTGAATGTGACAGTTGGTTTTGTTCCCTTTTTTATTTTTATTTTGATTATTTTGATAGAACTCGGTTGGGCATGGTTTTGTGTTTAATGTCTTTTCTTTTTCTTACAATACATCTTTTCTTGGATCTATTCTCATGGGAACGCGTGTACATATCAACTAGTATCCGGCAATTGTTTTGCCGCGTTTGATTTGCGGATTTCATGTCTTGGAACGACTCTTGAATCCATCCCGGTCCCGGTCCAAGTCACCCGCGGCCGCTCGAGCGCGTCGCATTGCGGTGTTACATTCGGGGCTGCACTAGTGCCCAAACTGGGGGATATAGCGCGGGCATGGCAATCTAGAGCCTCATTTTCAGCGAGTCTTCATTAAGAGATACTTGATATAGCGTGGCATCGGCTCGTCTGTAGTGCTGCGATATCGGAACTCCACCCAGCCCGGACAGCATCTGTTAATAAAGTTGAGCGGGTGGAGACTTGCTATACCTCCCCCTTTCTTTATGGTAGTTGGTATGGGGACCAGAGATCACTCGATCGGTAGTACGGGGAACAAACCCTTTTCCAGGTTGGAAATAGTTGATATAGGGAGTGAAACGGCGATGTACTTACGCCCTCTCCCCAAGAGCTCTTTACCTTCCTCCCAGTTTGGGCTTAGTAGACGCGTAAAGTAGATAGAGGCAAACATAAGGTGCTTTTGAAGAGACGCAGAGCCTTCGTGGGATGCTTATTTGTCTTCCATTGAAAGTCATTGTTGTCGGACCCTGCCCGATTTGATCATTGAACATACATGAAAAGTTACCTGCAGTAGGACGATGGTAACGTTGACAGGGGAATCTATGACCCCAAACTGACAAGTAGAGAGAAGAGCCATTACCAGAGTGGAAGGATATTAGGAGGCTAGAGATTAGTTAGAGCGTAATATAAATGTGAGGATTGAAGTGACCGCGATGGAGTTTTGGTGCGTAGATACGAGGGTAGGACGAAGGCCCAGCGTCATAGGAAGAAGGAATGAGCTCATGAGTAATGAGGCTTTGTTTGTATTAAGAAAGGCAAGGGCAGGCGACATGAGCAACGATTTTGGAAGACAAAATCATACATGAGGATGAATATGAGAGACCCACAACTGGAAGCACGCAGGTTGTGCCTTTTCTGCCAATGATGTAGCTGATCAATGGGTATTTCTGACATTTGTAGGCTTCAAAGGCTGCTTTGTTGTAGTCGATAACATGGTGGAAGCAATTCCCACATGCGGGATATGGCGCCAGTATCAACCATTCCATGAAATGCTATGTAACAATCTAGGACGTAAGACAGATACAATAAATTCTGATATCTCATTAAGAGATAAAGAAAAATATTTGTCAGAGTGAAAATCCGAGGTGAAGGGGTGTAGGGATGAAGTTAAAAAATAAAAGAAGGGTGCAGCAAGAAAATTGCAAAGGCGTTGTCGTTGTTGATACAAAGAGAAATAGATGAAACAATGAGGATCCAATACACGGTTTTGTTTGAAACCAGATGAGAGAAATAATTTGTCATGGCATTTTGGCTCTATTATTGAAGGTAGCAATGGTAATTCGTGGCCGGTAGATTCCTAATCTATTACCGTCAAAAACACCGGGAAAGCGGGAGTCAATGTATTTTGAGCTTGATATTGAGCTTGGCCTTGATTAATAAATTTTGCAGGACAAGACACAAAGATAGGATAAGCAGTTACACAATGGCCGCTTTGACAGAGTCAACTTGTAGAGCGACCTGTCGAGAAAACTGGTAATTTTGCGGAAGACTTCATGAGCAATCCACAAATCTTGAATGAAGCTGCTCAGGCTCTTCCCCGTGCACTATGGACCGATCATTCATAACGAATGGGAGACAACAAGTGCGACCATTTCATATGGCTGTCTTCGAATGAAGCTCCCATCAGAAGCTCCATCGATATCCTGATCTCACGAGGTGCATAGCACTGTCGCTAACCGAACAGCTGGCAGGGGAGTCTTTAGAGTCCTGAGACTAATGGGAGGCAGGAAATATTTGCTGCTGAGGCTGTTGCTTGCATGGCAGCTAGCGCATGCCAGATCAATCAGCAGATTCAGATTCAGAAGAAAACATCACAACTCAGCTTGCATCTTCGTTGCGAGAATCAAATCGAGCCTTTTTGGCTCGCCGTTTCATTTCCCTCTTCGACAGCGGTTTCTCGGTCTCCTCGGTGATTGTCTCTGAGCCTAGCGATGCTTTTCGTTTCAAAGTATCGTTGGTGGTTTCAGGCTGTGCCAATGTGGCTGATTTCTCCTGCTTTTTTTGTTTGGCTGCAGGTTTTTCGGCAGTGGGTTTGTCTCCGCCATGAACGATATCAACAATCCCACGCCAGCTAGTACGCTTCAATTTGGCCAATGCAACCACCTTCCTTGCCTCTTCACAAATTGCCTCCTTGCCTCGTTCCTGTGACAATCCCCAAACGCAGGCCAGATTGATCACATCCCATGGAGCTCGCAAGCTCAGCGCTCTCCGGGCCTCACTTGACACAATAATACCGCGACCCCGTGTAGCTCGAATCAATGACATGGTATTGCCAATCAGATTTCGACGGGCATCCAGACCACTCCCTGTGACTCCAGGCCCGTAGCATATCTCAAGCCGAATGCCACGTGATATCGCAGCCGACAACATTTTGAATTTGAAATGGAATGGAAGTCGCACAGAGAGGTCAAGCGAGATCACATCGCACTCCAAATTTGTACAGGCATTGAGCAATGCCTTTTCATTGGTTGGACGCAGAGCAACCAAATCATAAGCTTGGGATAGGCTGTTTAGACGCTGGTTCTGTGCGGGATCGGACAGCGTCAGGTTCAGGCGAGTCAGAAGCTGGAGAGACTTTGGCGAATTTGGCGGAAGGGGAGGGGGCAGGAGGCTCGGAGGAAGCTTGCCGGTGACGGTTTGGGACAAAGCGACGGTGGTGTAACCAACTAAGGTCATGTCAGTCCTCCATGTGCCCCTCCGCGGCCAAACGTGTTTCGAGTCGTCTGCCGAAGATGGAAGAATGACTTACGTTCCGCGAGGAAGTTCAAGGTATGCGGCACTTCAGGATCATCTGAGCTGTACGGGATATTCAAATCGAAGAACATCGTGCCGTCTATAAAGAGCCCCAAGGCCTGTTCGTGCGTCAGTTGCGAAGTCGAAGAAACACCAGTCCCGACCTGTCCGAAAGAGGCAATCTGAAAATCACTTCGGCACAACGATTATCCGAGGCCACAGGCTAGCCGCATTGAGGCTGCTCTCCACAGCAATCCCGTGACAAGGCGGAACAGATCTCGCTCTCATCATAATATCCCCCTCCAAAATCCCATTGCTTCAGGACGATCGATAGCACGGCTGCGTTCGGGCTGATCAGTTGCTGAGCCCGCTGCTGCCGTTGTCTCCCTGCTGTGACCACCTCCCCGAACCCCTTCTCAACCCGTCACTTGGTTGCGCCCCGCGTGACCCCGCCGCACCTCATTTCCATTGTGGGCGGATTCGGAAGCCGTCTGCAATCACCATGGCGCGCGTCTACGCCGATGTCAACGAGCATATGCCTCGGTCCTATTGGGACTATGACAGCGTGAATATTTCCTGGGGTGTGCTGGAGAATTATGAGATCGTTCGCAAGATCGGTACGTATCATCCGATGGAGCCTATCCCAGCCGGAGCGGTATCTTCTGCCGCCATGCTTGCACTGTGGGGGCGTCCAACTGACAGGCCGACCTTTGCTGACCCGATCCGTTTTAGGCCGGGGAAAGTACTCAGAGGTGTTTGAGGGCATCAACGTCGTCAACTACCAGAAATGTGTCATCAAGGTTCTCAAGCCCGTCAAGAAGAAGAAGATCAAGCGTGAAATCAAGATTCTTCAAAACCTCGCCGGCGGTCCCAATGTCGTAGCCCTGCTGGACGTTGTTCGGGACAATCAGAGCAAGACCCCCAGTCTTGTCTTTGAAGCTGTCAACAACACTGATTTCCGGACTCTATACCCCCGCTTCACCGATTACGATGTCCGTTTCTATGTTTACGAGCTTCTGAAAGCGCTCGATTTCTGCCACAGCAAGGGCATCATGCATCGTGATGTGAAACCTCACAATGTCATGATTGACCATGAGAAGCGCAAGGTTTGTCGTTATGTCTGGATCTATGTCGAATGGTCATGATATGCTAATTATTCTGCAGCTGCGACTAATTGACTGGGGTCTTGCTGAATTTTACCACAAGGGTACGGAGTATAACGTTCGAGTTGCCTCTCGTTACTTCAAGGGCCCAGAGCTGCTGGTTGACTTCCAGGAGTATGATTACTCCCTCGACATGTGGTCGCTGGGTGCTATGTTTGCTTCCATGATCTTCCGCAAGGAGCCCTTTTTCCACGGAAACAGCAATTCGGACCAACTGGTCAAAATTGCGAAGGTCCTCGGTACCGAGGAACTTTTCGAGTATCTGGACAAATATGATATTGAGCTGGATGCACAGTATGACGAGATTCTCTCCCGCTTTCCCCGCAAGCCGTGGCCCTCGTTCATCACTGCCGAAAACCAGCGCTTCGTCAGCGATGAAGCCATCGATTTCCTTGACAAGTTGCTGCGCTACGACCATGCTGTATGATTTCCTTGGGTATATCTAATCCTGACTTATGAGGTATTCACTAACTTTACTTTGCAGGCCCGTTTAACTGCCCAGGAAGCGATGGCCCACCCGTACTTTGACCCCGTGCGCGCTGACGCCCGAAACAACGCCGCCGCTCAGTCCTGAGCCGGTAATATATCAGTCGGATGACCGTGGCTTTCCTATCCTATTTGCACCTATCCTTTTCCCTCCTTTCGCCATCATGCAATTTTGAACGACGCCTGGTGTCATGGAACTTCCCCTTTTTATCTGAATTTGAACCACGCCGTCCTGAGCGGCGCACGACCAGGAAAATGAGCAGGAGATGATAATGAACGTCGCCGTGGAGCCCCGTATTCTTAGGTTTTTCCCGTTTCAGATGAAGAGTGGCTACGCACGATGAGTGACCGAATTTCAAAGGAGACGACGTTGATGACAAGACATGACTTCTAATCTTCTTGGGCCAATCAGCCTTGCATCGCCTCGGTTCTGCAGGCATATTAGTGAGCGCAATAAATCAGTTGACGTCTTAGAACGGGCGGGGCCATCCCTTCCCTCTCACACTGCCTAATTGAATTGTACAGCGCTGCTTTCCCCAGTCTTCTCCCCTCGTCCTTGTTCTGGTGTTAAGGATTTCCTTCTCTCTATTTCTTGTACGTTCTCTGTGAATCTCGTCTGTTGTTGTTTTTCGCAGTACTTTTTCTCAACTTGCGGCTGCTTCTGATTTCACATGCACATTCAATGGAGTGATGGTATCGGGGAGGTCGTCATTCTTGTTGCTCAAGTTCACGAGGGGTTTTGAAGACACAATGCATCGCGAATTCCACCTGTTTCCCCTGAAGCCTGTCACTTTATAGATCGTCGGCCGTCCGTTTGTAGTCGTGTAATCCTCCTATCGCCGGCTTATCGGCCGTGATCAGATCACCCGCTGGCATCAGCGCCATCACGTGAGAGCAGTCTCGACGCGATTTTGTTTGAACAGCAATTGAGGACCGAACAGGATAGAAGGAATCGTACCAGCGCCCATTCATGATCGGCCCGCCTGGTGTAATCTATCGATGATATAGAAGATCGGCTCGTTGCGTGGTTCCCACCAATCATCTTGCGGCACCCCACTCTCATTCGCCGTGGAAATTTAATCTGCCCGCATTTCGCACAACACCCCTCCTTGTCGCATCTTCCTCCCCTCAAGATACTTATCCGGCGATTCGTGGCGCGATCGGCGCCTTGGAGATTCACTCCGCAATATCGATCATTTTCCAGAATGGCTGAAAACGCTGCAGCTCAACCTCCCAGTGAGTACTCTCCCAATGACTCATCGGATTGTCGCCGGTTTGAAGCTCACAATGACATGATACAGCTGGGGAGCCTGCCCCCGCGGCGGCCCCGAAGGTGAAGTCTGAGAAGGAGTGTATGTATCCCTGGCGAACCCCAAGTCAATCTGTTGCTATGACGGATGAGAACGAAGCGCTGACGGTCTGATGATTCTTTGATAGTGGAGCGTGAGCGCAAGAAGGCCGAGAAGGCAAAGAAATTCGCTGAGAAGCAGGCCAAGGCCGCTACCGCTAAACCCGCTGCCCCTAAGGCCGAAAAGAAGGTCGCCAAGGTTGAGAAGGAGAAGACCACCGACGCATACGACCCCAAGGTCATCGAAGCTGGCCGCCTTGAGTGGTGGGAGGAGCGTGATCTCTTCAAACCCGAATGGGGTCCCGATGGCAAGGTCAAGCCTGAGGGTTCTTTCGTTATTCCTATTCCTCCTCCGAACGTCACCGGTTCCCTCCATATGGGCCACGCCCTGACCAACGCCCTCCAAGATACTATGATCCGTTGGCAGAGAATGAAGGGCAAGACTACCCTGTGGCTTCCTGGAATGGACCACGCTGGTATCTCGACCCAGAGCGTTGTGGAGAAGATGCTGTGGAAAAAGGAGAAGAAGACCCGCCATGACCTGGGTCGTGAAGCTATGGTCAAGCTCATTTGGGACTGGAAGGATCAATACCACAGCAACATTAAGAACGCCTTGCGGAGAGTTGGTGGCTCCTTTGACTGGTCCCGCGAGGCCTTCACTATGGACCCCAATCTGTCTGCTGCCGTGACTGAGACCTTCGTCCGTCTCCATGAGGAGGGCATTATCTACCGTGCTAACCGTCTGGTTAATTGGTGTGTTGCTCTGAACACTTCCCTCTCCAACCTTGAGGTTGAAAACAAGGAGATTGAAGGCCGCACCCTCCTAGATGTGCCTGGCTACGACCGCAAGGTCGAGTTCGGTGTCCTCACTCATTTCTGCTACGAGATTGAGGGTACCAAAGAACGCATTGAGATTGCTACCACCCGTCCCGAGACCATGGTTGGTGACACCGGTATTGCTGTCCACCCTAATGACGCGCGCTACAAGCACTTGATTGGCAAGCACGCCGTTCACCCCTTCATCGATCGCCTGATGCCCATTGTCGCCGATGAGGGTGTTGACCCCGAGTTTGGTACTGGTGCTGTGAAGATCACCCCGGCCCACGACTTCAACGATTTCAACCGCGGAAAGCAGCACAACCTCAAGTTTATCTCCGTTATGAATGATGACGGTACTTTTAACAAGAATGCCGGTCCTTACGCTGGCTTGAAGCGCTTTGATGCTCGTTATCAGGTCATTGACGCTCTGAAGGAGAAGGGCCTGTACGTGAAATGGGAGCACAACCCCATGAAGGTGCCCGTCTGTGCTAAGTCCAATGATATTATTGAGCCTATCCTGAAGCCTCAATGGTGGATGAAGATGGAGAGCCTTGTTGGTCCCGCTATCAAGGCTGTTGAGGATGGTGAGATTATCATTCGTCCCGAATCCGCTGAGAAGAACTACTTCCGCTGGATGAACAACTTGAACGACTGGTGTCTTTCTCGTCAGCTTTGGTGGGGCCACCAGGCCCCCGCCTACTTTGTCAAGATTGAGGGCGAGGAGAACGATGACAGCGACGGTAACTTCTGGGTCACTGGCCGTACCGAGGAGGACGCTCGCAAGAAGGCTGAAGAGAAGTTCCCTGGAAAGGATTTCTCGTTGGTGCGCGATCCCGATGTGCTCGATACCTGGTTCTCGTCTGGCCTTTGGCCCTTCTCGACTCTGGGCTGGCCTCGCAAGACCCACGATTTCGAGAACCTGTACCCGACCTCTGTTCTGGAGACCGGTTGGGATATTCTCTTCTTCTGGGTTGCTCGTATGATCATGCTGGGTATCAAGATGACTGGCAAGATTCCTTTCAAGGAGGTTTACTGTCACTCCCTGATCCGTGACTCTGAGGGCCGGAAGATGTCTAAGTCCCTAGGCAATGTTGTTGACCCTCTGGATGTCATGGAGGGCATTCAACTTCAGACTCTTCACGACAAATTGTTGACCGGCAATCTTGCCGATAAGGAGGTCGCTACTGCCACTAAGTATCAAAAGAAAGCTTTCCCCAAGGGTATTCCCGAGTGCGGTGCTGATGCCCTGCGCTTCGCCCTTGTCTCATACACCACTGGTGGTAAGTTATTATGTTTGTCTGATTTGTGCTATATGTTGCTAATTTTCCAATTTTCAGGCGGTGATATTGCTTTTGATGTCCAGGTTATTCACGGATACCGTCGCTTCTGTAACAAGATCTATCAGGCTACCAAGTTCGTTCTTGGAAAGTTGGGCGATGACTTCAAGCCTCAGGCCAAGGTTGCGAAGAATGGCAATGAGTCGCTGTCCGAGCGCTGGATCCTCCACAAGTTTAACATCGCTGCGAAGGAGATCAATGAGGCCCTAGAGGCTCGTGAGTTCTCTGTTGCCGCCAACACCTCCTACCAGTACTGGTACAGTCAGCTGTGCGATGTCTTCATTGAAAACTCTAAGTTTTTGTTGGCTGCCGATGCCTCGCCCGAGACTCAGGAATCCGCAAAGCAGACTCTCTACACTGCCTTGGAGGGCGCGCTCGCTTTGATTCACCCCATTATGCCCTTCGTCACTGAACACCTGTGGCAGCGTCTGCCCCGTCGCCCTGATGACAAGACCATCTCCATCATGAAGGCCAAGTTCCCCGAATATGTGGCCGAGTTCGATGACCCGGCCGCCGAAAAGGCCTACGAGCTCATTCTCAACACTTCCAAGGTCATCCGGTCTATCTTGGCTCAGTACGATGTCAAGACCAAGGGCGATATCATCATTCAGACTTACGACGCCATCAGTGAGAAGACCATCTCCGAGCAGATGACCAGTGTCCAGTCTCTCGGTGGCAAGACCCTGGGTGAGCTGTCCCACCTCGGCCCAGATAACAAGATCCCTCCTTCCGGGTGTGTTGTTGCCGCGGTCGGTGCTGAGGCTGCTGTGTATCTTCGTGTGTCCAAGGAGGTTGCCCTCGAGCAGGAGGAGAAGGCCAAAGCCAGCCTCGAGAAGGCCCGTGAGGCCGCTCGTCGGTCGCAGACTGTCATGAGTGCTCCTAACTGGAAGGAGAAGGTCAAGGTTGAGGTCCGGGAGCAAGAAGAGAAGCGTCTTCGTGATGCCCAGAGCGAGGCTGCTCGCTTGGAGGAGCAGATCAAGGAGTTCGAGAAGTTGCGTTTGGAGTAAAACATGCAGATCTATCGCCGTATTACCTTCATACCTGGCTCTAGATAAAATCATATGAATTGATTATTTTGTTCATTTAACTTCAGAATAATTTTAGCCCAGATTCCCCTAAATCGTAAATTATGCTACTTGGACGAACTATGGACTTCAGATGCCAAGCCGTTGCTGTAGTTCTGGAACGGGGCTTATCGATAAGAGTGCCAAGCCTTCCCCCCAAAACTTTTCTGCGTTTTTTATCCCAAGCCTCTACAACTGTGTCAGAAACATTCTATTACCACAATGCTGCGCGAAGTGTATGTACCAATTTTTCCTTGTTAAATTCTTGTTTTTCTGATCTCGTCATTTTAGCAAGGCCAAGAACCCGCGCACTGCGCGCATTCTTAAAGCGCGCGAGCCCCAACTCATCGAGGGCCCTAAGAAGACACTCATTCTCCATGGCACAAAATGCCCCCAGGCTCTCGACACCGTTCTGAAGACCTTCCACTCCCTTACGAAGCCGCACTCCGTCCTGTTTCACAAGAAGAATGAGAATATTCATCCGTTTGAGAACACCGAGAGCATGGAGTTCTTGGCGAACAAGAATGAGTGTGGTCTGATGGTCTTTGGAAGCAGCAACAAGAAGCGCCCAAACTGCATCACCCTCGCTCGAATTTTCAACTCACAATTGCTCGACATGTGTGAAATGCTGCTCTTGCCTCCGCAGGACCCCCAAGCCATCCCCCCCATCAACGAGTTGGTTATGCACGTTGGACTTGGGCTGCGCCCGATGATGCTGTTTGCCGGTAGCCTGTGGGAGGATCCAACTTCCTCAGCGCACGTCATGCTTAAGAGCTTTTTCCTCGACATGTTCAAGGGTGAAGAGACCAACCAGATTGATGTCGAGGGTCTGCAGTACGTTCTGATGGTCGGCGCCGAGGAGCCCCGTGATAACCTGTCTCCGGTCATCCACCTCCGCTGGTACAAAGTCATCACCAAGCGCAGCGGCCACAAGCTTCCTCGTGTTGAGTTGGAGGAAGTTGGACCAAAGTTCGACTTCAAGATTGGCCGTATGCGTTCGGCTACACCCGAAGCCATGAAGGAGGCCATGAAGCAGGGCAAGCGTCCCAACGAGGAGATCAAGATGAAGAAGAACATCAGCATGGACTTGGTTGGTGACAAGGTCGGCCGTGTTCACCTTGGCAAACAGGATCTGGGCGGTCTTCAAACCCGCAAGATGAAGGGTCTGAAACGCCGGGCCGGCGTGGAGTCAGATGAGGAGGACGAGGAGATGATGGATGTGGACGAAATCTCGGAGGATGAAGGCCACAAGAGGGCCCGGGTGGACTAGATCCTGTCCTTATTTGCATTGTCATGTATTTACTCTAATGGCGTTTGGTCTGGTTGGGTTTTTGTGCTTCTTGACGCCTGTTGTGTATGCCCGGGATTTCCTGTGTCAGCATGGAAAAGTACCATATTGAAGCGATGCTTCTTTTTCGATCTATTCTCTAGCTATATTTCTATACAAAGTGTCATGAATCGATAAAGAACTCCATTTAAATCATTATCAGCATCCTTCATTAACACAGACTTCCCGGGGCTCTATACAATATATCCACGTGACCATGACGTCGGCCGTCGGCATCGTCTCACATGCCGAGGCCCTTTCTCGATGCGGATCCGAAGCGAAGTGCCGCCTCCCCTCTCGCTATCCTTATCCTGAACCTGTTCTTATTCTTACTTCTCCATGAACCTCATATACCCAAGGACTTGTCGCTGTCGTGCCCTCTTTCAGTAGCCTCCGTCCGAGTCCGACCTCCAGCCGAGGTATCTCGCGCGCCGTCATGGATGCGCTCATGGTGAGCAGTCCCCGCAAAAGCCCAAAACACATGCAGATAGCTGCAGCAGCTGACAAGACCTTCGTTCCCAGACCCGTCTGGACGCACTCGTTCTCAACCCTGATCTTGCACCATTACTGTCACTACTCAAAGGTGCACGCAATGGCATTATCTACGGGTCGAAAGTGCGATTCCCGCATGCCTTGGTGTATGTATTTCCCCCCCAGGACATCCGCTTGAAATACTCCATGACGAGGATATTTGACAAGAATAAAGCATGCTGATTTGTATCTAGAATGATCTTTCTATTCCGATCGGGAACGTATGTCCAGCCCCCTCTCCTTTCGCTTTTTAGTTTCCCGCCGGACTAACGGGTTAACTGGTATAGATTCCGGGAAAAGACCAAGCTCGTCTTGAAAGCAACCCGTCAGCATGCTCGGAACCTTGCAACATTTGCAATCATTTATAAAGCCTCTATGATTGTTCTTCGGAACATCAATCCCGCTGGTGCCAAGAAAGAAGGTCGTTATGATAGCTTTTTCGCCGGCTTATTAGGCGGATATGCGGTCTTCGGCCGGCAACCGGGGAGCGTCAGCCAGCAGGTACAGACAGCACTTCCCCAACGCCACGCCCAAACTCAATATTTTTTTCTTGTACAAGACTAACACAACTTAGATCGTCATCTACGTCTTTGCCCGTGTGATGCTATCTCTCGCCAAGCTCGCCGTCGAGCCCAATATGCATCCTCTCTCCTCCCTCATTACCCCAGAAGCTCGGACTCAGATAACCAACAATGCCTGGCCCGTCTTTGCCAGCATGAGCTGGGCATTCGTCATGTATATCTTCCGCTGGTACCCAGAGACCCTGGCGTCTAGTCTGCGGAGTAGCATGGTCTACATGTAAGCTGCCTTACCCTCCTTCACTTAATCACCGATTCTAATAGATCTGCCTTCCAGTTATGCTGATTCAGACCACTGGGACTCGTTCCGAAACCTGTTGATTCACAATAAATGAGATTCCCGTAGAGGTCGACAGTCGGTAATTACTTCTCTCGATTTCTTTCCAGCTGGCCTTGGATGTTATATGGCGTATAGAATGGAGTTCTTCTGCTTTCTGTTGTGGGAACAACTGAGACAGTGTTGTTTTCGATAAGATACCGTCGTGAGTTATATTCCTGTCGACTCATCATTAGCCTTACCCTGTATTATGAGACATGGACCTTTCCTTTTCCATATTTTGCATTGTCATTTGAGTGTTTTAGGCAGCTAGCGATATATGAGTCTTTTCCCTGGATTTCTCATGCCTTGTAAAGGATATCTCACGTCCATTCATATTGCTTTACGTCTATTTGAAACTCTTATCAGTTGTCAGTCGATACGAGTTGGCTGCCTGGTATGCCTGCTCTCTAGATACCAATGTATACCGCGGTTTGTTTGCTACGAGTCAAATACTACGCTGCAGGTATGGAGGTCCAGAAATACACAAATTAGGTCAGGTGCAATCCCACCTTGAATTCTTGTCTATCGCAATCTGTGCACGAGCAATTCCAATGCCAGCTAAGAATAATCATGTATACACCCTCCCTCCAAATCACTCCAGAAACCAGCCCGTGCCAAGCTCAGTCCGGACGCTGCAACGCGAGCTGCACGGCTTCATCCTGCCACACGGACACCTCACCCGAGACAGTAGTTTCATGAAAGTGAAAGCGACTCACGCCGCGAGCCTGGACATTAGCGGCAACCGGCGACCCTAGCAGGCTTTTGTTAGCAGCACGAGCGAAATGCGCCTCCCTTGCATAGTGCTGTGCTGTGGGAGGGAAGAAGAGACGTACAAAAGCTGCATTTCTGTTTCGAGCAGGGCCTATACACCCAGTGACAATTGGCACAGGAGCCCTGGAACATGTCTGACAGAGCGACACAGCCCACGAATTGGCCCGCGCCCCTGGCGCACCGCTTGCAAGGATCGGGTGCTTTGTCGCCAACCGCTTGTAGAAGAAACGCCTCACGCTGTGGAGGATGGCTGTTCAGGAACCTGAATAGGTTGGGCGCATTGCGGATGCTGATTTCTGTGCGCAGCACAGGTTCGCGGTGAGGCTGGATGGTGCGCAGGCAATTCCAGGCGTCTAATGTAGATTCTCCTAGTCGCCACGGGGTTTCCAATAGGAATCGGACTCTTTTATCGGGGGGCGGATCTTCGTCGTCGGTGCTGGGGAGGCTGGTGGTGGTCTGAGAGGTACCTTCGCTCCCGGATCGGGTGGTGCTGGATGGGCGGTCGTTGGTGGTGAGAATAGAAGCAGATGCGCTTGTGGTGATGGCCTGGAACAGGGAGGGTTCGGAAGTTTCAGAGTGTTCGGAGTGTTCGGCTTGTTCAAGTTGCTCCATCGCGCTGAGATGAGTTGAGAATGGAGTTATATGGTAATATGTTCACGGAAAGTGGCCAGCTGAGGAAGAAGTTGAGATGATCTAGGCACACGTTCTTTCCCTGGCGAGCACGGAGACAGCGATGCCGCGGCGAGATTCCATGGAACGAAGTGAGCCCATTACAACCGAAAGGAAGGTTCAGAATGAAGAAGTGAAAAGACAGCGCGGTGAGTCGCACATAGTAGATTGTCATCAACTCTACAAGAGTTTAGAAATAATACACAGGATCCTCACGAAGTCCGGGATCCTTCAAGAAATGAACCAAAAAAGCAACCGCATAGAATGGTAGACACGCAGTCTACTAGGGGGTATGATTTCCTTCGATCTCCACCAGAACCTTTAAGTCCCCGTCCATCCAGTCTACCGTATCCGCAGACAGGATCGCAAATGTCCAGTCTTTCTCGCTTTGTATGGAAACGAGGCCACTGGGAAGCAAGGCCTTGACCTTCCAGCTTGCGGCGGCAGTATCATCTCGCACCTGTTGCTCAAGATTTTCTGATTCTTGCATTGGGGGAAGACCTGGAATCTGTCCATTATAGCGACGGAGAACAGACTCTTTGATGGTAGCGATGCTGGGACATTGTTCTGCTGGAAGGTCGAGCCGAGGTAAAACACGCTTGCCATGCTGAAGAATATTGATGCGAAGATAAATTTGGGTATGGGAATTGGCGTCGGGGGCAGGATTTGTGGCTCCTTGGGGGGTTGAGCCTTGGATAGGCACAAACAGCTGCTGGGGGTGGGATTGGTGCTCTGTTCCGGCTTGTCCTTGAGATGTCGGTTGGGCGCCTTGTCTGGTAGCGATGTTTTCGCGAATAATGCGCGATACATCGCGAGTTATACTGCTGGCACTGTATGGACGTTAGCTGTTAGGCCAGGTCTACAAGGTACGCTAGGAAAGACAACTTACAATTCATCACGGGCGGCTACATTACGTCCTCCTCCGATGCGCCAAGGTAGACTCGACGTGCAGTCAGCATGGATTATCCGGTTGATGTTGGTGTCCTCGCAAGGGGACGAACAATCGAAGCCACCATCGTGAATCACATGATAATGGCTATCAACGGCCGCGACGATACCGCGCCAATCGGACTGTTGCAAGCCAGAGAGAGACCAAAGGTTGTCCAGTTCGTAATCGTGGTTATACATGTCATAACACCTGCCAATTTGATTCCAATCGACAGTATATCCTTCCAGAAGAAGGTCGGTCAGGCCAAGATCCAAAGATTGATCCGGTTCCACTGGCGGATGTGATTGGACTGACGGAGGCGGAGGTGGCATCGATTGGCTCTGGTTATGCATCTGAAGTTGCTCCTCTGGAGAGAATCGAGGGCCATTCAGATCCTGGAAGCTCTCGTTGGTCTTGCGACGACGACGCTCCTCTGTGCTCCCTCCTTTACGGGTTTCAATGGCATACTGGCGCTGTCGTTCATTGGTCACCATCCTTCGCAACAAAGGAATGACAAGAGAAATGATCTTCTGCTGATCACGCGGCCAGATGTAGGTCCTTGGGCCCATTCCCTCGTTCACGACATCTTCTCCGAAAAATCGCTCGCCGTTCCCCTCAGCCTCGAGAAAATGGCGAACGCAGTTCCACAATCGCAATTTGACCATCTCCGTATCTCCTTTCCCTCGCTGGCCGACGCAGTCACGTCGTTCGGGATGATCATCGTTCAGCATGTATGTCTTCGCCGCTGCTTGAAGGTGAAGGAAGTTCTCCGGTGACAGTTCTAGGGAGGCGAACAGCTTCGACATCGGTGGTCGCGTATATTTCTTATTGCTCGAGGGCTGGCGGAACAGCGCTGCGGCGGAATGTACACCAACTGCCCGTGCTTCAGAAAGGGACTGTGGCGGGACAGAACGAATGTCAATACTATCGCCAACATATCCATGCTGGTTTTGCTGGGACGGTTGAGAGTGCTGCTGCTGTGATCCGGAGAGACCAGCTCCCGCCAGTGCAGGATCGAGATTGTCATCGTTTCTCTTTCTCTTCTTGGACACGGTGCGAGAGAGCCCGGAGCCCTGGGTATGGTCATTCTGTACTCTCAAGTGCCTGCCACCCCCCATACTAGCTGCAAAGTTTGCATCGCCAAAGCCATCATCTCCGAGGTGCATGTCAGTGCCATAGCCTTCCAGCTGGTGGTGGCCCGCAGCCGCAGCAGCGATTGCGACAGCTGTAGGAGCCGCCCATTGGTGTGATACATCCTGGTCTGCGGCGGCGGTTGCCGCCTCCACAAGCCCCGCTAATTGGTTGTCATTTGGCGCATAGCCACTGTTGGGATCAAAGTGGTTGGTGGAGGTGGGTTGGTTTGGGAGATCGGCAGAGGAGGTAGGAGGGTGTTGGTTATTCGAGTTTGAGGAAGTCATGATGCTCTGGATGGGGGTGGAGAGCTGTCCAGAGTCCCGAAATACTGAGCATATGCACAGTAGGATCAATTCCAACCGTCCTGGGGGAGAAATTCAGGATCGAACAACTCTGCTAGACCATATAGACCACTTTTGAGGCGCTGCGAAGTATTTCCAAAGCAACAATATTGGCAGATAGGCAGAAAACAGGTGAGAGGGGCGTTCAGGAATCACGGATGATAGGTGATTACTTGCGGAATATTCACACCACCACACCCCAAAAGGGGAGGGTAAAGCGCGTCGAAGTTTGGAGTGCACAGAAGCTATTCGCGAAAGCTCTAGACATCCGCCTGATAAGAGCGCAACGCGACGGGGCGATTGATGGTGATGTTTGCGCAGTTTGAAGGAAGGACAGACAATGCAAACCTTGCATGACAATCACGTGACTATAGCGTTCATCGACTCCAAGCGGCAGCAAGTAGCAAGTGGGGACTCGACATCAACACGGGAGGGTTTTTCTCCCTCTTTCAAAAAGGAGGGGAAAGGAAACAGCAATTGGAGATGGGTTAAGATTTATTTGTTTTTTATCATCGAGATCATTTCCGCTAGAAATTACCATAAAAGCAAAGGCAGGGTTTGGTATACATGTACAGTCAGAAGAGCTCAGGAGACGCAATCTATAAACCAAGGCTCATGCAATCCATCGCATCTCCGTCCCAAAAAAAAGTTCCACCAAAAAAAATAGCAGATTTTGTTCCACGGTAAGTTTTGGGGGAAAAAGATGAAAGTTCCGTTTGTATAGATATCATCTCCAACTGTGTAAATGGCCGCAAGATATTAAGAAGATAAAAGAAAGAGATGGCACATAAATGGTAAGGTCAATACACTGCTCTCTCGAAATCAGGCCAGCCTTGAAATCAGAGCAGTGAGGACCCAGTGTTTTTCTTCTCAACAAACCTAGAAGCCATCGCCTTCCTTCCAGGGACGGCCTGCCTCAAGAGCACGGTTCCTAGGGTGCTTTCCACGTTCAAAAGCGGCTTCAAGGGTATCGGCAACTGCCACTTGTTTTTCGAAAACAAGACGTTCGAACTTGGCCTTGCGACTGAGATGGGGCACATCCAGCTCCGTGGTTTCGTCCAAGTCATCCTGCACGTCGTCGAAGTCGAATTCATCGTCCCAAGATATCCAGCTATCTAGCTGGGTTTGGAGCTCGTTTTTTTCGGTTTCCAAATTTCTGTAGGCCTGGAATTCATCTGGGCCACCGAAACAAACCCCATAGCCATCGCAGAGACAGACACTTTCTTCCACGCAAACGACAGGCTGACCAGTGAAAACAAACTGCCAAAGATATTCCCAAATGCGGCCAGCGATATAATCACTAAGGTCTGTCTGGAGCAACCAGTCGCGGTAGAAGATGAAACGGGCACGCGGGATGGTGCGGATTCGATCGCGCGACACGGCAAACTGGGCACAGCATGGCTGTGCCAGAACCGATGGAACCGGCTGGTCGGGGAACAGTTCACCCCAGGCTCGAGCTAGCATCACCTCTTCCTGCTTTGTCTCATCCTCTATAAGAGCGCCGGGGTGCATCCACGCAGGGCATCCAGGTCCAAATTGGCAGCGGATGTTCATGTATCCCTGTCGTGTCACACGATCGAGGCTGAGATGCCGGAGGATCTCCGCCGCATCGCGATCGAACAAATCTTCATTGTGCCAGGCTTCCTGGTGCGAGTGCATGAAGACCGCGACATCAGGGAGGTTCTCGTAAAAGTCGATTATATAGGATATATAGACCATGACCTCATGGCCTTTGTTTTGGGGAGGGTGGAGGGGTGCTTTCGGGTCGTCAGCGACATAGACAGCACTGCCCCAATCTGGCAGTTCTTCCCCGATCCAAGTGGTATCCTCCGATTTGATTCGAGCCACAACCAGCGTCTTGGTATAGTTGTACCCCAGTGGTTTGGCGGTTCCCGGCACGAAATTGGGTTGAGGAGCATAGGCGGACTTGCCGCCATGGCTTGTGGTGAAATTGAACGACCCTGTCCAATTCGTAGAGGAAAACACGTGTTCTCCGAGGCCCACAGCCTGGGAGTAATTACGCCATGGTTGTGAAAGCTGATGGGCCGTGTAGAAGAGGATGAGGAAGAAGCTTAAGCCGAGGAAAAGAACTGCGCGCCGTGGGAGAATCATGGAAGTCGATCGGGTGAGACAATTATACGCGGAGAATTGATCTGTCGCACAAGCCCAACAAAGTTTAGCATTGACTGCGCATCAAAAGACCGGCATTGCGGCACTATGTTCCACAAGCCTTGAAGAGGTGTTGAGCTGGGGGGGGAGGGAAGGGAGTAGGGTCCAGAGCCTGCAACGACCCCAGGCGCTACTGTTCCATGAACGTACATGAAGCTCAACTGAACGGTATTGCACAGGACCAGGAGCATTGGGGGTTAGGTCGATGGTCAGGGGCAAACCAGGGAGATGGGTGTAAGGGAGAGAGATAGAGAGATAGAGAGATGGAGAGATGGAGAGATGGAGAGATGGAGAGATGGAGCAGGCAATCAGGGTGTGGCGCTTGGGAAAGTTTGGGGAAGACTCAAGTCTGTTCCCTTGGAAAGGTCTAGATTGAAGAAGGTCCCGTCCGTACCTAATATTCGACATGCGGATAACTACCCAGGCTCATCGCGCGGGGCGTGGGCGAATGAATGGCGGAAAATCGGGTACAAGTGGATCAGGAGTGGCCCTGGGATTGCGCGCCGCGCGTGGATGACGAAAGCCGGCCGGGGGGAGATTCAGCGAAGCTGAACCAGGGTTATCGGTAAGTTAGGCGGGATCACAAGAGACGAAGGGAGGCGAGGGAAGGAGGAAGAAAAGCAACTGGTCATGATCCAGGAAAGGAACTCGAGGCAACCAAGAGGAATGAGGCGGTGCAAGAAATGTGATCACAGCGGCAAATGTGCCTATGGACAAGAGTTGGTTGGCTCCAAAATCGCCCCCCAAAAAAAGAGCAAGCGATGGGCATAAGACAGGCAATTGTTGGTGATAAGAGGACGGGGGGACGAAGATCGCCCCCTGAATCCTAGTAATTCATCTCCACTACTACACCGTCGAGGACGAGGGGGGTTGGGTCAACACCTGAAACATGTGTCCCAATCTGCTCTGTCGATCTTCGAAGTATAAAACTCCCAAATTAGCCTCGTCTAGACTCCTTTGAATATCCGATCGGGTGCCAAGGCGTCAAAAGAACTAGACTGGAACTATACTTTAGCCACAGATCGGAGTACATGTACATTACGTAGCATACTTGTGGGATCCTATATGCGTGTCTGCGTGTTAAAGAAGTCGAGCTGAAGCACGGACAAATCGACGAGTATTATAGCTCGAGCTTACAATTCTTGTCTCGATGGCAAAGTCTGGTTTTAAAATATCGATCTGAGGGTGTTTGGGCGCACTGGTTGAACCGGGTCGTCTGTTTAAGATCGCGCACGGCGTTCAGCAACTACAAGCTTGAAAGGTAATCATGATCAGGTGAGATCAACAGTCCCGGGAGTTCCAGATATGATTTCAGCATGAGCAGCCAGTCAATTTCTTAACAGGAAAGACCTAGTTGAACTCCTTTGGGGTGACAAAGAAGAACGTTGTCTATGTCGCATGAAGGGAAAGGCTGTATCTTGAGTAACTATATCCACGAAGGAGATATATATACTGCGAAAAAAAAAAAAAAAACCACAGACTTCTCCGATGTAAGGCTCTCGCGCAAGAATTCAAAACTTCTCTGCGATCTTCTACCTTCAACGCCCTCGAATTGAAAACGACCAGAGTTGATACGATCCCGAACGGAAAAAAGAACACGTCGCGCGGAGTGGCGAGTGGCGTCTATCAGCGGCCAGGGATTGGTTATCTCACGTGACGCGAAAACCTGCGTCGCGTTGATCCCCCGAAAGGGAAATTTCCGGCTTCGAGTCTTCTTCTTTGCTCAGAGAATGTGCTGGCACGATGCAGCCAAGTCCCAAGATACATGGTCGGCCCGCCGAGGAGACAACTCCTCTCAAGACCTACACTAAAGAGCGCAAATCTCATGATCCCTGGGTACACCTGTTGGCCGGCGCGTAAGTTTTTTTTCTTGATTCCCTTGAGATCGCCGCCATCTCCGGACTCCCCAGAGGTTAACAGTTCGGCGTTCTTTAGGAGCGGAGGTTTCGCCACGGCCATCGCAACTTCTCCCCTCGATGTATTGAGAACCAGACTCCAATCCGATTTTTATCAACGTCCCTCTCCCTCCGCGAATGCCGCCATCCCCCCAAATACAAGCCACAAGACACTTCGCATCATCGGCAACATCTACCGAGCAGAAGGATGGCGTGCATTTTTCCGTGGTCTCGGCCCTAGTCTGGCCGGCGTGGTCCCGGCGACAGCCATCAAGTTCTATGTCTACGGAAACTGCAAGCGGATCGGAGCCCAAGTGCTAGGCTGCGGCGAAGATTCAACCCTGATCCACGCGCAGGCCGCCATCTCCGCCGGCATCGCAACCGCAACGGCCACCAACCCGATCTGGCTGGTCAAGACACGGCTGCAATTAGACAAGGCCCAGGCTACGACAGGAACCCGCCGGTACAAGAACAGTCTCGATTGTATCCAGCAAGTGCTGCGCCAGGAGGGAATCCGAGGCATGTACAAGGGACTCAGCGCGAGTTACTTGGGATCCGTAGAGACCGCCCTGCACTTAGTCCTGTATGAACGATTGAAGACTATGTTGAACAAGTCATTGGGTTCCCCGGATGGAATGGAAACGGCCACACAAAAGGAAATCACCAGCTGGATCAGCACAACCGGGGCGGCGGGATCTGCCAAGTTTGCTGCCGCTCTCATCGCATATCCACACGAGGTAAGCCAACAGTCCTTGAGGACCACGCTGACGTATCAACGCTTTTAAGCTCGGCCTGACTGATCAATTCGCTCTCCAGGTTATCCGCACTCGACTTCGCCAAGCCCCTATGGAGAACGGGGTCCCGAAATACACCGGCCTGCTCCAATGCTTCCGCCTGATCGCTAAAGAGGAGGGCATGGCCGGTTTGTATGGTGGCTTGATGCCCCATATGGCTCGGTCCATTCCTTCCGCAATCATCACCCTGGGCGTCTACGAGTTTGTCCTGCGGTTCGTCGGCACATCCGCATAAAACACATACCGTGCCATACACTGTACAATATTATCGAAAATCGGTCTCTTCGCCTGTGGCTTGTTGGCTCAGGCATCGTCGTGACTTAATTGCATGTATTCTTACTGGGCGTTGGGGGTCGGGACCTTCTTTTAAAAACGCTGTGCATAGAATCTCCTGTCTTGGGAAATTTGTACCATATATATCTCCTCATTCTATTGCTTGTCATTGCTATCCCAATAGACCGGGTTCACGAGAGCGGTTGCTTTTGGTGTTTCTAGTGAAAATAATTGAGAATTTCTACAGTACATACTGAGATGAAAAGTAACCTCGCAAAAGAAAATTCATTACCTAGAAGCACAGCATCCCGTGTTTGTTGATTTGTTACATAGAATGAAGCTCTCTATACACCCACTGGGGAAACGGCAATCACTCGCCTGATTCACCCTGGGAGAATGAAACTGACATGCCGAGAAAGAAGCCCGAGCTTGGTAGGAAGGGGAAAGACTGGAGGGGAAAAAAAGGACCGGGTATGATATTTTGCTCATGAACGCCATGCAACGCTGATCCAAAACGTGAGAATGCGATCAGGGGGAACGAAATTTGGGGGACCCAAGAATAAACAAAACAAGAATTACAAGAGAGAAGTTTGAGTTCACTCTAGAAGTCCGAGGAAGGGACTACTATGTTGTCTCTTCATCAGCTGCCTCCTCCACCGTGGCTGCACGGCCCTTGCCCTTGGACTGAGAATCGGCATTTGTGTTGTCGGAATCGGAAACTGGTTTGCTCGCTTGCCCATTGCTACCCCATGTGGATGGGATAAGGCCCGGGCTCGACTCAGGGACTTGTTCCGACTGTACATCCGTCCATTCCTGCGAGGGGGACTCCGCACGCTGATCCCCCGCTGGTGCGTCAGCAGACGTGGTCCAATTCGGCGTACTGCTGTCCATGGCAGAAGCTGTGGAATGTGTAGGTGCTTCCACCTCTTCGCTTTGACTATTGCTAGGAGGCGTCGGGTTTGAGACAGAAGAATCCCCAGAATTGACCGTGGTGGTTGGTATTTGCGTGGATAGTGAGGAGCCAGGTACTGTGGGGGGTGAGCGGAGTTCCTGAGGAACACCGCCCAGCCCTTGCTCAGTTGAGTGAAGAGGAAGTAGCGTCCACCCAGGAGGAATACTGAGGCCTTCTGGAAGGCGAGAGTCTCCAGATGCCAAAGGTGTGGCACCGGGGCTCGAGACAAACTGACGGCGTGATGTGATCGTCGACGTACTGGGTGGCATTGTGGTAGGGACTGAAGATGTCGGAGTCTGGACTGGTGGGTTTGCTTGCTGTTGACGGAGTCGATCAAGTTCCATCTGAAGGTGACGCACATGTCGCAATTGCTCGGTCGCAATTCGCAGAGAGTTGATCTCTTGCGCAATCCGCTGCTCGACTTGTTGTAATTGAGTATTGATGTCGGCAAAGTTAGATGCGGTCCCGGGCTGGTTTTGGAAAGTTGCAGTTGGTGTCGGTGCCTGCACTGGGGGTCGGCGGCCAAAACCAAAACCAAAGCCTATTTGACGCGCACCTTGTGGATTGGCATCAGGAGCGGGTTGCATGGGTGCATTGGGCTGGTGGATTTGCTGATGAAGATTCTGGAAGAGATCACCACGAACAGCCCCAAATCCAACTCGGAACGGGCCAAATTGATAGACGCGAGGTCTGGGTATGTCATTCCCCTGAGCTCCAGGCTGACCGGGCATCTGATTTGCGCCAACGTTGTTTGGCTGGATACCAGCTCCGTTTCCAGGAGCGTTAGCATTAACGCCAGCCGCTACAGCGGCACCAGCAATTCCCAGCACAGGCCGCCTGCAGGTTGGACAGTTCTGCTGTCGCTCCAGCCAGCTGCGAAGACAAGCGAAGTGAAGGATGTGACCACAAGGCAGCTTCTTGGGACGTAGTCGGTCCGGCACTCGTTGCGTCCTCCTTGGGGCTTGTTGGTCAGCTTCCCCGCCAGCATCTGGAGCAGGCTGAGCTGATACCATCTCCTCCCGACAGATAATGCAAACTTCTTCCCGTGCGACCTCCTCTGCAGTAGCGTCTGGGTATCGTTCATTCATGTCACGAGTTGCGTTCCGGAATCGCAGGAAATCCATAATACGCCGGGCGAAGGAGCGGATTGTGACGACGACATCGCGTAGAATATGAATTGGCAAGCCGAAGAACGCTAGAAGGATGGCAAAGAAGACCAAGTAGACGACAAGTTTAACAAAGTCGGTGAGCAAGTCGAGGTAGAATACCCATCTGCCTTTTTCTTCCCAGCCCGGGACATCGATCTCCAGCTCATTCACGTCATTCTCATCCGGAAGATCTGAGGAAGGAGGAGGGGAACTCTCCCCAGCACGGGCACGCTCTCTGATGGCCTCAACACGGGAGGCCCGGATCTCTGCTCGACGTTCCTCCATCCTCTTCTTGATCTGCTGGCGAGTGATATAGATCTCCACCAATGCGATGCCATACCGAGCGAGGGTAGAGCTCGATAAGATGACCAAAATTGCAAATTCAAAACCGAACATGACCATCATGTCGGGCCGGGCTTGGTGGATCACGGTGTTGATAGAGTACTGCAGCAAGAGGGCATTGAAAAGAACCGTCAAGACGAGCGAGAGTGCTAGTCGAATGTGAAACAATCGCGGGTTGGGGGGAGGCTGTTGTTCGAGATATTCTACACGTCCTTCTCCAATCCAACCCCAGACCTTTCCAACCAAAAGGGAGATGAACATGACCAGAAACCATCCCCCGAGTTCTCCCCGGAAGATGGTCATGGCCAGACACGTCTCCGTCACCGCGAACCATGCTCGCTCATATAGTTGTTCCGTCTCGATCGGTCGTAGGCGTCCGTAGAGAAGTCGCTGTAGCCAAAAAAGGATGAATCCGGTAGCAAGAAGGCACAGATTGGTGAGAATCTACATGTTCCCATCCCGAGCACATAGATTAGTGAGTGTTCCTGAGAGATGACCAGTTGAGAAGTTCACCACGAGGATGCGGTTGAAACTCACCATAAGATTAGCACTGCTCTGCGAGAGATACACACAGGCCGCGTAGAAGTTTGCTCTCTGATGTAGAGCTTTCAAGAACACACCGGTGGCCAAGACCACGGAGGCCTGGCAGGAGTCAGTGGAAACCGGAAAGGGGGGTACACTTAGTTGCTTGGAGGGCTACTTACCCCGGCGTACACGGCCAGTCTCATGGCGATTGACCTGGCACTCGCGAGACAAAGGTCATCAGACGAGCAAAGGGGGGTAAACTCGCACGGGCATTGAGAGACGTGGACTATAACTCGATCTGGACAGCTTTCCAGAACAACGGCTCGCCTCCGCATCTTACGTCAGCCTCAATGGTCCGCCCACCGGGCACGTGCACTCACCTACCCAGCCAATGTATGCTTAAAAGCCCGGACCCAGCAGAGAAAAGCATCTATATTTGATACCTAGGATGATCACTGATCGCTTTCGGATATGAAACAGGAAGATATAGATGCTGAGGCTTTGGCAGATAATTAGTGACGTAATTGGAAACTTAGAATCCTCGGATATTTGAGGCACATGTAGCCACTGAAGATCGACAGAGTTTCTATATGATGCCAAAGAAAATATTTGATAATAGGATAATTTGGAAGGAAAAAAACCACTTGTATCAGGGCTATCAAAGCTTTGTCTGTCATTATTGGTATTTGAAACGACGTTCATTCCTAACACAATGAGCAAGCCGAAATACAAGATATTCTCACCGAAAAGGACCTTTGTTGAAAAAAAGAACAATGCGAGTTGAGATAGTACTAACATCACAAGATATCCTTAATTATGACATAGGAGGATTATGTAAATGAGCTTGCAATGATATATAGATGTTTGAATGATGAGGTGTTGTACCTTACCACAGAAGTGACTTGATGATAGTAACTACTTGAGGTTTCACCCACGTAACTAGGCAAATTGGCCCTTGGGTCAATCTTTCATGAAAATAGGTTCACATAGTAACGGGCTGCAGCTTTCTAAGGTAGAATCTGAACCCTAAATTTAGCTATTTACAGTAACTAGAGGTTGTTTACTAGTAGGGAGTCTCCAGCCAGAAGGGTGGAGGAGCTTGTACGCTATCAAATGATACCCCGAGAGCCGTTTTTATTGGAACCAAACATTAGATAACTTAGGCCACAAGAGAATGAGATGGGATATTAGAGTATCAGAGTAGAAATGATTCAGAAATGAAATACAATGTAAGTTTGGCTGCGACACCCCAAGCTTCGATAAGAAATGTAAATCAACTGGCGACAAATTCCTGCCGTCCTTCCATCCAACTCTCCACGTTCTCGATTCCCGAAAAGAAGTATCAAGCAGCTGGCCGCCGGCCCGGTAGCTTTGCTTGCAGCTGACCAATTTGAGTGGTTAAATGGAGAATCTGGGAGTCCTGAGATGCGATATGTTTGTCCAGAGCCTCGATCCTCTCATTTTTGGTACGTAGCAAGCTTTCCAGTGTAGAATTTGTCTCATTCAAGGAACGAATGGTCGACTGGAGAAAGCTATTACAACCGATCACAGCTTGAATGCTGACGATCTGCTCCTTGCCATTTACACGAACTTTGACCAAGTCTGCAGATTGGATCAGAGGAGCGGTGGGGGTATTGGCTGTATTGAAAAGCAGCGTCGCGGGTGTTTGGGCTGCCGGAAAAGTTGATAATCCAATGGGAATGGTTCCTGTGAGCTGATGAGGGCTCGCGTGCCGGCGAGTGGTTGAGAGGTTGCTAGAAACAGATGCGGGCGTTTTGACCTCATCAGAAGGCAATGTAGCCCAGATGGACATGGGGCACGAAGGAGTCTGCTCAGAGGCTTTGGGGGTGTCCTGGTAGACTTTTTTTGACTCTGTCTGAGAAGAGTTGTTTTGGTGCCCTGAGAAAACGGTATCAATATCCTGTTTCTCACAAGTCTCTGGATATGGTGCTTTAGGAGTGGCGGGGGTAGGCAGAGCCTTGGCGAGGGCAGGAATGATGAGGTCTTTCTTCCAAGCCAAAGGCTTCCAGTCGAAAGGCTTCCGCTCCACGGAATCATTCGAGGGTATATCAATACTGAATGGAAGTCTTGAAAGCCCTCTGTCACGAAGCATTGTTCGGATGTGACGTTTAGCGCCAGGCGTGTTCATGAATCTGACTGTGGGAGGCTCTTGCGGAATGCCCATCATCTCAAATCCCTTCCAGTATTCATGGACCACCATGATCTCACCGCTTGTGAAGACTGTTGTCCCGTGATCCAGCCGTGACGTGATATCTTTTGCTTGTTTGCAGATATCAACCCAGGTCATTGTTTCTGGGCATAAGTCGGCAGCCTGGCCTTTCGTCGTCTGGTTTGGAGGGATGTCCGCCATGTTGTTCTTTTAATCAGAAAGCGAACTCGACAAGTGGCAGTGAAAATAACGGCCGTAGTCAGGTTTCTTGGATCCTCTGAGATGAATCAAGGAAACAAAAAAGAAGAAGGGAGAGTGAGACGTGGGTGTATGGGACTAGTAAAGAGTTTTGAGAAAATAAAAAAGAACCTGAGAAGGCAAAAGACAGTACGAGAGAGAGGGAGAGTGTGTGTGAATGAGAGAGGGAGGGAGGGAAGGAGAGAGCGATGTTCATGTCACGTTGGAGCAAAAGTGTTTAGAGGAGAATCGAAATGTCAACAAGCTGGCCATTCGAGCAGGCGCAGCCCACGCGAAGGCTTGCTTCATAGCAAGCACCTCAACACCTGAATCATTACTGAGTATTATTATATGGCCTAGTGATTCAATCTCTCTTTTGTTTCTATCTGAGGTAGAAAATCTTAGGCTTTAGTATCGATCATATCTCTGTGGTGTTTCCTTGACCAAGTGTGATATTGGCGGGCAAGGTGAGCTTTGCGAAAGGCCACCTCGGAAGATACAGGCTGAGCAATTACGCTTCAAATGTTTCTGAATCTGTTCCCGTCGAAGGGGAGCAAATTGAGAATTTAGCCAACAAAACCACGAGATGTTCGCCAGCTAAATTGACAAATATAGCGCCAACCTATTGTCTATGATTTATTGCCTAGTATATTCGAATTCTAAGGGATATAGCTGTTATGGCAATAGGGATCAGCTATACATGAAGTCGATTCGAAGGCAATCGGTGACTTGAAGAAGGGGTATTAAGTACCGAATGCATACTCCAGTACATATGAGTGAGTGAGAGAGAGGGAGAGAGAGAGAGAGAGAGAGAAGAACAAGAAGAATAAAAGACGAATGATACCTGCTATAAGTTTGCAGATATTATATCAAAAATACGTCAGATTTATGTCTCTCGCGTATGACAAGCGACCTCTGCAAGTCTAGCCTAGCAAGTGAATAGGTCAGCCTCTTCAAGGCCCTCACTGACCGCAACTATGTTTCAAGTGAATTGGATGATCAGGATTGGTTGGGTTGCGGGGCTGACACGTCGCTCTCGGGCGCCAAAAGTACGAACTGTGAGCTTTTCATGAAACCGGGCGGCTAACAACTAATCCATGGTTTGCAAGAGTGCAAGACAAGGCCCTAAAAATGATTAAAGTATGATCAAAATACTAAATGCGCTTTTTTACACATCATTTATTCACTGTCGCGCGAACCCTTCGTGCATGAACGATTTCACCCAGGTGAAGGTATGCACAGCCGTGTCCTGCCATAACTCAGCCTCACCCCGCACCTATATAATTGGAATCCACCCTGGGGCTGGCCTGCATGCCTAGAAAATCAAGGTTTTCCAGGCACCACCATGATGACTCGCCATACGTGTAAAAGCTTATCTTTATTCCAATGGAAGCAAGGTAAGTTGATCGCCAGCCTCGGGTCATAAGCCCTTCTGATTATGTAGGCGACGGCTGGAGAGAGCAGCAATGTAATACATCACAGCTCATCACTCAGGATCAAAGTCAAGCCCCCAAGATCATATCTGTGGACACTCAGGTTTATGTTATGTTCGTTTCTCTATAATCTCTTCACAATTGAAAGCTGTCCATAGTCAACCAAGCTGACGTGTGCTGAAGAGTCGCGAGTGCAAATGAGATTCGGGGATGCCCTGATTGTAAACAGATTCTAATCAATACCTTTTGCATGCCACAGTTCTGGTGGTCTGACAATGTTCGAAAATCGAATGGTTACTTTGGATGCGAAGCCACGAGAGAGGGAGAAAAAGTAACGGGTTTTAGAAAGTGCCCCTGCCCCCAGGTATCTCTGAATGCGTTACACTAACATCATCATTTGTAGATTCATGGGTGTTCTTTGAATCTAAGCAACTACATGAGGATATGGAGTACGATTGGTCAAAGATCAATGTTTTTAGTCGATGGCTGTGCTCTACAAAACAGACTGGCATCCTTCTATTCGATCGGAAGGAAGACACAAGAAGTCCTTTGGTCAACAAGGACCCTCCGAGCGCTCTTCTGAGTGATCCTTTTTGGGTTTATCCATATTTACTGGAGGAAGTTGCGGCTCTTGAAGAGCGTTCTGTTTGGTCCATTCGAGACAAAGTTCGAGCCATCGAGAAGTCGGACGAGGGTCGAAAATCGCCAGAGCGCAAACCGCAACCTGACTACCGAACCCTTCACAACATTGCTCGGCATGCCATTCATGTCACAGAGACGCTCGATGTTGCAATCCAAACCATGGACCACATCCTAAAACACCATGGCATTCATGCGAGTGCAAGCCATACCAGCCTCCTGGGCTCAAAAACAGATCCTCAAGTCCGACAAGAAGTCCACTCTCGGCTTTCATTTTTTCAAAGTTTCCTTGGCAGTCTAAAGCATCGCTCCGTATCAAACGAGAAGAGATTGCAAAACGAGATCCAGCTAGCTTTCAACACTGTTGCCCAGCATGACGCGGCTGTCACCGTCAAAATCAGTAGCGCCATGATGTCAGACAGCGCAGCTCTGAAGACTCTGGCCTTTGTGACATTTGTTTTCCTCCCTCCCACTTTTATTTGTGCAGTCTTCAGCATGTCGTTCTTCAACTATAGTGACTCTGGGTGGAGAGTCTCTTCAAAAATCTGGATTTATTGGGCATTCGCAGTGCCAACAACCATCATTTCGGCCTTTGTGTGGGGCTATTGGCACAAGGTCTCCCCGATGGATACTAATGAGAAGATTGGAACAACGATGAAGTTGCGCGATATGGCCTGAGTGCGACATTCTGTGTCTTTAAGTGAGATAGTAGAATATCTTTTTTTATTCAAATGGATGAAATTTCTAGAAGCAAGATAAAAGGTCAAAGCAGAAAACCAAATTCAATGTTAAAATTGAGCAACAGAGCTTAGTCATTTTGATAGCGTTGGAACTTATTCCGACAGTTCATCGCGGATATGTCCGCAACGTTATCAGATATATAAACACAGATCCAATACTACCCGACAAAACTTTCCCAACAGTTTTATTAGATTTCCCCATGCTCAAACATTACCAGCAAGTTGTCTTCGAACAGAATAGGTATTACTATATTCTCCAAATGATCCGATTCACCAATTGCCCCCTCGTTTGCCACACCCCCCCCAGTTACACAAGTGGAACCAGCATTAGGCATACAGCCAAGACCAGCGATGTTTATCTGATCGCATCACGTGCCACCCCGCCGTCGGCAACGTAACCAGCTGAAACATCCACTTGGTCAACTGTCCATCTGCTGTGTTTTTGCATCCATCAATTCACAGAGCAATGCCCTGTCGATGGCGATGGCTTCACCACCGGCACTATTTACAGCCTCTTGGGGACAGACACTGACATATTTATTAGCCGTCTGTCCGTTTTCTATTGCGTTTCTAGTCTTCATCAATTCCTCCGTATCATTCGTGGTGACAGATCTCATAGGTCTTCACAAGGGAGAGGGTGATGCCGTTGGAACATTAGGATTTGCTGATGAACTTCTTGCTCTTGTGGCCTGCCCGATCTGGGGTGTCCTTTCCGATCGGATTGGAGTACGCCATGTAAGTGAACCCCTTGAAATCAACTCAAAAGTTGCACATGCCTAATGACAAAACAGGTGTGTACTGTTGGCTATGCGATAATTGCTCTTGCATTAGTTCTGTTTGTGCAGGCCACAAATATCTATCCGCAGCTTCTTCTGGGCAGGCTCCTGTTCAGCATTGGCGGCTCCGCCGTGTCGACCATGGTCACCGCCGTCCTCCCCACAGTAACAGGAGAGGCTCTTCGATATCAAGCCTACCGGCAATCTGTTTCATCAGACCTGACTATCACGCCGGAGAGGGTGAACAATCATCGCAATCGCCGAAAGGATGCGGGTAACCTTAGTTCATCCCCCTCCGCTCGGCTTTCCGGGTTTGTCGGACTCTTTGCTGGATGTGGCGCTTTAATTTCCCTAGCCGTCTTTTTGCCGCTCCCAGCCCGATTTGAGAAGCTAGGCCTTTCGCCCACTGAAGCTCTTCAACGTAGTTATTATCTAGTTGCTGTTGTCGCCCTCCTTATCAGCTTTGCTAGCTTTATTGGCCTTCGAAATCTACCCGGTGAAGAGAAGAAAGGATGGGGATCACTATGCAATATCTACTCTTCGCAGTACCACGATGAGGATGATCATGACAATAACCTGGATGGGCCTGCCCAGCTGTCGTATTGGAAGCAACTGACCACGGCACTGCTCCTCGGGTTCCGAAATCGCAGCATCGGACTAGGTTATGTGGGAGGATTCGTCGCCCGGGCGTCGTCAGTTGGGATCTCGCTGTTCATCCCGCTAGCTGTCAATCACTACTATCGCGCATCAGGCCTATGCGACGAGGGCCGTGATCCAGTCTCTGGAACGGGCCTGGGCGATATCAAGAAGGCGTGCCCGCGGGCATACATTCTCGCATCGATCCTGACCGGCGTCTCGCAGCTGGTTGCTCTTTTTGCTGCACCGGCCTTTGGATATTTAACGGATAAATCGCGCCGATACAATTTCCCCCTTCTCGTGGCCGCCTTGGTCGGGGTGGTCGGCTACTTGGCCTTTGCCATGTTGCCAAACCCCCAGTACAAAGGTCCTGATGGGAATGCGGGGGTATTTGTTGTGATGGCCCTGATCGGAATCAGCCAGATTGGCGCGATTGTCTGCAGTCTCGCAGTGCTGAGCAATGGCATTTTGCGGGTCAGCATCGAGGACGAGACGCTACAGAAAGTATACGATACGCAGGTGGCCGATCGCGAGGGCCGTGAAGAGGGGGCGAGGACCAACCGCTTCTGGCCCGGTCGGTCAATCGGCGGATGCAGCATTTGTCGCATCTCAAGGGCTCCATCGCCGGCGTCTACTCACTCTACGGTGGGGCTGGGATCCTCATTCTCACGAAATTGGGTGGGTTGTTATTTGATGTACTGTCGTCTGGAACCCCATTCTATATCATGGCCGTTTTCAATGGCATCCTGCTTATCACGGGGATCGTGTGTGGGGCCATGAATCATGTTGCTTCCATCAAGGAAGCATCCGCGTGAACTATTCCATTTCAAAAGTCGCTTTCCAAAATTGATCTCGGGAACTTGCATTTCTGTCTCTTGAGCGAAACGCCCAAAAATCCTCCCCCCGTAGTGGCGTTTCAGGGTGTTCGTGCTAGGCGATATTAGGCTCATCCTCGGGGGCTGAACAAAGATTAGGTTATTGTGTAGGAACATGGGAGAAGAGATGACTGGAGTACAACAAGGCTGTTACCGGCAAGACGGCTCTCAGAATAGCAGGTCCTTGGAATCGCGCAACTCATAATTGCCGTCGAGTGCTGTTGAAACCCCCGAGGATCTTGGAAGCTCGGCGTTAAATAGTCTCGGCGCGTAGCCATGCTCTGTTGGCTGGGTACAGAGTACATGTGACAGTACGTGTGGTGCCGCAGCAGTAGATGTACCGAGTACCTAGTTTTTCCGAAATTCTTTCAGGGCTGACCAGTTTCGATTTCGAGTGTTTTGTTTATGCCTTTGCTCTTCTCTGTATGATCTTGCAGGTGGACTGCATTTTCAAGGTGCCCCATACGAGACCATGTAGTAATAACGACGACTATTGTTACTTCTACTATCACTACTACTAACCGAAGTTCGTGCACTGGCATGAGGCTGTCTCCGATGAGGTAATCGGTCATCCTCGTGAGATGGAAATTGCATGGTGGATCCGTGGCTTCCGGGGCTTCTTCTTCTCCCCACTAACTTCAGGTCAATTTCGCCTGGACCCCCTAAAGGGTCCGGGGCAGAATGTGTTCTGGACCCTCTCGAGGAATCGTCTGAGTTTTCATACCAATCGTCTTTTATCACACTTATTTTCCCATTGCCCCCCATCTGCCTCATTTCCGACCACTCCGACGGTCGGTCCTCGGCTCTGGACTGCCTCTGTTTATGACGACCGTCATCACAACCTTCCTGATCCAGTTGGGATCTGGCAATAATGGGCCATAATCAGCCCCAAACCCTGGCACTGCGCCGGACCCTAGCCCTGAAGGGGCCTAGCAGCCCTGGACTAGCGTGGCCCCTTTTCCATTCGATGCCCTGAGCAGCCTAAACTGGGGAACCCCTGGGCCCTGCTCGGCCTGTTCCTGGACCGTTCCTGGTCCTGTTCCTGAACCGTTCTTCGCTAGCCGCTCACGATCATGCAAATTCGCTCCAATCCCGCCTCGTCCCACGGTCCGCTCGCTGGCTTGGCGTCCTATCAAACCACAGCAGCGTCCGGGTAACGCTCCGCCAAGGGTGCTCTCGTATGCAGAGGCGCAGGGTCGCAGGGTCGCAGGGCCTAACGATGGATTCGCGCTATTATGAGCGTATCGCCCCCCCTCCCCCTCGGGCTCCGCCCCCGACACAGGCTTCATCCTTTCCCTTCTCTCGATCTCTTCGTGCGCGACGCTGCCGGTGTCTTTCCTTTCACTTCTCTACAGTCTTTCATTAAATACAGTCTCTCGTTTAAACCAGTAGTTGATTTTACTTCAATTACCGCGTCCATTCTTTTCTACCGCCAAGTGCTTCCTGTTATTCTTATACGCCTGTCAATCTCGACCCTCGCACCTAAGTCAACATGCGTTTCCACTCTGTCGCTCTCTTGACCGGCGCAACTGCGGCCGCTGCGGGTAGCACCGCAAATCTGCTTTTGCCTGGCTTCCAGGGTCGCGACCTCGAAGCCGGCATCCTCGGTCAGGTATGTATCTAGCGAGCCCTTCTCAAGGCGCGCAAGGGACTGTTTCAAATGCCCGCCCAACACCACATGCGTATCGCGCGCTAACCATTCAATATAGTCTGGGGATGCAACCACTTACCTGGTGACTTGCCCTACCTCTGTGGCTGCCTCTGCCTGTGGCATTCCTGGCAAGGGTTTGACAGCCATTGCTTGCCCGACCTCCGTGCAGCTGCTTAACGTCCACGATGGAAAGTAAGTCGATTGCATAACGCCTCGAACATGTACTTGTCTTGAATCGCAACTCTAACAATATTCGCCATAGCACTGCTACTGTTTCTTGTAATGTCGCTGGAACTACCTACGCTTCCTGCTCCGCGCAGCAGGGCACTGTGACTGTCCAGTCCACTCTTGACTCCAAGAATATGAACTGGATGCCTGTGACTGTCACTGGTGACTGCTCGACCAGCACTCCCACCCCAACTCCTACTCCCACTCCCACCCCGGAGACCACCTCCGAGACCACCATGACCCCGACCCAGACTCCAGTCTCGAGCCCCAAGAAGTCCTCGTCGCGCCCAGCCTCGTCCACCCCTGTGGCGAGCAGCACTCCTTTGATCACCCCCAGTGCTACCGGTACCCCCAACGCTCCGACCTCTTCTTTCACCCCTCCTGCTGCTCCCAACGCTGCCACTCCTCTGGCTGGCAACGCCTGGGCTCTTGGTGGTGCCGTGCTGGCGCTGGTCTACGCTCTTGCGTAAGAAAAGCGATAATTTTTTTTGGAAAGTTTCCTTCTCAACACGCCGAGCGAATGAAGCATTTAGCTGCATTCTCGTGATAATTACTCCCGGGGGGTTTAGTGGTAACGTTGCTTCTAATGGATGTTAATCATGTATTTCTCCATATATGTACACATCTACCTATTATTTAATGATTGATACCTTTCTCCACGACAGCATGATCCAGCGCCGGTTACTGTTTGCCTTTTTTCTTCTTCTTATTTTCGATTCGTGTATATCTTTATACCGATCAGATTAAAATTTCATCATTGCCTATGTGATCCTAAGTACTCTTTGCCGATATTTGCAATCATCGAGATCCTCACATCTCTGTCAATTAATCCTCATTTTAAAGTCTGCCATAACCATCTATATTGCACACGAGCTGGTGTTTGCTAGTATCTGCACTGCAGGTCAAGAGCGGTCATATAGGGGCAGATCTTGAACTTACTTTTTCAAGCTTATCTCGAGGACCTGGACCCTGCATATAAAAGCTCAATACCATGGATCCACTCAGATCCACGTATATTTCCTTTCCTACAGAACAGCGAAAGCAACCCTCTCGAATCGTCAGTGATGGGGTTGAAACATAGTAAGAAAGCCTCTTCTCGACATACAGCTCCTATTGTTCTTCCTTCCTCGCTCCCTATACTACAGCAACTTTGATGGGCTTTGGTTGATAGTTTGAGGCGTGCTCATGGATGGATCATTCTTGTGTGCGAAAACGAAAACCTGTACAAGTAGCAAAAATGTGACCTGGCTGATTTTCATTTACTCGTGTCAGACTGGGAGAGATTTAGGATGGAAGTTGTCATGCTTCATTATCGCATCCTACTATAGGTGTCACGAGATTCTGCTGTCTTTCCTAAACATAGTAGTCAATGAATGGTGCTGCTAGGAGATCGGCCAGTTGTCAAGTTTGTTCAGCCGAACATCTAGAACCTTCAAGCTCTTCATCAACAAAAATTATGGGGATCATTTTGGGCTTGTATACATCATCACTGGTATCTTGTAAAGTGCTAGTCATGTTTCCCGGCGACTCCTTCACCCCCGCCTTTTCGCATTATCAAAATGGGAGGCCATCGCACTTGCTAAATCTCTGTCAACCCTGGCGCCCTTGATATTGGATACAGGCTATCCAAGTGACAATCTTAAAGGAGTTCTCAGCGAACAAAGGCTGTAGAAGGAAAGATAACTCTGAAGAGAAGAGGATCTTGGGCATTTTCTTGTAAGCTTGTTGCGTTGATAGCACATTTCTCGGATTATGAAGATCCCTCGGAGCATGGATAGCAAATATCTGTTAATCAGCGGAGTGTTCAATGTGAGTCATGAAGTCATAATTATTCTTCCTTATTAGGTATAGCAGAGCAGTCTCGCAGCGGATTTCTCCACCCCTTGTCTTGATATTCTTGCGTTTACTTGCGATTGTATCTCAGGTGGAAGTTGATTATTAGCTGTCCCTCCGCTAACGCAAATATACCCTAACCCCGATTGGCCCTGTAGCTCTTCCTGTCTTCTCTTTGAATCTCGTTCATAATAACAGAACAGAACGAAGAAGACCTCCACTTCCGACATTATGCAAAAACCAAATCGCTCTTCGAAGTGATATTTGGCATCGACCAGCACGTCCCATCCAGATCATTATCTAGTTCCGATGAGCTGAGCTGACTCATTGGAACAGCTTTTTGAAGTGGTATGCATTAATAAGTACTTACCAGGTTACCCCACCAGATTAGGTCGGCCTTAAGGACAGGTCCTGGCATGACCTACAGCGAAAACCTAAGATTCTATATGGAGGTCAGAACAAGCTTGCTGTCGGCTCAATGACCATTTCACCAAACATTTGCCGCAGTGGGAATCCGGTCGTCAAAAATTTCCTAGATTCTGCAATGAATCTGCATCCGCCTTCGCCTTCTCGGTAGTCTTTTCCCCACACAAGTCACAATTGCGGAAGAATTTTTTCTGGGGTTCCCACATGGTCCCATGCGCTTTCCCCAGTTTTGCTCTCTCCACGCGTCCAACCGCCACAACCCAAACTTCGGCAAAACCTTGGTCTTCAATCTTGGTCTTCACCCGCATCCCCACAATGATTGACCGTCAAAGCTGCCCTTTTCGGCTCTGACGTCGCACTGAGAGAGACTCAACGGGGCTCTTATTCTAAGCCCTCCCCGCCAACTTGTGGTGTGTATCCGGAGAAAGCACTTCCTCCCCCCATAGCAGTGGCTTGGCGGCGGCTTAGCTTTTTTCCAGTGAAGAATCACGGCTTGTAATTGGAACAGACAGCGACAAAACTCCGAGCTACAATGAATATGGCTCGCCAAATGAAGGCCCACTGGTCGCATGACTCTCATGACTCCATGTTGAATGAAGTTTCATTTCCGTAAAGCCGGGAAGATCTGCCGACACCAAGTCACTATATAACAGCTGGGATGTGGGCGAGATGGGATTCAAAGTCTGCTGATCACGAAGTTTTGATTTTTCTCAAGAGCTCCAAGGCGCAAAATGAAGGTCTTGTTGCCCTCGCTTGCCGCAGGGATCCAACTGGCAGCCCTCGCGGTGGCTCAAGATGGTCAAGTCAATCTCACCGAACTAGAACATTACTGGTCCTATGGTCGTTCTGAGTCAGTGCCTGATACTCGTGAGTCTATAGTGCAATCATAGCCTTCGAGTGGAACATCGTTTCTAATTGGTCTATCTAGCGGTGGCACAGGGACTGGGTGACTGGGCCGATGCCTACACGAAAGCTCGAGACCTCGTGTCTCAGATGACGCCCGCCGAGAGAAACAATATCACATATGGCCATACATCAACCACCACGGGCTGCTCCGGCATGACAGGTAGTGTGCCTCGATTGGGCTTTCCGGGTATCTGTTTCCAGGACGCTGGGAACGGAGTGAGAGGTGTCGACATGGTCAACTCTTATTCGGCTGGATTGCACGTCGCAGCATCCTGGAATCGCGACCTGGCTCACTCAAGGGCCCACTATATGGGTGCTGAGTTCAAGCGGAAGGGAGTGAATGTCGCCCTAGGCCCCGTTGTCGGACCGGCAGGAAGGGTTGCCAAAGGAGGCCGGAACTGGGAGGGCTTTGGTCCCGATCCTTACTTGTCCGGCAGCCTCGCCGCCGAGTCTGTCCGTGGCCTCCAGCACTCTGTGATTGCATGCGTGAAGCACTTGGTCGCCAACGAACAAGAAACGAACCGCAACATTCCGTCATTACTAGAAGGAACCCACAATCAATCCATTTCTTCTAACATTGACGATAAAACCATGCACGAGTTATATCTCTGGGGATTCCAAGATGCAGTCAAGGCTGGTGCTGGATCCATGATGTGCAGTTACAACCGTCTGAACAACAGTTACGGCTGTCAGAACAGCAAATCCATGAATGGGCTGCTCAAAGGAGAGCTTGGATTCCAGGGATTTGTCGTATCTGACTGGTACGCGCAGCACACGGGAATTGCGAGCGCCAACGCAGGCCTGGATATTGCGATGCCATCGTCTTCCTACTGGGAGAATGATACGCTAGTTACTGCAGTTCAAAATGGATCAATGCACGAGTCTCGCTTGAATGATATGGCAACTCGCATTCTCGCCGCTTGGTACAAGTATGCTCCCATTTCGGACCCTGGACATGGAATCCCTGTCAGTCTTCTCGAGCCTCATGCGCAGGTTGATGCTCGTGACCCCAAGTCGAAGTCAACCATTCTTCAAGGTGCGGTTGAGGGCCATGTCTTAGTGAAGAACACTAATGGCGCATTGCCGCTTCAAACCCCCAAGTTCTTATCACTGTTTGGTTATGATGCCATTCCTGCCGCCTTGAATACTATGGACGATGTCTCCTTTGGAGGCTGGGCAATGGGGTACAGCAGTGAATTGACCTATCCTAACGGCACGGCCGTGAACAATGCTACCATCCAGGCCATGTTCCTCTCCAGTGCAAACCCTAATGACCGTGGCCCTGGTGTTGCTCTCAACGGCACACTATTTTCTGGAGCTGGATCTGGCGCCAGCACCGGCTCCTATATTGATGCTCCGTTGCACGCGTTCCAACGCCAGGCCTATGATGATGACACATTCCTTGCCTGGGACTTCACCTCGCCTCACCCTCTTGTCAACCCCGCCAGTGACGCCTGTATCGTCTTCATTAACGAACAGGCCTCTGAAGGCTGGGATCGGGCAACCCTTGCTGACGCCTACTCCGACAAGCTTGTGCAAAACGTGGCGTCTCAATGTCCGAACACGATGGTGGTCATTCACAATGCCGGAATTCGCTTGGTCGATGAGTGGATCGAAAACCCAAACATCACCGCCGTCATCTATGCTCATATCCCTGGCCAGGATAGCGGAAGGGCTCTTGTGGAGGTCATGTTCGGGAAGCAATCCCCGTCGGGACGTCTTCCATACACGGTAGCTCGCAAGGAGTCGGACTATGGCAAGCTGCTCGAACCAGTGGTGCCCGAGGGAACCAAAGACCTCTATTACCCCCAGTCCAACTTCACCGAGGGTGTCTACATCGACTACAAGGCTTTTGAAGCAGCAAATATCACGCCACGATTCGAGTTTGGCTATGGATTGACGTATACCAACTTCAAGTACTCGGACATCAGCGTGACTGTCAATCCTGATGCCAGCCTAGATTATCTCCCTGAGAATACCACTGTGAGCGAGGGAGGTATGAAGTCCCTGTGGGATATTGTCGCCACTGTCAATTGTACGGTTCGAAATACCGGATCGAAGTCTGCTGCGGAAGTTGCACAGCTGTATGTCGGCATTCCGGGCGGCCCTACGAAGGTCCTACGTGGATTTGAAAAGAAAGTCATCCATCCTAGCCAAGAGAAGCACTTTACTTTTGATCTTACACGTCGTGATCTCAGTCAGTGGGATGTTGAGAAACAAGCCTGGGGCCTTCAAGCTGAGACTTACTCGATCTATGTTGGCAAAAGCGTACTCGATATCCAGCTAACGAGCCAACTTGATCTGTCTCATGATGTATAGATACGGCGCTTTGACAGTTTGACGTTCCATTTTCTTTGCCTGGACGATTACTAGATATGTTATTCTCTATATAGATTCATATAATGATGACGAATTAAGAACTAAACCATCGGTCTACTCGCTTCGCGAATGCCACGCAGGGATTATCCACGTATATGGTATAGTAATGTGCGGCCCCAACAGTTAGAGCGCCGAGCAAAAGACCGGTTATCCACCAGGCAGCATGGAATGCGAGTGTATCCGCACTCAAGGCCTCGCCGCTGGTGGTATATTCAACCCCACTGAAGATTGAATAAATAAGATCACGTAGCGGGTTCCTGCACAGTTCATAGATTGTTTCATGAAGCAAATACAGCGCGAACGAGATCTTACCCAGATACTGAGCCAGTCGCGTGTCTAGCGGTCGCTGCAGGATCGGAAACTCCCCGATTCCATAGACAAGCATAGCTGATCCAATAGATTTCCAACACCAGTGGTAAATATCCCAATTATTCTTCCAGCGGGACGGCTGGAAGATGGAGAGAAATTGGTACCCGGGTGGTAGGTGTCCGTCGTTTCCGAGGCAAAGAAGGTAGAAACCGGCGACAAATGTGAGCGCAATTGCCACACGTGAGACAGAGATACAATTCTTGGATCCAAGATTACCACACCGACGCTTCCCGCGACAGAAGCTCAAGTTGAGGGACAATGCAAAGCGTGGTTTAGCGGTGTCTTCAAACTGAGCCATTTCGAATCCCTCATCGGTGTCCTCGTCGTAGACCGGGGACCTAGCGAGGCTCTTCTCAGCCAGCCAAAGACCCCAGATAAACCCGAAAATATCCCAGTTGCCGTACCAAAGAAAGAATACCGCGATCACCGGCAGTACAAAGAGCCTTGCCCTTGGCCGCCACGCCGAGAGGCCGACGATGAGAAGGTAGACGACATTTGAACCTCTGAACTCAATCGGCATGGTCCACAGCTGGCCATTCAGGGCCCCTCGATACTCAAAGGAAATGATGTTGATACTGTCGGCCATATAATTGAGAACCCATGTCAGGTGGGCCCATGGGGCAGTCCATGGCTTCGGCAAGGTAGCCAGAAAGTTTTCATCGAATGGCCAGTGATAGAGATCGAAGAAATAGAACACTTGTGCAAGACTAGCCGTCACTAAAACGGGCAGATAGATGCGAAAAACCCGTCGCACAATGGCAGAGGAGGCCCGCGCTAAGAATTGGGGGCTGTTTTGCGCTTTCAGGAGGCCGATGGAGATGGCGTAGCCGGAGATCACCATAAAAAGGGTCACCATCGAATGCGCCGAGAAAAGAATTCGGATAGGCGGTAGTTGAACCAGATGCCGATTTCCCTCGGGCGGATCAGTCCAGAACGAGACGAATGGATGCCACACATCGCTCATGAAGAAGTGGTCAAAGGCCACAATCGCAGCTGCTATACCGCGCAGGCCGTCCAACCACTTGGTACGCTCCATGGTAAACGAGACCGTCGAGAAACTCCGTGACCAGGAATTCCTCCGCTTTTCTGTCTCTCGTATAGATGTTCTCACTCCATGGAGGAGGTGTCAGAAGAGTGAGATTGAAAGATGATTCTTATTTTGGCAGAGGCCTGATATCGCTCGTAAACGGGGTCCACTTTCAGCCCCAAGCTCCATTTGCACCAATCAGGTAGGCTTCTACCTGAGACCTGACTCAATTTTGGGTTAGCGTGGACCCTTGATCTCAATCCCTGCTCGGAAAAAAGAAGACGATGTGTAGTTAGGTTAAGTTTGGACATGACCGTTGTGTATTTAGGTTCCGTGGTTGACGATATGGGTGGGTTTTATAGAATAACGATGGATGGGAATATAGATAAATGATGCCGTCACCGGGCGGCAAACATAAAAAAAGTAGTATAGAATATGGCGCTACATAAAAACCCCTGATCAAGAGAATTGCACCAGTCATTCGAAACTAATGGAGGCCGGAAATTCAAATGAGAAAGACATAGATTACATGCACTCTGGATTGCGCGACAGACAGATCTATGGATATGAGGAAGAGAGACAGAAGGCGTCTAATACAGGCTCGCACAGAAGAAAATTATCCACACTAAACCCAAGACTCGGCCAATTTTCAAAAACGCTAGCAACTCGCTGAGTATACTAAGACGAAAACACAAACAGAAAGCAGGATTAAAGTGCAGAAAAATTACAGTTCCTAGTTGGTCGGGCCATCGCGGATTCGAAGGAAATTCTCATACCGCTTCCGAGTCATCCTCCGACAGGCCTTGCCCCAGTAAATCATCGGGGCAGTCGTCATCAGAAAGACGAAGCTCAGAACTCCCAGAGCAACGTATACCTGCGTGAGAGTCTGGGCATCCAGCCAGTACTGCGCGGAAAAAGTGAAAATGCAACCAATGGTGTTGTTGATGACAGAGACACCAACCATGCCCTCAAGGACCATCTCCGGATAGGCATCCATGAGGTATGCCATGCTGAGGTCACCAGCACAGCCCCAGCCAAAGCCGATAAAACCCAGTCCCGTGTACGTCTTGTGCCAGTCCCAGCCGAGGTCGGATCCGATGCCGAACAGCATCAGCCCAGCAGGGCCAATGATGGCGACAGGGAACATCAGCCAGAGACGCTGCTCGGCTTCGAAAATGCCACCATTACGTTTGGCCATCCACGCAACGAAGATATCAGAGAACCATCCACCGTAAATACAGCCGATGACGGCGCCGATGAGGGTAGGGACTGTCATGATGCCAACAGCGGCATCCCCATAGTTCCAGGGAGGTTCATAGTAATTATCTTCTTCCACCGTGAGGTAAAACGTGAGCCATGCGTCTTGAGCTCCCCACTGGAGGCCAGAGTAGAGCACTGCTGGGAAACTGAAGACGCGTAGGGTGTACCACAGGCGAGAAAAATATTGCTTGAAGCCGGTTCCAATCAAGGTGGAAGATCGGGTGATCAATGCGATTCGCTGCCAATAAGTGGTGGGCTTATTTTCTTGGGGATTGGGGCTATCGGCACTGTTTCTGTGAGGGGCAGGCTGTACGCTCGTCAGCCCATCGCCCTTCTCCTCCAACGAGATTTTGGACGCGGGCACGGAATTGTTTGGTTGCGGCAGGTTCAACCCGATGATCATGCTTTCTCGATCGAAGGTGGTCTCTTCTAGCCCTAGATATAATATGAGAATCAGGGAGCCCGAAATGATTGCAGCCAGCCAGCCGGCCCACCGCCATCCCAGAATGGAGCTATCGGTGATGAATCCCGCGACCAACGGTCCCATGAAGGTCCCGACACTGGTCGCCAGGACGTAAAGGCCGAGGACGAGGCCACGTCGGTGCTGGAAGAAGACATCTGATAGCGACAGCTGGGCGAGCGCCTCGGCACAGGACTCCGATACGCCGACGAAGAATTGGCTCCCAATGTTGTCGCCGCTAGTCTGAATTCGAGCAAACCAGATGGAACCAATAAGCGAGCATAAGAGACAGATCATATAGGAGATACGGCGGCCATACAAAAATGGCGCCGGGCTCAGCAGAAGGGTGGAATAACCGATCCCGACGAACAAGACTCCGGCAGCAATGTTGATGTTGTCCCAGGAGATGCCCAGCTGTTCATTCATGCCATTTCCCGCGGTACCGGCGTCATTGGACGTGGCGGCCGTGAAGGCCACCACTACCAAGACCAAAAAGGCGTGCCAATACCGCCTCGTGCGACTCCAATTCAAAGGGTCATCAGGAGAATTGGTCGGCGTTGGAATGAGCGTGACCTCCCCGCTGCTGGCGGGAAAAATGCGTTCGGTGCCATTGAGGTATTCCTCGTCCATTGGAAATGCTGCAAGAGGACGACCACGCGATTAGAACCCTCCGGAGACCGGACGAAAACCCCATCCAACAGGGGGAAGCGACAAGATGTATAAGGCGCTGGGCGGGGGAAGAACCAAGAGGGAGAGAAAAGCTTGTGCCTGTGGAGACTCGGGAGACGAGCGCGATAACGGCGATAAGATACGGCCCAAATGGTCCACTCGTTGCTCCGGCTTCACTTCTCCTCTTCTCGTTTCCTGCATACGCCCTGCGCGCTCGACGCCCTTTACCCCGAAACCACTCAGGAGAGACCACCGGACGCCTCCTCGAGCCATGACGAGTCACCAGATTAGCGCACGAGGCAAGAGGCGCTCGGCTTTCGCATCGACCTGCTCGAAAGTCGTTGGATCGCCGCGCTCACTCTGCGAGATAAGAGGCCGCTAAATCAAAGGATATCGGAAACAAGCACAAGCTAAACGGATGCAGCTGATAACATCCGTGTCTCAGGGGTCAGAAGGGGAAATCAAGGGCGCCCCAAAGCATACTGGAGCACCAAAGATATGGAGGCGAGGGGAATCATGTCCGATACCGCGAGGACTATCTCGATCGGGTTAAGGGCCCGGTCGCTCGGCGTAAGCCTCGGGAGCCCGAATCAACAGACTGAAAATAATACTTCGGCCTATTTCAAGCCCCCGTTACTGCCCCTCCTCCACCGCCACCTCAGCCCTCTCTTCCCCTCGAATCTCAAACTCGGTTCTCACCATTCACTGGTTGTAACAACTTGCAATAGCTTGGATCTTACGCCGATCCAACGTCCTCGACTTGCCCCAATCCTGTTGAAGCCGAATGTCAACGTGCCAAACCAAAATGGCTCAAGCTTTTCACGTCGCCTCTGCCGTTCCCGTCAAGGGTCCCATAAAACCAAGTAATTGTTGCTCCGACCTGGCTGTGCGCCTCGGAGCCACGACTCTTATCGAGTCGGCCCCGGATGAGGCAGCATGCGCAGTGAGGTCGGAGCGCAAGAAGGTGATTATCGTTGGAGCGGGTATCTCGGGTCTCCGCGCCGCCGCCGTCCTTCATCGATACGGTTGTGAAGTCGTGATTCTCGAAGCCCGTGATCGGATTGGAGGAAGAATTTTGACAAGCAGAAAGGGGGATAAAGTTCGGGACATTGGTAGGATTGCGATCGGAATCTGAAGATATGATATCGGAGGAACCACCGCCCTCTAATCCCGATCAAGGAAAGGCTGACCTATCCACCACAGGTGCTGCTTGGATGCACGAGACATCCCAGAACGGTCTTGTGAAGCTGATCCCGCAGCTCTCAATTCCCTACTACTATGACGACGGCATGCCGTTGTATTTTACCCGTGAGGGTCGCGCCGGTTCTCAGTTTAAGGCGAAGAAAGTCGCTGATGAGTTCGCCGACTATTGCGAGTGGTACTATGAAACTAATCCGGATGCCGAGGACCATCCGGTTGATGATTTTGTCAAGCAATTTGTCCTCCAGCATCAGCTCATCACAGATGATGAGCGCCTCTGGGCCCCGCAGGCCGTCCGCGAGGTAGAATTGTGGATCGGCACAAGCACCGAGCAGGCCTCGTCTAAACATCTCTCCTACTTCATTACGGAGCGTAATCTCTATATGAAGGGAGGCTATGACCGGATTGTGAACTGGACCGCGGAGCCCCTCCGCGATGAGCCCAACATGATTCGGTTTAATCATCTCGTTCAACACGTGGAGTGTAGCGATGATGCAGATGAACCCGTACGCATCCAATGCACGGATGCCGATGGCACCCCTCTAGTTGTGGAGGGAGATGCAGTCGTGATGACTCTCCCGTTAGGTGTGTATCATCACAACCTCGTGTCTTTTAATCCGCCCCTTCCGAGTGACATCCAGGAGGGGATATCCAAATTCAGCTACGGTGCCCTGGGTAAAGTCTTCTTTGAATTCAGCGACGTGTTCTGGTCGAAAGACAATGACCAGTTCATGTTCTACCCCTCTCCTGCGGAAGAGGACTCTCTATCCGCATCCTCCGTTCAGTCCAGCACCAGCACGAGCTCTATGGGTGAAAAAGACAACATCCTGAACTACGCGACCGTCACGATCAACCTGTGGATCATGACGGGCGCCAAGGAGCTGTGTGTGCAAATCGCCGAGCCCTTAACCCAGCGCATCGAAGCGATGACCGACTCGAAGGAAATCTATAAGTTTTTTGAACCACTGTTTAAACTCTTCCGTACCGAACCTTACAAGGCTCTGCCGCGCCTGCTCAGTGTTGAAACCACACACTGGACCCAGGATGCGCTTGCGGGCTACGGCACCTACTCTGCCGACAAGGTCGGAGACGACCCCGACATGTTTGTCGACGCGCTTGATGCCCACAAGCATAGCCGTATGCAGTTTGCAGGAGAGCACTGCACTATGGTCGCCAATGGCTGTGTGCATGGCGCCTTCCGCACAGGTGAAGTAGCCGCTACTAATCTGTTGGAGACTTTTGGCATTCCCCTTGATGGGCGTGACATTGGCGTGAACGACAAGTTGGCCACATAGAAAGGGCACGCTATATGATTTAGTATCTAACATTTTGACATAATCATATATAACTATATCGGTGTGTCTTATGTCATAGATTTCCGGGCTGAAGGAATGAAATGATCTTCCGTAACAGTCCTGGAAGTTATATATTCCTACACTTTGAATTGAATTTTGACTGCATCATTTTTTTCTTGCACATGCTTCCAATTTTGGTACTCCCAGGTATTCTGCGGAAGCACTTCACCAACGTCAAGACAATTTTGGGTTTGATGGGGTTTTCTTTACCTGTGTGCGGTCCTGGAGAGACTTTCAAGTGCCCTCGTTCTGCAATCTGTTTCCTCCAAACGCGTATGCCGGCGCTTCTCGTCTCTCATATTAGAGCTGTACATATGCTGGCTACTAGCATAACTGCGTGTTGAGATGAACTAGGAAGGAAACTCTAGGTGGGAAAAATAGGCTATTGGCAATCTGCACTATCCTCCTCTCTCAGAAGCAGTTCCACCATGCTGAGCATCTCTAGCACATCTCTGGATTCATCTTGCCAAAAATTGAGCATCGCTGTGACATCAATCACTGCTTTCTTCCAGTCCAGTGGAAGGAACCCTTTCAGGTCATTATGCTGGGCAGCAGCAAGAAGGGCTAATGCACTTCGTGTGCATGACCGCACCATCAACCATGTGCCATGGTGACGGTGGTAGAATCCCTTTCGGTTCTTCGTGATTCGTTCTATGCACACCTCTAGCACCTTGCGAACAAAATAATGGTTGCTTTCGTTGAGTCGACCTTGGATACCTTCCACTAAGAAGTGCCAGTACATGGTTTCTTGACAGTCGAGGAGATGTCCGCTCAGAATAAATCGAAAGGGTTCATATTGGTCACTCTCCTGACTTACAGCGTGAAGCGCTAGAGCGGGGGGTAGGGATCGCAACCTAGATCAGCATCATTTGGAGTTAATATTTCTATATGAATTTTTCACTTGAGCAATAATGGGTTGTTAAAAAGGGGTATCTACCATCCATTAGTTTGTTCCTCAAAATCGAGGATTGCATTTTCAATGTCCGATTTCGAGGAAGAATTGTCGTGACGGTATACCGTATCCAGAATCCGGTTCTTCAATCTCCGCAAAGCAATCTCGGCGAGATAGAAGTACCATGCCGCTTCGTCCTTTGTTCTAAGCTGATCAGGAGGAGACGGAAACAACGTTGGATAGCTGAGGTCGAGAACACTCTTTTGTCCAAAATTCAACTCCAGCCGAAGCTCCCTATAATGAGATATCAATTCAGATTAAGTATATTAGATCACCAAGTTGACTTTTCACCAAACTTACAGCTCAGATTTGAAGCACGTCCAGTATATTCGCTGCTTTGCATTCCATTCGCTGTCGTGGATGGGCTCAGTTGCAGTCTCAAGAAAGAAGCCCTGACAACAGGCTAATGCTTGTACAAACATCCTCCACGCGGGAACCGGTTCGAGATTTGCCATCAAATATGCGCCTGCAAGAAAGAAGCACTGTGCTTCAGTCACGCCGCTTCTGCAAAGGAGTGAGCCCATGCGAGATTGAGCCGCACTAAAGTACGACTCGGCCCGCTGGAATTGTTCTGATTGATGGAAGTCTCCTGCAGGGCTAACGTGGGGCTCTTTGTTAAAGAATGGCCTTGCAGTTAGTCCATGTGCATATATGAGCAGCTAATATGAAATTAGTTTAGGCTGGATGCATGGGTGTGAAGGGTAACGTAACCAGAAGGCAGGATTTTGCATCCCAGCCAATACCATTGAAGCATGCTGCATTAGAGCATTCTTGGATGTCTTCCTCCTCTAAGATGGGATTGAATATATTGACATAATCAAAGAAGGTTCGAATCAGAGATTCAGTCTCTTGAGGGTCAATCTCAATAGAAATCGGTGGAACTGGGGCAGGTTTTGAATGATTAGGTGGGTTCAGCAAGTGTATTCGCTGATGAAAATTGTGGCGATCAAAGACCGGCCACTCCAGGACAGATTCAAGATTTATAAAACGCAACTTCCATTGATTGTCTTGACTGATCATAGGAGAGCTTGAATGATCCTGGGTGATAGAGGGTGATGAGAAAATTCCATGGGAGTGGACCGATGGAGATGGCTCATTATTGAATCCGGTCTGGATTATCGATTCTAGATCATCTAATCGTTTGAGAATAGCGAGACTTGCAGCATCAAATCTATTAAGAAGATAATCGGAAAACCTGTCAGTATTCACAAATGAAGTATAGGGGTGGCTCGACTGTTCCATTGTCTTTGAGACCAGCTACTAACGTAGAGGGATCTTTGTCCTGATAGGTGCATTCGGCCCCAAGCCGAACGCACGAAGTACATGCCGGGCGAGTATTATCGCATTTGGTCCTGCGGAAGCGACATGTATGGCATGCCTGCGTGGCTCGCTTTCGTGGCCATGTTATTGCCGTGCGCGAGTACTTCCTCTTCTGCGGATTCGTTCCAATAGAGATCTCCAATTGGGTTGCTAAAGATTGGGCCGCGTCCATATTAGCAATGAGCACGCATCTTACGGTAAGCAGGGTTCGGCATTGGAAAGGCCCCTTTACCGTGTTAAGTACCCAGCGGAGTTTCGGATTACCACTGTGAGGTTTCATCGTCTAGACTGCTTTTGTCATAGTGTCGCGATGGCTCAAGCTCCACTTGCCCTCATTTGAATCTCTGACGGACTTCAAAACGCCATTTCAACCGGTAAATCCGGTTTGATTCGCCCTCGGCCAAAAAGCTTTGTTCCTTCTCCGCAACGTCCTCCACGCTGCCATAAAATATGGGGGTTTTGATTGCGGGGAAGTCGGTCTGGAGTCGGGCTAAATGTACGGGTCTTCAGTTAGCGCTTGAAGATGATTTGTCTCCCCGTTTCCCGGCTTAGTGTTCAGACGCCACCCTACGGTGAGATGATTCGGCATGGCCATGAAATGCCGAATAGTATTTGGCTAATTGCTGATATCCGAGGCCATGCGTCCTGGCCTTAATAAAACCAAGCTCGCTTGGAATCAGATTGGTTCCAGTCCTACGCCATACACTATACCACCGCGGAATCACGGATGCCATTGAAATTCAGTCCTATGTTTAAAAGCAAGATTTAATAGAGATTTGTTCCATAAGAAGTCAGTCACCGTTTTTTGGACTGGGATCTCTTCGATTGATTCACTGAAAACCTTTCTTCAAGAGGACACTTTCATATTCAACATGAGCGAAAGAGAAACAAAATCAACATCTCAAATCGAACAGGTCGAGATGGTGGGCCCTAGCGGGTGGAGCCTTCAAAATGTCCTCCCCAAAACCGACAAAGCATGGTATAGACACCGGCACCTTCTTCTACTCAATCTGGGAATGATAGTCCCATATTTGTCCTCGACCACCAATGGCTATGATGGCTCTATGCTGAACGGCCTGCAATCCATGAGTCAGTGGCAGCATTTCTTCGATTCTCCAACGGGCACTCGACTTGGATCGCTGTCCAACGGCGTGATCTTCGGGCAGATCCTGGCCTTTCCAATTGCTCCGTGGCTGTGCGACCATACCGGTCGCCGGTTTCCAATTTTTATCGGGTCACTTCTCCTCGTGATAGGAGCGATTCTTCAGTGCGCCGCTCAGAATTATGCCATGTTCCTGGTGTCTCGCATGATCATCGGGTTCGGAGGCTTGATTGCGGTTGAAGCCTCTCCGATGTTAGTCAGTGAGCTCGCTTTTCCAACCCACCGGTCTGTTCTGGTAGGATACTACAACAACTTGTGGTACCTGGGAGCAATGCTCGCTGCTTGGGTCACCTATGGAACTTACTTTATGGGACCGAACGCATCGTGGGCGTGGCGTATTCCGTCGCTTCTGCAAGGGTTTTTCCCGCTTGTGCAGGTTATTTGCGTCTACCTGCTGCCCGAATCTCCACGGTACCTGGTACAACAGGATCGATATGATGATGCGCGACAAGTGTTGGTAAAATACCACGCAGGTGGAGACGAGGATTCGCCTCTGGTCGAATTTGAGATGAAAGAAATCATCTTGCAAATCCAGACTGCCAAAGGGGCCTCGAAAATGGGGTATCGAGAGTTTCTCGCCACACGCGGTAATCTGCATCGTTTGTTCATCATCATTTTGGTACCCTGCATGATGCAGCTGTCCGGCAACGGGTTGATCGCATACTACCTGCATCTCATTCTCAACTCGATCGGGTTTACTTCGGACCCACAGCAGCTCCGAATCAATGGCGGTCTCACTGTGTTTAATCTTGGAGTCTCGATCGCACTAGCTTCTCTGATGGAAGTGGCCGGCCGACGACGATTATTTCTATTTTCGACGATTGGGATGTTGACCTGTTACGTGATCTGGACGATTCTGTCAGCAATCAACCAACAAAGAGGATTCAATGATAGTTCTCTAGGCACCGGGGTGATCGTGATGATCTTTTTCTACCAGTTCTTCTATAACGCAGGTCTTAATGGCCCGCCCTGGGTCTATGTGACCGAAGTTCTCCCAACCCACCTTCGCGCCAAGGGAACCAATATCATGCAGATCGCATCAACCTGTGTGCTGATCTTCAATGGATATGCCAACCCGGTAGCAATGGATGCCATCAGCTGGAAATATTACATTGTCTATTGCTGTGTGATTGCGGTTGAGATTGTTCTTGTTTACTTTGGTTTCCCTGAAACCAAGGGTCACAGTTTGGAGGAAGTGGCGCTCATTTTTGACGGTGAAAAAGCATTTGGGGAGAATCCAAAGCAGGAAAGACTGGAGGAAGTTTGAGCTGGGATAATCGTTAATCCCATGTTATATGAAACCTCTATATTCTTGAAGGGCTTTAAGCCCAATTGTCCATTGCCCGAAATGATCACTTGGATGTAATATTTACTACCCGGTCTATGTTTTTCTCTATATTGTAGATAAAATTTTCTGCACTGTAAGCAAATTCCATCACTCACCATGCGACATGGGTTTGCAAATGATCAATCGCTTAACTACTAGATTTTTCCGGCAGGTTTAGACTTTCAGTGGGAAGTCTCATACTCCGAACGGGAACAGAAGTGGGGTTTTCTTTGTTTTTCAACCCTAATCGCGATAGGATCTCAAAAAAAGGCAGTCCATCTTGCGGGGTAAATATCCACACCATTAATTGAAAAAAAAAAAAAAAAAGGAAATCCATGCTGATTCTGCGCGGACTGACCCCCGCATCTCCGTGATTCCGCGACCTGCCAAGCCCGAGCGGGGGCGTCTGCCAGCGCGCTAAAAAGCGGGCAGCGCATCGTTATTTACTTCTGAGGTTACATACTTCTAACTTGGGACGGCCCGAGCAAGGGATGCTACTGCCATTCGCGTAGCAAGACCCCCGTTTGTGGCGCCTCCTGCCTCGAGAATCTTCGCCGGAGGCTTGCACAAGGGCCGAAAGAAATACTTTGGCTTTTGCCCGACATGCTACGCGAGCGGTCATGCGGATTCAAGATGAGGGGCTTTGATTTCCAGGCATTGGCTCGCCGTCTCCCTCGGTATAAGAAGGGCTAAAGGGGAAGCTTTCCCCCTTGAGGTTTTTCTTTTACCTCTCCGAAGGACGGAGCCATTGTCACTTTCATGATGCAACACCTTCTTCTGCCCTTCCTGGCTGTGGCCGGGGTCGCCCAGGCGCGTGGCTCAGGGAGTACCGGCTGGGATGCAGCCTATTCAAAGGCCCAAAATGCACTGAAGAAAATGAGTCTGTCCGAAAAGGTTGGGATTGCGACTGGTGTGACTTGGGAAGGCGGACCTTGTGTGGGCAACACATATGCACCCAGCTCCATTGACTATCCCTCGCTATGTCTCCAAGACTCACCACTGGGTATCCGATTCGCGAACCCCGTCACCGCGTTCCCGGCAGGGATCAATGCTGGCGCGACTTGGGATCGGTCCCTAATGTACGCACGAGGTGCGGCGATGGGAGCCGAGGCCAAGGGGCTAGGCGTTAACGTGCAGCTCGGGCCAGTGGCTGGTCCTCTGGGAAAGAACCCAGATGGCGGCCGAAACTGGGAGGGCTTCTCGGTGGATCCCTATCTCAGTGGGGTTGCGATGGAAGAGACGATTCACGGCATGCAGGACTCGGGCGCCCAAGCATGCGCCAAGGTATGTGATATCCCCATCACCTCTTAGCACCCATGCCTGACATGCCCTGCAGCACTGGCTTGGAAATGAACAGGAGCACAATCGAGACACCATCAGCTCGAACATCGGCGACAGGGTTGCGCATGAACTATACGTATGGCCGTTTATGAATGCCGTCAGGGCCGATGTGGCCTCGGTGATGTGCTCCTATAACAAAGTGAACGAAACATGGGCCTGCGAGAGCGATGCCATCTTGAACCAGCTGATGAAAGATGAGCTAGGCTTCCGGGGGTATATCATGAGTGATTGGAATGCGCAACACACCACTGTCAACAGCGCGTTGGCCGGATTGGACATGACGATGCCCGGCAGCGATTTCAACAGTCCTCCTGGAAGTATCTTCTGGGGCTCTAATCTCGTGGATGCCGTGAACAATGGCTCTGTGCCCAAGTCCCGAGTAGACGATATGGCAACTCGTATCCTGGCTGCCTGGTATCTCCTCGGGCAAGACAAAGGATATCCCGCTGTCTCATTCAGCTCCTGGAATGGCGGCAAAGCGAGCGTCGATGTTACTGGGGACCATGCGACCGTGGTTCGTAATGTGGCTCGCGACTCCATAGTTTTGTTGAAGAATGACGGGCATGCTCTTCCCCTTAAAAAACCGGCAAGTCTGGCGGTTATTGGAGCCGATGCAATCGTGAACCCCGACGGCCCCAACGCATGCTCGGATCATGGGTGTGATAACGGGACGTTGGCCATGGGATGGGGCAGTGGAACCGCCCAATTCCCGGTAAGTGGGCCCCAAGTGGCACTCGAAGGCTTTCAAGCATTTTGCTAATCCTGAATATGTAAAGTATCTTGTCGATCCTTTGAGTGCAATTCAGGCCCAGGCGAAGAAGACGGGCACTAAAATCATCTCGAGTACAACAGATGATACGACTTCCGCCGCATCTGCTGCGGCTGCCGCCAAGACGGCAGTTGTTTTTATCAATTCGGACTCCGGAGAAGGGTATGGTCGTCTATGTGTTTCATTTAGATTCCCCGATTCTCGTTCAATACTGACTTTATTCTCAGATATATCACGGTCGAAGGGAATGCCGGCGACCGGAACAACCTCGATCCTTGGCACAACGGCAACGAGCTCGTCAAAGCAGTTGCAGCAGTCAACAAGAACGTGATTGTTGTCGTGCACAGCGTAGGTCCTGTGATTCTCGAGACGATTCTGGCCCAACCATCTGTCAAAGCCATCGTCTGGGCTGGACTACCTGGCCAAGAAAGTGGGAATGCCTTGGTTGACGTGCTATATGGTGGAACATCTCCCAGCGGGAAACTCCCGTACACAATCGCGAAACAGCGTAGCGACTATGGAACTGGTTGGCTAAATGCGGAACAAGATGATTTCACAGAAGGTCTCTTCGTCGACTACCGTCACTTTGATGTCAACAGCATCGCCCCTCGCTACGAATTTGGATATGGTCTTTCATATACGAAGTTCGACTACTATGGCATTGCTGTAAATGTGTTTGCTAGTGCAGGTCCGGCTACGGGAGCCACCGTGCCCGGTGGTCCGGCTGATCTCTTTGAGACTGTTGGAACTATCACTACTAGGATCCAGAACAGTGGCAGTGTGGCTGGAGCAGAAGTTGCACAGCTGTATCTAGGCCTACCAGACTCTGCTCCATGGACTCCGCTGAAGCAGCTGCGTGGGTTTGAAAAAGTGAATCTCCACTCGCAGAAATCGCAGGAAGTAACGTTCAAGCTCACCCGACGAGATTTGAGCTACTGGGACGTTCGGACTCAGAAATGGGTTGTACCAAGTGGAACATTCCGTGTCTATGTCGGCAGTTCCAGTCGCGATATCCGCCAGAAGGGCGCATTTACCGTTAAGGAATTCCGTTGAAGAGGGAGCTAGTGGTTATTTTTATCCATCAGCATTGTATAGCCCCCTTTTTGCCTTGAAATACTGACAGGTTCAATTTAAATTGAAGCTGTAATGCCCGTCAACGATAGTTTTGGGAACTCATAACCTGGGTTAGGAGCTCCTGTATCCGAATTCGTTCAATATTCTAGACAACAACATTACGTTTCAGTATTCCAGCGATTCAGTAAAGCTGCTAGTGCAAAATCAATCATTATAAAAGGTGATATCATTAGCTCCAGGCGACATGAATTCGGTCATATGGTGTTCCGCTTTTCTTTCCAGTTGAAATTATATACTCGCGGCAAAGAAGCGAGGCATACAATGTAATGTATAGAGATGATAAAAAATCTAAAGGTACTCATTTAATTGCATAGCTTATTCATTTGAGGCAGCATTCCTCGGTTCTAAGAAGTCAATATATATGGACATGAACTTCTCGTGAATAATAGAAAGCTTGATTGGGGAAAGCCACTCCAAGTACCACATCAGAGGAAAGAGAATTCAAAAGTCAAAATTGAGAGATTTCTATTGAGAGATATCTATCACTTGGATTGATGAGATCACAGCTGACATAGGAATTTTTTCCTCATCAAATGATACCCCAGCAACGCATTGAGCCACCTAAATCTGTAAGGAAGAATACCGCCAACGAATGCGTATCCTCCCAGAGGCAAGTCAACTAAGCCGCCAGCCACCCGCGATAATCGAAAAATAAAATAAATTGAGAACGGGCAGATACATCGAACCAGAATGACTAAAAAAATTGAAAGTGAGGTCCAGTGGTTACTACCATGAGCGAGAATATCGAAAGGCTCCCGTAGATTCATTTATAGAGCCAGGAAAGGCTTTCTAAAAATGCTGGCCATGTTGCCCAATTAGGACTCCGTTCTATTCTCATTTTTCAAGCGAGGCTTGAGTGTCACCATCAGCGCAGGCTTATCCCAGAGGAAATAAACCTTCTGATCGGTCCAATTGGCGCTTTCGGGACACAGCATGAAATCGAAGTGGTACAGCAATTTGCAGAGGATGAGTCTCATCTCACAGTAAGCCAAACTAAGGGAGAAGAGCTGCTTTTTAGTCACAGCAGAGGACAGGGCCGTAGATCCAGTGGACACATACTTTTTACCGAGACAGTTCCTTGGCCCTAGGCTGAAGGGCTGCAAAGCATCCTTTTTATCGCCGTCAAAACGGGCGTCTTTTCCCAACCACCGTTCCGGGATGAAGTTGTCAGGGAGTGCGAAATTTGACGATGAGTGGTAAGTAGCGTAGTGGTGACATGCAACCACTGTCTGCACCAATCGTTAGACAGCTATTATGTGTTGCGGAACATAAATGGCATACTCCCTCTGGAATAAACTGGCCATCAACCATTGCCCCACCCCGTGGAACGACACGCGCCAGGCTTGTTACAAAGGGTGGATACATTCGTAGCGATTCCTCAATGACGGCAGCGAGGTATGGCAAGGTCGCACAGCTTCGAAATGTCATATCTTTATCGTCCGCAAAGCTAGAGCGCACTTCAGTCATAAGTTGATTCATAACTCGCGGATTGGTGCAAAGGTAAAAGATACAGCCCGAAAGGAGTGTCGCCGCTGTCTCACTACCTGCCACGATCAGACTGATACGTAGAGTCAGTCTCGTTCAAAAGGACTGGACAGCTTCACCGGCTTCGGGGCGCAGAAAAAAGAAAACTTACATGAACGCATTAGAGTGAATCTCGGCTCTTGTCATAATTCGCTTTCCTGCCTGGTATTTGCCATTGGATTCGCTCAATCCATTTTGCAGAATGGCCGCCATAAAATCCGGACGCGTAGTTTGAGTTTCTAAGCGCTTGTCCACTCTTTTCGCTGCGAGTTTGAAATGCTCAACAGCCTTTTGCTGGATTCTCCGCGGGATAAAGGCCCTCAGGAATGTGCGAAGAACAGGAAATTGGCGCGTGATGCCGTCCAGTGCCAGAGCTTTGATTGACTTGAAAATTAACTCGATCCAAGGATGCAATTTGCTATCTTTAAGGCAATTAAACGACTCTCCAAAGATCAGGTCGCCTGTGATATCGAATGTAGTGAAGTTCATCCAATGTTTGATATCCACACAGGACGAGGACCTCTGAATCTCGAGGTGTAACTTGAAGATCATTGTATCGACATAGCTGGTGATCAAGCTCTCTTGGTCCCTCAGAGCCCGCTCGGAGAAGGCATGAGAGAGCAGGCGCCTTTGGCGGGCATGGGAAGTATGGTCTACTTCGCAGACGAGGTGATTGACTCCATTGGCAGGGGGCAAGTAATGGGTTCGATCCTTGGGGAAACACCCTCCTGGGCGTGCACCATAGATGTCTCGAAAGGCCTGTGGAGTATTAAACGCCAATTCGTGAGGGCTAATCCGTAGCACCGAGCCGTACTGCTCATGTAGAGCGGTCAGATCCAGATGATGGTGCCCATGCAACACTGACAGCTGACCTGGGATGCGCGAGACTGCCCAGAGCCGCGGACCCGGGAAACGGCGCAGCGGGGACCAACAAAGTTGGTAGACGATACTATATGCCGTGCCAAGTAAGCCCTAGGAGGTTCGCAAACACAACGTATTAGCGCCAATCCACTCCGGGCAAAGGTGATGTAAGCAGCATATGGCCGGGAAATAAAAGACCGGGGGGCTGGTTTGGTTAGGCGAGGGCAGGATGGGTAGCGGTAGGGTCCTGCAGGCGCAAACAAGGACGCACCGAGGGAAGGGGAAATGCAACTTACCAGGAGTATTGCAGACACGCTCCAGAATAGGACACTGGAAGGTGGCTCTGAGAAGAGCATCGTCACTGGCGATCGCAACCAGAAGGGGATGGACCCCAGGGTCTCGCAGATCCCCACGTCCATATTATTTACTTATTTGGGCGCATTGCTTGCGGAGGCGAGATGAACGGGTGGCTCGGAGACCCCTGCTTTGCTCAATCTCGAGCAATTGATATCCTGGGATGACCGAACGATGACCGAAGAAGTTGCGCGTCGCAAGTTGCAAAGTCACACCGGGATGATTCTGGGCTCCCGGCGGGTTGGAGACAGGACGGATGGTCGCAGAGAGGAAATGGACCCTCCACTTGGATTTCAGCCAGAATTGTGCAGATTCACACGTTGGAGTGTTCTCTTGGGCACTTGGAGTGTCTGTGTGGTCGCAGTCGGCGTCTGCGCAACGAAGTCAAGAGGAAGGGAAGAGCAGAAGGCGTAGGAGTGGTACAACGTCCAAGGGGGCTTTGGCCACGATCATAATCACTATTCTACATGGCGCATCTTTTTGCCTCTTGCTCCAATCCTTCTTTGCCCTTCAATTCCCCGTCATCCGTCTTTCGTGCTCCGTCTTTTTCGTCCTCCTCTGCTCCCGCCTCCCCGTTCCAGCCCAATTGCCGACCCAGCTGACTGCTGGTTGAACCAGTCTAAATGGACCGATGATAGGACCATGGTCTCCGACCATACACAATATGCAAGTTGCAATAGGTGTGGACATCTGGATTCCTCAGATCCCGTCGCACACCCGCCAGGAACACCTGGACATCGGTATTCGACCAGCCCAGAACGCGGGTGAAGAGCGCGAGGGAGTAGGACTCGACCGCCATCAGGAGGGAGCACAGATTATATCGCCCTATTTGTTTTTGTACAGGGTCCCTCGACCAGGCGCTGGACGGAACCTGCCACACGAAAACAGCCAGGTCAGTCAGATCGGCCAGATCCCAAGGCCCCCGGAGCGAAAATGTAGGAAAACAGCAAACATGTAGGGACACATGAACAAGAAACACGACGAATCACACGAGGAAAGGGGCAAATGGAGGGCAAGCATCATCATACCTTGTACACCTCATCTCTGACCTCTTCAAAACCCGCCTCCATCAGCCGCTGCCGGTGGCCTTCGGCGATATTCATGGGCCGGTGAAACGCCTCACTGGCCTCATGCAGGCGGCCGAGGAATTCGCACAACGTCGGCGCCAGACGGAGGGAGTCGTCATCTGACCTGAGCGTCACCTCAAACTCCTGCAATTCAACCCAGCCCCCAGGTCGCAGGTGCTGATAGGCCTGGCGCAGCAGCCGCGGCCAGTCCGCGATGGCGCCGCCCAAGTCCCGCGCATGGATAAAGTCAAAGGGCCGGCTCGCATTAAACAACCAGGGTGACTCGGCGTCGTCGACCAGGAATCGGAGGTTAGGCGGCACCCAGGATGGCTGGATCGGACTCAGGTCGGTACCGACGACCTCGGCGCTGGAGTATCTGTCTGCGAAATCGATGGCCCAGATGCCCGTCCCTGTGCCGATGTCTAGGGCGCGTTGGAGATTTGGGTCTACCGGAGCTCGAAACAAGGCTCCGTTAAGGACGAGGTTTCGCACATGGTGAAGGAGGTCTTGTCGATCTTGCTCGGGCTCGTCATTAGGGAGGACGTAGTGGCCTTCGCGGTAAGAATGATACCGGCGTCCGTTTTCGTAGGTGTAATTCTTCACATCGGACAAGAGGGAAGCCGTATAGCTGGAAGTGTCGGAATGATAATTCTCACCAAATATCGAGCTTTCTTCGCCCGTTGTGGATTCTGTGGAAGAGGCATCTCCTGCATTCACTTGGCCATCTTCATCTGCCTCTTGTACGTGGGCCGGGTTTGGTATGACATCAGGCGCTGGCGTTAAGTGTACCACTGGGGAAGGCGCACCCTCAGAGGATTTCGGGTTGCTTAAAACCGGCGGAGAGAAAGCTATTGTGCTTGAATCGCCGGGTGATGGCGATGCCGCTGTCTTTTTTGTCTCCCTCGGAAACACACCTACCTCTAGTAGGTCGGATGGTTGCGGTGAACTCGAGAGCACATAGGGTGTACTTGTCACGGTCTCTTCTCTGCTGCCGTCATCTTCGGCTCCCTCCTCTGGTATGGAAGCTAATTGAGGCGCTACTGCCAGTATATGCTCCGCCGCATCACATTCGGCCTTCGGTGTAGAGTGGATATGGCGGTCCACAAAAGCTAATGACTGCGCTGCATGTTGCTCCAACACTGCATTGCTAGATGTCTCCGTCGCTGGCTCCAGGATCCGTTTCGGATTGCCTTGTGGTGTTAAGGAATTTGTTTCTGCCTCGACTGCTAACGGAGTGATATTGAGAGACTGTATTGGTGAAAGAAGGAAGGAAGACGGGGATGACATGACCTCTCTTGGCCGGGGGCCATCCATCACAATTCGCTGCTCTGGATATGTAGACAATCCCGAGCCTAGCCGAACGGGCTCCATGGCACCATCTCGGTCTTCATACGCGATGAAGCTGGAATCAGACACTGAAGAAGCGGGCAGTGTCATGCCAGTGCCCACGCCAGTCTTGAGGGAAGGCAGGTGGATGCTTTCAGAGCACATCGTGGGATAAAGACACAAGCAGTCGAGCATACTGGCGTTCGTGAGGGTTAGGCCCTCGGTGTGTCTCACAGTAACGGTTTGTGTGTTGAACCAGCTGGTGAAGCAAACTGGTGTAGCAGGTCCAAGAAGTATCTGTCCCCTCAACCGGCTTAACCAGCTTGGCGGCGCCGGGGAGGGTGGGACACTGATTAATGGAGGTTGGAGTCATGAAGTGGAGCTAGTGACACCGCGCTCGCACTGGGTGTGACGCCTTTTGGATCCTATTCCGGGGTCGGCTCTTCCTGTCAGGTGCTGCAGTGTAAGACAAGAGCATGCAAAATGCCCCGGTTGATATCAAACCCCGAGGTCGGATGTTGGACCTGGTGGAGGCTTTGTACGCCAAAACATGCAGCATGCCAGCCGGTAGCCCTAACTCATCCGTCCCGGTTAAAATCGATCTTCGTCGGTAAAGCGAAATCCATCGTTCTCCTTGTTGGAGGTTTGCAATGAGACATCTCCGAGCATGCTATTGTATGTCAATCCCTAAAATAATGCAAAAAGCAATGATCCGAAGCTACGTGCAAGGTTGTACGCCTTCGGAGTCTCTATATTCCGTATTAAGCGAAGTGGATGAATGGATAACATCTACATGCATTCCGACGAATTGTCGCCTTTGAATCCGAAGTCAATCAGATAGTCTGATTCCAGTGAAGGCGACTCACTCTTTTAATTTGTTGTGTAGAGCATCTTTTATCGCTACTCAATATCTCTACTTACTCTCTCTACTTACTCTCTCTACTTACTCTCTCTACTTACTCTCTCTACTTACTCTCTCTACTTACTCTCTCTACTTACTCTCTCTACTTACTCTCTCTACATACTCTCTCTCTACTTAGTCCGGGCACTCTATGTCGAATCAAGAGCATAACTAGGCAAGTTCATTTCGGTCGTGACAGCAGTCCGGGTATTATCTCATGCCTCATGTTCGTATCACAACCTCCTAGCACCGTCCTCTGAGACAAGATCTAGCAAATTCTAATCTCGGTTTAACCGCGCGGTCCAGGACCCCGGCCGAACTTATCAGTCGACCCTGTTCCTCTCGCGTCCGCCGAGTCCACACGTTGCCGCCGTTCGGCTCCGGATGCCTTTACCTCCAGCCCTGCTTGAAGTACGCTAGCACGGAAAATACGCATATGCGCCTCTTCATTGAAAGACCGCAGGCTCTCCAATGTCTTCTCTTGCACCTCCATTCGCAAATCTGTCTGGTTTGAGACGAGGACGCTCTTTTCCAGGTCGATGCGAGCGTCCAAGACTCCCTTTTGAATAAGTTGGATGAGCTCCTGGACGAAGGGTGAGTCGACGCCTGTCGGCTGGGCTTCGCCTCCGACAACAGCCGGGGCAAAGATTGCTGCCATGGAGTCCAGGGTGACACGGCTGAACGGCACCAGATATTGCTTGATCGCCTTGGTGCGAATCTGATTGTAGAGATCTGAGACATGGCGCCGTAGATGGATGTCTAGGAGATAGTCAGTGCGGTAGGCATCTAAAATATCTAAGCAAGGCCGGAACTTGGAATTGCAGAAGAATCCAATCGCGCGGCGAATATGAGGCTCGAGCTCGAGGAAATTCCGGAAGGAACTGTTATCGAGGACACGGAGCTGGAGTTCAACGCGGTTCATAGATGCCAACGCACATAAGCCACCGTAAACGGCGACATCGTTGGGTGTGATTATTTCATTGAAACTGTCGCCCAGGCTAGGGTCTGTCGACAGAAAGCTATTGGCTGCGTCGAGATATGAGCTCGAGTGCATCTGTGCGAGACCCAGAGCCGCGGACATCTTGGGCTGGTTTTTAATCTGGTCGTCGGGTTTTGATTGAGCGTTGCGCAATCGGTGTACATTGGACTGGACATTCAGCCAATCTCCACGCTCGACCGAAACATTGATCAGCTTGAAGAGCATGGAGGCAATGTGATTCGGGGTTGTGCAGTAGTCTCGCATGCGGGAGTACGCTTTCGAGGCTGCAACAAGATCGCCGGTCTCATAGTAGTGGTTCCCGATATCCTCATTGCCCATCTAAAGCAATTCGTCAGTTCAGTATGCACCACAGTGGTATGCCGAGATCAGGGGTCCGTACTCGAATGCTCTCCTTGATTAAATTATTCTTGTATCCGCGAAGCTCCTGGTCCAGCCGATCGTCCTGTGTCCTGACTGTGCGTTGGACATTCTGAACCCACGCTGAGTCGAGGGTGGCGCTCTCCTCGTTCGGTGCTACCTCCGCCAGCGCGCGAACTGCCTTTTCATAATTTGCGACATCTTTTCCGGACTTGGCTTCGATGATTGCGGACTTTAGGGCTTCGACAGAGAGGACAGTAGATGTGGTGCCTATGAGGTACAAGCGGTCGAATCGGGTGCGGCCTAGAGTATGCACACCGTTAGGAGTCTGGCTGTATAGATGCTTAGAGCATTGACAACATACCGGTGTAATTCGCGATATATGACTCGAGATCAAATTTTGGGGGGTCTGCCAGAGTTCAAATATTAGTTCTCAAGCTTTCTGGCGAGCCAGAGCAGTTCTCAGCGGGCTTTGTTGTCGGATAGCCCCGCAGGAGGATCACCGTACCGTGGACTTTGACTCGAGTAATATTCTCTGTGTTTTCGCTTCCATTTGCATTCCCAGCGGATGTGATTCCTGGAGAAAATGCTGCAGGTAGGCGTACTCGGTCTCTAGCGGAGTGGGCGTCTGGCAGGGTGTCCATCTCGCCTGCGCTGCACAGCCCGGGAGACGCTGAACTGATCTAGACACGCGCTGAAAGAGAGAGACGGAGAAAGTAAATGCAAGACAGCAGCTTTTCCTTGGTATTGAGAGCGCAACGGCCCTGGCAGCAGCTGGGTGAAGGTCAAAAGGCTGTCTTGTGACTGGGCCAGCAATGCGGGTTGATCATTGTGATGGCTCGTCATTCAGATATCGGCAAAAAGATACCGCCTGGAGCACCGCCATTTCAGCCTCCACAGCAGGTTGTGTCAAACCACGACCAGAATCAAAGTAAAAATTCAGAGATTATTTAGTTTTTGGTGCTTGGACCATTTGCACTCATTAAGATCTTTGATATTTTCGCTTACAACATTTCAAACCGATTATTCATTTTTGCCTCAGGCGTTCCCCGGAATCCCGAGGTCTCCCCAGAGCCTCGGGACTGTGAGTAATCACGAAATCATTGGACTCGACCCTCCTTTTACCTTACCGAGTACTAATCACCAGGGCTGTGCCCACGGCAAATAATCATTGATTTCTGCGATGACTGGATGATTAATTGATGCAATAATCTCGGGCCGTGGGAGAAACAATTCGCCTGCAGGACATGCCGATACTATTTATCAGGTCGCATCGACAGAAATACATAAACCGAGCTCCAGTACTCCCCGCATTTCGATATCGGTACAACTCACACAGCCACGCAATACCACAATGTCATCTTCTAAACCTGTCGCCCTGATCATGGGCGCATCTCGAGGCATCGGTCGCCAAGTGGCTGTCGACCTGGCCAAAAATGGCTACGCAGGTGCGAAAGCATGCACGTCAACTTGACCCAAACGCTCTGACCATCTACCATAGTAATGCTGGCGGCAAAGACAGCCTCGGATGCATCCAAGACTGTGCCGTTTCCGCCTGACCCGAATTCCTCACAATCAACTATCAACACAGTAGAGCGTGAGATCCGAGAGGCTGGCGGCTCCGCCGCCACGGTTGTTGTGGACGTCCGCGACGCAGCTCAGATCCAACAGGCCGTCGATGAGACGGTACGGGTCTTCGGCAATTTGGATGTCCTTATATACAATTCTGGGGCGATCTGGTGGTCGTCGGTGGAAAATACCCCCCTCAAGCGCTTCAAGCTCATGCAACAGATTAACCCCGAGGGTTTGTATGCCACGGTCCAGGCGACGTTGCCGTATTTCGAAAAGAATGGCTGGAAGGGCCGGATTGTAGTTGTCTCGCCTCCGATCTACTCGCGCTTTTTTCGGGGCAAGACCGCGTATGCGATGGGTAAGTGGAGATTGGATTGGAAGAAAGTAGAAGAGGTAGATAGGTGGTGCTGACGAGTTCGGTATAGGGAAGGTTGGCATGAGTGTGTTGGTCAAGGGTCTCGCAATGGACTTTGTGCGCCAGGAGCGTAACGAGATGGCCATCAACAGCATTTGGCCTGCATCGGTATGGCTGGATGTCCCAGCTTTTAGAAGACGCACAGCTGATATTTGATACAGTCTATTGAATCTGCTGCAACAGAACACAATAAATCCTCAGACAAGTCCTACAAGAAGGACTTGAGAAAACCCGTATGTGAAATTCCCCAGATATCCCATTGTATGGCCTGTCTCATTGCTCATAAACCGAAAGACCATCTTCTCCGACGCGATTATTGAAATGCTGCGGGCCCCGGCAGCTACTGTGAACGGACTTTTAGATACCGATGAGGACTTTCTCCGGGAAAAATGTGGTGTCACTGATTTCTCCAAATACTCAGTCATCCCAGGGTCCACACCTCGCCGCATCATGCCGCTTAGATTCCCTGTCTTGGAAGTTGCTGAACAGGATGACGAGGGGCAGAGAATGGATAGTACGAAAATCCGTGCTGCGAAGATGTGAATTAGCCATTAAGTTCTCTCAATGTCTATTTTAGAAGAAATATATCTCTCATCAGCCATGAATTTTTTGATCACTAGTCCTTTTATGAAGCGAATATAATAACCTCTCTTTCCCCCTCTCCTTTTGCATGACTTCCCTACTCCCACTAGTACACTATTTGAACACAGTGTTTAGAATATTGGCGCTCGGTATTCTGTGCATCTCGCTTGAAATGGAACAATGTAAAGATAGGAATTCATGTGTTAATTTATGAGCGTTCTCTGGTCATTTAGAGTGCGATGGCCCTTAAATTATAAGGTTTCAAATTGAACACCAATTTCTTGGCATCATATATATTCAAAACTGCCTTTAATTCATACACGGAGTTGATCTGTTTATTTGATGGACACGTTTGAAAGACTAGGTGGACATTAATAAATTGTTTCAAATTAAAGGGTTTGATTAACGGAACTTCATTAACCGAGCAAAGTTTAGGTTCAAACAGTAAATTATGAACTCTGCAATATGAAAATTCTAGCGAAATTGCAGCATTCATGATAGGTCGTGTCTGAATGAGGAAAACTTAATCGAAGCAAGAACACAAAAAAAAACAAATTAGATCCGGGCCTGATTAATGCAAAAAATTCAACAAGGCAAGCCGCTCAATGCTAAGGAAACAAAAAAGTGACATCGGGGACAATCGACAAACACCGGCCCGGGTGCCCCTCTTTCTCTGGAGAGTTGGCACTTGCGAGCTGAGCCTGTCACATGGTGTTCCAGCAATAATTAAGAGAGATCTTTACAGCAAAACTGCGAACCCAGTCACGAGCCCACCGACCAGAACACAGAGCCCATACACATGGCCCCTTTCGACCGAGTATGGCCGCGGTGCTCCGCCCGTTGCCTCACCGGTTGTGAGAATATTGCCGGGAGTTGTGCTGGTGGCGGCGGCAGAGCTGGTGGTGGTGGTGGTGGAGACGTTCACGCGGGGAGGGTCCTGGGCTCCACAAGGATGATCGCTGCGACAGGCAGACTGGCAGGCCGAGTTATCGCAGGCATTGACACACTGGGTGCCAGCCTCAGTGCAGATGTAGTAGGGCAGGGTCTGAGAGTACTCGGAGGCATTAGGGGAAACGTTGTTGCTGCAGATACAGCTGTAGGTCAGGGTTTCCTGGAAAGCATCAGTATGGGCGACTGCGGCCTGGATTCATTCAGCACTCGATGGAAGTTACTCACAGCTGTGCAGTTGTTCGCGATGGGGACCCCGGAGGAGAATTGGAGGCAGATAAGAGGACATGAAGACTTTTGGGAGTTGCACCAAACCTCTGAAGGTCACATGTTAGTGGTAGAAGTTTTGTGAGTAGGTTGACACAGCGACTCACGGCGAGTAGACAGCGGCACTGAGCTTGGATCGATCGTTTGACTGCTCACCAAGGTGGCAGCTGAAGCGATGGCCAGCAGCAGCTTGGACAACATTCTAGCTAGCAGTCTGGGGGTGCGGAAGATGATGTTCGTGGATTTGGCTGTGGAGAAATGGATAAAAAAAAAGCGACTTGACCGTGGGTGTGTCTAAAGGATGACCGTCAACATCGGCTACTCGCCACGCAGCAAAGAAGTAAAAATAGCATGTGGGGAGGGAGGGTATGTGCATGGAATGAAGGGAGCCAGAGGGCAGACCGGACAGCCGCCATGTCTTAGAACGTACCCCGGGGAGTGGATTCCTGGGCAGCTTCTCGAACAGGCTCGGAATGAGGTAGGAGCACGATCGTGGTCTAAGCTTTGGATGTAGCGACAGATGAAGCGAGGAACAGCTAGAAGTGGAGTTACAAGAAAGGAGAAAGGGGGAAACAAAAGAGCGAGGAAGATCAGAAGAAAAAGAAAAGCGAGAAGGGTCCAGCACGATAGTGCGATAATGCGATAACGAGATCACGCGGACCCTGAATATCGAATCCCGTCCGCCATCCTCCGTATATTTGGCACCAACTCACACCAATTCGCGCCAATGGGCACTAGAATGCTAGCGAGGGCACGGGCTCTGCTAGTGGACGCAGACCAGCAAGCACACTCAGCGAAACTAGGGCCGACGGGGGCCATTGCCTGATCACACCGAGGGATTGTGATCCACAGGGAAGTCGTACATGACTTGTGCAGTACATCAAGACCTGGCACTACCTACATGACGGGGGACGGGGTGAGGAGTAAGGATCCCGAGATGATAAACCCGAACACCCTGGTTGACAGCCAAGAGCAGACGAACTAGCCGACATGTCGATCCGGGGAGCGCGTCTAGCGATCACAACCCTATCCCTGGGGATCCCTATCCCTTTCTATTCGGCTACTTTGCAGTGTCAATGGATGCCGCAAATCATCCCATATGCAGTGATGCTATGGAGCTTGAGATGAGTGTCACCGCCATTTACTCCTCGACCAGCTGCTGCCCCAACTGCAGGCGAACCCCGACCCCTCGAGTGTTGGAATCCTGTGGAAGAGGAAAAAAGGGTCGATAAGGTGGATGTCTCACTTTAGCAGCTGCGCCGATCAACGACGCTTAGCCAGGATAGGGTTAGTGTGGTTGAAGGAGGGTCCAGTTCGGGAACCACTCTCCTGACGAGGATGGAGAAGCAGGGGTGGACACATGAACGGAGAGGCAAGAGAGAAGCCGGAAGGACTGCAGAGCTGCAGACCGGTAAGCTATGGCCATGTCAAGTGTATATGGAAGGACCGATCAGAGAGCAATGTGGTTCCATCTCGGCCGTTTGTGGAAGATGGATGGATTCCCGGTCTAACAACAAACACGCTGGAGAATGAAGTGGCCGCTTATCTAATCCCGACCTCCTTGCGAAACCACCCGGCACATCCGCTCTTTGACTTCCTGACTTCCGCGCCCCTTTCCAAGCTAAATTCTCATCTAGTCGCTTGGACTCGGACCCCGGTTTCAAGGTAAGTGCCAATGTTTCTGTTTCATTGAGGCTTTCGCCTGATCTTGCCCATTCCTGGCCCCCGCGCCCCCCCTCCAAATGTCAAAGTACCGCGCCAGATCAGATCACCTTCTGTAACGGTCTCTCCCCGCATGGACCCAATCATGGACCCCGTGCCTCCGCATGAAACATACATCCGGCCTAACCTGATATCAACTCGGGTGACACCCACGTTCAAAGTAAATAGCATTTTTGCTGACACTCCATTGCCACTGATAGCCCCTCGCTACAGGACCCTCCCAAGGCCCGGCCAACATCTAATGGATGGAGCCAGCGACTGAGGAGGCCGGTTCGGCACCTCGGCCGCGGCCGCCGCTCTCCTCTCCGCCCCCGGACCTCCAATTCAGCCCCGCAGTGCCTCATCCCACCCAGCCGGAACCAAATATCACCAACCATGACCATGACAATAGCAGTGGCAATGCAACGCCCTCCGCCCCATTCCCGGATAGCTCAACAACCTCAACCCCCAAGTCTCGCCCGGCGTCGGGGGTTGTTCCTCCCTGGTGGCAACGACATGAGCGGAATGCCTCCCGCGTATCTCAAACCTCGCTGGCCCACTCCACGAAGATCACCTTAGAGGATCATACGGTGGATCCAGACTCGGAGACGACTCGGGGACTCTGGGCACGCAGCGTCTCCATCGACGACTATGTGGTCGTGCAGGGAAAGACGGGAGTGGGATCTTATGTCGTTTGGAACTGCACGATACAAACACTCGATGTAGGTTCGAATCCAGGAATCGAGTATACTATAATATCCAGTTGTTCTAATGGGGATGTGAATTTTCTAGGGTGGCCCAATTGTCGTCCGCATGAGGTATGATTTTCTGTTCCCTTCGAGAACTGCTCTTCCATCACGGCACGAGGCTGATCTGATGTTGGACGTCTCGGGGCTATAGGTACTCCGAATTTGACGATCTGCGGCAACGTCTTGAATTTTCCTTCCCGCACGCGAAGAGTGCCCTCCCTGCTCTCCCTCCTAAGAGTGTGCTTTGTATGTCCTTGCCATGCTCTTCCTCATCACTGACCCCCGTTGCTGATTTCCCCCAGTTAAATTCCGCCCTAAGTTCCTCGAGTCACGACGCATCGGACTGGAGTATTTTCTTAAGTGAGTATTTTCTCTTTCCGTCTCACCTGCTCAACGAATTTATCCTAATGATTTTCTTGCAGTTGTGTGCTCCTGAACCCCGAGTTCTCCAGCTCACCCGTTGTAAAAGATTTTCTCTTTGGCAGAATTTCATAAATGCGATATGCCCTCATTTGGGTCCTTCAGGCTTTCTTCCTCAGCTCCAACCACTGGTGTCACGCACAGATGTCTGTATATAAAAATATTGCGAGCTTGGACGGCATCTTTTTTCTCCCTCATTGGTTCCGGATTTCCTCATTGGCGCTTTCTTTCCTATTTCCCTTTCCCATGCAGAGCAGGTTATTCCGTGTCTCAGGCCGAAGCACATACTCTGACTCTGTACTCCAAACCCAAGGTCTTGGAGAGACCGTGTGTACATTTTCTAATATCCAAATCTCTGTCCCGTAAGATTTTCACAACTATTTGACCAAAATGATATACTCTCCTGGTCTTCTACTTCTCCATTCATGATACCTCGAAGCAAGACGATAAAATAAAAACCCTGTACTTAGAGAACTCTGTAGCTAAAATTTCGGGACGAGTAGTCGCAGGGACTCAGCCGGCCGCCAGCTTGTTGCAGTCCCCGACAGGCGCGGACCAGGGAAAACGGAGGATATACCGAGGTAATATGGGGATATTGGGGGATATGTGGAGGAGACCCTGAGATCTGCAATGTTTGCCTATACAATCGACATGATATCCGACTGGCAGACGTCTCCTCGAGTCATGGTTCATGAATATACAATGGTGGTATCAATTTCGTGTATCAGGCAATTATAACTTTCAAAAGAGAGTCTCTATGTACCAAATACGAAAAGAACAAAAAACAGTCAATCCCTTACTGTACAGATTCCGCGGGTGCATATAATACGACAAACGGCCATAATCCGGTGCAATGTGCTTCCCCAGCTCCCCAGCTCCCCCAATTTCGATATCAAGATAAAAGTATCCCGTCGCCAAAAGAAAAGAACAAAAGAAAAGAAGAAGAGCCAGACATCGCATTGTTCATGGGCGAGGAACAGAAGACAAAAAAGAAAAAAAGATTAATCAAGGGTAGTAGAAAGCAAAGAGTGGAAGCGATTCAACCATTTCCAGCAAGTAGATGATTCGGTGAATCTGTGAGCGCGGGTTGTTGGCTTGAAGCGGATGATTTTGATTTCCGGGCCGCAACCCACGCCCGGAAATCCGCCCACAAGATCTTGCGTAGACTGATATTGGCCATATGAATCATCGCCAGCAGATGACGAGGTCCCGGCATGCCAGCCGGGAAGACAAGGTATAGACCCGAATCTTGGAGGGAATCCGGGCGAAATTTATCATGATACGCCTTCTTGCCGTGAATAGGAAGCCTATGGAATGTGTGGCTGTATAGGTCGCGGGTGAGCTTTGCCAGTGGTCCTGGTATACCGGAAATATCCTCGGGAGAAAGTGAGTGCACTGGCTCGAAGCCGAAGCCTAGGTACGAGGCGCTCGCGCGGTGCAGCAGGGCCATGGCAGCAACAATCAGTAAGTCACTGATACCCTTCGGGCTACCCGGGGCTGCGATGCACGGATCGACGTGATATCCGCCACAGCCGAGCTTGCGCAATGCGGCAAAGCCACTGATTTGCCCGTCTGGCCCGCGGCTATACACGAAGGTCATTAGGGTGGGTAGCGCGAAAGGGTCATATACTGTGATGAAAGCCTGTGGGCCCGCGGCATGGTTGCGTTCAGCACGCCAAGTATCATACACTGCGATTAGCTCTGCCTGTAGCTGGGCATCGGTGCCGTGTACGGCTGGGGCATATACACCGAGCGAGGTGGCCCCTTTGTGCGGATTGAGTAATTGGCGGGTTTGGACGGCGATCCGTTTGCCGCCACGCTCGAGTAGAACCTCGTTAGTCTGGGGGTTGAGCACGCGCTCCGTGCCAAATCGAATCGTCGCCCAGCCCTGTGGTTGGGCATAGTGCTTCACGAAGTGCTCGCTTGCACCCATGAAGGCGATCCCCCAGTGATGCCGATGTCGGTAGGAAGCAAATTCTTCTAACAACCCCAGAATCATTTCGGGCTCGCAAAGCGGATCTCCTCCAACGATGGCCACCCGGTTGTGGATCTTAAAAGACAGCGCCGCTGTGCGGGATGTATTGACGAAGAATCGATAACTGCGATCCATGATTCCCATGTGTGCAACGCGACCAAACTGGGCCGTTAATCTCTGGATGGCTGTCATTGTGGTGAAATCGTCTAGACAGAAAACATCCCCCTGTGGGCGACCATTTGTGTTCTGGTGATTGCTGCTGTTGCTGCTGCTGCTGCTGCTGCTCTCGTCGTGGAGGCTCATCTGGAGGGATTCTCTGCTGGACTGATATTGACGGCCGAGTGTTGGAACCACGGTGGACGGAGGCAAAAGACTGATATCATGCGAATCACGGTCGTCTAAGCTCGTGGGCGGAGTGCTCTCGATCCCGGTCAAGGTGCGGCTACTGCTGCTTCTTGAACTGGCCGATGACGAGGTTGTAAGGGCGGTGGTGAGGTTGCCGCGGCGGTGATCCACGACTGGGACGCTCGAGATGGAGGAATTCAAGGGGTCGTCTAGTTTGGAGGTGCTGTAGAGCTGCTCAACCAATGCATCGCCCAGCTCGTCTAGTAACAATGATTTCTTCGGGTTGGAGCCAACCATATCGACCGCATTGGTTTTGCGTCCACCGCGACGGCCGCGCCGCTTCTTCTCTGGTGCTGGCGATGGGAGTTTGGTCGATGCATTCGATAGGTCTGCCGCAGTGGTGATCATGATGGGTGGTACAACCTCACCAGTTGGCGCCATGATGCAAACACAGAGGAGAAGGAATTGCAGAAGAGAGTACAAGGGAGTTGCACTTGCGCACTCGAGTCGATCGCCCGGTTGGGAAAGCGAACGAGCAGTCTGGAGTCAGTAAGCACGAGCGTCAGCCTCCCCCTGGATCTAGGTCAATCGTGCGCAATTGCTCAGGGCTGTGATATTGTCAAGTAACAAAAGCCGGTGTCGACTCTTCCAGAGCTAGCGGGAGGTTAGAAGGTAGAAGGTAGAAGTTGCGAGTTGCGAGTTGCAGGTTGCAGGTTAGAGATTGGAGGCTGGAAGAGGAGACGCGACCAAAAGAAAGCATCCAAAGAAAGAAAAATAGTGTAACCCGGAGTGACGAAACCAGAAAGTCCAGGAGTCTCATTGTTGGAATCGAGGAGTCTTCTGGACAGTATAAAAATAAAGAGCATTCTAGACGCCCCAGTCAAGTAGCCGAAGGCGACGGCAGGACCGCCTGAAGGTACCCACCGAGTACCTCGTTCTTTCCTTTGCACCGCCAGGCGGCGTCTCTCTAACGTCCCCGACGAGGTATATCCCAGGTCCTCTTTCTCTTGGATGAGCCGCACCCCTCGCTTTCACTGCCACTGCGCCCCATATGTCTGTATGACCAAAATACAAATAATACATTCTCGACCAACAAACCCTTACGAGTGACCTCGAAGTGACCAGCACGCCTGGAAGGGCTGTGCTGGGTTCCAAGGTACCGCAGCCTGCCTCGTGCGCCAGGTTCGATGGCGGATGACGGGAGAGGTCGCATTAGGCAGAGGAATTTCATACTGGAACCCAGCCAAGCTTCGGAGCCCTCGCTGCGGCCGCTGGTTCCTTGACAGGTCAACCCATGGGAATTTACGGTGCTGCCAATCATGATCTCCGGTGATGGGGGGGGATCTCCAGGGCGAGAGTGCTGTGGGGCAGTGAGAATAATAGAATCAAGACAGGAAGCGGATCCCAGGACCAGTCCGGAGGACGGAGCATACAAAAAGGACGATTTTAACGGGATTATTGCGGGCCCTCTCGAGGATTGGCAGGGAACAGTTCACGACTAGTGAGAGCGGAGGAGCCTTTGGGCACCCTCCAGTCCCTTTCCAGTCGAATCAGACCAGAGATCATCCAGATGCAGGGGGAGGAAGAAGAAAAAACGCTGGTGCCTGAGCCCCCAGCTCATCTCACGATGACCTCAAAACACCTGCCACCGGGTAAATCAATCAAGACCGGACGGAAGACATGAAGACATGAAGACATAATCCCGACACTGCAGATACCGTAATATTTAAACAAATCCCCTGAATGCGTGCAAGGTATGGCACTATGAGCCCTACCGGGGTACCACTGGTATGGGGCAATACATGATAAAAAAACATCGTCCCGTTCATTAGCGTTTGGAATAAGCGTCTTTTAGGGGCTTGGCAATGGACCCTATTCCGCGCCGCGTTCCGGCCTTGCAACGCGACTCTGGCACTCTACGCCCTACATGCTGAGGTCAATCCCTATCAGGCCACCAGAAATGAGCTCTGAGAATGAATTCAATGGCAACGGTAAGACCATCAACCTACAATCTGGCCCTTCGAATCGTTCTATCATCTCGGTTGCCCTCTCGCGCCCTCGCCCCTCTAGGCTTGGCTCCAGCCCTATCGCCTGGTGGGCCCCTCGGAAGCCGCTTGGGCCACTCAAACACGCGGGTCTCCGCCGAAACTGAGGTCAGGAAATTCAGGAATTCACTGCTGCCTGGACCCTACTGGCATGCCGGAACGCCCGAAGGTGTGGCCAGATCCGGTCGCAGCTCCAAACTGGTCGCGTCTTATTTGATTTTTTTCTTTTTCTGGCATGATTTTTCGGCCCGTGGCTCGCGCCCCGCGGATCCCGATCGAAAACTAATAATGCATCCACCTGTTGATCGCACCCTTCTCGAACAGAGAACGATCCCAAAGAGAGCAAGGTATGAGTGGCTCTTAATTTCGCGTTCATAATTTTCTACCGGAGAAGCCTAACTGTGGCGTGGTCGAAAGATGCTCCCTGCTCCTAACACAGCCGACCACGAGAATACGGGCTGGCATGGAGGCTGAAAGCATGGCTCCGGAGAGCCCGAACGAGAATCAGGGCGGCCGTCCCCAGACTTGCTTCCACCGTGAAGACCAAGCTAGCTGCACTGAAACGTGAGCCGCCATCGAACGCCACTAGGTTTGGGTTAGATCGGGTCAGGGTGTCATGAGTCGCTACACGTCGAAACTCCATCTCGGTCGTGGAATCCGGATTTCCGAGCTGGGTGGAGTGCGGAATTCGGAACGGATGGACTGCCAAGACAAAGTATAGGCTGAGATGTCCGATTCTGTCACGCGAAAAGCCCCCAGAATCCACTGCAATCTCGCATCGGTGGGCAGCTCTTGTCCACAGAGAATATTACATAAAACTATCCACAGGATGCGTGAATATGTATTGTGTCTCTTTGTTAGTTTCAATACTGATTATCAATTGACATCCTATATGATTCCCTGGAATTGCGTGTTCCATGATACCCCTATATCCAAATCCACGATCAGCGATACTCTACATCGAACGGGGTGGTCGAAACTTCTCTTTCTAACAAACGATTGAAGTGCGTATTCTGTATTACTGCAGAATATCACTTATAAACGCAAAGAATTCTTCATCACCTGGGGGCATTCGAAATCGAAATTACAATTTTCGGACTCATAAGGCTCTAATTGCTAACATTCAGATAATACGCGATTGATCATCTCAAGATCAGCGCCCGAGTTCACACGTTCCAGCCTATCATAGTAGAATTTCTCAAGAAGCGATGTGAACACCTTAGGCAGGTTATTTTCTTCTCCGCGTGAATGACCAAATGCTATTAAGAATGTTAAAAGTTTAACAAAATCAGCGGTAAACTTTTTGATTCCGACATCTTCGATACACAATCATCAGTCGATAGCAACAGACCTCCATCGTCCAACGGGGATCCTCAAGCTACCATTCAATCACTGACAACCAATGAAACCAACCCAAGACTCGGATTTCTGGATTTGCCACCCGAAGTTCGAGTAACAATATACGACACTCTTCTCGTGAGCCGATCTGATCGTAGGCTAAGCCCAATGTGAGCGGTTGGAAGAACATGTCAAAAGCTTGTCCTGTTAGACATGGCTCAAGATCCACAATATCGAACGATAGAACTGGCAATACTGCGAACATGGAAGCAGATTCTGCGCGAAGGGAATGAAACAATCTACTCTAAAAATGTGTTCAGGTTCAGTGAGCCGAAGCAAGTGTTTCGATTTATGAGACAGATTGGCCCTACCAATGTCAAGTTCTTGCACTCATTGGACATCTGGGCACCATGGACGGCTGAGCTTTCGCCGTGGGTGATATTGTTCAGAAAGTTGTCTAAGGAAGCCACTATTCTTCAAAATATGAAGCTTGGATGGGGCGCAGACAGCGACAGCGAACTTCCTTGGGTGCTTGACAGAGGAGCTAGAGAGAGAGGTTTGGGAGACAACCGTTGCTTCATACTTTCTTTCCTGAAGATACAGAGACTTGACAATATATATATCCAAGGTCATTTTGCGAAAAATTGCCGTCATACCTGTTGGCGAAATCGAGTGCCCAACTGCAATTCGAAAATGGTCAATATTTCCAGGCAGAGCCTGACGATAATGATGAGACCCGTTTTCTGATTGACATTATGAACGAGAAGAACGTGCGCCAACTCAGGGAGTATCAGGAGGGGACTGAAAATCTGATTCCATAGAAGAGGACGCTGTCAGCGAATTCGAAAACAGTTCACTCCTCAGACACTCACAGTCAGGTTGTATATCTACGACCAAGTCAAGGTGGATTAACAGCCATTCTCGACTTTGGCTTGACCAAGACACAATCAATTACACTTTTGGCGATCGGCTTTCAGATTTTCAACTTCGTTGGAGGATAGGAAGGATGGATGCGGATTTCGCAATCAGGGTTAGTAGTAACCCTTGAGATCAGGAAACCTCAATGGTCTCCAACAACACCGGCTGACCCCCTGGAGAAGTTCGTCAACCAATCAAGCAATCGATAACTCTAATGACATAATGCAGCCTAACTTGCGGCGTAATGGCTATTTAGGCACTTCTTCTTTCCGCGGAAGCAAGATTTGCCCCAACACCGGCCCATGCGAAAAAAAAAGCGCGTCAATATGAAGGGGCAATGCTGTTTTCCCATCCAAATCGACCCAAAGCCCGTCATAAGCCCGTGATATGACGCTTACAAGAAGAATCAACCTCCGAATCTCGCTCAGACCTTGCTCAAATCAACCAGCACCTCGGTCATATGCAGCATGCGGCACCACTGTTATGCTTTCGACATCTTTCTTTCTCTGCATCTTTTGCTCTCACCAAGCCAGCAAAAAATAGATGCTGCTTTGTCCCGTGTAGCTCTCTAGGTATATAACTGTTTCTCCTGCCGCTTCTCGGTAGGTAAAAGGATCATTGTTCTTCCTTATACCTATCGTCCTTACTAAGCTGTCTCTATACCTGACGCTCATGGCTCATGTCTATAGATTTCTTCAAGTGATCTGAATGATGTTGTGGCATCCAATCATCAATCTGCATGATCCACGGGGATCCAGATCTCTATGCGCCACAGACCCACCCCTTACTCCCGTTGGCCATCCTGCTTTATTTACCCGGGAATAGAGTCACTGAACTGGGACCATTATTCGCGTCAGGCAATTGAAAAACTTACCGTAGCGGCTTTGAATTTCTTGGGGAGACATGTACGATGTTGTGAATGGGATGGCCTCGAGTTTGATTAAGTGGGAATTTCAAAATCAGAACAGACACGCCGACTGAGCAGCTCGAGCTGCTCCAGTCTGAAGTCAGCCTGTCGGCTTCTTCCGCCGTCAATCTGATCCACGAGGTTGCAGACTAGCAAACATGATGTTGTTTGAAGCTCAGGTAAGATCCGATTCGGAAGAGACCCGCTTCACTTGCTCCGATAGCCCACCAGTTGATATTCGATAGCCAGGCATTGATATGCTTGCTCCCTGCACGTGGGAGCAAGGCATGCGCTCGATACAAGCACTGATTGGCGACGGGCCAGAATAGCCAAGACCGCCTAGTGGAGCGTCGCGGCTGGGAAGTTGACGATGTGAGCGTGGATGATTGGCGGGCCGCAGCGGAGACTCCACTTCGCCAGGCACGAGCAATGCTAAGCTCCTGCCCCAAAACAAACCATCCGGCTCACCCACGAATCCCCAGCGAGCGTTTACGAAAAAGGACGGGATAGACCGACGCAGCGAAGTTTCGATGCAGATAGGGCATTTGCCGGCTCTCCGGCTCCTGCATACCCCGCTCCCATCCTCTCCACCTGCGGCCAGCTGCCCGGTTTGAAGAAGCCCCGTTCAATATCCCTAGACCTATGGAATGCCACTACCCAAGCATGTGCCCAAAACAGTCGGTGCTCATTTGTTTAATCCCGAGAGGAGCATTTAATTGCCTCTCTCGGAAGCTTGCCGGCGTACAACCGTACGCTAGGGAAGCGATGCTCTCTCGCGTGGACACCCCGGATATAAATTGCTGCATATCGTCGCGTCTTGGGAAGTGATTCTCGCCTTCCCACCAGCCAAGCTTCTTCATCTTCCTTCGAGGTCAATCCAATCATGAAGGCGAACACCCTGCTTCCTGTTCTTGGCCTGTCGGGCAGTGCCCTCGGTGCCGTGGTGCCTCGGAACTCCCAGGAGCCCTGGGGATACAAGTCCGGCTCCAAGGAATCCATTTCCAACCTGAAGGACAAGATCGAGAATGTTGTCTGGATCCTGCTGGAAAACCGCGGATTTGACAATATGCTGGGTGGTATCCACAAGGACGGTCTCGACAACGTGGTCAACAACGGACCCTTCTGCAACCCACTGAACGTCACCCAGAGCGGCAGCAAGAAGATGTGTAGCCAGTACAAGGACTACGACTCGGTCCTGCATGATCCAGACCACTCGGTTACCGGTAACAACTTTGAGTTCTACGGCACTTACTCGCCGGACAACGAGGCCATCGCCAATGGCTCCCTGAAGCCCAGTCTGGATGGCTTCGTTGAGCGCCAGATGTCCTCGTACCCGGCCATTTCCGCTCAGCGTGCTACCGATGAGGTGATGGGTTACTACTCCGAGAGCGAGATCCCCACCCTCGTCGACCTGGTGGATGAGTTCACCACCTTCAACTACTGGCACTCGTGTGTTCCTGGCGTAAGTGACAACGGCTTGAGAGGGCACAGTTTGCTTTCATATGATAAATAATGCTAACCCGCATTGCCAGCCCACCAACCCCAACCGTCTCTGCGCGGTTTCTGGTACTCCCGATGGCCACGGTGAGAACGACGAGAGCTTCGACGTTTCGGGTGTCGACACCACCAGCATCTTCGAGGTTGCCACCGAGAAGGGCATCTCTTGGCGCAACTACGACGGCACCAACGGTGATTTCCTGCCGGACTCCATGTTCTTCAACTGGACTGCCAAGCACGCCACCAGCAACGTTGTGCCGCTGGAGAACTTCTACCAGGATGCCTACCTGGGCCTGCTCCCGCAGCTCTCGTACATCAACCCGTCCTGCTGTGGCCTAAACACCAACTCCATGCACCCCTCCGGTAACGTTTCCTTCGGCCAGGTTCTGCTCAAGCAGGTCTACGACGCCCTGCGCACCGGCCCTCAGTGGGAGAAGACCCTCCTGCTGATCACATATGATGAGACCGGCGGTTTCTTCGACCACGTTGCCCCTCCTCTGGCCGTTCGCCCCGATAACAAGACCTACACCGAGACCGCCCCTGATGGCAGCAAGTACACTCTCAACTTCGACCGTCTGGGTGGACGTATGCCCACCTGGCTCGTCTCCCCGTACGCGCCCCAGGGCTACATTGAGAACTACGGCACCGACCCCGTCACCGGTAAATCTTCGTCCTACAGCGCTACCTCTGTCCTCAAGACTTTGGGCTACCTGTGGGATCTCGAGGATATGACTCCCCGTGTCAAGCACTCCCCGGCATTCGACCACCTGATTGGCACCAAGGCCCGTGCTTCGGCTCCCAAGACTCTCACTAACCCCCACGTCTTCCCTGACGCTGTTTAAAATACGAGAATGACCAGTTTTGACGACGTGATGAGCATGTGATTTAATGGCTGGCTGTCTCACCACATATTATCAGTGTATTAATGTCTGATGTGAATTAGTGCAATTCTTAAATCTTCTTTCAACGTGCCTCCAAAAGTGTTTTCCATGATAGCTTCATTACCTTCATTTGCAAATTCCCAATGCCTAGCAGTGAGCATCTCCAGATCTCTGTCTAAGTTATTACTATTCTGAAAATTCTTCTCATCGTAAAATGGTCATGGGAATAGAGATTGACCTTGCATGGCGCGCTTGTCGTATCTATAAGTGGCGCAAGAATTTGGAGGCTGGAGTCACTGTCGCGTGTTAGTTCTGCATTGGGACGAGACAAAAGTAAGATGCACAGAGCCAGGAACGTGCAAAAATGCCCTGGATTAAGATTCTGATTCGAATTGCTCCTTGCCATATCTCGACATAGAGACGACTTTGTTTCTTCATGCCTGTCACTTGACACACAATTTACTGAAAATAAGCAGAAGGGCACAAGGTCTGATTATGGAGGTTATGGGGAGGAGATGCGATATAACCACGGAACGTCCGCAGGCTCAACTGCATTTGTAATTTATAATAAAATAATTTTGAAGACAATATTTGACAGGAAGGCTCCATTTCTGCTTCTTTGGAAGTAACAGCCACGGAACATGATGCCACCGTTGAATTGAAGTATGAACTAAAGTACAACCCATCCTGGTCATTCCAAGGAGTACAAAAAGACGGGAGCACAGAAAAAAGAACAAAGCAACACGTCACGAATTAGAAAAGAAAAATCACTTCGTAAAAGAGGCACATTTACAGCACCAGGAAAGACAGGGCCGCGATAGCGACCAGGCCAAGACCCGAGGACAGAGTCACGGACGAGGCACCGTTGAAGACAGGGGAAGCGCTAGGAGATGCGCCAGTGGTAGGGTTGGGACGGACGCTGCTGACGATCACCAATGGGGTGGAGGCGATGCCAGTGGCGGTACCTGCCGGCACGCTAGTGACACCGGTGGAGGGAGTGACAACAGGAACGCTGGTGATGCCGGCGGAGGGAGTGCCGCTGGGGGTGGGCTTGGCGCTAGAAGGAGGGCCAGCAGGGGTCATAGGGCCGCCGGGGTTGGAACCAGTCACGGTGCCAGTCACAGTCGCAGTGGAAAGGGTGGTGTAGGTAGAGATCATTGTGACAGAGCCCGAAGTCATGGTGGCAGTGACAGGGCAGATGGTTGTGGTCTCATAGGTGGTCAGAGTGACAGCCGACTCGGAGGGAGCAGGGGTCAGGGTGACGGTGGAGGTGTGAGGAACAACAGAACTCGTGGTGACAGTCACAGTGGAGACAGTGCTGTATGTGGACACATAAGTGCTGGTACCGCTAGTCTTGGTCTCAGTCACCGGGCAGATAGTGGTTGTCTCATAGGTCACTTCAGTGACAGTTGATTCCTGGGAGGGAGTCGAGCTAGGAGCCACAGATGGCGCCGGGGTGACGCTAGAGCCAGGGGCAGTGACTGTGATGGTCGAGACAGTGCTGTAGGTCGAGACCATAGTGCTCGAGCCAGAAGTCATAGTCTCAGTGACCGGGCAAATAGTGGTAGTCTCATAAGTAGTGTCGGTGACAGTTGACTCCTGGACTGGGGTTGAGCTAGGTGCCACGGACGGGGCAGGAGTGACGCTGGAGCCAGGCGCAGTGACGGTAATAGTCGAGATAGTACTGTAGGTCGAGACCATAGTGCTCGAGCCAGAAGTCATAGTCTCGGTGACCGGGCAAATAGTGGTAGTCTCATACGTAGTGTCGGTGACAGTTGACTCCTGGGCTGGGGTAGAGCTAGGAGACACAGATGATGCCGGGGTGACACTAGAGCCAGGGGCAGTCACGGTAATAGTCGAGATAGTGCTGTAAGTTGAGATAATGGTGCTCGAGCCAGAGGTCATGGTCTCGGTGACCGGGCAGATAGTGGTAGTCTCATAGGTCGTATCAGTCACAGTGGACGGGGACGGAGCAGGGACCGACGAGCTGGGCACGGAGATCGGGATGGAAGACGACGGCACACCGGAGCTGCTGGGGAAGCTGGTGCTGGTGATGGTCGGTACGGACACCGGGATCGAGCTGAACGGCACCGAAGAAGGGACACTAGGGACAGAGCTGGGTGCCGAGCCAGGCAGCGAGGTATCACAGTCAGGCTCAGGGAGTTGCGGGGCCTTCTTGGGCACATGAGGCACCGCACTGCCAACTTGAGCAGCGGCCAGGAGAGAGGCGAAGGTGATCGAAGTAGAGAACTTCATGTTGCCGAAATAGTAAATACTCGGAGTGGATGAATGATGGGACGACGATTGCGGTCAATAGCAGGTATTCTAGCTACTGTAGATACCGACACCAGGGTAATTGATCGAATGTCAAAAGCGAGCGAATGAGATGAGTTACAGAACTCTGATAGAAACGAATGGTAAGAATTGCAAGCAATTCAATAGAGCACAGGGCCAGCAGGGCCAGAAACGAAGGACAGGGAGTGACAACGGATGCAACTTGCTCTGCAACGCGAGGTGGGCGAACGGTGGTCTAAAAAAGAGCCCCCCCTCGGGCTTAGGCTATGCAAAATCCACCATCTCCACCGAACGACTGGGCGTTGGGGCCAGTGAGACCCTTTCGATGACAAAATGGCTGTCCAGGCGAAGGGCAGGGACCAAGTCAACCGACTATCGTCCAGAAGGGCAGGCATCGGGGACAATCAGGGAAAATCAGGTACTTTCAAGGACAATCGGGGCTGTTCAGGGTCCCGACCCACCGAGGGGAGCCAAAGTCAATCGGATTTGTCCGGTTCCTGTTCTAAAGAAAATTCATGAGGGCTCCGCCTGGGTTTCCCCATGCAGACTATCCCAAGCAGCCTGTTATCAATTCAAACCGCATTCAACATTCAGGAAGATACTACTCGCCGCATCGTTTGTTTACTTGCGTAACCAGGCTCTATAGATTCCAAGGGCTTTGCAATGCCGTCATGCTGCCATTTTGAGTTCTGACGAACCAAAAAGCCCGCCAAGCCCTCGCACCACGTGCGATTGGTGTTTCTTTCAACACCGGCCCCATCGAGTCTCCATCAACCCGTCTTCGCTTTTCTTATTTGATTGCGATCGGCGCAGAATGCCGGAACTTGTTCCCTTTTTCACTCGGGGCGTAGATTCATTTCATTTATTTCACACAGGGACGAACGAACGCCTTGAACCGATGTTGAGGAACGCCTGGGGTAAGAACAGGGCCAATACTTGCTAGGTCACAGCTCGATAGTTTCAGTGATTGAATATCTGGTAGCCGATCGCCGGTGTTCTTTTTTCAATTTGGACAGCATGCAGATGGATTACGTTTCAACGAGACGCACATCTCGGGCTTAGGGGGGTCGAGCGGCCAGATCGAGCAAGACACGGAGTATTTCCCCCGTGGAAACCCCGATCGCCCACCTAGACCATGATCGGGTCGAAATCATGCCGCTATGTCCTTACTTGGTTCAGTTAAACGAAATGTTGATCGTGCGAGCAACCGTGGTCGAATAAGAGGGACGAGGATTGAGAGGCAAGCAAAGTCACCCACCAATTGGATCTCGTGGGCACGGTGCAATCCGGGCGAGAGGGGCCTACTACGGACCATATCAAGCGAGGAGGGTACGGGGTGACTATATATAGTATGTCCCAGCTACTGATCTTGATTGTTTCAAGCCAGTTAGTGGAAAGCGAGCAAAACCGGCAACGTAGTTTCTAATATATCCCAATAAGATTCAATCCGATAGTCCTCTATTCTAAAAGCAATGCATATCCAACGGAATAAAAAACCGAATCAACTCTTATTCGAGATTCGATCTCTCGCTCGATCATGCCTTCAAGATCCCCCGCGCGGTATCCACCACATTGTCCAGCATCTGCTCTCTTGGTTGGCTAGAATCCAACACAAATACATCAGGCTCGTCAGTGGGGTCCTCTAGGAGATCAAGCTGCGAATCGACCATCGTGGACTTCATATAGTGATTTTCGGTTGCAAACCGAGCCACCATGCGCTGTTTCAATTGCTCTCGGTCCTGAGACGATAAGAACAGAAATGTCACAGTGACAGGGAAGTCAAATAATTGAGACAAGCGACGAAGCTCATCGCGATAGACGGTGCGCAGTGCCGAGCAGGTCACTGCGACCGCGGGGATCTCCGAGTGCAGCAGACGGTCCATCACGGCCCCACGGATATGTGCAAGCCAGTCCCAGCGATCTGAGTCCTGCAGGGGAAGGTTGCTGGCCATCTTCTGGCGCGCCAGTGGGGAGTGCAGGTTATCGCCTTCGATGACGGGGATGGCCAGTCGTTGTTGGAGAGCCTGGCCGGCAGTGCTCTTGCCGCAGCCGCAAGGTCCGATGAGGAAGATGACCTCACGGGGCAAGGCTGGGGTTGGTGCTTTGACCCAGCACTGAGTGGTAAAGTAGTTCACAAATCGCGACGTAAAGTCAGTGTCAAGACCCTGTGCGCTAGCCAGAGTGGGAGATGCTTCTTGCGCCTTTTTGGTGTCGTAGAGCAAGGCTCGACTAGGATTGTTATTATCATACTTGGACGCGAAGAACTCCAGCAGCTTCACAGGTGGGTTGACCTCCGGGTCTTGGTTCGATTCTCGGAGTCGTTGAAGCCAGGTTTGCTTGGGAAGTTCCTCGAAGTTCAACCCTGCCTCCTTCAGCCGTGGCAACAGGTCATGGGTCCAGTGGCTCAAAGTAGGATTGGTCACATTCATAATTTCTCCTGCAGTAGGAGCCAGACTGAGATCGACAATGCTTCGGGCCATTACATCAACGGGGGTCCAGCTAAGCACATCATCTAGCTGAGGCAGAGCCTTGATAGTCTTTGCAGTTTGAAAGATCATAGGGATTGCCTCGGTGGCATTCCAGATACCGTGAATAGTGTCGGCGACAATCTGCCCTGCTCGTAGAACTCGTGCTGTCATTCCAGTCTGACGGGCGGCACGATTGACAATATTCTCTGCCACCAGCTTCGACTGGGCATATCCCATTCCCTGTGCATATGAAAGCGACTCTGGAAGAGCTTCAGGGACCCAGCTCCCAGGAGTTCGAGAAACTGTGCTCACAGACGAACAGAAAGCAAACGAAGCTGGCTGGAGTCCCTCGGCGCTTAAACAGAGATCCAGAAGGTTTCGAGTTGGCGCAATACAACTCTGTTCGAAGCTTTCCAGCGCCCAGTTGAAATTGACGGACCAAGCACAGTGAATCACCGTGGTGACTGACCTCTTGATTTGCGCGAAAGCTTGAGCATCGAGACCCAAGTTCTCTGAGTTGGCCAGATCAGAAGACAGGGCGATGATCTTTCGCTCCGCTGCAGGCGACAAGATCAAGGCACGGATACGAAGACTCTGGGCGACCCGTCGGCGAGCAGAAATTATTGATTTGGCTCGGACGAGACAGTAGATCCGTTTCACGCGGTCTGATTCCGCTAGCTGAGCAGCGATATGAGCCCCCAGGGATCCGGTGGCACCAGTGAGTACGATGTACTCGCCATCTTCATCTCGCGGAATAGGAACATGAATCTTAAACCCGCTGCTATACTTCTCAATGAGATTCTTCATTCTCTCTTCCACTGGACCCTGCTCTTTGAGGCCCTGCCCGAGGCGCAAGCTGGTGATCTGGTCTGCCATCGCTTGCAAAGACGGATTTTCGAAGACGAAGTTCTGTGATAGTTTCTTACCTCCTAGATCCAATACACGGATAATGGCAGTTCGAAGTCGGATCGACTGGAGGCTGTCGATTCCTAGGCTGAAAACATCGGTGCTATCTCCCAATGAGCTGGACTGCACGGACGGTACAATCTCGAGAAGCGACCCCCGGAGGAAGTCAATGAGCTCGTTTCTTTCTAGTACTCGTTCACCCTGCACGTCTAGGCTGTCGTAAACCTCATTGATATTGTCCGCAAAGTCTTTATAGAAAGCAGATCTAATGACCGTTCCTTTATCTGTCTTCCGGTAGACGGCGTCCCTAGGCAGGACACGAATCATATCACGAGACACATATGCATAAGCAGGTGACTCTGCATTGCATGCTTCGATCTCGGGGAACACATTATCCAGAAGCTCTTCGTCGGTTTGGAATGTACATTTGTCGGACGGAATCAGGAACAGACCAACTCGAGGTTTCGTGCTGCCGAAGGCAATCGCCTCGCCGACGTTGGGGTTCTTGCGAGCAACACCCTCGATCACAAGAGGATTGGCCTTCTCTCCATTTTCTAGGACCAAGGTATCATCAAGACGGGCATAATATCTCCAGGCATTTGGAGTTATCGGATGCTTCTCGAAAAGATCTTTTGTGGCGTACGAGTTATCAGGACGGTTACTGGCCACTTTCGAAGGCCATCCCTCCATTACACATAGCTCATAGATTCCCGGCATTCCGGGCTGCTCCTCCCAGCGGAGATATGGAAGCAAAGATGGGCCTGGTCGGACATAATCCCAGTCCAAATCCGACCGCTCACGGAAGGATGTCATCAGTTGTCCAGTCTCGGTGGTTCCATAGTGTGATACGAGACGAACGCCATTTTGCACCAGAGTATCTCCAATGGGTTTTGGACAAGAGGATCCACCGAACATGACAAGTTCAAGGCGAGCCATACTTTCTAGCCCTTCTTCGGACTCGGACAGCAACTTCAGGGCATATGGCACCGCGTACAGTACCTGAATCTCCGAATTCTCTTTCAGGGTTGTAAGGAGACAAGTGGCTGTGAGCGGTAAACTAGCGTTGTACATATAAATCAATTTCTGGGAGTGGATTGCCCTGAAAAGACAGCTGATTCCATGGGCATGGAATAAAGGCAAAGTTATGAATCCCTTAAGGCCGAAGTTATTGGCATAATTTTTCAAGGCCCCCGAATGGGTTTGGTAAATGGGCTTCGGATGGCCAGTCGAACCACTTGAATGGATAACCCAGGTGATATTCTTGCTTTCTGTCGGGCCATCCAGGCTTGCTGTTGGTAGACAGGCCGAGAGCACATCAGGCGAAGTGGGGGTTTGTGGTGCGATCACCGGTAATTGAATCACGTTGGTTCGCTTTGAGACATTCTCCCCCATCTCTCGAAAGCTGGGATAAGTGACAATAAAAGATGCCTTAGTATTTTCTAGCAGGCTGACATAGGCATCCTCGGCGATTCGTGTTGACAAAAGCAAGACAGTATGTCCCAGCCGAGAGATGGCAAGCAGCGTAATCAGGTATTCAAAGTCTGATAAGCCTAATAGCCCTACCACTTGGACAGGATCAGTTGATGAGACTCTTTGGGGAATAGTTTGGGCATAGTGAACGGCTGCAGCCTCCACGAGAATATTCAGCTACGTCTGTTAGTTAGTTTTATCACCCAAAAAGAGGTGGTTGAAGACTTGTACCTCGTTTGGAGTATAGTATACATAGTCAGTTCCTGATGAAGGATATGCTACTATAGGATCGTGTGCCGTGTAACCGGCTGCTCTGACTCGTAAAAGATCATTCAAAGTATAGATATCTTGGTTTGGCGGGACAATTACTTGTGTGGAGTTTGTCTTCGATGAGAAGGTTGTGGCCGATGAAGAAGTGAGCGGCAGTGCGGACGCTGCCGGTGTAGATAGAACCGATGCTGCCATATTGTATGACGGCAGACTGTGGAACAGAAACTTGGGAGTGTTCAGTGTTAGGATATTCGAACCTTTTTTACATGAACTTATTCACTTCCTATTCAACTATTCAATCATGTTTTTCCCCGCCACACAATTAACCGATATTTGAATATGGAGAATACTCCGGGTTCCATAGAGACTTCCGACCGGCATGCTATCAGCACATGACATGGCCATTGTGGGAGACGGAAATTGGAAGCAAAGGTGACGTGGGGAAGCTTCTTTTCCGCCGCGGGGTGAGATTCATGTGGGCCAGTTGGCGGAAAAGAAACATGCGGGGAAGCGCTTCATACTCGATTTCCGCCACCCGTGGCATTCCAGGCGAGGGGCTGAGCCAACATACTACGGTCGTCATGAGCAGTTTATGTGTCCAAACGTCAAGCAATTACTTTCGAGAAGCAAGTTACTCAATTTTATGAATTTCAAAATTTATCATGTGCACGATACGAGCTGACTTCTAGGTGCTACTGGATCGTTTCTATATTTATACAGGACAGATTTGGTGCCAAATGATACTATATTCTTTCTGAATGCAACATTATCTAGCTTTGCAAAATTGGCCAAATGGAACAGACACAATGATACATTTTTGAGGTTCTTTTTATAGTCTATTGCTCTATTGCATCCATATATTAATAAAGACATTTCAGATAGCATAAAAAAGCACCCTAAACAGTGAACTTCATCTTGTTGGCAGGTCCTGCTGCAACAGCAGCTTTGCGAACTGCCTCATCACCGACTTCTTCAAAAATATCATAGCCCCAGTTTGCGGGAAAGTTGAAGCGCTTGTGACGTTCGAGGCCAGTAAGCTTGGCATAGGCGTCGTCGGGAAGGGTTTGAACTTGGAGGTTGGCGGCAATGCGAGAGGGTGTGACACTCTTAGACAGGACAACAGTTCCGCGCTGCACACCCCAGCTGGCAAGAAGAGGGCCAGGGTCCATGCTGACTTGCTTGGCAACTTCACCCACAAGTGGATCATCAACCGTACGAGGCTCCCCAGTTTGGTTGTTACCCAAGGGAGAATATGCTTCCACAATAATGCCCTTGTCTTGACAGAACTTCAGCAGATCGGGCTGTTGCAAATATGGGTGGGCCTCGATTTGGTTGGCAGCTGGTACAACTGAGACCTGGTTCAATAGCTCCTCGAGTCGGCGAATGTTGAAGTTGGAAACACCGATGGCCTTGACTTTTCCAGTCGAAAGAAGCTTCTCCATTTCCTTGTACGTGCTAACGTAATCGACATCTGCCAGCTCGAATACGCCATCCTCATTCAATGGGAACCACTTGTCTCCGCCCTTGAAAGCACTAGATAATGATAAACATGAGCTTCTACCCGAGATAAAAACATTTGATAAACAAAAAAACTTACACAGGCCAGTGCATCAAATATAAGTCCAAATAGTCGACTCCAAGGTCCTCGAGGGTCTTATTGAGGGCTGGGACGACATCCTTGGGCGCGTGTTTGGTATTCCACAGCTTTCCAGTGATGAAAATTTCCTCCCGAGGAACCCCCGACTTTTTGATTCCTGCCCCAACTTCCGTCTCGTTGCGATAAATGGCTGCACAATCAATGTGACGATATCCTTGCTTGAGTGCGACCTCAACCGCATTCTCAACCTCCAGAGGCTTGGCCTGCCAAGTTCCGAAGCCAACTGCGGGGATCTTGGCTCCAGTGTTAAGTGTGAAGTGCGTTGTGATAGCCATTGTAAGCGATTCAAGAAGCACAACAAAGATGTGAGAAAATTTATTTCTTCAATCAGGTGTACTATTGCTTAGGCGCATCTGAAGCTTTTTGTAGATAGAGCTCGGCTCTACCCCGCGAAATGTCGGAAAAGCAGGTGGGTCGGCTTTTTACGATTAACCCCCATCGACTTACGGAAATGGATTTTGATTCTCACCATGCGCGATGTCATCAGTCGGAGTCATGATGACCGGCCTGCAGAGTCGGACAGAACCCGTGGAAATTCTGCGGGGTTGAAGCTTTTCTTGCATTCTTCATTCTCGAAGGTCACCGATCTGCACCTTGGCCACTTGGACCCAGAAAATTCGGAGGAGCTTTTTTACTGCTGACGGGTGAACAATGAAACAAGACAGGTGTTTCCCTGACAAGAGAAATGATTCAAATACCTCCATTCGAAAAGCTTCCTTTGCAAAAAGATGGCCCACCCGGGAACGCGTGGGGCCTATTTGGTGACAATGATCAATGTGGGATGTTGAATAGGCTTACACCAGAAGTGATCAGTGCTGCCTCTCAGGAAATTAGAGATGGCGTTCGAATCTCAACCGACCTACCCCTGGATTTTATGTCAAAGCCGTGCTTTGGGCGGGCAGCATTTGAACAGACCATTAGAAACAAGGCACCGAGATCCGTCAATGATGACACTCTCCACTTCAACACCCAGATCAGCTCCCAATGGGATGGATTCAGGCATTACGGATATCAAGCCAGCAAAAAGTACTACAACGGACATACATTGAACGATTTTCTGACCACGAATATCAATGGTATACATGGTGGGTTGTTAGTCTTGATGTTATTCCCACCTGGAACATTGCATGTTCTCATCATTTATTTTCTTTAGCTTGGGTTGAGAATGGTGGCGTAGTGGGAAGAGGAGTCTTATTAGACTATTCTAGTTGGGCAGAGGCCAAAAATATCAAAATTGATCATTTTTCGACTCATGAAATCTCGGCAACTACGTTACAAGAGATCGCAGCCAGCCAAGAAACTGAGCTGAAAGAGGACGATATCCTCTTCATTCGATCAGGTTGGGTTCAAGCCTTTACGAAATTGTCCCAAGAGCAAGCTACGGCTTTGGCAGACCTCCAGTCACCACCAGCAATTGGAATCGAATCGTCGGATCAGACCTTACGATGGCTTTGGGATACTGGATTTGCAGCCATCGCTGGTGATATGCCTAGCATGGAAGCCTGGCCTTGCAAAAACACGCAGTTCTGGCTACACGAGTGGCTACTTGCTGGCTGGGGAATGCCGATTGGAGAATTGTTTGACTTGGAGCGCTTAAGCGAGGAGTGTCAACGCAGAGGGAGATATTCTTTCTTTTTCAGCAGTATGCCGTTAAAGGTAAGCTTAAGACAACGATTTTGTGCGAGCATGACTGAACAGGTTACAGGTTCCTGGTGGTGTTGCTAGCCCTCCGAATGGAGTAGCCATTCTGTAATAATGTAAGCTACCATGGGATGAATTGAGGAAACTGGGTCCGGGGATATTATTCTGTGTTCAAAGAAACCGGACCAAAACGGTCTCACACGCTAGTGCTCTGGAAGGCAAAGATAATTGTCATCAACTTGAAAAATGCATTCTTACAAGTATCAATGGACTTTAATAATAAAAGATATTTCCTAAGATCCACGAGCAAGGTGCCACTGAATTTCCCGAGGTAGAATTTTCATATTTCCGTATAATGAACTGGCAATAGTAATGTTCAGTAAGAGTATCGAAAGAAAAGATCCTCCTTATCAGTCCGGTCAGTGGATGAGCTCTCTTGAAATTGAGTAACAGCATCACCGAGACTCAACCCTTCTCTCTGGACAATTTCATCCTTTTTCTTATTCAACATCGCCGCATATACAGCAAAAGACAAAAGCAACAAAGCTTCGACACAATACGCAACTAACATGGCCACAATTCCCGAAGTATAAGTTGGAGCTTCGCTAGTCTTGAAAGAGAATGGTCCGACAATATTCCCTACGCAATATGAGATAAAAAATATACCGTTGACCACGGAGCGTTTTGTGGAGCCACCAGTATTCGCTGTAATGAGGGACATTGTCATCGCAAATGAGGCGGTATAGGTGCTTGTCAACTGGAAGTACCATAGAATTTAGCAGTAAACATGACCTGAGACGGTATAATCTTACCCAATAGCAAACCAATAAGGCTACTTTATGGTCCCGTGAAATTGTGTGAATCCCAATGGCACCTGCCAGTGCGGGACAGACGTAAAACACAGCAACAAAACACCGTCTCTGACCGGGAAGCCATCTTTGGATATACATGGCAGAAACGTTTGATACCAGAATGACCATTCCGTATGGGATTTGAAAGAGTGTGGTTGTAAAGTTTGAGTAACCGAACCCTTCAATGATCAAACTTCCGAAGTTGCTGACAGCTCCATTCACAACTTGTGTCGCAACTCCACATAAGAAGAACAACCAAGACTTAGGATCCCTAAGAGCCTCTATTATTTGATATTTCTTGATCTCTCGATGATTAGCGCCATGGTGTTTCGGTCCCAAGCGCCCAATTGCTGTCTTCTTCTCTGTTTCATTTAACCATGTTCTAGATCTGTTAGCTCTGTTATAACATAGAACAATGGGAAAGAAAACCTACGCTGTCTCGGGTCGCTCGGCGAGCTTGAAGTACATGATGATTGCCCATGCACCGGAAATTGCTCCAATAAAGATGAATTGATATTGCCATGAATCAAGAGACCCTTTGATATGACCTAGGGCGAAGGCAAGAAGGCCACCGAAGGAATTTGCTAGGCCAAGAAATGTCGACCACCAGCCAATCCGAATGGGTTGTTCCTCAACAGTATACCAAGTTGCCGTAATTAGCAAATAGGCCGGCGTTGAACAAGATTCAAGAGCCCCTAGCAAGAAACGTAGACCCAGGAATTCATCAAATCTGTTACAGCCGGCCAAAGCCATGGTGATTTCGCCCCAAAAGAAAAGATTGATCGATAGCCACTTTGAGACTGGTAATTTCTGCATAGCAAAAGTGGTCGGATATTCAAACTGAAGAAATGAAAAATGGTCAACAGTGAGCAGTAGGCCTGGAGGCCATGCACAACTTACAGCCAGATAGCCAAAGTAAAACATACTTCCTACACCAAGCCCATTCATTAGCGATTACAATAATTTACTTGGTGATAAACCTACCTAGCCAGCTGTATTCAGTTCCATGCAAATGCAGGGATTCTTTTAAACCGAATACGGCAGAATACCCTAGCATAGCTTTGTCGATAAAGGTGATCAAGTATGTGATGCAAATGAAAGGAATAATCAACATGTCAATCTTACGAACAACGTGTTTTTCTAGCACGGGGTCCGAGACATAGTTCCTTAAATCTGGCTTGGGACTTTGTTGGCCAAGATCATGACTTGAATACCACCCACTCTCCATGGACTCGACATGATCGCTTGTAACTTTCGACATCTGTTTAAAAGAAGTCATAGATAATCTAGTATTCACTGAAGAGATAGGAGAAGCAGGGGGTTTATGATAATATACGAGCTACTGTTTCCGGGGTTGGGACAGTCGTAGATGACTGGTTCAGAATCTCCCATAAGTGAGGGCCTGGAAAAAGGGCCTCGGCGGATTTGCAAATGCAAATATATGTTCTAATTCAGAAAAAAATTGTGATTTTTTTGATAGTCAAGAATAAATGTTTAAAATTGTACATAAACCTCCTATTATCTCGTCAAAGCAGGTGTGACTCTCAGGTATCACGCCGACTTCGACGAAGCAAGTACCCAATATACCAATGGTTAGCGATTGGTAGGCACAGCGGCCATACACATGGCTTCGTATCGTACAGAAATTTTTAGCGTACAAAAAGACCATCAAGGGCCGGATTGTGCTATGGAAACCAGGGCTGGTTGGCTTGAGAATTGTGGGTGGCAACCAAAATGCGGGCCCTTGGTTTTTCCGACGCGCGACTTGGGGCGGAGATATGGTGGGAAGGATTGTCGGAATCCTCACAATTGCACACCTTCCGCCCATCACTGCCCCCTACTCGAAAACCGGACAAGAAAAATAATACTGGTCTAACAAGAGCTTGTTACTAGAGCGATAATCGATGACTGATGTATCCCAAGACCCACGTGGGTCGCTAGGCAGAAAGGATCTGGGGAGGACAACGCGGAAAAGAGTCAAAGTGACGAGGGCTTGCGATGCTTGCAAGGCACGCAAGAAAGCCTGCACGGGAGATATCCCATGTAGTTTCTGTGTACGGTCTGCACTCTCCTGCACCTATGATGTTCCGTATCACCGCGGTGCTGTCACTTCTCCGAGGCCTTCGGCCCTTCAAGTGGAGACGGCCGGCGGAATTCAACTTGCTAAACCATGCACGGAGCACTTGGCTGCTTCCCCGGTGAATTCACTTACACAACAATCTATACATGCATCATCCGATACTGCGACAAACAAGTCTACACCACGTGCAAACGACTCCTTTAGAGTTGGAGGACAGTACAGGGGCCCTGCATCGGCCCATTCCTTCTTAGATCGAGCAGTGAGGAATTTTCATGCTGCGCAACCACATTTAACTTCAACTTCCGAAGATGCCTATGCGTCGATTTTCTCACATGGCGATCGGCATGCTCCTAGACCCCCTGCATCACATATGTGCTGGCCGGATAGGTCGACCACCGAGCACCTGGTACAACGATATTTTGATTTTGCATCACCGACCTATCGAATTTTGCATCAAGGGACTGTCGGCAGGTGGGTGGCAGAGCTATTTGGTCAAAATGAGACCAGATTAACACTGCATACTTCATCCGAAGTCTCATCAGCTGCACAGGCAATTATCCTGATGCTATGTGCTACTAGTTCTTTGTTTTCAACTCTGTACGACGGCTCTCCGGCACCAGGTGCCACTCAAGACTGGCAACAAAGTGAAACATATTATCAGATGGCCGAGCAGCTCCTCACTCGAGAAACTGGAAGTCCGTCATTGGAATCAGTGCAAGCTCGATTTCTTACGGTGTTATATCTTCTTAGCACCTCAAGAATGAACCAATCATGGTTCAACTTCGGCACAACGATACAGCTTCTAATGGCCCTGGGATTGCATCGACGACAGACAGGTACTCGGGCTTTAAGCTATATGACATCTGAACAGGTTACTTTAGAATGCTCTAGACGTGTTATGTGGTGTTCATTCACCCTTGACCAATATCTAAGCTTGATCCTTGGTAGACCACGACTACTGCGAGAGGAAGATATTGATCAAGAGTACCCCTCACTCGTTAACGATGAAAAGCTGGACTTACTGAATTCACGCCCAGGGCCTGCCAGAAATTGTTTAATGGATGCTCCAGTTTGCCATGCAAAGATTTCGCGCATCTTGGCAAAAGCGTCTCGAGATTTATATTCAATTGAACCCCTGGAGAGAAATACGGAAATTCGAACAATAGGTCGGCTAATGGATGAGATATCCAAATGGCAATCAGAACTGCCTCCACTGCTTGGAGATTGGGTTTGCCCAAGCAGCTTAATCTCTATTTTTCAGAGACAATTGACGGTGATTCGGCTCGCTCGATTCCATGCTGTAATGTTCATAACTCGACCGCTTCTTCTTCGAGACTTCTCTCAGCAGACCTCAGCTGTGGAAAGTCGTCAAAAAGAGTATCTTCGAGTCTGTCTTACCACGATTGGCGATACTTTGCGATTGGTCTTGGAGCTTGCCAAAGATAATTTGCTCTTTCCTGCCTTCTGGTATACCCAGTATATCGCTTTCAATGCCATTTCGATTGCATACATATACATCATACATTCCAAGCGAGGGCGCATCCCTCACAACTGGCTTTTCCCCAGAGATCAAGAATATGACTCTGATGCTGTGGATCCTACAGTCCTTTATCAATTAGCAGAAGCCACCCAATATCATCTTGGCCATGCAACAGAGATGAATGCTCTAGCTTGGAGATATACTGTTGTGCTTGAAGCTCTGAGAATCGAGACTATCGGCCAAAATGATAGCAATGGCACCCGGGATCATTCACCCGAATCAAGGGACTTACCTAATGGAGGGGAGGTTCGCCAAGAGCTCTCAACAGGGGTCGAAAGATCTGGAGACCCGCCTTTTGAAACAGTTTTGGGACCAGGAAATCAGCAGACCTCGGTTGACTTGACAGCTATTCCAATTCCCTTGTTAGAACCTCTTGATGCATCTGTTCAAAGCTTGGATCAATTCGATCCCGGAATTGGCAGCTTGTTGGCATTTAATGACGCGACTGACGAACTTTGCCTGGACTTCTGGCCGCAGCTGGATCGCCTTCCGACTTGTATGTAATTTCTGTGTTCGTTTCCTTCAACCTATCCTGAAATTTGCTAATCATTGAGTAGCTATTCTAAATCCCCGCTTCCTATGAAACGCAAGTCTACCTGTTATACATTAGTTGCTATGGTACTCCTTTTCAGCTTCTTTGACTTATCAATATTTTCCAATGATTGACAAAATTAACCTTTGCATCTTCTTCTTAATGTCTATATATGATCATGCTGTGTATTGTATTGTGTAATAATGAATGACTTTATTGGCTGGACTTTGCTATCATTCTGCTCTCTGATTTCATACCGTAATTCATCATTTCGACCTTCGATGGCGGATGCACTTGTGGATAACAGTACTTCCCTGCAAGTTCAAACTCGGCGTCACTATAATTCACCATCGGATCAAGTCCAGAAATCCTAGTTTGTATTGCATATCTATCCCTGATTTTCTTCTGTAATTCAATCGCTCGCTATTAATTTCTAGAATCAAATTTACCACAGGTATTTGTACCGACGCTGGCCATCTCTGCCCTCTTGCTTGATCGCCTGTTTGTTTAACTGGCGTAACCAAAGCCCTAACACAGTTGCTAGAACCATTCCCGCAGCCGCGAAAGAAGATAAAATTATTCCGCCCATTCGATACTGAGGAGCATCAGAGCTAGGAAAGAAATAAGAACCATAGATGTTGGACGAGTTGCCAAACAAATTGACCAAAGCGTATACAATGGCTCGCTTAGTGCGAGTTCTTGGAACTGTACTAGCGATCCAAGCTTGTACCACGTTGAATGCAGAGTATGAACCCGCACACATTAAAAACATCCCGACATATCTTGGGGCGGTGGAACGTGTAGTGATAACCATCACGTTTCCGATGATATCTACCAATAGGGGCCAAACAATCAAGCTGGCCCGTTGGTTGGTGTATGTTGCAATGAATGAGTTGCCTAGAGACGTGATAAATCCAAAAACGTATACAGGGGCGGTAATAAGCAATGTCACAGTATTGTCGAACCCCAGGGTTTTCACAATTGACTGTATTTTGCTTAGCCAATCGATAATGAAAGTATCCAGTGTCAAAACAGCAAGGTAGAAACGCAGATACTTACAGGAAAGAAGTAGGTCCATGTTTGCGAAGTCAGCTGACATATTTGAATCAGGATAAGCATCCATGCCTTGGGATCCGTCAGAGCATCAATAAGCGCTTCTTTGACGTCGCCGTTCTCATCCACCTCAAAATTTGCTGCCTGAGCCAAGCGCCATTCAGCAAAGCGTTGCTCTTGATCGGAAAGCCAACGACGTTTCCCCGAATTAGGAAAATCAGGTAGAAGTAAGACCGCAAGAATTCCTGCTACCATTGTACCTGCACCTTCAATTATGAAAAGCCATCTAGACATAAAACCAGTCAGAGTTATTCAATTTGGATAAAACGATTTTGGAATTCTCCCTTACCTCCAACCTGCCAAGCCAGACGCCCCGTCAAGCCCATCAAGAATACCAGCAGCAAGGAGACCACCAAATCCATTCGCAATGGTATTTCCACAATACAAAACTGCAACACGCGGGGCAATCTCCTGTGGCTTATACCAGGAACTAACCAAGAGACTGTATGATTTGTCAGTTAAATCAACTCTCTAGCTCGAGGGAGTTATCGTACAGAGCACCGGGGAAAAATGGAGACTCTGCGAACCCAAGCAGAACCCGCACGACCATAATTCCAGCAAAATTATGAGTGGCTGCTGCACACATCGAGATTCCACCCCAAATAAAAATTGCAATGGGGATATATTGGGAGGGTTTGACGCGTGTCAAAATAATATTGCTGGGAACTTGTCCTAGCAAATAACCAGCGAACTAAATACAAAGTTTTTATTAGCCGCCTTGTTTTTCGCATATCAGGTTGAGCTTACCATAATCGCAACTGCAGTTTGATACTGGGTGTCACTAAGACCCAGGTCACTTTGCATACCTCCTAATCTGGCGTTTGAAATATTGGAGCGATCTAGAATATTGAATATGAAGAGAAGACATAACGATGAAATTAGGTGCAAGTCAATTTTTCTGACAACTTAAAGGGGAGTTTCCGTTAGCTAAAGAAATTCTGCCACTTCTGTTCGAAGGCCACCTACGCCCTTTTTCAAGCTTGATCGTCTCATCTGCAGTTAAACCCTCAAATGTGACTTCATCTTGTGTAACTTTAGGAGAAACCTCCAGGTGGGCTGTTTGGTCTCCCTTCAATGTGTCGACGTCCATGATTTGCTGGGCGTTGTAGAAATTCCACTGGAAATTAAGGGCAATACTTCTTCAAGGAACGCCCCTGCCAAGCAATATATACTTGGATATTCCCAAATAGTTTTTTTTTTGCATACTCACGTGGAGACTACCGCAAGAAGGATGAAGGAATGACGAGGGAGAAGTATTGTGGAGCACCCCCTCACCCCAGATTCCTTTCCATATTTCGGATAACCAGATAGTGTTATCCCCACGGGGGCGGAAAACGAATGGCGATCCAGTTGGCCAAGTCATAGTGCATCGGGAGGATGATGAGACATGATTGAGTCTCCACTCGGTTCATTCGATCGGCACTTGAAAAAGCAGCTTCCGCGTAATGAACAAACGAGGAACCAGATGGAAAAAAGACTACACGAAAAGGAACGATGTTGATTAGGCCAATTCAATAAAGGCTGTTATAAATTCATTATTATCGATTTGCAGCTTTGGTTTAAAGCGTATACTTAAACAAAGGCGATTTGTCTCCCATTGCCAGCAATTCCTCATCATTATAGCGATCCCGAATTTCGGCTTCGTTCATCGCGCTCTTCCGCTTGTTGCCCCACATGAAAGAAAGCTCCAGCACCAAGGCTGCCAGTAGTGCAGTACCACCAAACGCCAGCGATAGGCCGAATCCGGTGTGGTAAGTTGGTTCCTCACGGTCAAGGTACATGTAGCTACCAATAATGCCGCCAATGTTTCCAACGCAGATATTGAAAGCACTGCCGATTGCACGGCGATTTGAAGGTGCCAGGTTATTCATTGTCCAGGCAGTTGTCGACGGGTGAGTGGGATAGATACCCATGCAAGTGAGGATGATTGCGAAGAATCCAAGACCGATATGCGAAGCCAGATGGCCACCAATTCCAATAATTATGGCGTACCCAATCACGATAAGTAAAAGAGGAGCTACCACAAATGGCATACGCCAATAGAAACGATCTGACAGTACCGAGAAAAATATAGCCGACACTGCACCGGCAACATATGGCGGGACTGTCATAAGCTGGGCATTAGAGCCCGAGAACCCCATTCCCTCTGTAATAGTGGGGAGTGTGAATTTTGTTCCTATAAGGGAGTATTAGTCTGTACAATTCAAGTACAATGCATCTTGTATGACTCACCGTAAGAGCATGCGGACTGGCAGAGCAGGATGTAGGCCAGTAGGTACATTCTCCAATTCAACAAAACTGCTCTGATATCTTTCCAAGATACACGTTTCTTCTCTTCGCGGAACTGGCCACCCTCCTTGATGAAATGTTGTAGTTCCAAAAAGCGAATTTCATCGGGGTCCAGCCATTTCCCCGAAGAACGAGGTGAATCGATAAGACAAAAAAAGCAAATGACTCCAACAATGACGGTTGCAAGACCTTCTAGAAGGAAGATCCAGCGCCAGCCTGCGTAGCCACCCACACCATCCATTTTGGAGATCCCCGCTGCTAGGAGTCCGGAAAATGCACCTGAAAGGGCGCTCGCACAATAGAAGACAGCGATACGAGTTGTGAGATCTTTAGGCATATACCAAAACGAACATAGGTAGACCGCTCCCGGGAAGAAGCCCGCTCTAAGAAAACAAATCAGTCTGTGGTTCCTAAATTCGAAGAGTGAGCTTGGATAGTCACATACTCAAATACTCCCAGCATTATTCGCACTGCTACCAGGCCACCAAAATTCTGGACAACACCAGTCAATGTCATAATAATGCCCCAGGATATAACGAGAATCCCTAGATAGACCGAAGGACGGGCGAAATTCTTCAAAAGCATATTGCTTGGGACCTCTAATTTTTGGTTAGTGACACGATGTTGTAAAGCACTTCCGTAATTTCACGTACCTAGGAGAACATATGGAATGAAGAATAGGCTGAGTGCGATATTGTATTGAATTCCACTCAAGTTGAGATCAGAGGTCATTCCGGCCGTTTTTGCGTTTCCAATATTGGCTCTGTCCAAATGCGAGACCAAATATAAAAGTGCAAGCATAGGAACAAGCCGGTAGTCGACCTTGATGAGAATGAGAAAAATGATAAACGCTGCATTCGCAAGGTCTGGTAACGTACCTTTTTTAACAGGCTTTTCCTCCTTATAGGCGAAAAATTCCGATAGAATTCTTCATCGTCTGCATTCAAGCCCAATACTTGAATATCATCAATCGTGGTCACATTGCTATAGTCTTCGACGTGATCCGACGAGCGCTGCTTTGCATCGGCGACATCTTCGTAAGAGAGTCGGTCGGTCTGAGAATGGGACATGGCCAATTTTTAGACGTAAATTGGTGATTATACTGTCCGAAAGAGCTAGAAAGGAAAATTTGCGTCTACTATAATCCTCGGGAGAGGATAGGTCTATATACTCCGAATCCTTCCATAATTTGCCAAGTCTGTCTTGCTCTCGAGGGAGCTTGAGCGCGAAGCCAAGTCGCCTCCAGCCTCCGTACCGTGAATCAAATAGCCATGCTACCCGACTTCCAAGACCACCGGGCCGTCTTGGCGACATCAAACTCTGGAGTTTGTAAGGATGTAGGGAATGGCCAAGATATCTTCCCCGCGACCACGAGGTCCCGTGGTGATTCTCCCCCCGCAAATCAGTTGCAGAGGATCCTGGGGAAGAGGGGGCGGGGCGATAAATCCAGACCCCCATCAGTTTAGCTCAATGGCGTCAATTCTTTCCGGCATTTCTCGGTCTGGCGCCGGCGTGTTACTGGCATAACTGGCCAGCTGGGGCTAGCCTTTCTCCCGGAAGGTTTCCGCCTCCCTTTTCGGGCCCCCTGGTGGGGTTTTCCGCCCCTGTTTGTGCCCGGGTCTGATTGTTTTCCGGCCGGATTATCCAACTATTCGGATTCGAGGCGGAAAACTGAGAAATGTTGGGCCGGAAGGGGGTGGGGATTTGGTGGCATGTTACCCGGATATCGAAGCAAAGATCGATCGTCAACAAAGTATTTGGGAGCTTTTCTGACGAGCACTCGATTGCCGTCTCAGTTTCAAGCTTGATTCCTGTATTCCATTTCCCATTATGGAACTGTAGCTACCGCTTCCGTCCTCCTCGCACAACTCTATTATTTCTGACATCCAGACCATCAAATAATTGGACTGGAAGTAAATAATATTTCGATTTTTCCATCCCTGCCTCTTCTACCAACTGTGAGTGGATCAATACCCTGCCTTTTGCTAGCTCTAGCTTTCTGCGGGACTATTTAGCACTGTGTTGGAGACCAACCGCCGCATTAAATCTTGTTATGCTAAAAGATGCGTGCATAAATTACAGAAAAGAAACAGGCTTCTGTAGGGATCACTCATGCGTGTCGAGAATGAAATAATTGCATGATTCTACCAAGAATCGTGCCATGGGGTGCCAGACCTTTGGCTTAGTTCATTTAATAGTCTTTCCCTTAGGGAAATACGTATAACTTCGACTTTGCAGCAGTATCTCTCTTGACTGCTCTGATGGCCTTCTCTTGAGTTGCATGAGATCCTAGCATTTATTTACTAGGCTGCACAGCTTTCCTCCCACTTGACAGTTGTAGTAGTACCTGTTTAAGTGTACATGATAGGAAATACTATATATTTGATGTAACAACGGTGTTGGCTACGGCGCCTCTGAAGAACGCTGCGGATCTTATCTTGCTCAAACACAAGCGAAGTAAATGGTTTGTTAAACATATCTCTATGTAGCTTCTAGCTCTCTTGCTACAGATCGTTCAGACGCACTGGTACAGTTATGACGTTTTGTCATGCGCCATCTCTCACCTTCCGTGTCTTCCATCCCTTCTGCTTTTAAGGCAAGAACGAACTTCAGAACATCCGTAGTATCCCATCTTGTGGTCTTCTTTCCTCCTTAATGTCTACCGCCCACTTCTGTCGCTTTTTCAAGCCAACTCCTCACCCTTCGCCGTGACCCCTTAATCTCCCGAAACCACAAACCACGATGCCCTCATGCTTCCCCGATCAGCCCTTGACGACTCGGGTTTCGATACAGGCAGGCGGTCGAGAAATTCCAGTGTGACTCTTGCTGATGGCATCGATCAAAAGCAAGTCATCGACGGAATTCCAATCATGGGTTTCACGAACGAATTCGACCAGCCACTACGGTCTCTGCACGGACCCGATATTTACCCAACCATTTCAAGTTTCGATACAATCATTCAGATCGCAGAAAAGGACGACAGAAAAGCGATGCAGAGAGAAAGGTCCGTGTTTTGGCAAGGAGCCGAGCGCAAGGGTCAGTTTCGAGATGCGTATGCTTGGATTGCATTTCAACGCTCAGAGACAGGTGAATTCTTTCTGTCTGAGAGAGCTCGATTGCGCCTCGTTCCCAACTGGATCTCTTTAGCAGGCAAAAACTACAAGAATTTAGGGCAAAATACAACCCGACATCTTGGCATAGAAAAACGTGTCTCTCGCACCCAGCACACGGTGGCCAATTATGAATTCACCGTCCCAATCAAAAACCTTCAAGACTCAGTCCGGAAATTGCAAGCAGTGACAGAAGATCTGACTAATCTCTGGGCTAAAGCGAAGGTGAATTTTACTAGTCTTGAAGCTTCTGCCGCTTGCGCAGCCTCTGCAGCCTCTGCAGCTTCTGTGGCTGTCTCCGCGGCGGCCTCTACAGCGCCTCTCGCTACACAAAATGAACCTCAAGTAGATGAATCAACACTTGCCACTATCACCCAGTTGATGTCAACTGTTCCTGGACTGGAGGAATCTTTCACGGGCATTGGTTTATATGCACCAGCAGTGAATCCCGAGATGAGCGCATCCGCTATCCAGCCGACCTCTGCTGTTGCATTAACAGAGGGGCGGCAGAAGAATCTGCCCGTAGAGCAGCCTACTTTCACGAGATCAGCTTCGGTTCCAACGCTTATGTCCATGCAGCCGAATATAACTTCATCATCTATATCGCGGTCTTCAGAAGCAGTGGTTCCAGAGCAGCCGTCATCGAATATCTCGGTGCCCGACCCTTTGCGAGCTAGCATGTCGTCAACTTCAGCATCCACTTCAGTTTCCTCAAATGCTGAAAGCCAACAGGGACCGCCACTGGCAGATCTGTCAATTTCTGGAGTCTCTGCTCCAGGCGTGATAGCTTCTCAGTCAGCTTTGACGAACCATTTGGACGAGTTCTTTTCGGGGATCATAGATCCATCGGCCCTTGAAAGCCCAACATCGGATTCTACATCCCTGTTCATAAATCCCGGGTCTGTCGCTCGGGTGGAACCAGTGTCAGAAACGATGAATCAGCCGGCCATTACAATCTCCGAGATACGTCCAGTACCCGCCCTTTTACCGTCAACTTCTATCGCTTTATTGACCAGCCCTTCATCCACAACAATAGATCCAATGACCCTCGCAGTCCCAGGGATGGAGCCGATGAAAACATTTTTCCAACAGACTTCTGCCACAAAGTTGGAGCAGTCACCAAAATCAGCTGTTCCTGGAAAAAGGCGCCATGAAAGCTATGATCTTGGAAATGCACCTCCTTCGGGACTCATTGGATTTGGCTTTGATCCCCATGCAGACAGAGAAGTGCACAGCAAACCAACCCCGGACGAGAAACGGCGGCGCCAAAACCACCCTAAGCCTGATGCCCACCAGCCAACACCGTGAGAATTTTCAGTGAAAAGAACTCGCACGATAGACTGTCTTTATTGCTTTTCAAGCTCATTGAATTTGTATTGTGTACAGAGATTGTTTCAGAGGTTGGGACCTAATCCGATTGTCATTATTAACAGTATTGATATTTTCACCTTGAGTGTCCATTCCCGTAGTATTTCATTTGTAAATTCCGGACTAGGCATCAGGTAAATTGTTCTGTAGTTGGTTGAGACATGCGTTACCAGTTGATGCCGGGGTGCTGCAACTATAAGCACATCGTAACTGTACCATCCCTCGAGTTGGAATCATTGTGATATGAATGCTCGCAATAGAAGCGGGTTTCATGTGAAAATTTTCTTCTCCAGCCTAGTTAACAGCCATTCTCGAAATTGGCTTGACCAATAAACCCTTCCGTTGGCTTTTCTAGACTTATCGGCCTGTCCTTAGCGCCGATACGTCATATAGAAGTCCGCGTTGAATTGGATGGAGCAGTAAAATGCACTTCGTATCTTTCGGTACCCGGCTATGTAAGATTACACCATATGCACGAGGGACGAAAATCCCATAGATCTCCTTGTAAGCCCGTAATAGATCTCTGTATCTGACTTGGCGACTCATGCGTTGTTCCTAGGAGATCTGCTTCACAGCATAAGCTCTCTGTTTGAGCCGCACTATAGGCTCAGCTTGACTGATCACACAATTGCAACCGTTATACGTCGAGAGTACTGAGCCGACTCAAGAATAGATCGGAATAAAATGATAATTTTCTACGACGAGTGGATCTATAGTTATGAGAGCATATGATTCCTCTACAAATTCTTGGGTCATAGAGATATCTGGACCGAAGACTTTCTTTTAGCCTGTCAGTGCTTTCTGGTACATCTCCTCTGTCGCCTTCTCCCATCGACCCTAGTGTTTATATGTCGACGCGAGGTCGGCCATTCTACTTAGTGTGTCGGGATGGTCGGGGCCAAGCTTCATCTTGTGAGTCTCTAGGCCCTGTACCTGATGCAGCTGCATATCACAGAGTGGATGGCGGATTAATGGAGCAAATCTGATAATTTTTTCCCGCGGTCGTCGGATATGTCTCGCCAGATGGATCCAATCAATTAGACCGAAGTTTGGTACGCACGGGCCTGTCACGTTCAGCACCGAGTCACCGTCGATCCTGGCATTGCTGAGTGACACATAATGCTTTCTTCAAACTAGCGACACACCAACTATTCCCCAGATCAAATGAACTAGATGAGTCTATACCGTCCCGCCAGACTTGAGGATTTACCTCAGATCCGCGAGATCAACAGCCATTACATTCTTCACACCTCTCTTACCTTCATGAGGACGCCGCCGCCCTTGCCAACGTACATCAAAAAATGGAACGATTTGAAGAACCAGGGCTTACCCTATATTGTCGCCATAGACCCTGATCGCAAACAGGAAGGGGGCTTGGATATGGTCCTTGGCTATGCGTCGTTCAGTCCATTCCGCGGGCATCTGGTCTCCTATGCACCTACTGTCGAACTGAGTCTTTTCGTACATCCGGACCATCATTCGAAGTCCATCGGATCGAATCTTCTCAACAATTTGCTTGATCTTGTGAGAATAGGTAAAGTCCGCCACTATTGCGAGGAAGCAGTAGCTGAAGCTGGGTCGGACGATGCGACTGAGTCACGATCGGCAACGGTTATCAGTCAGGTCAGAAATGTCATTGCCGTGATGGCTGTTGATCCAGAGGGCAGAGATGGAGGCGAGAGACTCAGAAATTGGTACATCGAGCGTGGCTTGAAGGAGTCCGGTCGCTTGAAGAGCGTTGGGTTTAAAAGGGGTCATTGGTAAGCCATCCGAGAAATAGTCGCTGTACGGGCGGCGTATCTTGATTGATCACCTACTGAGAACCTATTTTAGGATTGATACTGTCTATCTCCAATATTCTGTGACCAATTGACACCCGGAGAGCTCTCCATAGAATGAAAATTAATTCATTCCGAGCTGGCGTGGGAAGTGAATGCGAACGATATATGTTGCCACCAAGTTATGTATGTCAGATAAAGTGCTAATCATGATATTTCAATCTTTCCGCCGGACTTCATCAACTATTACTGCCGCAGTCTGTTCCTCTCGGGCTCTCTGTACCGTTTGGGAGTATTTCTTGCCCGCAATAATCCACCACACAAGCTCGATGAGTAGAAAACCTCCCACTACAACGCAGGTATAGTTCATATTTGATGCTATAGGATACACATGTCAGTATTTTATGTTGAGAAAAGACACGTTCCTCTAATTGAGCAAAGCAAAAGCCATATACTAACTCACCTGTTGCGGGCATTTCGTATGGGAAGGAAAAGAACACAATGGCGAAGATAAGCCAGAGCACTGAGACGATATTCACTGTCATTCCCAAGACCTGATTCATTGCAAAAGGTCCACGATGCATTGTACGACGACAGAGAAGTACATTAGTTAGTATTGGGACGATGTATGCGAGGTTATTGATCGTCCTGAGTATGAGTTAGCCTAGTTGAGATGGGAGTAAAGCAGATCTTGTAAAAATGCATACACAGCAGAGCTCATCATGGAGTTGAATGCGGTACTGGAACCTAGATAGATACACCCTAGTAGAGCGATAATCACACCAACACAAAGCTGTGCATTGAATGGCGCTCCGAGTTTAGGGTGGATACGGGCCCAGCTTGAATGAAAGTCAGCTTCGTTGTGAGTTACCTTTGACACGAAATATAACATACATTCGCGATAATGGTAGACCTTCGTCACGAGCGAATGCCCAGAAAACCCTACCAGTACCTAAATCATTGTAAGTCTTTGTTTATTTTCCGTCATGTGTTGCAAAAAGGGGGAACCAACTAAGTTGAGAACCGATTACGCAAGGTCCCAATGCTATCCAGATTATAAAGACGAGCCCGAAAGCTCCTCCTTTTGTCGATGTTGCTTGATAGAAGATTTCAGCCAGGGGAAGTCCAGTTTGAGTATCTGCCAATGAGCTGTAATTTTGGACGGAAAACATCAGACTGATTAGATATGTGATGCCAGTCACAAAAGCAATTGACATTGTAATAGCTGAGCCTGGTCAGCAAGTATAACTGGAAATCTTGTGATTAAAGGTCTCATACCAAGCCCCAAAGGCGCGTTTCTGCCAGGCTGTGAATAAAGTCAGTTTGAAACTCGTATAACGCGATTTCAGACTAACATTCGGCATTTCCTCTGTAATATGCTGTACATAATTAGCATCACTACCATTGTTGTATCCAATCAAGCCTGGAGCATACCGAAATTCCATCCAACCCTCCAAGGGAATACAGCGGGTTGACAAGGCCCGTGATGAAACAGATGACATTATTATCCCATCCAGTATTATTAATCCAAGTTCGAAACACGAACTTGCTGTCATTATGGACAGGTGCCGATGCAGCGACAGTCACCATTGTGATAAACCAAGCCAGCTGCAAATAAACCACTAAATTTCGAAACATATCAGGGCAGGCATGAAGGTAGTTCGAATGTCTGACTTACAAGAAAATTTGTTGATAGCTGGGATGAATCGGTTCCCGAACATGATGATACCTGATGTGATTATATTCAAGATTTGATACGCAACAAATGTCATCCACGGTTGGATCACCAGATCTTCGTGATATAATGCAATCAATGCCATAACCGTGGTCGCATAGATTAGGTTAGTAGAGGCGGTTGTGAAAATCCCTACGGCTGTTAGGGTTCAATCTCGAAGACTCTTCAGACACAGTATCCTCACATCCAAAAACCGTGCACCACCCCGTGGCAAAGCTCAAAAGACTGTTATAGCGGCGTGGGGCGATCGCAGCAATCCAATGGTACATCCCCCCTCGGTCGGGTACGCGGACACAAATTCAGCTAAAGATGCTCCGACAAATGACTGGAGGATAAAAACGAGGGTGAAGCCATAGATAACTACCCACGTCGTCAATATTAAGATTAGGTGCGTGAAAGAATAGGCCAACTCCTACCAGCGCCAGGGCCACCAGCATTGATATCGGTGATTAAACCCAATCCAAGACCTAGACCGTATCAGAAGTTATATGGAAAGAAGAATTTACTGATCCTACCGGTCCATGAAATGGTGCAGTTCGCCGCCAGGCCAATTAGACTCCAAACAGAAAAATGGCGAACGAGCTCTTGTTTGTGGCCTGGCCCTCCTTGTCAGAGATTCGTCTTCATCGCACAATTCTGCTACAGAACTCACCCATCTGAGCCAGACGCAACTCATCTTCATTCTGAACCTTGATCATCCCAGGGCCATCAGACATGTCTGTTTTCGGAACCTCGGTGGTAATGTCGGGTACGCCCATGGTGCTGAGTACGAGCACAATTCAACATGTGAGGAGTGAGTGCAAGCGTGAGAGGAGGGGAAAGGAGAGGCCGGGGGCGGGGGGAGGTTGCAATGAAATCCCGGTCGCAAGTCCCTTTCATAAGAATAGGAGTAGCATACCATATTCGCTTTTTATCGGCCATTGTGCAGCTTCTATCACTCCCCATCGGTCATTCTGGGCAATTTCACCGGGTTCGCCGAGTTAGTAATTGGAAAGGGGAGGCGGGGTACGGATCAGCGCGCAGACACGGAATATAGTTAACATTGTGATTTTGAGCACATTTGCCCGGGACTGCACTATTTTTATCACTTAAAGTTTGGAACCTTGAGACTCATTAGAATCCACCAGATCTACGAACTATTAGGAAGGATCTTGGCTGAAAAGCCCGCCAATCAGTGTCAAAATCGACGAGAATATTGGCAGTGCGAAGCGCAACAGATATTTGGGAGTAGCTCGTGCAGGGTAATAAGACCTTCATTTCCTTCTTATTTGTCTAGGCTCTTGGCGCTATGGGCAACATGGGCGACGCTGTGCGCAATTGGGGCCATTCTTCAGTCTCATTAGTGACTAGCCTGGAGTATGCTTAATGTAAAGAGAATTCAGCGTGCTTACTCTGTAGATTCTTGTGTTTGTGATGAGCTTCTTATTCGCGCGAATGGTCTTCGGAGTAATCTATCTAATTCACGGAAGTCTCGGGCATGTAGGTCCAGATACATCTATGGAAGGAAGGAGCTCGTTGAATCCATGTATGACGCTATTTTGGCCTATACTAAGTACCAAATCTCGTTTTTGAGTTACAGTTTTAAGTTCTATCCTCGAATACCTTTCAAACAAATATTCAACTTCCATGTTTCTTTGGAGTACGCTAAACGTCGATATCATTGGCCTGGTGTCGTCTTGAATTACCGGTCGGAATCTTTAGATACGACTTCCAGAAAATGACCCAATTAGAAAAAGGTATGTGTCGCTTCTCCTTGACCGTTATCTTCTGGTTTGAATGCGAGTCCCGACAATTCTACGAAAGTTGTACCGTCCTCATTGGTCTGCAGACTACGTTATGAAAGACAAAAGGAAGCATTAGCTCAAGCTGAGCCTACTAACTACTCTGTATACGATGTAAATCAAATTACAATGTAGATACGGTGCTTACTTGCTGAACGCATGACCTATTATATGCTCCGGTCTAGCTAGTTGGTAAAGTTTTAGTTCCACATATATACAGTATCGATCTTGCTATCTAAATATATGTTTGATAATTCAGGTCATTTTCAGACTAAGGTATATTATAAATTCCTCACCTATCTCTTCATCTCTGAAGCACCAAACAAATAATCAGCAAATAGGATAATCGTCAGCGATTAAGAGAAAGTAGACTTTGTTAGTACCGTTTTGATTTCAAAGCGAAACGGGAGCGAGATGAGGCGAGCACCCTAATCATCCACCATGAATGAACTCGGACATCCCGCTAACTCCAAAGATTGAAGGAAGCTCGGGTTTAAGAGACGTCCAGGCCTGCCCGCTAAGGTCCACAACTGCCTCAAAGTCAACCAGTGTGACCTTCCCACTTTGTCGATCATACAGAACGTTGTGCTTCCCGGAGTCTACTAGCCGAATAGAGATCGATCGGAGCATTTGAATAGCGCTGCTGCATTGGCTATAGATGTGTGCCTTCTCCGCAAATGACAGGGTATTCCAGATTCCAAACAGCTGCTTCCCGGGAACCTTCTCCAGAAGAAGGATCCGGCCTTCAGGGAAGTGCGTCGAGCAGATTATTTCTCCAGAGAACACGAGACGGGTAAAGAACTCAGATCCAGTTGGCTGACGCTGGTGTAGTCGTTCATACACCGCGAATTCATTAGCAGCGCTGTATTTCCGAGAGTTCATGTCAGCATTCTGCTCGCTAGGGATAGACGTCTTAAGAATTACCTCTCATCTTGATCACGAGACCAGCATTTCGCAATATATCGCATTCCACCATATTCCACCTCAAAGACTGCTTTCTTGTGTCCTAACCGAGGGGAAGAAAGAAGTTCAATGCATTCCACAAGGCAGGTTGCGACCCCGTTGGAGCCAATAACGATCGACTCTGTAGTAATATTATTGATGGATACAAGTGGATTGGTGGGGTCGCTAAATCTACTGCGGTATCCAGAGGTTCGGAAGGAGGAGACAACACCGGGTGCTCTCGATGAGCGGAGCTGGATTTACTAGTCAGCATTCGTACAAATTATAGGAGAGCGGACAGACTTACTAGTCTTGTATCGACTTGCTCTACTTCCTCATAGTCCGGGTTTTGGGCAGCGATAGCTGCAAATCCCGCGAAGCATTCTCTCAGGGATGGGTTTGTGGACTCCTTGTTGATCGGCATAGAGAGATGAAAACAGAAATCATCCTCTCTTTTAACAAACACGGTAGACTTGTAAGTTGAAAGGAAACCATAACGAAGATGGAATCTTCGCATATACGAGACAACTTGTCCTGTAGTATTATTAGAAACGTTCGATTTGTAAATATATAATTTGAAAACATACCGATATATGGTTCTAGGTATGTTCGTGTCTCTAAATCAGACCTTACCGTGAATTCCTCGAGGTCGACAGTCCACCACGTTTTTAGTTCTCCAGCAGCAATCAGTGTGGCTGTATGAGAACTTAAGGGAACCCCAGTGTCAAAAATTGCTAAGGTAATATCGGGGATAACAATAGGGGTCTCCTTGATTGCCTGTATATCACCGAACTTTAACGGTAGATTCGAGACAGATAGAGCTTTCGCAACGGGGTCGGATATATGGCGAGTGAACCGAGTAGTGAGGCCAACCCCACTACCCACGAAGTAGAAGTCACCCTCGGGTGAGTCTGTAAGACTAATATCACTGGTGAAACTCAATGAGTTGCAAGCAGCACGCACTTGGGCTAGAAAATCGGGCCATAGGTGCATGTAGCTCGCGCAAAGCCGCTCTCCGGACACCGAGGGCTCGGTGGTCCCTCCAATTTTGATTAGATGGGGAAGGCTTCTGGCCAAAAGCATCCGTGGATTTTCCATAATGAAGGAGCAAGAAGATGCCGCGCTGTGTAAATTGAAATAAAAGAGAGATGAAGGATGGATGGAAGGAAGCACTGGCACTCACTCTCATAGGCACCCATGGTCGGGGTCTAGCCGTATCTGGATTAGTGCGTTATCGGGCGGATCCGTTGCGACTGTATTGGTGATTACCATGGTATTTTGGTTACGTGACAGGTTGCATCTGACTTCGATGCTGCCTGTATTCCTGGGCTTCGTTCAGTGACACTGATAATTTTATATGATTCAATCTCGTTTTGTTTCGGTTCACTTGACAAGAGCTATATTCTGTTTCCACTGTTCTCTCCTTACAATACTTACTACCTTACAGTTGGTTGGTGGTGTGTAATAAGGAAGGAATAAAGGTATGAATATAGGAAGGAATGAAGGCTTTATTACCCTGCTACTTCCAAATATTTGTTGCGCTTTGCACTACTAATATTACGGCCAATCCTGACACTGATTAACAAGCTTTTCCTGCCAAGATCCTCTCTAATTATTCGTAGATCTGGCTGATTCTAATTAGCCTCAAGTTCCCAATCTTTGCAGTTCTGAAAGAGGTGTGATTCCGGGCAAATGTGGGCAAAATCACAATTCTAACTATATTCAGCCGGGCTTACTGAGTAAGAAGTTTCTACGGAATCCACTAAATTCCTTGACTTTTTTGTGAAGGGTTTGTAGGCGCTACTTAGATTAGTAAATGAGGGACTGAAGAATCGAGTGTTTATGTAATCGCGGGACGCACAGAGGGACATGTGGGTCTTTGCGGTATTCTGGCTTCTCCTTCTTGGCAGATATCAATTCTGCGAATATTGGATGATATTGAGTGGGGAGTGACATGGCTTGCTAAGACGAGTAAGTCAAAATGAAGAACTTTGCTTATGAGACACAATATGACACAACATTCTACACAACAAGTGGCCGGATGGTGTAGTTGGTTATCACATGTCGTTAACACCGACAAGGTCCTCGGATCGAGCCCGGGTCTGGTCAGCTTTCTTTTTTTGCAATTTTTTTTATTCTTATTTTTTTATAGAGAATTTGATGATGTCAAATAGGACCAAATAGAAAGAAATTATGAATTATTTAGATCACTCATCGAATCTATATGACATTGTTAGAAAAAGCGGCAAAAATTTATGAAAACGAGGGTCGCTGAGGGTCACCCGCATGAGGGTTGGCTTCAAACCTCGCGAGGGTCGGGTTGAGTTGGTGTCGGGACATATCTTATTTCAGCTGGTCGATGGGCTGCATTATTAGCAGGTACCCGTTCCGGGCTGCGGCACCTGGTACATTGCCTGAGTCCCCTCTTCTCGAGCGCCTCGCCTAGAAGACGACCTTGTGGGAGCCTATTTTGCACTTTCATTATGCCGTGCTCTTCACTTCAACCGCACTCATGGGAGAAATTGACACTACAGATGCCCGAGTTGAGGCTGCTACAATTCAAAAGGTGGGCATGAAAGAGGCGGAACCTTGTCGATACTGCAGAGCTACCGGAGGCCCCTTTGTTCATTATGTTCGTGAAAATGACACACCACGGTGCGGTAATTGCAACTGGCGTGGGAAAGCCTGCTCTTTACGTCTCGAGGAGATAGAGGATAGCGCGGCTCGTCGCCGGCTAAGAAACTTACACCTGAGGAGATCGAGGAGATCTTTGAGCAACGCGAAGGCCTCCAGGAGGAATCAGCTATTTTTAATAGAGCGCGTCGATGAACTCTTTCAACGAGTTAAGGAGGTCAACGACGGGCTTGATCGGATCAAGGATGGTAACCTCTTTATGCATTTAGCGTTGAGATCCTCAAATATGGAGTCAGCACAGGCTCATGAGGAGGTAGAGACCACGAGATTTCTCGTCTCAACCGAATTCAAGAGGCGATGTTGCTAGAGATCAACTGTATCAAGGGTCGGACTGCCAGCAAGGACCGTCGGTACGAGACCCTCTTTGATAGACTATTCAGATGACCCTGCAAAGCAGCTCATGGTCCTCGGGACCTTCTGTCCAAATACACGGTATGATGGACAGAGGAGTCATGTGTGGCGATTTTTGAATGGGCTTGCGATTTCTTGTTGCTTTTCATTTTTTTTTTTAGCCTTTTCTCCTCTCTACCCAATGGCAAACCCCCGGACTTCCCTCTTATTAATCCAAGGAACAATCAAAAAACATCACGAAGGCGAAAAGAACAGGCATGCGGGATTACCGGCAAATAAACGGCTCGGAGTCTGAATGAGACATCACTCATGGTCACGTTACGGAGTATATATGTTGTGGCTTTTGATCTCTTAACACATTAAAAGTAGCTGAACGCCGCTGCGATGAGACTGTAAGTATGCGCGACACAACGAGGTTGGTCTACAAGACGACCTGGAGTACTATGCTTGAACTGTATCGTTCAGCACCGAACCTTCTGAGGGGGTCGTCTGAGACAACGTCGTAGTCGGGTGTGTTACCCAAGGCTCGGAACACAGCTCCCACACCTGGTTCTGGAAACCCACTGTCGGATCGGCATAAGTCGTTTAGCGTAAAAAGAAGGGTTTGCGAAGACGGGCTCGTGACCGAGTTGATCCGATCAAGCTCATTTTATCCACCCTATTCGGAGATCTTTCCGATTCTATTGCGTGGAGGTTCAATTCATTTTCCTCGTCCGGCGAAATGTCTTTAGGAGGCGCATTGTGAGGATAATCTATCGTCTGACCAATTTACATGGTTTTGAGGACGGAGTACTCTTCTGTCGACAGGCAGAATGAGAAAAAATGCCTCGCAAGGTCGGACTGGAGATCACTCAGCTTTCCGTTCCAATCTGGTCAAAATCCCGGTTCCCTTGACTTGCTTCATCTTCTTGGCAGCCAAGAAGCTTCCCCCATTCTGGCTCTCCACCTGCCTGCAGGAAGGAATTTTCTAGTCTTCCTTTCGCCGCAACATGGCTAAGCCTTGGGAGCCAAGACGACTGGTTTGGTTTCTGGGTCCCCTTGACATTCAGGGTCTTGTCCCACTGCTGGACCTCAAAACCGAACACGAGAATCCTGCATCTGACAACTGTTTGGCCCTGAATGCCAAGATGGGGGCGGTTCACCCGCATTGTGGCCCGGGTAGAAAACCTTCTTCCCGCGCTAGAACGGAGACGACGGAAACGCTGCGCCCATCGGGAATGGATTTGGAGCCGACTGGGAATCGCCCGTTGCTCCGCCTCCCTATGCTGCTGATGATGATGATGATGATCTATTATAGTATAGAACTCCGCCCGGTAGCCTGTCCTAGCTACATTGACTGACTGCGACTGTGCATACATCCTGAAGTCATACCGATACTCAAACATTGCCTTTTGGGCTGTCTATCGATTGATCTCATGGCGGGCCAAAAATTAAGTGTGGGCTCGGTGGTTTTCCGACCCACTGAAATCACCCGCCAAGACCAATCTAAACCAGCCAATTAAGACATAATCAAATATGCGATCGGACTTGAAACATATCCTAGCCTCGGGCTTTGAGCCGCACCCCTTTTCCAGTAGCTGATCTCGTGCCTGTGTGGTCTGCCCCCTCAGCGCGGTCCGGTGCGCCCGTCGAGCGCGACTATCGACGGAGTCTCTGCCCACTTCGGTGCAGGCACTATTTTCATGCCTACCCACTTGCAAAGAGAATTCGCCGCATCCTCTGGCCGGAGTCTTCCGCGGAGAGCGAATGTGTTGTCCCCCAATAGCTGAGCAATGGAGCATCGGGCATCCCGTCAAGGGAAACTGTGATGCTGTGCTAATAATGAGACCCTACAGTAGAATAAGGGGGTGGGGGAAAGGGTATACATCCTTCACGAAAAGGACGCACCTCGCTCCCAGTCCCCCTTTCGGCGCGTTTATGATGCAAAAAAAAAAACGAAAGAGTCGGTGACCAACAACTGCAACACCACAGCCAGCCGAGTTATAATTGGCACCTAACTCGGACTTGCAGAGCGACTCACGTCAGAGTTTGGACCCTGCTGGGCGCCTCGCACGGTTCCTGGTTACAATGACGAGAGGACGCGGGGTCGTTGGGACCGCTCGGATCCTGTACCCCAATGATAATCGACGTTCAGACGAGAGGCGAAAGCACACTATACTGTATGCATGGAAACCTCTGGCCTGGAGCCTGTTGTCCGTGTCCAACACGATCAGCCTGGCAGTTTTACACGATATTTTACCACAGCCCCTTCATCCGCGCCAAGGAAGTATAGAGCCTCATTGCTGGCTGCAATGACCTCAATGATGTGAAGGGAAGGGGGGCGAAATCTATGAATAATAATGCCAAGCATAAGGGCAGTGCTCATAATATTGCTGGAAACCATCTGCACCACTGCCCACCTTGGACCGCCACGTTGTGATGTCCAGAGCGAGTGGTGAGAGTGCAGGTGGAGCACAAGACACGGAGGCTCGGATGCTGCTTGGTCTCCAGAAGGCAACGAAGAAGCAGGGAAAAAAAAGGTCTCAAAAAAGGTCTTTTTCTTACACGAAGAGGGACCTCTTAGGCTGTTCGCGCGGGGCCTCAGAGCCAATTGAGGCCCGGGTTGCACGGAAGAGCTGGGATCGTTTGGGTCCTTTTGGGGGTCTTTTAAGCCAGGGACGCTTTTTTGTTGGTCAACAGCGCGTCGGATTTCGCCCCTGCCCCAACTGGCAGACTGGCAGGCCCTCGAGCTGGAACTTTAAGGGCCTCCCGGGCCCCGACAGAGCCAATCATAACGGGCGGGACGGGCCCCAGATGGACCCTGTTCCAGCCTAGCGCCCCCCACAGTCGCGCTCGTTTGGGTAAAAGCCCGCATGACCCTCACAACAGACGAGCCGGACTCTGGATGAAACCCTGGACCAGCGGCCATCGGTGGACGTCGGTGGGCAGCGGTGGATGTCGCTCCACCGTGACCATGCCCATCTATGCCCATCCAAGCCCATGCCAGCCCACCCAACACCGTCTGCTACACTCTTCTGGGACAAGTGGTCGGGCGCCTGTGAGACCAGTCGGGGCGATTGGCCGCTGGCCTTCCCCATATTCTATTTATTGTTTCGCCTGTTATTAATATTGGCAGGTCCCCTACCCGACGCCGCCGAACGATTTGCGATTTATTTCGTACGTCTTATGAAGGGGTTTCGGCTGTGTCTCTCGTTCATCCAGACCTCTATACATCGCAGATCGCCTTTCGATTTCCCTTCCCGCCCTCCCTAGGACGCGCGAGACACCGCCCGACCACCCGATTTTCCCATGTCGACGTGAACACATCTCATCCATACCGCCGCAAGTATGTTGCGACAGTCCAATGCGCCATGGGACGGCCAATCTGGTTCCCAGAGGGCGAGCCACCCGGCTCTCGGGTACCTGAAGTTCTTCTGCTGCACACTGCCCGCTCGAGGCCTGCAAGCAGCCTTCACTTGGGATCTATCCCGCAAGTTTTGGTTCAGCTTCTTGACCGTCACGGTGGTCTGCGCCAAATCCCTCCATATCTATGCTCATAGCGATTCCGTCCCAACACGCAAACTGCTTCTCTGGGGCTCGACATTCTTCGTCCAAGATGCCTTGTTCTTGCTGGTGGCGTTTGCCCTCACGCGTACCTGGGAGCGGCGATGGGTGCGTATGCTCGGCGCGACAGCCGTGATTCTTGCCAGGTAAGCGTTTTGATAGACTCCTTGCAACGCCAATGGAAGACTGGGAGTTTGGGACGACACCGAACAACGGCGCTGACTCGAGAATTTCTCTTTTTAGTCTCATCCTCTCTGGCATGGCTGCCGCGAATACCTCGTTCTTTTTCCTCACTGGCGCCGAGATCCACTGGCGACAAGCTGGCGGCTTCAACAAGGACCCGGCCTCCATCAACACCATGCTCACCGGATTGACTGGTCTTGTTATCGTGGAGGTACTATATGTGATAGCAGCTGCACTGGCCACCCCTTGGCTGTATCGCGGCGTGGAAGGAATCATCGCAACCTGGGGATCCGTCCTTCGGGCCATGTTTAAGTCGGTGGTGCCGGTGGTCACGTCCCTGCTCAACCGATTTGGCAAGGGCAGCAAGCTGGCCGCCAAGATGAATTCTCAAATGAAGGCCTACGAGCCAGTGCCATTGACCGATTACGATGAGGAAGACAAGGATGTCTCAAACTCCGCTCCTTTGCTCGAGCACCCCCGGAAATAACGAGTCTGCAGAGTGAGCAGCAGCAACACACAAGACGGTGGAAGATTTGGTTGAAGCGGGCCCTCGTGATTTTCCCAACTGCATTCATCTTCTTCCTGCGACTGCTTCGCCCCTCGAACGAATCCTACTGGTTCTTGTCTCAGACCGTCATCATCACGCCCTTCACTGGTGTCGACTCGGAGACTAAGCTCGCCAAATTGTTCAAAGACCACACTTTGGATGGCAAGACCACTGCCCTGACGGCTGTTCCGGAATTTGATTGGTTCCCCGAGGGAACTTGGCCGGGATTCCGGGACTGGGAAAAGACCCCCAGTGGACAAAACATCCATTCTCACTATAATTCGACCGAAGATCCTCTTCACATTTCCAACCTTCACAACGATGTGATTGAGCCTCTGCGTCAAGTGCTGAACGGCGGCGATGTTAAAATCAAGCATATCTTCCTATTCAAGATGGAGAGCACTCGGTACGATGTTTTCCCGCTACGCAACAACTCCTACATCTATGAGCGTATCAAGAAGTCATTCAAGAACGATAAGATTCCCAAGGATGTCGAACAGCGCCTGGCCAACCTAACTGTCACCGCTGAGCGCCTGACTGGGGCCCCATCTGGATTCAACCGAAACCACACTATCAAACCCTACGGCGGTATTCGCGCCGAAGACTCCTACACTGGCGGAACATTCACCCTGAAGAGTATCGAGGCGACTACCTGCGGTCTTTCACCCTTGGTGGTAGATTTCAATCACGAATTCGAACACCACATCTACCAGCCTTGCTTGCCGCAGGTCCTCGATGTCCTGAGTGCCAAGACAAACAACAGCAAGAGCGACGACTTCACGAATTGGCCCTGGCGCTCGGCGTTCATGCAGTCCATCACGGATGCCTATGACAAGCAGAACTTGCTCACCCCTGCTCTGGGATACAAGCCCGAGAATATCGTCACCGTCGAATCGATCGATGCGGAGCACGCGAATGACACGACCTGGACCGAGGAAAAATTCAACTTCTGGGGCTATCCCGATTCTGCGCTCGCCAGCTACTTCCGGAACGCTATCACCAAGGCTGAGCGCGATCATGAACGTCTCTTCTTAACCCACTTGACTGGTGTTACCCACCATCCTTGGGATACCCCCGGTAAAATCTACGAGGATCTTATTGGCTCCCAGACGAACGCCTTCGGTGGGAAGAATGATGGCTTGAATCGCTACCTGAACACCATCGGGGTCAACGACCGGTGGTACGAGACCTTCTTGAACATCCTGGAGGAGACTGGTGTTGCCAACGAGACCCTGATTGTCATGACGGGTGACCAGTAAGTTAACACCCTGCCTATTCACCCATCCAGAAAACTCTGTGAAACCTATGCTAATAACCAAAATAGCGGCCTGTCGCTCCTCGAGGACGGCAACGTGACTCCCTATGATAATCCTCTCGTTACCAACTTCCACGTTCCTTTGGTCTTTGCCAACCCCAACATCCCCCCGATCCAAGTCAACTCCTCCGTCTCTTCCGTCCAGATTCTGCCGACTATCCTCGATCTTCTCCGCACCTCGGGCTCCCTCGATGAGGTTAGCACTCGCGCCGTTAACGACCTTCTTCCTCTGTACGAGGGACAGTCGATCATCCGCCCCATCATCACCCGCAACGACAAAACCGACTATTACCACTTCACCGTCATGAACACCGGTGGCTCCATGGTGGCCATGCGTTCCGCCGACAAGCCATTCCGCTTGATTGTCCCCCTCGTTCCGGAAGCCGAATGGCGCTTTACAGACACCAAGAAGGATCCCCGCGAGGAGAAGGCCATTAAGTCGTTTGACCTTGGCCCTCTCCGGGACGCCGTCAAGTCGGAATATGGCGAAGAAGCCGCTGACTGGGTGCGGGAAGCCGCTCGTTCGGCCACCTGGTGGGTGACCGACAACTGGTACCGGTACGAGTTCAACCCCTCGGCACCGCAGAAGCCGCATGAGTCGTGGCCTGGCGGTGTCGATCCCATGAAAAATCACCACTAGGCCAGCACATAAACGCCCCTCCAAAAAAGGCACACCACCAATACCTGTGCCGCCTCATTCTTTCTTTCTTGGGCGACAGGCATCTCTATATACCACATTTATCTTTTTTTTTGTATGATTACGGACTCTTACGGAAGCTTTTTTTCCTCAAGACTCTGACCAGCATCGGCGCACGGGCACATATGGGCTGAATTTTCTTTTTTTGTATATATCGGGATTTTGCATATTTGGAGGTGTCTATAGTTATTAATGATCAACTCTCGACATTTTGCACACATTTGGAAATCAACCCGCAGTCATTTAGTCCTTTTCTCCCTTTTCAGAGAGATACATGATAGAATTTTTCGATTGTGAGCAATTCTCTTCGGATCGAGCAGCAATATGCCTGTTGTGGGGCTTCTTACCATCACATACAGATACAATCAGGCCAATAGCCAACACCAAACCACGCTGCAGATTCGGGCCAGACCTGCGATTCGACGAATAATACGCCCCACCAATCGACGGATGTATGTTGTCTTCCGAACAGCCTGCAAGCGGCTACCCAATCGAGTCCCCGACGAGGCCCGATCAGGCGCCCCCAGCCCCGAGCAGATCGGGCGATCATCGTTCATGCACGCCCCGCTATACTCGCCTTCCCCTCGCCTCGTCCAACTTCTCTTTTAGCAACTCGACTACCAACCTTGGCGGCGATGGAGACACAATCACCGCAGAGGCCATGGCTTCACGACTTCCGCTCCTCAGAGACCTTTATCGTTGTGGTGGTCTCGATTGCAATTTTCACGGTACATGGTCGATTTCTAAAACTCGCTCCGCCCGTTTCTCCAACCGCTGACTGTTAATACTAGGATGTCTTTATCTACGGGATGGTGCGTAAATACCTCGACCCCATCTCATAACACTCTTGAGCACTCTTTCCCAAGTATCCATACAAAACTGACGTCCACTTCTAGATCGTCCCAATCATCCCAATCGCACTGGTTGACCGAGCCGGTGCCCGCCCAGAAGATGGTAGTAACACCCTCCAGCCCCCTCCACTCCATTTCGCAATTCCCACAACCCTGTCTCTCTAACTGTTTCAACAGCACAGTCCTGGGTCTCCGTGTTTCTCGCCGTCTATGGCGCAACTCTCCTCATCGGGTCCCGTATATCCTTCCCACATGTCCTATCCTGCTGTGTAACGAGCTAATCGCAACAGCTCTTTTCGGGTACTTCGCAGACCGGTCCGGATTGCGCCGGCTGCCATTCGTGATCGGACTCATCGCGCTAGGCGCTTCGACAGCTCTGTTTGTGGTGGCAAGGTCGCTGGCGCTGCTCGTCGTCGCCCGCGCCCTACAAGGCCTGTCGGCGGCGGCAGTGTGGGTCGTGGGACTGGCAATTCTGGCGGACAATGTCCCACCAGAACGGGTGAGCGAGGCCATGGGACACACCACTATCGCGCTGACCTGGGGGTTTTTGCTGGGCCCGACCATTGGAGGCGTGATGTATGAGCGGTTGGGGTTTCATGGGACCTTTGCGATTCCGGCAGGGCTGATTGTCGTGGATGTCGTGCTACGTTTTGCAATGATCGAGGCGCCAGGTAAGTCTGGGAGTCTTGCTAGGTGTAGGGTGGAATCGGACTCGTGCTAACGGAGTGCCAGCCGCCCACCGTCATGATAAGTCTAGCTTATTCTCTACTGGTGGCGATGCGCGAAGTAATCCTTACGGCACGTTCTCGAGAGACGACGCGAGCTCGGGGTATTCTGCTGCTGTGCAACATCTTGTCGATGAAGGGGGACCTCTTTTGAGATCGAACAGCCCTTGCGTGGAACAGGCGGCCCCAGAGAACCGTGAGCGGCGTGCGACTGTTCTTGATCTTTTGCGATCGCCTCGGCTGCCCCTTGCCTTACTTGCAACTATTGTCATAGCTGTTATGTTTTCAGCACTAGAGACGGTAAAGAATCACCCCCCTTTCTTCCCTTGGGTCGTCGGTTCGACAGAGGGAGTTTTTCATCTGACTAAATTACTAATAGGTTCTCCCACTGTACGTCATGGACAAATTTCACTGGTCGTCCAGTGGTGCCGGTCTAATCTTCGTGGCATCATCCGTCCCAAGTTTTGCGGGTGTGTATGCCGGGAAATTAATCAATCGAGTCGGTGCCCGCGTCCCAGGCGCAGTTGCATTTACAGTGGCCGCCGTTGCTTGGATCCTGCTACGACTTGTCCAACACAACACCAAGACCGACATCACGCTCTTGATCACGCTCATGTTTATCCAGGGTCTCGCTACCGTGGTCATTGAAGTAGTCTCCATGACGGAGGTATCTCAGGCAGTCGGCGACTACGAAGCCCAGTATCCCGGTGCCTTTGGTAAGGAAAGCCCTGTTGGCCAGGCTTATGCACTTTTCAATATGGCTTTTGCGGCGGGCCAGCTCTTGGGGCCTATCCTGGCCGGGGGTATGCGCATACACACTGGATGGAGTGGAATGACACTGGTTCTGGGGATTCTGTGTGGCATGACGGCGGTTCTTTTTGGACTGTTTGGAGCTTCACCAATCAAACGCGGTCGCCGTGATGAAGGGCAAAATGCATGATTGCTGGTCATGAGTTGCACGAAATGTATTCACAAGATACTTTGGGTGACCTTATACAAAAGCTTTCTAAACTTTCGGGAAATTTTCACCTTGGTAATCTAGCTAGTCTAGTATTTTTGAGAAAATAGTGGCGACTATGAGCTAGTCTCCATAGGAATCTTTTCTCTTTCAAACGCACATAATTAAACTTATTGTTACTGCGTCTGTTGTGTCCCTGTCTGCAGTGTATATATCATGGATCCTTTCTGGCATTTCTCGATCGTGTATCCAACGCCCCGTTGTCTTTGACGATATGAACTGTTGCATCTAGGCGACATGATTAAGATCGCAGGTAGAGAAAAGCTTGCTCAATTGCGCAATAAGCTATATATAACACATGGCACGCCTGAGAAGATTCTTGGGCAAGAATGCCAATTGAACAACAAATCCAGAGGTAATTGACAAATACCTGGGAGATACTGCATGCATCAGCAATGCGGTTCCTTGTGGCCACGATTCATACAATTAAATGGCAAACTCGAACGCATAGGCCACATTTGCGTCATCCTGCGCGATCACAAAATACAAGGTGTCATCCGTATACTCGTGCGTATAGTAATCTAGGTTAGTGGGGCCATCGATCTCGGTATACAGGTCCCCACTGTCAAATCGCCATGTCTGGATCGGCAACTGACCATTCTCCGGTAGACCAACCGCACTGAGACCAGAGAGCACAATGCCCCAAGTGCCGGTTGATGGACGAACACCGGTGAGAATACGGACGCGATCGTCACCAACCACAACGTACGAGTCGCCCAGGGTGTCATCGGTGGATTTGGTGCGAACTCGATAGCCGGTCATATTTTGATAATAGTATTGGTAGACCGGGTATTCTCGGCAAGGCCAGTAATCCGCATCGTTGATGTCGTAGTTGGGGTAAACGTCCGTTTTTCCAATGAGATTAGCCAGGTAGTCGTGAAGTTCATAATCACCACGCCAGTTGGAACGCAGGCCAAAAGCGCCATTACGCTCCATCTGCGCAATATTCCAAGCCGCTCCGGAGGGAACTTGTTGGTCAATGTTGCCATATTCGTTCAGCACATACGGGTTGTCGTAAGAGATGCTAGCATTGCTCAGAAACCCATCAAAGGCCGAGATGGAAGTGACCAGATCCCCATCAGCTTCAAGAAAGTGCATCGTCATCCACTCTGGAATGCTGTTGTTCGACTTGATGAAGCTGGCCCAGCCTGAGTACCAATCGGCGGCGCCACGGTCAGGGAGATGACCAAATGATGGCCCGACCGATTTTCCATTTGGAAATTCGTTGCTAAAGTTGCATTTTTAGTATCGCTCCATGTCATGAGAGATGGATTGACCTACGCTACTCGATGGTATGTCAGACCCCAGACATCCAAGTACCGATCCATGCCTCTTTCATAATAAAGAGTGTTATCGATTTCGTTGGTGATATCGAAGTAAATCCCGTCAATCACATCATTGGCTTGGAATATTTGAAAAATCGCGGAGAGGAAATCATTATAGGAGGTCCAGTCACCGTTGTCGCCAGGAGTCGGGATTGCTGCAACGGAATCGTATCCATCGATTCCCCAGAGGTCATGGAGCAAAATCTGCACATTTGCCCCAAAGCGTCTTGCGGTGCGATAATTATGCATGGCCGATTCCATTCGGCACTGTATCCAGTTTTGACCAGGTCAGTCCGGCAATCGTCCGCCATTTCGATCTCGTTAGGATCCATCACTTACCAGAAAGTCATCATAACTATAAGTCCATCCTCGACAGCCGGACGGTAGCTGGGCTCCACCCGTTCGCAAATTCCAGAATCCAATGTCTGCCAAGAAGTGGTCTGGGATTTGCGTCTCGTTGTCTGGAAGACCGTAAAGCATTCCCGAAGCAAGATGTTGCGGTGCCCCTGTATTTTCCCCAAGGTATACCCATGACGCGGAACCGTCCAACTCTCGTTTCATGAGTTGGGTTTTCCCCGAGACGAGGAAGGGTACGAACCCAAATAGGACCGCGAGGTATCTTCCAGTGATCATCATAGTTGAGATAGAATCCGAAAGGCTGTGCTCGAGATATTCACACCTTCGCTTGTCTTTGATGGCCTTTAATATTTTCCTCTGACCAAGTTCCCCCGGGACCGCATTTTGTGGGGCCCCGCATGGATTCTTCACCCCCCCCCCGCGCCGCCGTTGAGAATTAAAAGTCTAAAGTGGAGGGGATGCAGGAATAAAGGAGCGCATAGTTAGACGTGAGATTTCTATGAGATTTGAGTGACCTGGAGATGACTGAACCGAGACAAGTGCATTCTGACGAACGCCCTTGGCAAAGGTGGCGTTGACCATTGCCGGGACAATGCGCCCCGGGGGAGAACGGAATCCGGGGCGGGGCGTGGAGTAAATCCTCGGCCGTGAGGATCAAATTGTCGGAGAGAACTGACTAGGGCTGACTGTTCTAGGTCTCGGATACCAAGCAGAGTGGATGGAGCATGCTTCTCCGTCACCCAGTCATGCCCCCGCCGGAGCGGGCAAGATTCTAACCATAACACAGTCGGGTAGGCCATTTTCTCATTGAAGAGAGCTGGGATTAGACTTCATAGATTTCCTGGACTTGTCTTTGCGTGTTTTCTTCCTATCTTTCCCCTTACACAGGATTCTTATACCTGAAATCTGGTTCATACTTATGATCGACCATAAGGAAGACAATAATTCTAACTAGACTCGACATCTATGAGAGGTGTGAAAACGTATTAAACGGACAAATATCAGTTGATTGTCCCCGCTCATGCCAGGGAAGATTCCGCATTTGTGTACAAGTCGGAAAACTGTGAATATTAATTCTACCATCTCCGCTATGGGAGAGCTTTTCGTGAAAGTTTTACCTGTCCAGGGATCGTCCGTCATATCAAGCCCGGGTAGCTGACTCAGATCCTTTACATTATCGTTTTCGTTGATCTTTGTCTTGTTCGAGAGAGTTGCTCCATGAACGTTTTGGTGGCAGCATACATGTTTAAGAACGAATGTTGCATAAATGCTCGCATTACCAAGTCGTTAGCATTCGATTCACCTGTCTTGAGATGCTCTCCAGCCTATATGACTCCCCAGTTAGGTGCTCTACCTCTTTCATCTGCTTTTGTATCACCAGCTTGTCCTGCTAAACTTTGGCAACGGTCTCGCGCCTGTTGCGTTGCAATGATCCCGGATATTTGATCATTTCATTCAGCATATTGTTCACATATGGTCGATGGGAGACTGAGTTGCTGACTGTTTGTATAATATTGAAGGCAATGCTAAGTGAGTATAATATGAAGCCGGATACCAACGAGACAATTAGAGCTAGGAGAGAACTATCTCGTGGCAAAATCGCCTTTTTATAATATCTCGCTAACTAGAGGACCATCAGATCAGTTTCATTATAAATTGTATCTCTAGTATGATGGCAATATTAGCTTCTATCCAGATAGGGTAATATCGTTGTCTGCTATGGCCCGAATAGGGGGTTTGTATCCTGACTAGGAACATAAATTTAACCCTAGATCATAAAAACCGTCAATAGCGGGAGCTGGCCAACCAAATGACATCACGATAGCCTGTTCAAACGCCTGTGTAAGATTCATGACTAAAGATACATCGTCCATAATTCTCGCAACGACTTTTGACCAGTACGATCACAATGCGAGTGATCAATATCAGGCTATTTTCTTGTTTCCGTCGCGTGAATCAGCAGGAATGGCAACTTAGAGTCTGCGAGACCAGGAGAAGCCCAGATCAAAGTTACCCCGTCGGAACTCAAAAGCCACGCGACTCTCCCAAGGCTAGCAGTCCGGAGGGGTAGCCATGAATGAGGCCTACCGTCCCGAGCCGTATTGGTCCAGACGCACCTGCTGAGAGCCGGATGGGTCAATCTATCCCGGAGAGCTCTATGGTAACCTCCAAGGATCAATAAAAGGACAATGGAGATCCTGTGAGGACCCGGTTCGTGACATTGGAGATACTTGCGGGGTAGAGACTGACGAGATCTCTTAGAAGACTGTATGTAGATCACCTCCTCGTGCACGGCAGTGAATGACCCATTCTCCCAAGATTTTGCAGAACCCAACTCCACTTTCATACTCCTACAAGCACCCAACCATGGCTGCCAATGAAAAAACCGACGAGGAAGTGTCTCATATAGAACACGAAGCTCATGACGATTATACTAAGTCCGATCTCGCGAAACAAGCCGCCGCAGCGGAGCATCAATATACCTTCGGGCAAGCTATTCGCAAGTACCCCAAAGCAGCGATGTGGTCGATCTTGCTCTCCACATGCATCATAATGGAGGGTTACGACATTGTCCTGATGTCCTCCTTCTTCGCTCAGCCAGCCTTCACCAAACACTACGGCACGTATATCGCGAGCAGCGATAGTTACCAGATCACGGCGTCCTGGCAAAATGGCCTCAGCAACGCGGTCTCGGTAGGCACCATCGTCGGAGCCTTTGCCAATGGCTATTTCACCCATCGGTTCGGCTACGGCAAGGTTCTCCTTGCCAGCTTGGTGCTCATCACCGCATTCATCTTCATCCCCTTCTTTGCAACCAGCTTGCCGGTCCTCCTCGTCGGTGAATTCTTGTGCGGTATCCCCTGGGGCGTCTTTGCGACCATGGCTCCCGCGTATGCGTCCGAGGTCTGCCCGCTGGCCCTGCGCGGCTATTTGACGGTCTATGTGAACCTTTGCTGGGCGATTGGCCAGCTCATCTCGTCCGGAGTGCAATCCGGATTCTCCCAATATACAACCGAGTGGGGATACCGCATTCCCTTCGCGATCCAATGGGTGTGGCCTCTTCCATTGTTTGTGATCCTGCTGTTCGCCCCAGAATCCCCTTGGTATTTTGTCCGACGAGAGGATTATGCGGCAGCGGAGCGCAGCATGATTCGTCTCGGCTTCAAGGCAGATGGCGAGGCGAAACAGCGCGTGGCAATGATGATCCACACGAATGAGTTGGAGAAGCAGATCGACCAAGGTACAAGCTACTGGGATTGTTTCCGGGGCGTAGATCTTCGCCGCACAGAGATCGCCTGTATGGCCTTTGCCGCTCAGCCGTTCTGTGGCTCGTCGATGGGTGGCACTCCAACCTACTTCTTTGAACAGGCCGGCCTTCCGTCCACGATCTCGTTCAAAATGTCTGTCGGAGGACTCGCGCTCGCCTTCGTCGGCACCGCCATCTCGTGGTATCTCCTGCATGCCTTCGGCCGCCGCAATATCTACCTATGGGGGCTGGGTCTGCTCACGATCCTTTTGATGGTGGTGGGCTTCGTCTCCGTGGGTGCCGGAGACTCGGTCGGCGGCAACTACGCGCAGGCAACCATGATGCTTCTATGGCTACTGATATACTACCTCACTGTGGGTCCGATCTGTTACGCTATAATTAGTGAGACTTCGTCGACACGGCTGCGTAACAAGTCGGTCTGTCTTGCCCGCATTGTCTACTACATCTCACAGATAATCTGTAATGTCATCAATCCGTACATGCTCAACCCAACGGCTGGAGACTGGAAGGGCAAGACGGGCTTTTTCTGGGGGGGTTGCGCCTTCGTATTCTTTGTTTGGACTTATTTTCGGCTGCCTGAAACCAAAGGGAGGACGTTTGAGGAGTTGGATATCCTGTTTGAACGCGGATGTGGCGCCCGAGAATTCTCTAAGTATCGTGTTGATGCGTACGCTGAGGGCCACGACGCTCTTGTGCGGGAAAACTAAGGGGTTTGGTGGAGTAGGTTAGTGCCAGGAGAAACTGTAGGAGCTTGCTTGACGAGTTAGCTAAATTGCCAGTTATTCTCTATAATGTAGCCATTGTGCTATCGATTTTAATCGATCGATGTGGATTAATGTCCCTCGAATTTCCTCTTCAGTCTTTGGAAACTTGTACTTCAAATTGAGAGGCAACGCTCCCAGGCTGGAAAATTGCCAGGCCACGGATAGACTGATAGGTATCTGAGGGGTAGTATCCATGAGGTGAATTTTCTATTGAATGTAAATTGGTCCATGGGATAGAGAGGGATAGAGAGAGGTGTATCCAGGAGTCAATCATCTGTAGCTCGATGCAGGCCTTGAAGAGTCTTCCTCGGGTTCATTTGTGTTCAATTGGCCAACTACCAGTAATTGGCTGCAGATTTCCATATTTCCCATTACCGTTATTACGCTGTTCATTCATGATACTCGTGTTTTGGGACTATACAACTCTGACATTCCCATCATAGCTATGACTTGCGGATCTCCGTTTATTATTCCTTAGACTACAAGGAGCCAGTTGCATCGATCAGACACTTGATTGTTGCTGCGTAGGATCGTTTCATCTCCCACGTGCAATGTATTTCCTTCCCCGGCGTACCTTGATTGATAGTGTTAGCGTTGCCGGGGCTCCTCGCATATTTTTCCCCGTTAAGTAACTTATAACCCTCCTTCAGAATCTTCAAAGGCGCGTCACGCTTGCAGATATCTCCGACGCCCTTTAATTGGGCGGACATCTTGCTCCCAACACGTATATATGTCTGAACTAGTTCATCGTCCAAAGGCCGGTCAAGGCGAAGCCAGAGAGTCTCATTATCAGAATCATCTGGAGCGACATCCTCGTCTTGTGAGCTTTGATTCAGTCTCGCAGGAGCTGGCGGGCCGCTCACCGGGCATGTCGAAACGCTGTACGACCAGAGAAGGAGCGTGGCGATGTAAATGCTAAATGGTTCTATGGGGCTGTCGGTGCTGAAACGGCGAACATGCCATAGTAAGGCACCAGCGTGCACGACAGACAGTCGGGCCTTGAACTGATCGCGAATGGCCCATTGGAGGACATGGCTACGCGAATTTTCGTAATGGTGTTGGCTTGAAGGGATCGTGTGGGGCCATTTCAAAGTGTGCAATGACGGAAACTTTGCCAGCGTCTGGAAATGAGCAGTTGGAGCGAGGAGTATCAGGCGCGAAAGATGTAGATATAGGATTATTGGCTCTTCCCAGCATGATTCGGCTGCTCTGCTATTGGCCGCCCAGTTCAGAACATCGAGGGAGTCACAGGCCGCGTTGCGCCAGTTTGACGCCGCTGTGCTAGATGGAGGCCAATTCTGAGCTCGATTGGGTTCAGTGGCTATGGCTTGTATGCTGGATGTGGGACTCCAGGTAGACAGTCGCATACGGCTTTCATCGAGGACTTCTGAGGTGCGGCGGTAGATGGCGTGGATGAGCAGAACTTGGCTGAAATCACTAAGATATGGGGGAAGTCGCTTCTCGATATATATCATGTCAATCGCATCTAAAAAAGAGACTATATTCAGATGACACTTGTCAGTGGAGTGACATTTCAGGCCAAGTCGAGATGACATCCATACCTGAATACCTCTGGACAAGCTTGATATTGGCAATAGATGGCTGTTCCCAAGCTATCTCATGGCAAGGCAGCAGATTGACGGCATCCCCTAGCTTCATAGTGTGTTTGCAGTCCAACTGATAGGAAACCATAGAATCCAAGAGCTGAGGTTTTGATGTCAAAAACTCATCATGTTTATGACTTGATCTTTGCACTTACCCATATCATCATGCCCGCTCGGAGGCGCGACTGGGTTTTGACCCAAAGCTGCACATCTATAGCGTCTATCAGTGGAGAAAGAGGTTCTGATGGTAATGGCAGAAGGTTAAGATATGAGCACCAGTGCGCTAGTTCAGCTCGCTCAAAACCCACGCGTCGCAGAATATACAAAGAACTACTATGGAGCATAAACAGCATATGTAGGATTTTGGCTTGGATAAGAGGTATGAGCTCATCGACCAGCTCCGGTGTAATATGCATATCAGAACGATGCATCGAATCTGTCGCCTGGGAGGCATTTTGGTAGCGAACGAGATGAATAGCCAAAGTCGTTTCCACTATCTCCATTAGTGAAGTCTTCCATTGTGGCCCCGGGGGTGATTGTAGATACGCCGCTCCGACGCCAGCAACTGCTGTCAACAGAACCCAGTGGGAGTCAGTGGTGAGCAAGGTTGTTTTGTTGATGAAGGGGAAGTTGGGGTGCAGTCGGTCAAAATAGAGGTGTACACAATGTTGAAAATATTCTAGCGGAGGAATTTCCCACTGGCCATTCATATGCTCCTGTATACTCACGACGACCCTGGCATACACCTCTGGTGTTAGCCAATGGTTGACAGACGATGGAGTACTGCTAGTAATGCTGGCAGAGGTTGAAAGATCTGGCAAAGTCAATCCTTCCGGTGCCGTCCACGTACTACGAGACTTGCGTTGGAATGGGGTTCTTGACCCCACCACATGGACATAGTATTTGCTTTCCACCGATCCAGGCGTGTCCGTTGACAGCGCGTCGAGGAGCACCTCAGGTGAGTTCGATCCTGTCACCTCAGAATTATTTTCTGCATCTTCCCAGGAACCTAGCGGGGTAGGATCTGAATCGAGCTGACCGGGGTTTCTAGGGACCGCTTCCTGTTCAGTGACAGTACTGAAGAGGGAGGGTATCTCTGGAAGATCCATCATATTGAACACCGGCGGGAAGAACTCATTCTCCGTGATTTGGGCCAGTTGGCTCCCCCATTCTTGGAGAATTGTTTGGCCTGGTGAGAGCCAATTTATGCCGGTCATCATTTCAGGGCTGACGACCGGGTTTAAGCTGGGTTCATACACGAGCGAACCATGGGGAATGCCGCCGATGGATAGCACATCCCGATTATTGCTATGCACAGGAATTTCTAAGCCGGATGAGTTCTGAGTGTGCTGTACGTCATGCAATTGAGTTGGCAGGTCGATGGGCCCTGGTATAGTTTCGCTAGAGACTAGGACTTCTGAACCCGGGCTTGGGTCGGCATCCGATACGCCCTCCTTGTTCCGCCCTCCGTCTAGCTTGGTGCTCGGCGACATCGGGAATTCGCAGCGGAGGCCTTTGGAATTGCAGCGCATACAAGGATATTCTCTGGTACAGCGAATCCGACTGGTTGCACATTGCAAGCACGCTCTATTTGATGGGGGTTTCGTGGTTCCTGGTTGTCGCTTATGGGTATGGGTCTCTTCATGACGAGCTAGAATATCCCTAGCAGTCAAGCATGGTCAATTTCAGACGGGGAAGTCTCGCGAAAAAGCAAGCACTGACATACGAGAGAATTCCTTCCCGCAGGTCTCACATGTAAATGGCTTTTCTTGCGTGTGGATCCGCAGGTGTCGGACAAGGTGCTCCTTGCGCGTAAAATGCCGACAGCAAACGGTGCAATTCAAGGGTGTACGAGTCCGTCTCGAACCCTTGCCAGTCTTCCGCTTGCCGGAAGTGGCTGCTTCATTCTCCTCCATGGGGCGGGCTGTAAATGGCAGATGAGGAGAGAAGGGGAGGAAACAGGCTCCGCGGCTTTATACCCGTTTGCGGGCCCGGTACTTCGGGTCATTCGAACTAAATTGAGTGGAGACGAAAGTTGCCCCCACATATTCGGTCCGTTTTTTGTACGCTCCGCAGCCAGAGACCAAGCTTCTACACCCTTCAGAAAGCGCGCTCGGAAGCGGACATTTCAAGGCATTCCTAGATTCAAAATACTATAGCGGGGAAATAACCTGTGGACAGGGACTAGCGGGGTGATAGGAAGATGTGGTTATATAGGGCTACCCTGCTGTGTATAGTAGCTCAGACACGCTGTTCTCTTCTACCTCAGGGTGTTCTCTCTTTTTCAGCCCCAACTCCTAGATGCAATCCTGGCCCACCCTCTAATTTTCCAGTTTGAAATCTATTTGCTGTCAACCTGTTCGATGCGGACAAACACCGGCATGGTCTCGATGGCGCAATCGATCTCGATCTGCTGGCCTCCTTCCCAGCTTTCCTCTCCAGCAAATTCTTTCCACCGTTCCCTTGCAGCAAGACATGGAAGATATACTGTCATCGTGGCCACGGCTGCGCCCAGCACAGGACAGCACAAGTATTTGTCGCCATACATATATTGCTCAGTCACCTCCCAGCACTTCTCATCACATGGGAACTGGTAGAAAAGCGTTCGCATCACCGGGGTTCCCTTGTCGGCAGCCTCCTGCATCAGCTGCCTGGTGTAGGGCCGCAGATCCTCACGAATGAGCATATACTTCTTACAAATCTCATATACCTCCGGTCCATAAGACCAGACTTCGTTCTCAGCCCCGCTGCAACACGACGCACCCCCGGTCGTACCTTGCTGCGCCTGTCGGGGCTCACGATCCCCATGCAGGCGCATCACAGGGCAAAAAGTACCCCATTGGAACCAGCGCACAAAGAGTTCGCGGAAGTCGGGGCTAGTGGGATCGCCCCCGTGGAAGCCCCCGATGTCGGTAGTCCACCAGGGGAAACCCACTAGGCCCATATTGAGTCCGGCCACAAGCTGGTTGCGGAGGCTGCTCCACGACGAGGCGATATCGCCACTCCACACCAGTGCGCCGTATTTCTGACTCCCGACCCAAGCGCATCGCACCAGGTTCACCACATTTTGCTGGCCTTCGCGGGTCATTCCTTCGGAGAAAGCCCGGGAATAGTCCCGTGGATATATGTTTCCGATAGCAAGGTTCGACCCAAGGTGATATCGGTAGATATCGAAATCATAGGCTGTGTATTCGGGCTCTGCTTCGTCAAGCCAGAACACTTTGATTCCGTAATTCTCGTAGTAGTTTTGCCTTACCTTACCCCAGACGTACTCTCTTGCCTTAGGATTGGTGGCGTCGAAATGAACAGTCTCGCCTTCAAAATCAAGACCAGTTCGAACACCTCGATCAACGCGAATCAGAAAACCTTTTTCGCGCATCTCTTCGTAGTTTTCTGACTTTTTATCAACGGTCGGCCAGATAGAAACCATCAATTCAATCTTCATTTCCTTCAGTTCCTTGACCATTGCACCTATAGGAGTATTTTGAGTTAGTTACTAGAGATCATAGAGGTTTGAAGTAGTCATCAATCAAGGTAGTTAACAGGAGAAATATACCTGGATCAGGCCAGTAGACCGGGTCAAATTTCCACTCTCCTTGCTTGGGCCAGTGGAAGAAGTCAATCACGATCAGATCGATCGGTAATTTCCGGCGTTTATACTCCCTCGCTACGCCCAGGAGCTCTTCCTGAGTTTGGTACCGCAGCTTACACTGCCAAAATCCTAAACCAAATTCGGGCATCATCGGCACTTTGCCTGTAGCATTTGCATAGGCCTCTTCGATTTCAGCGGGTGAATCGCCGGCTACCATCCAAAAGTCCATTGCTTTAGTGGAATAGGCCTCGAAGCTCATAATGTTCTTTCCTAGGACGGCACGCCCGATTGCGGGATTATTCCAGAGAAACCCATATCCGAGAGATGAAAGTGCAAAGGGCACACTGGCCTGAGAGTTGCGATGAGCCAGTTCTAGATCATGGCCTTTTAGGTCAAGGTATGGCATCTGATACTGGCCCATGCCGAAGATCTTCTCATTTGGGTCAACGCTCTCCAGTCGCAGGGTGAGATGGTAATCCCCACCAAGGATGGGTTTGAACTCGCGAGCCTCAACCTCAATGGCGCTGCATTTGGCATCTAGGATATCCCGGCGAGTCCGGGTATACTCTTCAAGCAGGGTTTTGCCATTGGAGTTGTAGATGGTCAGCTTCCCAAATTTAGAAATGACCGCCCGGATTTTACCATTATCAATACTTGCAAAGGCAGACGAGATAGAAATCATTGGAAACGACGAATCCGCTACCTTGGCACAGAGACCCCAATCCTCCATCGGCATGGTGGCGCACTTCGTCGCTCGGATCCGAAACGCGTTTTCGCCCCACGGCTCGATCCAGAACTGTTCAGTATCATACTCGTACACCAATCGACTTCCTTCCTCACGAAACATCTTGCCAGCGAATTTGAGATGATAATTGACTGGCTAAATCTCCGAAGGATTGCGTGTTATTCTTCAATTTACCCCCGCGAATTCGTCTTTTATCCATCAGATCTTCTACGCTCTCCGCCCCCGCCGGAGTGCCAAGTAGCGATGGCGGCGCGAACGCTTTTGATTCCGGAGGAGAACATGGAGAGCACAGAATTGTGTCGAGTGTTTTATGGTATACCCCGCCGCCTTCGTGCATCTACGTCAGATATTGGATGACCCTTCATCACAGGGCTGGCCAAAAATGGTAAGTGGGCGACACAATACATAATCGAAACCAGTGAGGGGCTCCGATCGGCTCGTTCCCGGGCAGAAACGGTTAGCGTCAATTATTGATTTTCCCCATATTTCATCTATAACAGAACTTCACCGGGTATCATGAGTGTTTTACGATCCAGAGGCGCACCTATATATAAGTAAATGGGATTATCATGTGCAGAGTAGTTGCTTCTTGGAGTACAGCGTTTTCGCGTACATTCAAGACCTCATTCCCTAATTCCTCAGTGTATTAATTTAACTGCACGGCTAGACGTCAATCACTATCGGAGCTGTCGTCCCAGTACATGCAGCATGTAATGAGCTTCTGATTCGATTCCTCTTGAATCATTCTGCAGGGCTTGAAATATCTGAAAATATCAAAATATTATGCAAAGCATTTCGTTCATTCGCAAATGCGAGACATAAAACACACTTGTCCAAGGTGAATTATGGTACGATTTCTCAACAGCAAGGCCACTTCTGATATCCAACCAGATCCTTCAGAGCGTTTGCCGTCAATCCCATCAATCCATGTCCTCAGTTACAAGAGTACTATCATGCGGTCGACACTAGCAAAATGAAAGTATGCGATAAGATCCGGGTAAAACGCGAAGATCCATTCTCTAAATTTTTGCTAGAGCTTCTGTCAATGAGAATCCTCAGTTTTCTTATTGAATTTATTGGTAGGTACAGGGTTGTCACTCCTACTGTGGCTCGAATTGAATTGAGCAACGGTTTCTGGAAGTAGAAATTGATACGAGACTTGCCCTGGCTCTGGGACTTACCGCTTCAATCGCATTATATGAGAAATATATAGACTGGCTACCAGCATATAAGAGTTGGGGGCAAAGGGCCAGGGGATTTCTGATCCTTCTTTGATTCGTTGGGCAATAGGAGTCGCATTTGGACCATTTATGGGCAAATTGGGACACGATTCGATCAAATTCAAAACAAATGATATATGAAAGAAGCAGCTTTTTATATTTATTCATCACGAATGCGATTAGGCCAATCGGCTTCTATATGAGGAAAATGACTATTCCAAAGCTGTGCCAAAAAGCCGGTCTCCGATGTCTCCCAGTCCTGGTTTGACATATCCTTTATCATCAAGCTCCTTATCAATTGCTCCAACACATATTTCAGCCCCTTCTGGCCAAGCATGAGCAACATTATTGATCCCCGTCTCACTGCCAAGTAAAGAAAATAGTGTGATCTTTTCCACACCCCAGTCCCTATTTGATATTAGGCAACTAGATCGCTGGCAACTTGATTGAGTGAACTTACTTCAAAATATCAATTGCTGCTCTCGCAGTGCCACCCGTGGCAACCAATGGATCGAGAATATATGCTCGTTTAATTCTATCGCTCTTTCGAGGTAGTTTGTTATAATATTCAACGGGCCGAAGAGATTGTTTCTCCCGGAATAAACCAAGGTGGTAGGTCACTGTATCGGCATCCTCTGGTAGAGCCGCGAGGAAGGAATCCGCCATTGCCAAACCAGAGCGTAATACCACAATAACTGCGATCTTCTCCCCGGGTTTATGGTTCTTTAACACATATTTTGTTAATGTTGAGGTCAATTTCGCAACTAGTCGGCGGACAGTTCCTGAACTGAGCGATTGATCTCGAAGCTGTGATAAAATTTGGGACGCTTCTGAGTCATTGATTGTTTTGATAGCCGACATCGTCTTGTGATTTTGATCTTAATGATCAATGGTATCAAAATCTGTCCGAGTCCTTCCACTTGATGGGTAAAAAATACAACAAATGCAGCAAGAGATTAGTTATATGATTAATAGAGGGGACCAAGCCGAGGCCGATAAGGATAAGATCGAGCACACGCGATAAAGCCTTATCCTTATCCTTATCACTTATCCCTTATCCCTTATCAAGATTTGTTATCGCTCTTATCGCCGCCATGTAACCTGATCAAACGGGGCGGAGGCGGACGGGGCCGCGCGGCGGGGTAAGCTTGTACAAAGAACAACTGAAACCAGACCATTTACTTTCATTGCGGCGATAAAAGAAGATACTATCGTCCGGAGTTATCTATCTCACTACTATATTTCTATTCATCTCGAGTCTTATCAACCACATTTGTATTTCCTCAAGCCCATCATGGCAGATATTGAATATCTGAAGAGCCTTCAGGCAGTGCGTGAGAGAGCTCACCTGGTTCTACAGGTCGCCGAGAGGGGAGATCTCTCCCATTTCACATACAATCCTAGTCGTATGCCTGAAGTTGCGGACTTTGTGGTATCGATTATCACTGTACGTTGATATCATCCTGGCAGCTATTGGCATTATCGATGACAATTTGAACACAGCGTGACTTTGGACCAGATAGATTCGACAAGATCCCCCCACACGGTAGATGGCAGCACTTTGAAATTGGTGGATTGCCTCGAGTAGATGATCTCATTCAGCAGTGGAAGCTTGCAGGGGTAGACAAGTCGGAAATAACACGTCGTTTGATCGATCTATTTTTCGTCTCTGTTCTTCTTGATGCTGGAGCAGGGGACGTCTGGAATTTCACAGAGCCAGAAACGGGCGGAGTCTACGGTAGAAGCGAAGGCATTGCAGTCGCGGCCCTATACATGTTCAAGTCTGGCGCCTTTACCAGTGGTGCGACGGGAGCAAACGAACATGTTGACGGTAAGTAGTTCTCTGTCACTACTTAATCTTCATGGGCTAAACCTGTCTTTATTAAAATAAAGGGCAAGGTCTTGCGAATCTTACTCTTGACACTTTTCGCAAGCACTTTCAGATATCAGAAAAGAATCCGATTGTAGGTGACTCCTCTCGAGTAGGCTTGCTCAATCAAGTTGGACTATCACTCCTGAGCCTTCCAAAGTATTTCGGTTCCGAAGGCAGGCCTGGGAATCTCGTTGGTAGGTCTTTTATGGATCCCGTTCCACACTTTATCTTTCTCACGGATGATATACTAGACTACTTGATTGAACAGAAGGGGCAGTCTGATTCCTTGGATTTTACTACCTTATGGACAATATTGCAAGAGACCCTACTGCCTGCCTGGCCAAAAAACCGAACCCAAATCTCAGGCGTGCCAATAGGAGATGCATGGCCCTTGAAAGTTCTCGAAAATGTCGACTCTGGTAAACAGAGTGAAAACAATACTTTGAACATTCAACCTTTCCACAAGTTAACCCAGTGGCTGGCATATTCATTGACAGTCCCGTTCATGCGTGTTATGGACCTCAAATGGATCAACACTGAAAAAGGAACAGGGCTACCCGAATATCGCAATGGCGGACTATTTGTCGATTTAGAGGTTCTCAAACTCAAAGAGAACACCCTATCACAGGGACTTCAGAAGTCACAGGGAGATCTTCCGAGCTACGAGGCTACCAGTGACGTTATTGTCGAATGGAGAGCAATGACTGTAGCCTTGCTTGATAAACTTCATGAACTCGTGTGTAAGAAGTTCGCCAAACAAGGCGTTTCACTGAATATGCCGCAAACGCTTGAGGCTGGCTCATGGAAAGGAGGTCGCGAGCTAGCGGCCAAATTGCGTCCACAGACAAAGTCAAGCCCAATTCTGATAGATGGTGACGGGACTTTGTTTTAGAAAATCCATCTGTTTCCCCTCAATAGAGAGATCGCTGCGAGTTTTAGGAATAATCAAATTTGAGAAACCTAAACAACTCATTTTAGTTTAAGTATGACGGAAATGCGGACAAATGCCTTCTTGTTCCACACCCCCTGTGTGTCAGACCACATCTCCCACTTCTTGCACATCAAATAGTTTTGCTTCTGGTCCTCTTTTGGTCTCTCTTTGAATTGACTTGTTTCTGGATGCATTTATTCAAAATCCCGTTTGAAAAAAAGCCATTCCATTTCCAGTCAAAATATTGGTCATAAGTGGAATTTCTTTCAAGTTTCAAATTACGGTACATCAGCTCTCAGTTCCATAGAAACGATCTCCAAAGTCACCTAATCCCGGATTGATGATACTGCGAGACGTCAGATTATTCACTGCCTAAAATCAAAAAAAAAAAAAAAAACACACTTATCGGATGTAAGTTCGTCATCGATTGCTGCAGTGACAAGTCGTATAGACGGGAATCGGCTGAGAAGCGTTGTTACCCCACGCCGTGCTGCTATTATGTTGACGAAAACAATATTTTCTTCCGGTACACCATTTGCTTTGATAACTTCTATTGCAGCACATGCTGATCCTCCCGTAGCTAGCATGGGCTCAAGTATCAAAACCGCTTGTGGTCATGTCAGTCAATCACCATTCATTTGTGGGAAAGTTAATATCATAGCTTACTCCGAGACGAAATGCTGGCGGGAAGCTTAGAATAGAAAAGCTTCGGAAGGCAGGTCTTTTCATCCCGCTGTATTAAAATTTTACCAAAACAAAGTGGTCCTCTTTCCATTACTGTCAACCACCTTCTGATTATTATAATGGTACAAGTAAAACATACCTATATCCACGCCGAGCAGCACTCTCTAGACTAGCGCCAGCCCTGAGGATACTTACAGCGCAAATGTGGGTCTTCTCCTTTGTTCCTTCAAACACTGCTCCTGTGGGAGTCTTAACACTGGCTGGTATATAAGGGAGAAGGTCAAGCGCTATGCAGATTAATGATTATTTGATTTAACAGAGGCTCTGGGACAATATAGGTACCTGCACTGATAAGCTTGTCACCAATTCTTTCTGTTACCTCGCAGAATGATCTGTAATTGGTGTTTGAATCACGAAGTATAGTCATCAGACTCAAAAGGTGATTGCCTTGCGGGAGCATATGGAGGTTCTTTTGATTTGGGATTCCATCATTAAATGAAAAAGCTTGAGAATTCTTTATGTTCATGGACATATTGCTGTCTCAATGTGCCTTTAAATTTAGGAATCAACTTATAAGGTGTGGTTTCTGCTATGTGTGCTGCCAAACTTCGACGGAAACAAGCTCTGGCGGAAAGTCTTCTATAAGACTTTCACATAGACCCATATTTCTTTTTCCTAATTTAGGGCTTCAAACTATATCTGTTATCGACTTTACCATTCAAGATAACTTAATTAGCGATTTGAACGATATGCTGCTATCTTAGGTCTACCTGATACATCATCGATAACGACGATAAGATTAAACCGAGGAGCGGATGAGTGGTGATAGTGTAGATAAGAAGTCTATCATCATTATCGCTTTCTTATCCTCTTATCTTAATCTCTCTTATCGCGGCCCATGCACGTAGTTTTAGGCATGCTCCCAATAAAGAGAGGGAGGTAATGAGGGGTCTACACCCATTGATTAATGAAACAGGTTTAAAAAGGCCAATTGATTCTTCAATAAATTCAAGCATATTTGCTCATTTCTGTAAATCATCAAGGCTTAGTCACGGTCATAATGGCGATTGAATCAACGAAAAACCAAAATCGGCCAAACTCAGCTCGAGCCAGCGATCGAATCATTGTCAGTGATACTATTCACTTTAAAAGAGCATCTTCTAGAGCTAATTATTATCCAACAGTTGACAACATATCCTGGCCAGAGTGTTGTTGACCCAGTACCGCTGGAATGGGGAAAACTAGACCCTCAGGCACGAGGTCCAGTGTTAGTATCACGAAACACCAAGACAATTACTCGGCGGAATGCTATCGGAGCACATGGAGGCAGTTACTCGATTTACAATGCTCTGGCAATTGCTGCTGGTGATCTTCCGCCTGATTTCAAACCCAGTTTCGAAAACACGGAGCCGATTTTCAATTTTCCCCCTCAGAAGACTTGGGGCGATAAAACAAAAATTGTCGCAATGGATCCGTTTGGTCATGATATAGTCCGTCATTTCAAGAGCTATCTTGATTCTGGTCTGGACGTGCGGCCAACAATAGCTATCACCAAAGCCACTATGCGACTGGCCGAGATAAGCGAGTCTTTGAAAGAAGGGCGCCTTCAAGTGGACGGAGACATTGTTGTCAGTAGTGAAGGAGATGTTAGGGTCACCAAAGCTGCTGTTGAGCCTGTTTGGTATCTCCCAGGAGTTGCAGAAAGATTCAATATTGACGAGGGCACTCTAAGGAGGACGTTATTTGAAAAATGTGGGGGAAGCTTTCCAGAATTGATTACACGCCCAGATATCAAAGTCTTCCTTCCTCCTATCGGTGGTCTCACAGTCTATATTTTTGGGCCTCCTGAAAAGGTTTCAGACCCAAATGTGAAGCTTGCGCTTAGAATTCACGACGAGTGCAATGGCTCTGATGTGTTCCAGTCGGATATCTGCACCTGCCGTCCATATCTTGCTTTTGGCATTGAGGAAGCCATTAAAGAAGCACAAAATGGCGGTTCTGGTGTTGTCATCTACTTCCGAAAAGAGGGAAGAGCCCTGGGTGAAGTCGTCAAATATCTGGTATATAATGCACGCAAACGAGGTGGTGATACAGCAGATAAGTACTTCACCCGCACGGAAAACATTGCTGGCGTGAGAGATGTAAGCACTCACAAATAGTTCTCTCATGGATCAAAATCTAACCTTTGAAACTCAGATGCGCTTTCAGGCGCTTATGCCAGATATTCTTCACTGGCTGGGTATCACAAAGATTGATCGCATGCTTTCAATGTCAAACATGAAGTACGATGCCATTGTAAATCAAGGAATTCCAATCATAGACAGGGTTCCGATTCCAGAACGTGAGTCACTTCATGGATATTCATGAACAAATACTGACTCTTGACAGATATGATTCCTCAGGACTCCCGTGTGGAAATTGATGCCAAGATTAATGCCGGTTATTTCACTGTAGGAAAGAAGTATACGGATGAGGAGCTAGCTCAAGTTAAAGGGAGAGGCTGGCAAAATTGGGAGGACGTTGCCCATTAAAGCGATATCCGGCAAAGATAATCAGTACTCTTTTCTTTGCGAATTTTGTATTAGAATTCATTCAACTTTAATATCATAACCTTTTCATTTTGAATTCTCTAAGGATCAAGAATATCTGTTTGAACTCAACAATTATTACAGCCATGGGGCAAGAGCAACAAGTATCACAGATTACACGGTAGTCTATCTCTCTCAATTCTTTTCCTTTTTGTATTTTTGTCATTTAGGATCAATTGGTAGAAAGTTTTATGCAATCATGAGCAGTAATTGCTCAGCTCATCCGTAGCGAACCCGATTTGTATCATTTCCAAACCAATCATCCGTTGCAAGTGACTCTTCAGCTGTAGCAAAATTGATAATGGTGCTTTTGGCTGTTGTGTATGCATTAAATGCATCAACTCCATTCTCGCTTCCAACTCCGCTCGCCGCTTTTATTCCTCCCCAGGGACTGCTAGGGTCATTCCGATGGTGTGTATTGACCCACACAATTCCTGCTTCGATTTGCTCTGACACCCGAAATGCTTGTGAGAGGTCTTTGGTCCAGATGCTAGCGCCCAGTCCAAATTCAGCATCGTTAGCTAGGTTGATTGCCTGCTCTTCGGTATCAAATCCAACGACGACAATGACAGGTCCAAATGCTTCTTCCTTCCAAATCTTGGATTTAGTGATACCATTTCCACCATCTTGAGATAACAGAACCGTGGGTTCGTAGAAGTACCCTTTGGAGAGATCGAATTCATCAAGTGAGCTTTTCCCTGTCATTCTTCTTGCTCCGGTGAGCGGTATTGCACTGCCGCCTGCAATTGCTTCTTGAACTAGTCTTTCCACATTTTGTAGTTGCTTTTGTGATATCATAGGTCCCATCATGGAAGCCAGGTTTTTTGGATCTCCTATGCGACTTCGAATTCCTTCCACTTTGGCCTTCAACTTGTCAAGGGCCTGATTCATAACTTTATTTTCCACAATAATTCTTGTGCTCGCGATGCAGGTTTGTCCACTTGCAATGTAACTCCCGAATGCGATGCCGTTCACCGCAACGTCAAGATCAGCATGTTGAAAAACAATCAAAGGTGCCTTACCACCCAACTCGGCGGTATAATTGGCTAAGTTGCCCCCCACAATACCCCCAATCGCCCTACCGGCAGCTGTGCCACCAGTAATGTCAACTTTCCGAATTAATTGATGAGAGACCAGTACCTTTCCCGTCGTGGCACCGTATCCAGGTAAAACATGAAGTACTCCTGGTGGTACTCCTGCTTTACCAAGAATTCTGCCTAGCAATAAAGTTGTCAAGGGTGTTAATTCACTGGGCTTGACAATAACGCTATTTCCAGCTGCCAAAGCTGGGGCCAGTTTCTTGACAGCGATAAGAAGGGGGTGGTTGAATGGCGTTATTTGTACCACAACGCCTAAAGGAACTCGATCAACGAAGTTGTGGAGTGATCCACTGGTTGGAAGCACTGCCCTTTCTTCAACCCGGAGCAGAGACGCATAGTATTTAAACCATTTCACCAGTGCAGGCACTTGAGCATTCATCTCCTTGATAGCTCGGCCTGTTTGTTTCGTCTCCAATTGAATCAGCTCCGGTAGAGATTCTGAGAGCATTGTCGCGCATTTTTCGAGCACATCTGCTCGGTGATGTCGGCTAGCACGAGACCAAATACCAGACTTGAATACCGAGTGAGCAATGCTCACTGCAGCTTCGACATCTTCTTCGGAAGCAGTATGGCATCTTTGTATGTCAGTATGAATGACTGTAGCTAACTCGAGCTTCTCTCTTACTGCGCAAATATCTCTCCAGTTGCAGGATCTTCAATAGAGATACTTCGGTTTAATTAGTATCAACGATCTCAAAGCCGCAAGAATGATGACCGACAGATTTCCTCGGCCAGGCTCTTCCTTGCCAGCCAGCCACAGTTTGTAGGGATTATTCATTATTGTTGAATCCTTGAGCTGACTTCTAGATGTTATGAGCGACCGATAAGAGAATGTCCCAAGAAATTGATTAGAAACTGTTACCGACAAGAGGGATAAGAAGGGTCAGCGATCATTCTGATTCTAACTTACGATGGCAGCTCCGTCGATTTGAAGAAGTAGATGTACTGGACAAGAACTCTGGATAGTGATTGTGGGGGCATTTTAAGTCACGGGATACTGGCACGACCCCGCCCCCTGCTAATCAGGCTGGCTGTCTGTACTTGGCTGCAAGAGAGTGCGTGGAAGTTGTTATGGCATTCAACAAACAGATCCACTTCTCGGGCGGGACTCTTATCAGAGTATTTCCACTCCCCTGCGCTTATCTTCCAAGTGCCTGCCCTTATCGCGGCCTATTGATAAGGGAACCGCTTGCCATAGATTTAATTCTGCGTTGCACATTATCTAGGTATTATGATTTGGCATGTAGTAAATAGTCGATTTGTGGCTGAAATGCATATCAATTCTGCACTCTTTCTGAGAAAACTGAACTTAAGTCTGCTGAATTTAATCACTTCTATTGAAGGGTGAAATACGTATATTTCATAGTCATGGAACGATTTTGGGGTAACGGAATTGAAAACATCTTGAGCACTTGTAGAGGTCAGGACTTTCTACATCAGGATTGACTTCTTGTATTGAAATAGCGAATCCGATGACTAGAATAGTCCATACACAAAGGATTTGATGTGATCTACTAATCCCATCGAGCGGAGACTGTTTTGGTGGTAGTAAAGAAAGGCCAGTACGTCTTCCCTGGAGCATGTCGATCTTCACAGAAATGAAATCAGTTACTCAAGACCCATAGTACTAAGACCGAATCATTTCGAATTTAAAAGGGTTCAAAATGCAAAAATTAAAAAAAAAATTATTCTTACCTCCCATAAAAGATGCCTTATTGCTTGTTCGAATGGCGGGACCGTAGGGAGCTAATTGAATATGTTAGTATAAGAACCGTAAAAGCAATAAGCAGGAGTGCCAAGGTTCATTACCAATCAATGGGATATTTATCCCTATCTGTCCCACATTCACCTGCCGTTGGAATGTCTTGGCGTGCTTCCCACTAGTTGTAAAAAGGGTGCATCCGTTGCCGTCTGTACTCAATGAATAGAGTCAGTTTGACCTAGTCGATGGCTGAGGACTTTCTAACTTACATTTGTTTTGGTTGATCAGCTCAATTGCCTCTTCGAGTGTCTCGACTTGCATGCAAATTAGGACCGGGCCGAAGATTTCTGTTTGATAGCATTCCATGAACGTTTCAACGCCCGTCAGGATCGTGGGTCCAATGAAGTTTCCTTTCGGATAGCCAGGAACTTGAGTATTGCGTCCGTCACAAAGAAGAAGGGCACCCTCTTCAACCGCCCTGTCAATGAGCCCCGTCACTCTCGTCTTGGCTGCACGGTCAATCAACGGACCAATTTTGGTATCAGCATCACCGCTATAACCGACAACCATAGACTGCGCGACTTCAACCAGATTCGGTATCCACTGATTTGTTTTTCCAACAAAGACAGCTACACTAAGAGATATACATCTTTGTCCAGCAGCTCCAAAGGCACTCCCAGCAATAGCGAAAAGAGTTTGCATCATACTGGCATCTTCTAATATCACACCGTGATTTTTACCTCCACATTCTGCTTGGATCCGCTTCCCAGCTTTTCGTGCAATATCATGAACCTGTTTGGCAGCTGACTCTGAGCCTGCAAAGCTGACTGCTTGCACGTCAGGCTGAAGTATTAACATTTGAACGGTGGAATGTGTCCCGTGGACCATGTTGAATACACCTTTCGGAAACCCAGCTGTGAGCACAGCCTTAGCCAATAGACACGGCACAGACGGAGCCTTCTCAGACGGCTTCAATACAACGGTATTGCCGGTAATGAGTGCATATGGAATGGACCATAAAGGGGTCATGAATGGGAAGCTAAAAGGAGTGATAGAGACGCAAACACCCTGTCAAATCAGCAAATCGGCTTGCACAAAAGGCCGACAAATACAAAATATGTCTCACACATACCACAGGCTCGTAAAAGCTTTGTAACAGGGTAGGGTCATTTCCTAGAAACATGCCGGCCATCTCCGGCCCTATAGAGCATGCTGCATGTATACAATCTATACCACGAAGGAATTCCGATTCCGCCTCGCCTGCTGTTTTTCCAACTTCACGGCACAACCCTGAAATCTTATGAGAAATTATGTTAGCTCTGCCCTTGGAAGGTGTACTGGGCTGCAAATGTTTATCGCACAATTTTAGGAGATAGCTCTCTCAAAGCATCTATAAGCTTGAACAGATATTCTCGTCTTGTTTGAAAACCTAAATCCTCCCACCCCCTCTGGGCAACATGTGCAGCACTCACTGCCGCCTGGACTTCTTGATGAGTGCAACTGGGCACTCTAGTGAGAAGGCATTGTGTGCCCTAGCTCGAATCAAATTAGCCTCACAATTGGTCGTCCCGCTAGTCTTTGTTGATTTCGACTTACTGGATCCAAAACGCTCATCCAATCTTTTGATTGTGAGATAAAGCATTCATTACCAATAAAAAGATGAGCTGCAGAAGGACGAGGCTGCATAAGAAGTCCTGGGGATCCAATTTGAGCTCCATTTGATCCCGGGTGTGAGGGGGAATTTGGGGTTGTAATCAATCCCGGGAGTCCCGTCAATATCTCCGACGGGTCGTTCTGAAGTCCGGGTGCATTAGTTCACCAATTGTCAAAGAGTGATGTAGTTAGCATAGGATTGTCTCACTACAAGAAGTTCGGGAGAAATGTTGTCCAGCGACAAATATGGGTTATTTTCACTAGCAGTGAGCGATACCTGGGGGAAGGGGGCAAATCGGACGCGATGAGGAGAGCTGACAGCCTTTGGCATATTGTTGAGATATTTTATCACAAAATGCACAGCAAATTTCAATATTGAATTGATATCAGCTCTGGTCACTCGCCCTGAGTGGCAGTGCGGGGAGCGGAAAGAGGTACATACCAGGGACGCTAACTTACGGGGTTCCACGACCACGTGATCAAATATGACCCCCTGTTGCTTCGTCGAAGCGAAACCAGGTTGATCATTCAACACACTATTGAGAACAAAGGGGGCCCAAAGTGGCCATGCATGTGAAATTTGGAGACAAAAATAATAGTAAAATAATAATTCATTCGTTTTCTCGCCATTTGACAACGGTTCTTGGGTTGATCCTCAACTGGGTCGGACTTTGGAGTAGTGAGGACGGAATGACGGGCACAATTTTTTGAATCATAGTATGAAAGATTACATCTCTTGTCTGTCTGGATATTACCGTTGAAACCCGAGACATAATTTAAAGTACAAATAACATTTTTAGACGTAGGGGATCATGTAATTAGGGTTAGAAAGAGCTTTTCCGTTGTCTCCAATATGGAAGGCGAACATGGGTGGGCCTGTATGTATACCTTTGCGAATGAGCCTTGAAAATGAAATATTCACCGATCCGAGGTCTACTCAGGCTGAGGGGCAAAATGTCTGTTTAATTTCCATTTCATTTACGGTGACTGGAAAGGGGATGATTAGTGGAGAAAAGAACCTCACAGCATACCTGTATCACAATATGCCCTTGGTCAAATTCTAGGACTTAAAAGCATTCCAGATGAATCAGCCGCCTAGTTGCAAGTATTTTGGACATATACATATTTATGTCCCAACATTGTGACTGAAATCGAAAGAGTATGTATATATGCAAGTCGAAGGCAGGGTGAAAGAGACCGGACATGATATCTAAGGATAATAGGCAGTACCGAATAGTTATAAAAAGAGTTACAGGCCATCATGTGGGATATAATACTGATGACCCTGCACTACACGAACCCCAATCGGTGGAGAGAGTTGGTTTACCCCGCAGTGGAGAGCGTTAGCCCCGGTCGTATTACGTCAGTGAGGGCAGAGGGCAGACAATCTGCGAATGAGCGCCTAAATACTTCTTTCTCTTTCAAATTACCATTGCCTTTGATGACAGCCAGAACAATTTACCTTATTTCATCCCGGAATGCAGAGGCTCAAAGGGCGCATTTTGCGATCTTTGTTCCTGCCGAGGGGGCACCAGACAAAGGAACCCTGATCGAAGCCGTTGGCGCGCCTATGGCGGGCTACGTGCTAAACTTCGAACGGAACTTTTCCCCCACCGATGACTCTCTAGAGAACTATGATATATTTCCGATTGGAGAGGTTGATCCGGTGAATATCATTGACGATACAACTGGGGTGAAGAGCGCCGACGCTGAACCAAGGGGTAACATCGAAGTCGTGGCATCCCAAGTTCCGACTCCTGGGATTAGCGAAAACTTCCTAGCGCCAGTCAACGACGTCAGTTTAAAAGCTATTTAATCTGATAAAATGCTAACAGAGTTGAGAGTATTCAGACCGCCAACAAAAGAGACCAGGAATGGACTATGGATTACATTCGACACCTTGTTGGTCGACGACTCATCGGATCTGAAGCCATCCAGATCGTACAATCGAAACGGGACCCACCAACTCATGGTCTTGGATTTCAGCCAACCCTTCGCCGATCGGGATAATCTACAATAGGGAGTCATATTACGACGTTGTGAGGGATCGTGCCCCCATGGATACAATATCGTTTTCTTCCCTGTAACACATGAGGTTCTTGGGCTGCTCAAGGCAATAGTGGTGACATTTCCACGGAATACATAGCATAGTCCAACTAACATCACATATACACACGCCGTTGGACGCAGAACTCCGAAATTTATTCTTGAGCGAGTTACATTTGATGAAATGTGCAAGTAGCGATGAACCAGTTGATAAGAACGGTAGGCGACTAGGAGAACACTTGTCACAAAGCATAAATGGACAAACGGGGTAGATCATTGATTTCGATAGCCAGTAATATTGATGACAAGTTTCTGGGAGAATAGGTCTCTAGTTTCGACTTCTCAGCCTAAAGACTACACTTCTCAGATACCAAGTAAACATGGATCAGTTTGTGAAGTAAAAAGAGGGAATTGGTACCTACCTGCTATCTCACGCAAAAATAAATGGTTATGTCTGTCTCTCAATTTTTATCGACGAGGAGATGCAATAGAAATATGGCTACATTAAAGGTAACTATGGCTTACATATACTCTTAATCCATGATGATAGGCTATGTAAGCTTGTCTCGATCCTAAATATAGCACTGAAAGAGATTGAAGTAGCCGGCCTATCGTTCACGGAATTGGGACCTTGAATTGAGATAAATCCTGAAATAATTATCTCTCAGAGAGTCATTTTATGCTCACATTTGGCTCCGAGACATTTCCCTGCTGCCCACTGTACGCAAAAATTAGAGCTGCAGGTGACTGGAGAATTGTTTTATTGTCACGTGACAAATACTGATATCGAGCCATCTGCGCACAGCTCATCTCAGCTACTGTGGTCAAGCCCAATTTACGTGTGCAAGAACGCATTTACCCAACTCACACAAGGGCTATATGCACCATCTATTTGAACCTAGGATCTGATCTGACGATGGTAAACCCGCCACCTGAAGGTCTTCTCGCATGGTTGGAACATCCATATCCTGCAGCACCTATTAAAGACCTACCCCGCGAGAGCATAGAGACGCATTTTGTCGCAGACGAGCAACACAACCAGGGCTCTGGAATAGCATCAGATACACGGAATTCTCTAGATGATTTATTGCAGAGCTATTCCTCAGCTAACAATGAATTTCCAGAGGCTATTGCTCTGCCCAAGTCCCTTGCGGAATCGTCCACATCCACTGGTGAGCCATACATCGAACAGCAGAGTAATGATCACAGAGAGGAAGATGACGCACTGAGAACTTCATTGGAGGTGTGTCTCGAACCGAAGTTTTCTGTGGTTCCCTCAGACATTCCACTGCCAAAGTCGAGACCGTCATCTCCGGGCCAATATCGAGAAGAATTACCACTTGTTCTAAGTGGAACTGGCCCTCTAAAGGAAAAAGGAAGGGTTTTGAGCCCATACAAGACGGTCATTGAAAGTGCAGGACATGTGTTGGATCATATAAAAGACGGAAATATTGTTAAAGAGTCCCGACACAACCGGACTTCAATTACCTTCTACGACTATATCAACAACGTTGAGGCCATTCCGCGAAAAATCTTTGACGTTGAAAATATTGTGCCTCTTAGCTACGCCCCACCGGAAGTAAAACAGCGTCTGATTCTTGTGGAAGATATTTCCAAACCTACGATCGATGCCCTGGGTGAAACCTTCAGCATCAATCCAGAATTCTTTGAAGAGCATCTGCTGAATTCAGGTTATGCCGGTGCAGAATATGACCAGCCATCGACCCAAACATGGAAGACCAGATCACTTGAGAAGTCTTATATGTCATTGAAGTGGATCCGGCCTGTATACCGGCTGCCCACATACTTTTCAAACCGTGACCTAGAGGATCTGCTCGAAGATAGCACAGAGCATTTTACCCGCCATGGAAATGTTAAAACGCGAGTGGTCACAAATATCTTCAGGTCTGATTGGAGTTTGTCAGCGGATCCTGCAAAAACAGTGCGGATGAAAAGAGAATGTGGCTTAGAGGAGAGAATTTCAGTTTGGAAAGGGAAGCTCATGAATCAAGCCTGTGATGTCGGTAAGTCATTGGTCGGAAATGTAATGGGTATATACTATAGGCAGACCTGACCGTTAAGTGATCGTCCTTCTTGACCCGTTGCCGAAGATAACCGAGAGCCATCGATTTTGGACTCCAAACAATCGTCGGGGAATAGGCGATGATTCTGGATATGACTTCTTGCAAGAGTCATTCATAGCAGATAGTGATGATATGGAAGATGGTCTCCATTATTTATTTGATGAAGAACCGCGGCGTGTAAGGGATAACCGCAGATCTGGTAGGTTCTGGACGGTCAGAAGAACACCCAGGCAGCCGATACGCATAGTTGAGTGGGATGACAAGTCACAGCATAAAGTCATAGTTGAGCATATTGCGCCTCGGCGAGCAGTAATAGTCGATCTTGATACAGTCTTTCGAACACCAAGGTCAACCATGAAATTTGGGAAGGAACTAAACGAAACTAAGTCTACTCAGACAGAGATCTGCGAAGGGCTCAGATTCTCCGAAGGATCGATTAGCTTGATCAAACCGTTGTTCCATATCATCAAGCAAGATACGCTGACTCTCCTCAATCAGCTATGCCGAATACTTGACGAAGTGGAAGTTGAAATTTTAGATGATACAAAGATGGAGAATCGATTAGCTTTATGGCGTCGGCTCATCGGTCGCGCACAACGAGAGCTACCAGAACTCAAAGCCTCCCTGGGCCCTTTTTTGGCCTTTTTAGATACTATTCAGTCTCCGAGTGCTACCGATAATTGTGCAGCGACCAAATCAGAGGTAAAAGAGGATCTGCGGAAGCTTTCAACAGAAATCGATGGAATTGTCGATCGACTTCGGAGAACTTCAACATACTTAACTTCCAATATTGGTCTTTTAGACAGTCGACGCTCGATCGACGAAACTCGTGCTGTGACAAGACTCACTGAGCTCGCATTTGTCTTCATTCCATTGTCATTCGCTACGTCTTTTTTGGCATGCAAGTCGAGCCCTTTGCCAATCCAGTTCCTATCTGGAAATTCTTCGCTGTTGCAATTGGAGTGACAACATTCTCTTACATGATGCGGATGATCATACGCAGCCAGTGGCTCACTAGTCTCAAGACAGCGATGAAACATAATGTCAGAAGATATGCAGACAGACATGGAGAGCCAGTTCATCCCCGATCACTTCCAATGTTTCTCATAGTCCGGTGGCTAGGAAATTGGCTCAGTATGAGCATCCTCAAAGTTTGGCAATGGATAGTCAAACAAAGCCTCTGGGCAGCGCAGACGCTCTGGGCCGTATTCGGCTTTGCAATCAGCTTTATTCTGTTGAATTGCGCTGTTTCAGCGGCCCCAATTGCCATTATCTGGACGCGGGACCTGGATTCCGGTATTCAAGGTGCCGTCAGCATTGCCATCATGATCATTGTGATCGCATTTGTTGGCGTACCATTCTGGTACAGGTCAGAACCGACCTTTCGCAGCGCATTGCCGAAAATCATTCTATCTGGGATCTCCAGCACTTTATCTCCTCGGTGGGCTCGCATCAAGTTGTTCTTCCTGATTACGAGCGCAATTTCTATTTTGGTTCCGCTGGTGCTAATTTGGACTCATCCACTTGCTGCTGGTATCAAGAGTGCGCTTACTGCTGGGATTGTGATGATTGAAAGTCTTGTGTTAGTGACAATTATTCTCTGGTGGCGCTTGTCATAACTCTAAATGTTTCTGTCGGAACGCTCAGCCTTTGGAGACATTTAAAGAGTATGCGGGAAAGGGTGCCGACCTGTGAGACTGCCTGTTTATATGAACGAAGTAATGCCAATAGTGAGCGGGTTATCGCTCCAGATCTAGATATGACTGCTTTGTCGGGGCTTAATTTGATCATACATACTTATTTTAGTTCAAAATTTAGTGTCTTTCGATGAACTTCACCAATACATGTTTGTCTCAGCAGTCTTACAGTTGATGGACGCTATGGTGACAATACAGCGCATACTGCTAAATTGAGCAAGTCCGGCAGACAGCAGATTAGGTTTCAGTCCGACTGGATTCACCTGCCAAACGGCTTCCCGATCTCCGTTGATATCCAGATTTCCGTTTGCAGAAGCACCTGAGCCAGATTACCCATTCCCGATGTCTTCCTCTATATAGATCCCAAATAGATCCGTTGCCAGTAAAGCACACGACTTTTCCATAAAGGTCTTTTCGCCATCAATTACCAACAAACAGTTCATGAAGAGCGAAATCAGACAATACGAACTAGTCTAGATCAAACTAGGCTTCGTTAGTAAGCCAGGGTATTTGACCCCGCTCAGACGAAACGGTAGGTAGAGTACCTTCAGCTCTGCCAATCTCTCGTTATTTGCAACTAATTCAATCACATTCCAGACTTATCCTTTCTCCTTGATTCTTTATATCGCGCCTTTTCAATAAAGCTATGGCACTTTTGCCAGACTGTAGGTTCCTTCTTCGACCACATTGAAATACATTACGTTGACGTATGTGCCGCAACAGCGACATGGGTACCTATGATTGGGTTTCACCACGTTTTGATGATGATTTTGGTTCTTCCAATAACCTTGCTATGTGAGAAAGATCAGATGATTTGTATATTTTATTGAATTTTTTGGTTAATTTATCTCCTCATAGCCATTCTACTTGCAGGCTGCACTTCTTCCAATCTCATGAGCAATATCTATTTATTGTCGCTACAATACACGTCGAATTTTCCAACTGCATCCGTATCTGGACAAGTGAGTACAGCCATCATGCAGGCTATTCACAGTATATCGCAAACTGGCAACGGAACAAGCCTTGAGGTGCGAGCGGGGTATATGGGACTTTGCGTGATGCAAAGTGATTCAGAGCGCATTTGCTCCAGCAGTGCTAGAGCTCTGGCCAATTTGATCAAGGCAGAAAAAAGTACCATCAGCCAAGGGAACACAAGCACAGAATTCACACCGGACCCGCTCAATTTAATCATGATTGCGAATGATTTCAGGGAAAAGATTGTGTTTGATGGCTTGATGCAAGTTCTCCTATCCCACCATCTAGTTTCCTCAATTTACTGACAGAACGCATAGAATTATCACAATTATTTTGATTGCGACTTGCTTGATAGTTCTCTCAACATTCCCTGGATGGCATGAGGAGTTCGATGAAACTGGATCAGACATCGAGGTGCGGCCATTTCCTAAACCTAGTGCGGTTACAGCTTGTCTGTTCACCACAGGCCTTGGGTTTGGATTTGGCCTTACCTCCATACTGTGGCAGCATATAAATAGCAGCTCTACAGCGTCAATGACAGAAACCCTCACCTACGGTGCAGCCTCGGGCCACGTTGGAAGCTCAGCTATGGCACTTGGATGGATCGGAGTAGGACTGATTGCCTTGGTCGGTCTTGGGATTTTGACGATGAAATTAAGCATTAGTTATATTAAACGGCTTCATGATGAAAATGATCAACACAGCATGACTGGGAGTTCGGTATAGTTGGGATAGACACCTGGGCGGAAAATAAACTCTGCTGCATTGGTCAGTATGAAAAATGAAAGTTAGTGGATTCAACTCCAAAGAATTAAGAGGCTAGCGGATGATAGGATCAATTTTCTTTTAAACAACCTTATCCAGTAGTTTCAGAGAGTGCAATATATCTTAAAACGAGCCTTTTGACAAACTTATTTATCTTCAGCTTTGTTCCCAAAACGTACTGTTTTCCAATCGCAAAGTTCTATCATCGCCTATAGGTAGGGTTAACGTTCCAGAAACAAACTATCTTGATCTGATTTAATTTACATGGATGATGTATAATCTTCTTTAACAAACTTGAGACTGTAGGACTTGATCTAAGAGTTGATGGAGTCTATTTATTTTTGCCCTTTCAGTCGACTACCAGCAAGTCTTAAAGTATCACTTTCACCGTCGCTCCTTATATCACATCGCTACCATGCCCTCGACCAAAAAGATTTAAGAGATAGATAAAGTGTGAAAAAGAACACCCTTGAAATTCAAGGCCAGCCAAAAAGGTTATGCAAATACAAGGCATTGTTACACGTGGTTCCTGCCTCGGCATGCTTCTCTCTAGACCAGGCAACTTTTTGATTTTTCCTGCAAAGGTCTGGAACTTTGGAACTACCCAGACCTCGATTAGTATGTACCTGTCAATGTGACTGGATGAAAACACAACGCCTCCCGAACGTTGTACATTATCTGACTTTGAAGCTATCAGCGGATCGACGTCTCGAACCAGTTTAATGAAAGTAAATTACCTAGGAAGGTTTTATCAAAAGCAGCGCAATCGCGATTCTCAGGCTAATTTACTTCTATTATGTAATTATCGCCAACCTGAAGCCGATGCTAGGAAAAGTGTTGGGACTAATGGGTGAGGTTTGAACCAATTTAATGCCATTGTAATATAAGTTCCCAATGAGAGTTAGTCTGTAAAGCGGAAGCAAGGCTTCCGGTGCTACCTAGAAGTCTTGATGGTCATTTTGAGTTCAGTTGATTTTAGTTAGATCCCATAGATCTATGATTGCCCTAAGATGTTGCGGTTTTAACAGACATAACTATCTGACATATTCGCCTGTGGGTGCGGGTCACATGACTTGACGTACCCAATCACTGATGCTGTCCAGGAAATAAACTGCGCGAGTAGATTGATTTAGAGACGAAAATGCAAAAAAGAAGCTAAGATTAAATTGCGTGTGTTTGAATTTATGATGTGTGTCTGGGCGGGCGAAAAGCCAGTGAAACATGCTAGATCCCAACACTAGTTGAGAAGCGGTATCCTGACTAAATTGCCTGGACACTCATTTCTGTCAAGCGCCGGCGAATCTTCAGTGTGCCTCTAGAGTGGATGCGCGCCACTCCAGTTTCTAAAAGTAGTAGGGCCCAGGAGTGCACTATGCACGGCCTCAAAAACTTGATTTGCACGCCGTTGGCACTAAGGCCAAACTCTGAATCTGGCGGCGGTCGGGGATTTTCCAGCGGGTCAAACCCCACGCGGCAGTGGAACAACTGTTGCGGGTCAGACGTCATTCAAATGTCCGTGGTGACACTGAAAATTTTATAAGAGCAGCATTTCGGACCATTTCATGAGCAGCATAATTTCACCAGAGTGACCAGGAAGACATGAAAACAAACAACGGATTGGTGAAGCACCCCATGCGCCCAGGCTGCCTTGAATTTGCCCCGATGATATCAGTTGTTGGTCGGGATGACTTCTGTGGCTGTCGGCTCCACTCAAATAGATTAAAAAATGATGAATCGCCCCCGATCGATCATGATCTCATCCGGCCGAAACTCCAGTGGCTTGCGGCGCTCAGTCTCTGTCCCTCCATTTCTGTCGCGACCGACCAGGGACCCTCCCCGGTCAATGCGATCCTATCTATGTTGGATTGGTCCACCGAGGTGTACGTATCAAGGTAGCATTGAAATGACAGTTTGATTGCTGTGACTTTCAGCAATGCCAACTTGCTGAGCATCAACATCCGATCGAGAGAAAGATTGTATTACCATGTACACAAATAAATGCGCCCATGGCAGCACGAAAGATACTAGAGGGATGTTCTGTCTCACGCTGAAGCAGAGTGGTGTGCGTTTGTACAGTTTCACAACTATAATGTCGAACAATTGAGATCTGATGTAATGATGACTAGCAACCCACAGCATTGGCTCCTCATTGGTCCATGCTGCATCGTCGACGTTGAGGCTGGCAAAAGCGAGCCGGACACAGTATCATCTTAAGCCACATGGATAGGCCCGCTGACAGGGGTTGACAGGCGATGGAGAGAGCGGAGTAGACAAGGAGCAGGCAAGTCAAGGCCTCTGTTGGGAGCAAGGGCCCTTGGATCTTCGCAAATAATATCCTGTTTCGCTGGTGAGCGTTCTATCCAAAGGGCGAGACGTGAAGCATTCCATGGGTCGCAACCTGCTTCTAGCCACTCATGAATCCTCGTGCTAATTTTTCCATTTCGTACTCCTCCATTATGTACTTGTCTCTGTAAAGGATACGAGTGTATGATTTAAAACTCTACGGCGAAGAAAGAGAGAATGAAGAGTGTACAATCTCATTATCTTCCGATCTCATGTTGTACAGCATAACCAGCCTACAGACTGCAACCGAGATCAATATAAAGCAAAACCTGTACAAGTGAGAATCAACCTGACAAGAGCAAACTCGTGCCCCGGGGAAAAAAGGTGTTACAACTCGGTACCTTCCGCGTCATAATATACTCCATACCACCACGTTGTGCTCCACTTCCCCCATCCTGTTAAACCCCGATCTAGCCACACGCTCCAAATCAATCTCTGATTCGCTGCTCAAGCTTGTCAGAATACAGGGATTGCCATCTCTAGGCGCTTTCCAATTGAGGAGCCCCGCTGCCAGACCCGCTATTATGATGCCAGCGATGATACAGCGGCCGCCCTGTGGCTTTGTGGCCACCCATCATGCGAGCTCCTGCACTGTAAGCGCTGCAAATACCTTGGACCAATCTGCCAGCTTTTCTGAACAAGGATTGGAGGGCTGAAGGTAGCCATGATATCAACGTCGATGACGTCGTGGACTATCTTATGGTTGTACCTGATACACGACTGCATATATTAGATTGCTTTCATGATCGCAGAGGAACGATGATATCAGAACCCCTGATTCTTCATTTAAGCAACGATATTTCTCAAGGAAATTATTCATTCCTAAATACTTTCCTCTGTGAAAATTATATTTTGCATTAGCTCCATACTTTCCAGCACCAACCATTGTATATTATCTATTCCTACTTTTCCGCTGGAGAAACTACACGAAGTTCACGACATCTCTACAAAAAACAACCTTTCATCTTTTCGAATACTTCGTTGAAGCCTTTTTGATAGGTAAGTGGTTTGATGATCCTATACATGCAGACTGATACTGACTAGTATGCTCTGAGCTATAGTCAAAACGCTTTATTATAAACTTGATCCAGTAGCCTCAATTCACAAAGCACCATGTCCTCTCCCGCTGTTAGCAAAGCTCCCCCGAAGCTAGGATCAAAAGCCGGAACGCCCGCCAAGGCACGCAAGGCATCCGGTTCTAGCGCAGCATCGAAACCCGGTGTTTCCGATAGCCCGAAGTCTCTGAATAAGCCGTCGCCTGCCCGCAAGCTTACGCCGAAGGCTCCCAAACCAATCGAGGACGAAATCGATGAGGAATCAATCCCTGAGACGCCTTCCCCGAAGTCCAAGAAGAAGATACCTTCCGCAGAGCAACGTCGCCCGATCTCCCCGCCCGATGACACTGTCTCCCAAGCCTCTGGCTCCGCTGCTCCCCCTCGGTGGCGTCACATCCAACTTGGCTAGTAGGGCCAAGGGCTTCGCAGGAAAGGCAAAAGACACCGTCCAGAATGGAGTCGAGACCGTCGCTAGCAAGCTACCGCTGAGCCTTTCCGCCTTGAAGGGCCTCGTGGTCTCGGAAGGAGGCAAGATTGTCGGTGATAGCGGTAACCCTGTGGGTGAAGTTGTGGAAGGTGACCCCGAGGATCTGGTCGGCCAAACCGTTGGGGATGACGGGGAGATTGTGGATGAAGACGGTGATTTGATTGGCCGCGTGGATATCTTGCATGATGTCGCTGAGCAAGCTAGAGGCCTCCCCGAGGATGCGCAATCTCATCTCGACGAGGCTCAGAATGTGGTCACTGACCTGGCTCAACTCGAGGGCCTGCCTGTCTCAGACGGCGGCGTGATCAAGAATGCCGCTGGTCAGATCGTCGGCCGGATTGTGGAAGGCGACCCCGAGGACCTGATCGGATATACGCTCAATGACGACGGCGAAATTGTTGATGACGAGGGTGATGCAATTGGCCGGGTTGAGCTGCTGTCTATCGAGGAGCAGCAGAAAGCCATCGAAGATACCATCGGCGAGGCAGGTGAACGAGTAGAAGGCGCCAAGGAGGAATTTGACGACAACTTTGAGGATGCTCAAGATGGTCTACCGGTCGACGAAGCCAAGGATGCCGTGGAGGATGTTGGCGATCAGGCTGAAGATGTGGCGGATGACCTCGATGCCGAAGTTCCTGATGCTGCGGAGCAGGCCAAGTCGACTGTCGATGATGCTGTTGACCAGGCCGGAGATGCCGCTGACGTTGCTGATGTCGCTAAAGGCGCTGATGTCGCTGAAGGCGCTGATGTCGCTGAAGGCGCTGTGCCAGATGTGGATGAAGTTGGGGCCGCTGAAAGTGCAGTTGAAGGTGTAGAAGACGCCGCTGAAGACGTGCAAGATGCCGCCGAGGATGCCGCCGAAGAGGTCCAGCAACGAATTCCCGACCTTGATACCCTCGAAGGCCTCACATGCAACAAGCGCGGCTATGTCATTGATCAGGCCACCGGCAAGCCTGTCGGCGAACTCATCGAAGGTGACCCTAAGAAGGTCTCCCGACTCGGCGCCAAGCTGGACGAGAAGGGTCAATTCTGGGATAACCGCGGCAATATCATCGGCAAAGTCAAGGCTCTCCCCGTCGAAGATGAGAAGGACGAAGAAGGTCCCTTCGCGGGCCTTGAAGGTCTCGTCGTTGGTCAAGATGGGTGGATTGAAGATGAGAATGAAACCCGTGTTGGCAAGCTCATCGAAGGCGACGCGAAGAAGCTCCTTGGTCGCGGTGTTGATGAGGATGGGGAGATTCTTGATCGCCACGGCAGCGTGATCGGACGTGCTGAGCGTTATGAAGAGCCCGAGCCCGAGGAGGAGGATGTTCCCGATCTTTCTATTCTGAACGGCCTCCACTGCAACAAGGCCGGGTATGTAATCGGGCCCGAAGGACTACCCATCGCTCGCGTTGTTGAGGGCAATCCGAAGGAGCTGGCCGGCAAGAAGATCGAGGACGGCGAGATCTATGACGGTAAGAAGGTGGTTGGTCGCGTTGAGCTCATCCCGGCGGAGGAGCTTGAGAGCAAGCCTGAAGGACCTTTTGCCGGCATGGATAGTCTGGTTGTCACCAAGGATGGCTTCGTTGAAGACGATGATGGTGCCATTGTGGGCAAGCTCGTCGAAGGCGACCCGGAAGAAGCTGCGCGGCCGATGCGTTGACGAGGATGGCGAGATCACCGACAAGTACGGTAATGTCAAGGGTCGCGCCGAGCCTTATGAGCCTCCGGAAGAGGAGCCTGAGCCCGAGGTCGACCTGTCCATCCTCGAAGGCAAGGTGGTCAACAAGAGCGGCAACGTCGTTGATCCAAGTACGGGTGCCGTCTTTGGTCGTATCGCTGAGGGGGATGGACGCCGCCTCGCCGGTCGTAAGGTTGACGGCAAGGGCCAAATTTGGGGTGATAATGGTCAAGTCATTGGCCGCGCCGAGCTGATCCCTGGTGCTGAGCAGAACAAAGCAGAGGGGCCCTTCTTCGGCTTTGATAATGCTCAGGTTGGCAAGGACGGTGTCGTTATGGACGGCGATCGCATCATTGGACGTCTGATTGACGGCGATGCTAAGCGTCTCCTCGGTCGCAGCGTTGACGAGGACGGCGATATCGTTGATAAGAATGGCAACACCATCGGCAAGGCCGAGCGTTGGGAGCCCGAAGAGAAGCAACGCGATGTCAATCCCATGTCAGGCCGCAAGGTAACCCGGGAGGGGGAAGTTCGTGATATTGACGGCAATCTGATCGGCAAGTTGACCTCTGGCAACCTGGCGACCCTGGTCGGGAAGACCATCGACGACAACGGTTTCGTGGTGGACAATGATGGCAACAAGCTTGGCGAATGTACCCTTCTCGAGAATATTCCCGAAGAGGAGCCTGAGCCTGAGGTAGAGGAGCTGTCTCCGGAAGAGAAGGAGGCTCAAGCTAAGGCTGAGCATGATCGCGAATTAGCTGGAAAGATGTGCAGCATCCTCGGACAAACGCTGGAGCGCGTGAAACCCGTCTGCAACATGATCACCGAGGTAAGTCGAGCAGAGACGCGAAGCCATGGCTATTCACTAACACGAGTATAGCATTTGGACAAGGCAGACCGCACCCCCAAGGATGAACTGGACGAGGAGAAATTGGTCCAAAACGTGAAGCCCCTGATCGAGGAAGGCGGCCGTATTCTGCAGGAGTGCAACGGCGCTATTCGCGCTCTCGATCCCGATGGCCGCATTGCCGCAACCGCCAAGGCGCGCGCCTCCTCGCGCGACGCCACTCCAGAAGAGTATCAGTTGGCCGACATGCTCAAGGAGCTCACCGAGACGGTGGTCAAGACCATCGATAATGGCCGCAAGCGCATTGCCGATATGCCGCACGCCAAGAAGAAGCTCAACCCTCTCTGGTCACTGTTGTCAGAGCCGCTGTTCCAGATTATCGCTGCTGTGGGCCTATTGCTCAATGGTGTTCTCAGTCTAGTCGGTCGTCTCCTCGATGGCCTCGGTTTGGGTGGTTTGCTGAACGGTCTCCTCGGTGGACTAGGATTGGACAAGTTGATTAATGGCCTGGGTTTGGGTAGTTTGACCGATGCGTTGGGTCTGACGGGTAGTAAGTAAGAACTAAAATCGGGTCAACAAGCGATGGGAATGTTGTGATTATATGTTTCTGAGCGTGATATTTTGTCAAGGTTCTTGATTCTTGCTTTCTGCAATTTATTTTTGGCTAGTGTGGATATTTGGAAAAATTTTGTACTTTGTTCTATTCTCTGGCAACCGCTTAATTAATATTTTTATTTTGTTCGTGCCACTCATCCACTATTCCCGTCGCTCGTTACTGTGAAGGGTAAAAAACGAGGGGAGATCTTTCGGTATCCCTTTTTCCATGCGTGGAATGTATTGCGAGGTGGGATCGGTCTATAGAATATCCTTTTTCATAAACACAGTTTTCACAACCCATTTCCTACCACTCCGGTCGACCACGTCATAGTAGTCTTCCACGGTCCTCAGAGGTTTATACCCTCGCCGCAGATACCATTCCTCGGTAGAAAACTATCACAGATCAGATCCGATATCCGAATGAATCTCAAAAGGAACCATGTGCGTACCTTGGGGAGGCATCCATGATTGGCCATGGCAAAGTCCTCTTTCATTGCGTCCTCCTTTGGGATCACATCCAACATCAGTGTTGTCGCCATAAGTGGCTCTCTCGTAGCCATAGACTCCACTTCATCCATTGCAACTCGGCCTACGCCATTGCTCTGTGACGATCTTTTGATAAAAAATGTCTTGATCCAGAAAATGCCTTCATCGGGGAGATCTAGGCCAACTTTCTCCACTCCTGGGTTTTGTGAATCTAGAGAGATATGTCCAATAGGATTGAATTTTTGATTCGATCCCACTCTGGCCCTTCCATTAATGGATATCGCCGTGTCAATCAGTTCAGTCTCCTAGGTCGACTTAATTTCACTCACGTATACTACGTAGTTAAAGAATCAAGCACTTACTGTAGAACAATGAGTTTCTTTTTCCGTTCTCTCGTCAGTTGCCGAATCATTGACGGATGTTACCTCCAAAATAAATTAGCTTTCTGAAACCTCACAAGTATCTCAAACCAGAACTTCCTGGTGGTGAGGTTTGGAAGACTCTCACAATCCAGTATATGCATTTGGTTCCTTTTATCTGGTTTTCTTTCCATATGTGTTCAACTTTGTCTTGATCCCAGCCACATTCATCCCGCTGATCCAAGAGACATCTCCTATGGGCGGGCGAGTGGGGATCCCAGGGGATCAATGTTACCAACGGCTTCGTAGTCATTTCGGTTTGGGTGGAGAAAGACACGTTTTCGTGCAATTGGTTCATGCAGGTGTCCAGATTTTCGAATCTCAATAAGTCTTTAAAGAGCACAAAAAAGAGAAAAGAGAGAAAAGAGGACTTGAAGAGGGGCCGTTTGAGTAATCGAGTTCGGAGCAGCTTGAATTTGAGTGAGCCTCCTTGAACGTGAGAGCCGGAATACGACTCTGGAACCTAAATCAATATGTCAATGGCAGGGCGCAAGAATTACGTAAGATTTGTGGATTTCTCCCGGGCTGGTTAATTAGTTAGTTAGTAGACCGAATGAGTCATTGCTACCCTCAATTTGAAATATGTTGATTTTCATTTTCCACATGCTTCCAGATAAATATGTGTGTTTTCTAGATACTGAAGCCGGACGAAATACTCCGACCAGATGCGGTACAGGACGAAGTCGCCCTGGGAAAAAAATTGATAGACCTTCCCGCTAAAGCTCCCCTAACAATAGTCCAGGTAAGTGGCGTCTGGGTGAACGTAGCCCTGATTAGTAAAATACTTGTAGTTCCAATAATCAGCCTGTGTGCCCTGTCCATCCACTGTGGCATTCCCGAAGAATTTCCAAGTCCAATAAGCCGCCCCATGCGAATATTTGTGAAATGCTGTCAAACCAACATTGAGGTTCCGCTCTCGCAAATCAAAACTGTTGTTGTATAGTACTTGGATCGACCATTCTCCAACATAGGTTGGGAACTTGCCATCACCGGGTGTTTGCTTCGCATCAGAGCAAATATAGGATGGCACGTTCTTTGAAGTGGTGTTTCGACCTTCAAAGTAATAGTTGTGAACATCAAAAACGAGATTGGCACTGCTGGAGAAGTTTGAGGACCAATATTTTTCTCCTTTGAAGCTCCCTTGAAACATGACGGGGATTTTTTTATTGACGGCAGCAACCCGCTCCAAGACTTTATTGATGTATTTGAGAACCCAAGCCGCACCGGAGTCTGAAAGAGCAGCTGAAGTACCAAACACCGACAAATCATGGTTATCGGCAGGCTCGTTCATGGGCTCGAATGTAAATGATTGCGGATGGCCCGAATTTTGAATGAATGAAATCACCTCGTCGACCACCTCCATGGAGTAGTCAAAGTTGGTCTGATTGTGAAACCAGTTCCAGTGACCAGCAGCCTCTCCAATTGTCAATCCATTGATGCCCCCGGGCAGACTGTGGACGTCGAGAATGATATGCATGCCATATTTTTCAATAGCATAGGTAGCAATCTTTCGCAAATAGTCCACCTGTTTACCAGAATAGAGTTTCGAGCCAGGGTAATGGATCCAAGCTGCATATGTTGTCGGGATACGCAGCAGAGTGATCCCCGATTTGGCCATTGTATCAACATCAGAGAGGGTGATCCAGGTCGCATAACGGTTTTCCAAGACAGGGCCACATTGTGCACCGAGGTTTTCACAGAGACCCCACTCGTCTGTAGCACCCTCAGAGTATTTGGTCCAAAATGACGTGTCAATTGTCGACTCTTGAACAAGCCAACCTCCTAGATTCACCCCGTAGGCCTTGAAAGTCTTCCAGTTGACATATTTCGAGTCATTCGCCTTAGAAACTGGCGTACATAAAGCTCCACTGACGCCTAACGTCGCAAGAACAAATCCGGGTTTCCAGATCATTATCAACGGAATGGATCAATTTCAATCCTCGGTGGGCAATTTTGTTGAAAATCAATGGGAGTAGAAGTGTGTGTGACTAGCAAGGTTTTATAATTTCTGCGACAAGGAAAATCCGTAATGCCTGGATTTCCAAGCTCCAATGGGGCCTTGCCATTTCTTGGTCTTCCCCGGACTAACAATGTACATCATACTGTACCCCGGGGAAGATTTCACTCTGTTCGAACGGCTTTTCCGAGGTATCGGCAACTCTTTTTAAAATTTACTGTCATAGAGAAAGTCAAAATTGATAGATGCTCAGCCCAAAATTCAAAGTAGTTTCAGGAACAACTCTGCAGGAGCACTTGCGCAAATTACTTTGGTCGGGGTGCGGGGAAATTAGAGGCTAGAGAAGCTCACTAATCAAGCTAATCCTTTCTTGATTTAGTGGCTTTTCATCGACAAAAATGCGCTCGGGATTAGTAGGCATTCGGTTTACGCCGTATTGTTACCCGTTACGCGGATTGTTCGCCTACAACCACGGACCGGAATGGCATTGTCGGGATGGAATAGCCCGAAGCACTCACCCCACACTTCGGCAAATCCGACCCGAAAGGGTCCCCCCGCGGGCATTGGGCTGACCCCATGGCTAGTTTCATCCGAAGAGTTTTTGCAATTTGAAAGAAACACCAGAACACACTTCGTTACCTATTTGGCTTTTCAGTCTTTAGGTCATTTGAGAACCAAACGAATCGCTGCTCTCGCATATGATAGCCCGTGATGCAGTTTTCCCGATGCGGTATTCATGGCTTCCATGAAGTTCTCGGCATCGATGCCGATGAAATACGCTTCTACTGGGCAATCGAAACTGATTTGGAGGGAGCCACCCAAGTTGCATATCGTATTGTTCTCGCAACAGACGCCCATGATCTGGAGTCACCAGAGCTGGAAGCCTCGAGCCTTGCATGGGACACAGGACGCGTCGAAAGCGACGCACAGCGAAATATTCTATGCAAACCGGAAGATGGTTTCAGATCAACTTGCAGTTACTTCTGGAGAGTGATGATTTGGGACAATGCCAACAATGTCCACTATAGCCCCATTCAACACTTCTTCACTGGCTATCCGCGGTCTCGTCTGCTGCCTCCCTACAGTATGAACCAAACATATATGCCGCATTCAAGCCTCATATTCCGCACTTGGTTTGAGAATGAGCATGATCGGTGGAAGGCAGTGTGGATTGGAGATGGAGGTGACAAACCTATTTATTTGAGGAAGTCGTTTCAACTGCAGCAACGGCCAACTCGAGCCATTCTGTTCGCCTCTGGGTTGGGACATTTCAATATGAGTGTGAATGGTCAAGCAGCTTCTGATCACCGCCTAGACCCTGGCTGGACTAATTATCATCGCAGAATCCAGTTCACTTCATATGACGTTACTGCGCATTTGAATACTGGAGAAAATGCGCTGGGTGCACATGTGGGCAACGGCTTTTATGCCGGTGAAAAGGGAGACGATCGCTTCTTCTGGCCAATGTACGAGGACAACACATATGTCCGATATGGAAATGAGCTCTGTTTCTTCTGCGAGCTGCATCTCTTCTACGAAGATGGCACCCACAATACTCTCATTTCAGACCCAACCTGGCGTGTGAAGAAAAGCGCAACGACGTTGGCCAACATATATGCCTCCGAAAACCATGATCGGCGACTTTATCCACATGGTTGGGACAGTCCTGCCTTCGATGAGAATGGCTGGGCCCCTGCAAAGCCTCTCACCGGTCCCAGAGGTCACATCTTTTACCAGACCCAACCACCTGTTGTGCTGCATGAGACATTTGAACCTGTGAAAACGTACCTTCCCAGACCAGGTGTCGTATGCTTTGACCTTGGTCAAAATGCATCTACGATGGTCAAGATTATTGTCGAGGGTGCAGCTGGATCTGAGATCATCGTTCGGTATTCCGAGACAGTCAAAGATGATGGTACTGTCTTGATGCCGGATCCGCTTTTCAAGGAATTTGAAACAGGCGTGTTCTCCAGAATCTATCTCGCAGGCACTGGGCAGCCCGAGACATGGGAGCCCGATTTCAGTTTTACAAGCGCACGCTACATCCAAATCGAGGGTGTTTCTCTCAACCCTGGAGAGGGCCTTCCTGTCATTCATTCTGCTGTAGGACGCCATATCTCTTCAGCTGCCAGAAGACTTGGAACTATGAAGACAGATAAAGAAGACATGAACTCTTTGCTAAACGCTTTGTTTTGGACTTTCAACAGCAATCTCTTTAGCTACCACACTGACTGCCCTCAGATCGAGAAGTTTGGCTGGTTAGAGGTCACTCATCTCCTGGCACCAGCGACGCAGTATATCCGCGACATGGAGTCGTTATATACTAAGATCCTTGATGATATCTTGGATGCTCAAGAACCCAATGGTCTTGTTCCAACTATGGCACCCGAAATTCGATATATGTGTGGTCCGCTACACGATACAATCACCTGGGGATGTGCGTTGTGCTTCTTACCAGATATTCTACTCAGATATTATGGGTCTACTCATGTCATCGCGAAAGTATTTCCGGCTGCGGTCAGATACATGGAGTACATGCGCACCAAGGAGCGCAAGGGAGGTCTGATTGAACACGGACTTGGCGATTGGGGCCGTGATATTGCCTTTGGAAATCATCAAGCTAACATTGAGACTGCCATTTACTATCGATGTCTCCAATGTGTCGAGATGATGGCTCGCGAACTTGGAAACATTGCAGAGGCAGAAAGATTCCAACAATGGGCTGAGAGAATTGCTCAAGTCTATAACCAGCATCTTCTCGTCACGGATGATGAATCACGTCCCTATGCATACTACACCTCAATGGACAATTTCCCAGAACGTGATCGGACTGCCATCGCCCAGGCCATGGCCCTCCAATACGGATTGGTTCCCGAGAAGCACAAGAAAGACGTCATGGCTGCATTTGTCGATGACACCTCAGATGGAAAGATTCGTGCCGGAGAAATTGGCTTGCGATACCTGTTCAACACTTTGGCTGATGCTAAACGGCCGGATCTGGTACTACAAATGGCAAGACAAGAGGAGCACCCTTCGTATATGCGATTCCTTCGTCGTGGCGAAACCACCCTTTTGGAATTTTGGCAAGACGAATGTCGGAGTAAATGTCACGACATGCTCGGCACAATCTATGAATGGTTTTACTCTGCGGTTCTTGGATTGAAGCCCATTGATAATGCCTATCGCTCTTTCCAAGTCGATCCTCCTTATGGATCCGAATTTAACCATGTCAAGGGCACAGTGGATTGTCCATTCGGTCTAATTTCCGTCGAATTTGATCAGCGGAAGACAAGGGAATTCAGAATATGTTTGACCGTTCCTTTTGGAACTTCTGCTATTGTTAGGCTTCCTGAGAATGTGAAGCAGGTGGAAATTACGAGATCAGGAGAGGCGGCTGTGAAAAAGACGCATACTGGTGACCATGTCCAAGTGGCACACGGTCAGTATGAAATTCTCATACAGTGATACCGAAGGCCAATTTTACGCCTTTACCTCGGCCTCAAAATGACCGAGTCGCGATGCGATTGTAGATCCATTATTCTTTGTACTTGGATATCCAGAAATAAAATCAAAATACTCCAATCGAGCAGTCTTGCTTTGAGAAAGGTTTTTTTCTTCTTTTTTTCGAAAAAGAAAAGAAAAAGAAAAGAAAATTGGAAAAGGGAAATGAAAGGAAAAAGAAATCAAGTTGTTTTCGACTTGATGGGAGAAAATTCGTTAATCGGCTGGCACCCAGACTCAGATATGCGGGACAGGAGACTCCGGATTACCCCGACTTGGCATATCGGCCCTTCGGCTCCACCGTCGGGAAAATTTTCATCTTTCACTTTCTTTTCGAGCCGAAACCACGGCATCTGGGTGGCACCATTGTCAATTGGCGTATATTTTTCGGCAGTCCAGGCCCGAAGTTGAGCCGTGTCTCTGAGTAGGATCCATCGCGACGCACTTGATTGGCTCTTCCCCTCGAGGCTTTACCGAATTGAGTTGATCGAACCCCATGGGGGAAGGCGACCCATGACTTCTGTACTTCGTATAAAGCCCTGATTTCTGAAATGAGCAGGCGGTCCTGAGTCACTCGGATGAAACTACCCCGAGAAATAGACCCCGCTCCCCCGACCCCGTGGTAAGCTGGAGCTAATGCGAGGTCGGGAAATCCGGCGTCAATTCCAAGTGAAATTCACCAATAGGCTGATCGTTGAAAGCCTTGATCCCGGTGTTTTTGGGCCCTGTACCCCCTCAAACACCAACGCCGACAGATTTTGTATATAATCTCCCCATGGGGACTTAGTGAATAGATCTTTTGCTTGTTTTTGGGGGCAAGAGCATCATTTGAATCCAGATGGCGAAGATCACTACATTACTCTCGGCCGTCTTCTTGGCCATTGGAGGTACTAGTTCATTTTCAAGGTACTCACTGCATATCTGACATACTATTTTTCCGAAGGCTTCTTGTTCGGCTATGATAGTGGTATCATCACTTCTACGATTGGGCAGACAGAATTCATCAAATATTTCTCCAATCCTAGCGACAATACTACCGGCGGCGTGGTCTCAGCATTTCAAGGCGGTGCAATCCTAGGAACTATCATCAATGTCTTTACCGGTGACCGTCTTGGCCGCAAGCTCTCTGTGTTTGCAGGGGCGTGCATATCGTGCTTTGGATGTGCGCTACAAGCTGGCTCGATCAATATGGTGATGCTCATCATTGGTCGATTCATAGCTGGCGTCGCAGTTGGTATGCTCACTTCCGTGGTTCCAATGTATGCTGGTGAAATGGCAGAGGCTTCCACTCGTGGCATGATGTCCGGTCTGTTGCAATGGATGCTGAGTTGGGGATATCTTATTGCCCAATGGCTTGGTTACGGGTGTTCATTCACAAACTCCCCATTCCAATGTGAGTATTTGACAAACAACAAAATTTCATGAGTATTGGAAGAATTGAAACACCAAATGTTGGAATCAACTACTTATCGTTCTCTTCAACTATCTAGGGCGCTTTCCCCTTGCATTCCAATGCATTCCGGGTCTCATTCTTGCTTCGGGCGTCTGGTTCTTGAACGAGTCGCCTCGTTGGTTAATGGAGAAAGACCGCCATGATGAAGCTCTTGAAACTCTTAAAAGGCTCCATGGTGATGGAACCGCTGAGAAAGACCAATATATTGAGCTTGAGTTCCAAGAAATTCGCGATGCTATCGAGTCAGAGCGTGCATCAACCCAGATCAATTGGACCTCGATCATCACGAAGCCTTCGTGGCGCCGTCGCCTTATTCTCGGCTGCGCTGTCCAGGCATTTGGCCCGTTGTCTGGTATCAATGTCATCAACTACTATGGGACTCGAATTTATGCTTCCTTGGGCATTGACACCCAAACGTCGCTCATGATCATTGGTATCTCCGGTGCATTGTCGATCGTCTACTGCACCGGTGGTCTCTGGGCATTAGAAAGAGTTGGTCGCATCAAGCCTCTTATCATCGGTTCTGCGGGCATGGGACTCGCGCTAGTCGTTAATGCTGCGATGTCACAACACTACGATGAGCAGAACAGCAATCAGTTGCGTGCCATGGTTGCTATGAACTTTGTCTTCAGCTTCTTTTACACGTTCATCGGAATCATTTCCTGGGTTTATCCCGCGGAGATTTTTCCCGTGGATATTCGCAATCAGGGAAATTCTGTCACTACATTCACCAACTGGACTATCAACCTCGTCTTTGCCCAATTCTCCCCGACTGCTCTTACCAATATCGGCTTCCGCTATTTCTACGTCTTCTTCGTCTTTAATCTGATCGCAATGATCAGCTACATCTTTTTCTTCCCGGAGACTAAAGGCAAGACGCTCGAGCAAATGGACATGCTCTTTGGGGACCATAATGAACCAACGACGGGGGAGAAAACACAAGAGGTGGTTGTGGAGCATGCAGAGTAGAGTAAATGCAGAACTTTGTCCCATGTCATATAACCATAAGATCTATTACCAGAACTGGTGTTGCTATTAGATGTTGGATATTTATGGAGCTTGCAATACGACCAAAGATTGCCAGCATCATTCATAACGCATGGTTCTATTAACGGTTGCAAAAAGGAAATATCAGAACTAATAAGTATCACAGTCTCTTCTGCCAAGTCTTGTTGGTCTTCCATGATATCCTCATACAGCGCCTTCTTTGATATTTATTGTCTCATCTGCCCATCCCTTGAATTTGCGACAGGATAGATCTATTTCAAACATCTTATCGATCTCTACCGCCGTACGTCCCTTCATTTCAGGTATAATCAACCAGGTGACCACCAGTGCGAAAAGACACAATCCCGCATAGACAAACCCTGTTTTACCCTTGAGATCGCCAGCATCTGTGTTGTATATATATGGTAAAACAAGGTTGAATACCACGTTAGCAAGCATGTAGCATAGGACACCTATGCCTTGTGTCTTCGCACGAAGGCGAAGCGATGATGCTTCACCGGCCACAGCAAATGATGCTGGCCAGGCACCCAAGCCACATACTACCACGACTGCCATCATGCAAGCGGCAGTGTACCTATATGATATTCCCATCAGTTTCACTCTATCAAAAGTCGCAATCAACTGCTCAATGGAGAGCTTACCACACGACAACGTTACCACTCCAACATCCTGAAATTCCCATGCTCAGCCAAATGACAGTTGCGGCTGCTAGAGTCAATAGCATCAAGACGCGTCTACCCACACGACTCATGAGCCAGACTCCCACGGCATTTGCCAATAGCCCCAATACAATTCCCACAATAAGCACAACGATGCTCAAACTCGAGGACATTCCAACTACCTGCATGAAGTAGCTAGCACTAGCGAGGAGCGGAACACCAAAGAGACTTGGGACAATGAAGGCAAAAGAAACAATCATCGTTCTTCGGCGATTCGGCCCCTTTAAGCAGTCCAGATACGTCAGCTCGCGTGACAGTTGTTCCTCGTTGGCGATGGATAATCGCATTTGAGCAAGTAGTGGTGTGACATCAACCTGCGAGGTATGCAACGCCTTCATTGAGCTGTGGGCCATCTCGTATCTCCCTTTACGGATCAAATAGGACGGGCTTTCAGGGAGGACCAACGCCAACACAAACGGCAGAGCAGTGAAGATCCACTGTGTGCCGAAGGGGAGGAGATATGCGGCCGAGGATGTTTTCTTCTCACAAGAGAAAATCACCGCCGCTCCGATTAGTTCTCCCAGCAACATGAATGTGGGAGAGAGGGCCATTGCTGAGCCTCGCAGGCTTGTCGGGACCGTTTCGGACAAATATGTCTGAGCTCCAGCCATGGCACCTCCAACACCCCAGCCTTGAACAAATCGTCCAACCAGAAAGGTTCCGCGCCGAGAATCCATGGCTGCAGGCAGGTCGGCACAAAAGGCAACGGCAATTCCGATGGCGCATATCACACAGCTAGAACCTAGCGATGATCGACGTCCAACACGATCTTGTAGCCATCCTGCTGCTGCTGCACCCAGCATCGATCCAATGGGACCCATTGCGCTCCATATTGACAGCCATGATGAAGGAATGATGTATGACCCATTGTAAAGCTCGCCGAATTGTTTTTTGAAGTATGGTACGGCAGTGATTGTTCCGAGGATGACTGTATCGTAACCTGTGAGGAGGAAGGCTAGGGCCAGGCCGAAGGCATAGACGACTATTTTCGGATATCGGCGAAGTTCATGGATTAATGGGGGATGGCTTGAAGCCGGCCGCGAGTGGTCAGGGACGGAAATATCTGGCTGTCGTTCCTGGGCGTCATCCCCGACGGCATATTGAGAGGCTTTCATCCTGGCATCAAATACGGTGCAAGGAAATTCGGTGGACGGCTCAGACGGGCAGCTTTGACCGCGATGTAGAAGCAGGAGCGTCTTCTGATGTATTTATGTGTGACAGGCAAATTTCGTTATCACCCCTTTCCCAACCAAATGACGAATCAGTATAGTTGGGGTAAAAAGACAATGACTGTCCGCCAATAACAGTGCCACATCGGGAGCTATATCCCCGTTTTGTTTAATTTCTCGTTATCATTGACAATCATTCGCGTGACCACTATTCAAGAAAAACGCGGGGAGAAGAACTATGAAGAGGCGATGCGAGGTGGGGCCGCTATGGTCCTTGGATTGCCGAAGCCGCCAATCATCATCGAATTTCCCCTGGCTCTGGGGAACAATTCCGGCTTTTGATTGGGTAAATCGGCAATAGGAACACGGTGACTACTCGCGTCCAGAATTCATGCATCGGGGGTTCAGTTCGAGGTTGCAATTTGCAGAAAATACGCGAGGTTTCCCCTATGACACGCGTCGAGAAGCAAACTCCGAGGCTCGCTTGCGCTAGGACTGGGACCCAGGCCAAGTCCTTTAAATAGTCCGCTAAGCCCTTGATATATTTTCGCGCGGAAAGCTTCAATTATTTCTCAGTACGATCCAACAATCCGATCCCCAAAGCGCGTGAGAAGAGTGCTTACATGTAGTTATACGAACCTCATAGATCCCATCAAACCTTCTCCTGAACAGCCTGTCACAATGGACCTCTCTCGAGTTATCAAGCCGTGGAAGCTGGAACCTCCGAAGACCCGGCTCTTCGTTAACGCCACTATAATCGATCCCGTCGAGGGTAAATTGATTCCAAATGCTACAGTTCGGATAGAAGGCGGTTCGATCGTTCGAATTGATTTCGAAAATAATCCTGTAGCAAAAGAGAACATCCCGGAGGAAGACGTGATTGACCTCAGTGGGAAGTATCTTTGCCCCGGTCTGATCGATTGCCATGTGCACATCGCAGTGACACCCGGCGAGGCCGATCTACGGGCATACAACGATATGACAGAAAGAATGAGTCTGCTGCGACAGCCACACGTGCTCAAAACCATGCTGGAACGTGGTTTCACCTCGATCCGCGACTGTGGCGGTGCCAGTCTAGCCATGAAGGAGGCAGTTGAGGAGGGTGTTCTCCCCGGCCCGAGACTGTTCATTGCGGGATTTGCACTTTCTCAGACTGGTGGCCATGGAGATATGCGCGGTCCGCACAGCACACAGCTGTGCTGTGGCGGATCTATTTCAGGAATTAGCAGAATTGTCGACGGGCCCGCCGAGTGTTATAAATTTGCACGCGACGAGCTTCGGCAGGGTGCTGATTTTATTAAGATCATGGGCGGTGGAGGCGTCGCAAGTCCAACTGATCGCATTGAACATGTTCAGTTCTCGGACGAAGAGATCAAGGCCATTGTCACTGTTGCGCAGAACGCAGGCACTTACGTGACTAGCCATAGCTATACTCCCCAAGCTATCCAGCAAGCAGTCAAGCTAGGCGTCCGTGGAATCGAACATGGAAACCTCATCGACCTGGAGACAGCTAAATTGATGGCTGAAAAGAATGCATTCCTGACTCCGACTCTCATCGCTCATGTGATGTCGAAGCAGATGAATTTTCTGTCGCCCGATGGTGCCGCGAAGAATGACGAAGTTCTCCAAAAGGGATTAAGAGCGATGAAGATGGCAGTCGATGCCGGTGTGACCGTCTGTTTCGGTACTGATCTTCTGGGTCCGATGCATTTCGCCCAGAGCAAGGAGTTCTCCGTCCGCAGCCAAGTTCTGTCTCCGGTGCAGATTCTGCGTAGCGCGACGGTCAATGCCGCTCGCCTACTCATGCAAGAGAAACGTCTTGGGCAGATTCAGGAGGGATTTGCCGCTGATTTGTTGATCCTGGATGCCAACCCATTAGAAGATATCACCGTTTTGGATCGGGCCGAGCAAATCATCAAGGGCGTGGTTAAAGATGGGCGGGTGATGAAATCACGATGGCAGAAGCTGCAAGCAGATGTATAAACGTATCGACGGCCACAGCCTCTTGAGTGGTTAGATATTATGTTATGAATAAGAAGCAAGAGCAAGAACAAGGACTATGGTCGAAAGTTTATTTTGCGTAAGTACATATATATGCAAATAAAATCCCCAGGATCGATGCCTCCAAAAATCAATCCGGGATCGCAGCTGTTATACAAGCTGTGTGCCTGCGCGTATGACATCGTCAAAGGCTCTGTGATGTGTTGTCGTAATTACAATAAGAGGATGTATAAACAATGATGTATACGCCGAGTCACAGAAAACTGTCTCGGCGGAGAAGAATAATCGTTTCAAGATAATTTGGGAATGACCCCATGTGATTAAAGTTGACAGCTCTAGTGGTTTTTCAGACCGTCATCCTCGGAATCCAGAGAATCTCTAGAGCTTCGAGAGGCATTCAGAGGGAGACCGGACTCGCCAAACTCTCGATATGCACGGTCACGAGCGGCGGACTTATCCTGACGGATGGTCAAGCAGTTGATACCCAGGAAAGTCGTGATCCGGTTGATAACGAGTACAGCCCAGTGCGAGTAGACAATCAAGGCAAATAGGAAATACAGGCGCAAGTACCAGACTTCCAGGGTCGGGCTGAGTCCCGGAAGGCCGATGCGGGGGAGGTTTGCCAGGACCGCACCAAAGACAAGTGGTCCCTGGAGAACAGTCCAGTAAGGGAAAGGTTGGCGCAACAAATGAGCGAGAATGATCATGGTAGTCATGCGACCAAAGACAAAAGATATGGTCCAGCAGAACAGAACCAGATGGTTCTCGGTCAAAAGACAGGAGTAGGGCGAAAAGAGCCAGAGAATGGTGCACAGAGTGAATCCGACCATAGGCACCCACTCCTTCAGCAAGGGAGTGAAGGGAAGACCCTGCTTTCTCCGAGCAGCCATAACGTTGACAACGCAGCCTGGCAGGTGGGCGAGAAAGAAACCACCTAGGAGAATGGGCACCCAGAGATCCTTGACAGAGTTATTGCCGAAGATCTGGGGGATATTGATGAGATCGGTAATCGGACGCGACCAAATCCCGGGGCCCCAGATGCCAGAGGCGAGCATGATACCGATGGCGATGAGGAGGCCTTCGGTTGGGCCGTTGAAATAGCCCAGGTACAGAGTGTGGGTGTGGTAAGTCTCCCATGTCGAGAAATACATCGCGAGGCAGGGAACAAGTGCGGTGTACGCACCCAAATGCGACGCACCGAAGCCCATGGCCGCAGTCTCCAACAGACTGGCGAGGGTACAATTCAAAGAGTCAATTCCGTGACTATGGTCCGTCAGCAAAACTCCCATGGGTGACCCAGAGGTGGTACGAACTCAAATAATTCTCCCAGTCCGCTGGAAGTTCCAGTTCTCCGTGCCTGTTTACCATCCACGTTATCTAGGGTCGAATACCTTTCCTAGGTCAGCGCGATCTGCAGGACTCGAAATTTGGTAGATACTCACATCCACACGCCCAGAGCGAAGCTGAAATACAGCCACCATGGGCCCTATGAAAACGATTTTAGCCACTGCGCCTATTGCTGGAGAAGGGTGTCTCCGACTTACCGGACCCTGCAGGTCGGGCATGAAGATCTCAATCAAGAACACGTTGAACACGATGAACATGAAACCGAGCAGGGTGACCATGTTGGGGGCCAACCACATCGGTAGTAGTTCGACGAAAGCATTCCACTACATCCATAGACACAAGGGTCAGCCGGCAAGCAAAAGAGTGCAAAAACATTGCAGGTTATCCGTACGTAGTGCTTGAGAATATACCGCGAAATAAACGATTTGTCGATACTCGAGTACTTGTACGACTTCAGGGGCATCAGCGCATCGTCGGAAAGCGAGTCTTGGGTCTCTGTACAAGATGACATGGCAAATTAGCACTGTATGCAGTTGCAATGAGATTTGAAGGTGGCAAACCTTGGACCATCCGCCATATCGCGCTCATCATGGAAAGATCGGACCGCGTCGCGTGAGCGATCTCAGGGTCCTTGAAGCGGGGTTATTTGCCGGCACCTCGGCTGAGTGTCGATCTGCAGATGAAAAGACAACAATTCGCTGATGTCGTTCCGAATATGCCACGCTCAAAAAAAGGTACTGCAGCTGCGCAATCACGAGGAAAAGTCGAAGTGTTGGACTGCCTCCAGCAGGGATTTTTGTGACCCCAGGGTGTTGAGGCCTGAGGCTGATCGGTCACTCGGGGAAAGGATGTTCCACAGGGCGACCCAATGAAAACCGCCAGGGACCATCTGGGTGATTAGGTAATGAGACAAAGTGGATGCGAACGGCCGGACCTTGGTTACTGTACCTCCAGTACTGTCGCATCGGGGTGGGTTTGGCCCCTGAAGCCCCGTTATTTTTGGAAGTCGGGCAATGATGTATACGGTAAACCCCGAAGTCGATCTGGATTTGCCAACTTGAGTGTGGTGGGGATTTGTGCTTTTCGTCTTTTCCTTCTATTTTCTTCCACTTCATTCGCAAGCTTTGTCTTAGTATAGTATATCCTACATAACAATTCAACTCCGCTATGTCTCTGACATTTAATAACAACACCATCACCCTCGGAAAAACTGCCTTCAAGATAGGAATTTCGAAATTCGCTCTGTCTGACACTCCCGAAGATGACAAATTTGTCATCAAAGTCTCTGGCTTTAGCGGTAACGTCAACAATCTTCTTGTTCGCGGATCCTGGCGTTCTTATGGGCCATATACGTTATTTCTGAGCCCTACAAGCGAACGGGAATTTCCCGCTAACATGGACCTCACCCTCGATGGCTATCGTAAGCTTCCTCTATTAAATAACAAAAATAAACGTACTGATCAGCCTAGGCAACGACGGGGAACTTGGTTACTTTTTCCTTACGGGTAATGATGTTCGGCTTAGGTTTCATTCGGAGGTATATTAGCTGGACTAGCACTAGTATTTCAAGAATTAGGGTTCCGGTACTATATTGCGTACATCTTCAGATAAGAGTAGATTGAAATAGGCCTTGTAGACATGATTATTGTCGGGAGGGGCACGAGGGTTGTCGTATATAGGCAATCAATGTAATATACAGTATTTACATGATTCCGCCGTCCTAGTTAGTTATCCCATAGATCTGTTATTAGGAAACAGTTATTTGCAACTTGTTCTGATACAGACTAGGATATACTTGGGTAAAGACCGAGAAACAAACTTAGTGTGTCTAAGGGGTAATCGCTTTTCGAAATCGACTATATAGCTGTAGGATATGTTAAGTTACCCAGTCCATGGGGCGAATCCTTTCAAAGGCAAGCTTCATTATCCCCGATAGACAATCTAATGTTACTTACATACCTGTATCTTCACCGAACCTGGAATATCTTTGCCCTAGTAGCCTGGTCATACTGCTTCCCTTGTCCGGTCAATTTTGCTCCTTCCTGCCGCTCTAGTATATCATCATAGAGTCAACATCGAAATCAAAATAAACTCTCCTCTCTAGCTTCTCCAAAACTTTTAGTGGTGATCTAGGAGGCAAGTAGCTTCTACCGATGCACCGGGCTTAGAGAGGTCACTAGACAATCGGCCATCTCGCGTATCTCCGCCTCTCACCGCCTTCCCTCATCTGACCCTCAATTCCCGCGCATTGGCAACGCGACCAAACGCAACCCTCCACCCTGCCGTCCCTTCGCATTCGACCACGGTCGCGCTTCAGAGTTGGAGGGACATGAAGCTAGGTGTTGTCCCAAGCGCATCCCGCGCATCTCGACTGTGAGAAAGTTTCGCGATGCCGGGTGCCGTCGACACGATGGTCGATGCTGCACCGCCGTCCTGGGACCTAGGTTTCAGTGTAGGGCAGCAAAAGGTCGACCTGGAAATTGATTTTGCGAACAAGAGCCTCAAAGGCAATACAGAAATTACACTCTACCCACGTGGTAGCGACCTGAGGAGCATCTTGTTGAATTTTCGACAGGGTGATGTCAAACGCGTGACGGTCAACGGAAAAGTCGCATCGGCGAAATATGTCGATCCTTATGAGAACCTTCATTTATACGGCCCTCAATACCACGAGCGTCTGACGCTTAAAGTCGACAGCATTCTGAGCACGCCGCCGAAGCCACAACTTGAAATCTTGATCCCAAAGAGTGTTCACATCAAAGAGTTAGACTCTCGGTCTACAGAAGCCCGAGAGCGCGTGGCTCTACAAGGTGCTGGAGGCGATGTTGATGGGCCCGCGGGTGCGAGGATACCTGAAGGAAATTTGCGTCAATTCACGGCTGTCGTCGTTCAGATTGAATTCACTATCGACCGTATTCGTGATGGACTCCAATTTGTCGGCGTTGATATGGGCGACCGGCGGTACCCGCATGCGTACACCACCAATTCACTCGAGTCTGGAATTGGGTGCCCTTTATTTCCTTGCGTGGATGATCCGTCCTCGCGCTGCGTGTGGGAAATCTCGATATCATGTCCTTCCTCCTTGGGCGATCTCTTCGACCGTAAAACGGCCGGTTCAATAACCCAGTCTCGCCCTAAGACACAAACTCGATACATATCTGCCGATGATGAGGGTCTTGATATGTCCGTGGTATGCTCCGGCGAACTGACGGATGATATTGTCGACCCCAAAGACCCGACGAGGAAAACGGTTTCATTTGCATGCTATACCCCACTATCTGCACAGCAGATTGGATTTGCTGTTGGCCCGTTCGAGTATTTCAACCTGGCAGATTTTCGTGAGAGTGATCGGGATGATATACTCGGCGAAAATGCTATCCCACTTCATGCGTTCTGCCTCCCAGGGCGAGGCGATGAAGTTCAAAACACAGGCTTTCCAATGGCGCAAGCGATAGACTTTTTCTCCCTAACTTATGGCGGATATCCATTCTCTAGCTACAAAATTTGCTTCGTGGACGACGTTACGGCAGACACACTCCCAACTGCAGCCATGTCAATTTGCAGTAGCCACCTTCTCTTCCCAGCCGATATCATTGACCCCATGTATGACTCAACACGCGCTCTCGTTCATTCTCTCGCCTGCCAATGGACTGGAATAAACATCATACCCAACGAGCCTGCGGATACCTGGGTTACCGTGGGCATGGCGTGGTACATTACCGATACATTCATGAAAAAGCTTTGCGGCAATAATGAGTACCGATATCGACTTAAGCAGATGTCCGACAAGGTCTGTGAGTTGGATCACGAGAGGCCTTCCATCTACGACATGGGTAATTTCTTGAAAATTGACCCCTCGGAATATCGGTTTATCGCCTTAAAAGCCCCTCTCGTGCTATTTATTCTCGATCGTCGCCTTACTAAGGCAAGTGGGAAAGCCACTATGTCCCGCATTATTTCCAGGATTTTTCTACAATCTCGAACAGGGGACTTATCAAATGGAGCAGTGACTTCGGCGATGTTCCAGAGGTGTTGTGAACGATTAGGCCATGCCAAACTTGATGTTTTCTTCCAGCAGTGGGTATACGGCGCCGGATGTCCCCGTTTTCAGGCCACCCAAAGATTCAACAAAAAGAAGCTTGTGGTCGAGATGATGATTCGGCAGGTCCAATCGGATCAAAGTGCCGCGCGAGATCTTGACAAGAATGCATTTCTTCGTGATGTCAAAGAAGAGATCAGACATGTCTATGCTGGTGCAATCCAGCCTGTCTTTACTGGATCCATGACCATTCGTATCCATGAAGCTGATGGTACTCCATATGAGCATATTGTCGAGATCAAAGAAGGGGTCACCAAATTTGACATTCCATATAACACTAAGTACAAACGACTCAAGCGCAACAAGAAACAGAGAGAGCGTGCCGTTGCAGCAGGCGATACTGAAGTACAGGAAGAAGTACTTCTCTATTGCCTGGGTGACGTCTTACAGACAGATGAGGAGACACAGGCCTGGCGCCTGGCGGACTGGACTAAGGAAGATGAAGAAAGAATGGGCCAGGAGTCATACGAATGGATCCGTATGGATGCAGATTTCGAGTGGATCTGCAGACTGTCCCTTGGCATGCCTGGATACATGTATTTGTCCCAGCTGCAACAAGATCGAGACGTGGTCGCTCAACTAGAATCGCTTCAGTATATGGCAGCACAGCGCGAGCATCCTCTCATCTCGACCATTTTCACCCGCACATTGATGGATAGCCGTTATTTTCACGGCATTCGTGTTACAGCGGCAAAGGCATTAATAAAGCACGCTAAAGACGAAGTAGACTGGATCGGATTGTTCCATCTTGAAAAGGCTTTTCAGGAGCTCTTTTGTATCCCTGGGTCACCAATGATTCGGTCCAACGATTTTTCAGATCGGGCTTCCTACATTTTGCAACAAGTCATCCCTGAAGCGATCTCACAAGTTCGTGACAACAGCGGAAAGACTCCCTTGCGCGTGAAGCGGTTTTTGTTCGACAAGCTCAAGTTCAATGACAACTCCAATAACGAGGTATGCTTAATATCGTGACCCTGGCTGGATACCGTTACTAATATTTCTAAAGTTCTCGGACAACTACTATGTTGCTTCTTTGATGCGATCGCTTTGCCACGCAATGCTAGGGCGAAATGAATCGCGGCCGGATGATGAACTTGCTCACTTCGATATGGAACGGGTTCTCGAGTCGCAGGCTGAAGAGCAATTAGAGAAAGACACCATTGCTGAGTTTGATCGATATAGGAGAATGGACGAATGGTCTAGCTCATTCCAGAACTTATATGCACGGGCTGCCTTGCATTGCCAAATGCAATTGATGCAAGCCAAAATACAGGATTTGGATCTGATGCGCTTCATCCCCTACACCCGCTCTGGGACATATGATCTTCTCCGACTGCAGGCATTCGAGTGCTTAGTTGATCTTGACATCTCACAAAACCATGACCTTTTCCGGTGGCTTATTTATTCGATGACCAGCGATTCATCGGCTTACGTTCGTCATCATTGTCAACTTCTTTTCGGCCGCGCATTGGCACAGGTTGCATTTGGTCGACCGCAGGAGGCAGAGATGACCCAGGGAGATGGTCTCATCATTGAACAGGAATCTTCTACTGAAGTCCGCCAGGCAGATCTGGCTCGCCGACAGACGGTACCTGGTGCCATTGAAGCACTTAAGAGGGAGATCTCCGGCGATACTTCCCTGCGGGACTACATGTGGGCCGCGTGTAATTCGTCAGCCATTGGTGTCCAGGAACTTTCTGAACTGACTGACGTTTGTCGTATTCTATTTGACCCTGTCACGTCCAAGATTGCGAGACTACGATACCCCCGATTCTGGAAAGTCCAGAATATGGGCCATGGAAAGATACGGTTTTACCGATCTGAGCGGATCCGAACTAGCCTGAATCCCAAGGATAGCTCCAAGCGCAAGCGCGAGGAGCAAGTTATGGCACCCCCTGCACCTAGAATTACCTTCAAGCAGTCTAAGACTGGTCCTGCTCCAAGCACACCATCTGCATCGGCTCTACCGAAGCTTCACATCCCAAATTCCTCCTCTATCCCCAATGCCGTTGCTAAAACACCGGCTACTTCTACACCGTCCACTCCTGCAAGTGGAGGTGGCCTCAAACTCAAACTCAAGTTTGGGCAGAAAAAATAACCAACAAGTACGCAACATCGCGATTTTCTGTACCTTCGCATCTCTTCATGTATTCTACGGAGCCCCTATTTCACATTACCTTGTTTTTTTTCTAGTGATACCGGCGGGAGAAAGGATATTACGCATGGCTTTAGGCGCGAGGGTGGTCATCCATTTGCTTTTTAGAGATAATATCAAGTCACGATGGTTGTACCCGTATGTCATTTTGCCTCAACGAACTCTGGCTAGACTGATTCTTAATCTGAGCCAATCTTGGTAGTCGTCTGAGACCAGGACGATCGGACAGCATACTATAGGGGCCCTCGAAGATGTTTCTCATCGAGCAAAGACAAAAAATAACAAGCAGAAAAGGTTTTGATAGTCCCTATATGAGCAACCCAGAAACTCCCTGTATCATTATGGTTTCCACAATTGCCGGTCGCAGCCAGCAGGGCGGAATGTCTCCTTCAATTGTTAAACGTAGATATTGTCGGCGGTGGTGCATTTATTTGTCGCTTATCCGTTCGAGGGCCTCGAGCATCACAACTGAGTTACCGCGGATAACCTAAGCGCGTCAGTAGGAGGGCAGTCTACAATCAGGCGAAATCGGCGGACATACCACCATTCCAATCGAAACCTTCTCGCCACCATCCCTCTCCTCGAATGCCTCGTCAAGAACGATGTTCATGAAGACCTGTCAACGGAAATTAGCCTCGCGCTCGCGTACACTCCACCTTCACTTCGGGCTCCGATTCGAAAGATCGCGTCGCTTGGGTTAAATATGCATTTGAGCTTGTCGCGACACGTTAACGAAGTGGATATGGGATTAGAACTAACATCGTAGCCGCGGAGGATACCAATGACTTTGCGGTTGCCGTTCAGTTGGCAGAAGACCCGCTTCTCCATGTACTAGCGGCACAAAAGTATGTTAGCAAAATGAAAACATGGTTTGGGGTATGAAATATGCACAGGTATGTTACCTTCTTCAATTCTGGCTGAGCTTGAGGCATCTTGGGCAAGCTGGTGTCTTTTCAGCGGGTTGACAGGATTCGAGTGAGTGAAGTCGCTTTGGAGGTTGGGCTCGGAGAAAGGATGTTCCCGATAGGCGGCGATAAGAGCTCGCGCAAGCTTTCAGCATCTTTGCCTTGCGGACTTCACAGTGGGGCTTCTCAGTTCTTCATTCACCTTACCGACATAATGAGCTCGAAGTTTGCCAGTCGCAGAAAGCCTCGCAAGGTCGGCGGTGATGACTTGGAGGGAGAGGAGGACGGTGTCGCTGCTGCGCAGGGTTCGTTTACCAAGTTCTCCGCTCACCAAGCCGGAAGAATATCCAGAAAGGCGAAGCTAATCACTGGAAATACAGAGCCTGTTGTCAAGCGCCCAATTAAATCCAAAGTGAAATCGAAATCGAAATTGAATCTCTCCTTCGGTCCCGACGAGACCTCGATGACGGATAGCAACCAGGAAAGTGAAGTCATCATTCCTAAACGACATGGCCTCGGTCGCAAGGTTATGGAACGAAGTGCTTTTCAAAGAACCCTGACGCCCTCTGGACTATCGGATACATTCTCCGCCCGTGTTGGACATGACCAGGACCGTCCAAGCTACAGCAACGAATATCTCAAAGAATTGCGAGACTCGACACCCTCCACCCCAAAAACGAGCACCGATGACGAGAAAGACAGAACAATTGACGTCGCGGCCAAATTTGGCGAGCTTGTGACGGTTTCAGGGCCATCAGCTATTCCCAGTGAAGCGGAAATACGGGAGAAAAAGGCCCGGCGCGCACGACTCGCCATGGAACACACGGCCAAGGAGGACGATTATATTTCCCTAGACGATAACGGGGAGTATGGGGATGACTGGGATGCGGTTGCAAGGGATGAGAAGCCGGAGAAGGAACGGGATACTCGATTGTTGCGGGATGACGAAGATTTTGCGGAGGGATTCGACGAATTCGTGGAAGATGGCAAGATTGCTCTTGGGCGGAAAGCCGAGCGCGAACGAAAACACAAGGACCGCGAGGCCATGCGGGAGCTCATTGATGATGCCGAGGGATTGTCCGACGAGGAAGATTCAGACCTGGAACAGAAAGCGGCATATGAGGCCGCCCAAACCAAGGCAGCTATCGGACAGAGCCAATTTCGTGGGATCGACCGACCCAAGACTCCTCCCAAAATGACATCGCTGCCTCGACTGGCCAGTAGTCTAGAACGATTACGTACGTCTCTGGCGGGCATGGAAACATCGAAGACTCAGATGATTCGGCGCATGGAAGAATTGCGAAAGGAAAAGGAAGAAATCGCCATGCGAGAGGTGGAAATCCAAGCGCTTATCAAAGAAGCTGGAGAAAATTATGAGCGGCTCAAGAAGGAGGCCGGCATCGACGCCGCTGCAGACGCCAACGCCTCGGCAGGAGCTTTACAGGCCCGTGGATTGGAAAGCATTGGCGCGCCCGTGGCATCATTGGATTCCAGCTTGGAGGAGCCATGATTCCTCGGCTCCTTCCTCCTGGAGTTACATGTTCTCTGCTGCCTTTGGCAATCTGTTCAATGTTGGTTATTTGATACCCCGGGTGTATTCTCTTTCTTAAAACATTCATATCCATAATGGCGCCGCCTCGATTTCTTTCTGTCTTTCGCCAGCCCTTATCTCATACCAGGCCATTAGCGGGAGGTCCTTCGTAAGTTACTTTATAATTAGAACCAAGCTCATCGCGTCTTTTGGCGGTTCTGACGCGCCTCCCCAGAGAACATCATGGCATGTTGCCGTGGATTGCTTGTCCACTCGATAAATCTCAAAGACTTCCCCAGTTGTATCATCATCCAGATGCGACACCGATCGAACTCTTTTTCGATTTGTTTTTTGTGGCCAATTTATCTACCTTCACAGCTACACATGAGATTAACAACGTCAACGGTAGTACTCTCTGCTCTTTCGCAGCTCTTTCGCGGGTCGTATTGGCATTCTAATAACGATGTCTTTTGCTAGCGCTGGGTGCATATATTGGTTTCCTCGGTGTTATCTGGTTTACTTGGTTACAGGTCACACTATTTGATGTTCGCTTTGCTCGGGACTCCTTCTTTGAAAGGGTTTGCAAAGCCATTCAGCTGGGGGCAATGGTCGGCTTTGCATCCGCTGGGTCTCGCTTCACTACGCGCGTCCGGGACGAGAATGTCTGGGCATTTCAATCCCTCAGTCTCATTCTAGCCGGAAGTCGAATACTATTGGCCGTTCAATATACGGTCAATGTTGCTTTCATTCACCCATACATGAAACCCGCTGCCCGGGGAGTAGCTTACACCGCTCTTGTGTTTTGGATGACAACCATCTTCTATCTCGGGGTACGCTTCTCTCTCTTTTCTGTGGGCTTCGATGCGAGTGAATTTGATCTGTTGTTAGATGTACTTTGCCTTTAGCCGAGGCAACGGCCTTCGTCCTCAAATATGGACCGTCTGGTTCGTCATGTTCGGGTTTGAAATGTGGACTGTTCTGGGTGTTTCCTGGCTCTTCCCAGAAATTGGATTCCAAGACACTCATCTCAACATCCGGATGGGTCTTCTAACTCTCATCATTATTGGAGAAGGTGTGATTGCGGTGACTCGAATTGTTAACAAGACGGTTCGGCCCGGGGGATGGACCAAATGGTCGTTTGTCCACATTCTGGGGGTTACTACCAATGTGGTGCGTTGTTTTTGCAATTTTCTCGCCTCTGTTTAATCCATCCTGACGTTTGGTAGTATCTTCTTTGGCAGGTGTACTTTGATGTCTCACCATGGCATCGATATGGGAGGCTCAAACAACAGATCTGGGTTCAGCTACATTTTCCGTTCCATGTTGCACTGATTCTCCTACTCGAGGGTTCCCAGATCCTTGCCCTCACTTTGGATGTGACACTTAAATTGAGATACCTCGAAGAAACACTACTTTTTGTATGTGAGGAGCCGCGCCCCAGTACAGCTATAGCTGTTGAACTCATCCGAAGCACAATCTCCGATATGGAGATTCCGTTCAGTCGAGGCGCGACACAAGAGTGGACCGCCATCTCGAGCCTTTTGGAAGACTTATCTTTGCAGCCTCTATGTCCTGACATCACTGTCCTCGGCTACGCTTTCACCGAGGATCTTTTCAGCGATCTCATGGGCAATGTCACTGCAGCGCTTTTCTCAAGCATGGATATAACCCCATCCAAAAAAGTCAACATCAGCTTCCTCAGTAGCCAGCAGTTGCTGCAGATGTATATGAAGCTACTGGCATTCGTGTATATATATTTTTTTGTCGTCGCCAGTATATCCATGTGCATCTTTGCCGCGTTCTTAGTACTCTCTCGGCGCCATAAAAGCAGACTTTACCTTGGTCTCTCAATGACCATGCGTATTCTACTTGCTGTTTCACTGGCTAGCCTTGTTTCCTTTTCCAGCCATTTCCCACTGGCCTACACCTTTATGACCTCGCCGGTCATATTATACGCTTTCACATTTACCCTCCTTGCTGGTCAGTTTCTGATCGCCACCTTTGAGGATTCTGAAACTGATTGGTGCCAGTGCTCTTGGTTGACCGACTTTTGGACACTCTGGCATCCCGACGAGATGCAGCTGACCGACGGACACGGGAAACTAAAGCCGAGCTTCAGCGTCCCACAGCTACGCTGGGGGTGGCGGGTATGGATCCAGATGCCGCTGTGGAGACTGTCACTGATCATTGTCTCCGATCTCATGTCAGGGAACCTGTCAATGTTTAGCTTGCCTTTAGCTAATTATGGGATCCTGCAAGTGTACTGTATGATCAGTGCAGATTCCCTGTAATGTCCAATCTCATTGACCAAATCAAATTTTCTAACACTAGGGTATTTCTGCATGAGTACCCAGTGTGGTGGAAATCTAAATATTTGCATCTCTAGTGGCTCGCTGCTTTTCGATTCATTATGTCAGGGGTAGAAGAAACATGCGGTCAAAAAGTCGTCAATCTTGTACCTCATGTCTTACAACATGAAGACTCATGCCAACTCTGTCTAGGCCTAAAAACTTACCGAGACTGTCAGTGGTGTCTTCAATGATTCATGGATATAGGCAAAATTGAGTGAAACTTTTATTGGGCAGTTATGTGTCCCGGGGGCTACCTGCATTGCTGCAACACCGTTACAGCACGCAGGATCTACTCCATGCGAACCCCAAAAGGGTTTTGAGGAAAATAATTATGTAATCGTTGCAGCTTCTCCCTGCAGGACATGCCGACCCGTTTTGGTTTGACAGGGTGTGCTGTCTGGCCACCCAAATAACATTGCTGGACCCGTGGAAAATCCTAGAATACATGGGATATTCCCGTTAGAAATGAGGATAACCTTTGTGTATCTCCCTAGGTGCTCTCCTCTGGGAGACTTTTTTTAATTTTCTGAAGAAGTTATTCAAAAGGATGGAAATACGCCTCGGCTTGGTTTACTAGCCGATGAGAAGGCAGCTCAATATATTCGACCAGCACTGCCCCATTTCCCCATATTTGTGGTAGATAGTTTCAGTTTCTAAGAGAAGCAGACAAATCATGCTCCCAAACGTAGGACAGGCACTGCAATCCAGATTGGATGAACATATGCAGTCCAAACTCTCATTTTGGCGATCCAAATTATCTCTCAAAACCCCAATCCAAGTCCCGGGTGACTTCCTCCATGTCTGCCAAACAACAAAGACATGAATCATGGCCATCTGCATATTAGAGTCAGACTACTACGGCAGCGCTTTCGAATGGACTCTGATGGATGGACCTTCGGGCCAGGATGCAGACAAGTGCTGGGCGTTCGCATCGCTGCAGGCTGGTTCTCTATTCTGCCGGTTTAAACCCCACCTAGCCCATCCCGAGCCAACTAAAAGAAGCTTCTTTGAAACACAACCAATTAGTGGATGTGCTGGCCTGGAAAGGGGTAAAAGAGACAGATGGGGATATTCGGTATTGTGGCACTAGATATTTTGTATTTCACCATTCGCGATATCACAACATTATCACACTTTCCAATAATTCGACTCGAAATGACATCTTAGTAACATGCATTGGATAGAAACATTATCCATGGCATTTTTCGAACGAATAGGAATTTCGGTAAAAGGAGATACCCCCGTGCTCTGTTAAGCTGGTGCATCACATAGCGGAAAAGGAAATCTATCTCCACAATTTAAATCTCCGAGATCATCCGTACTTTTGGCAATGTTATGGATTTTCTGTTATTTCAGTGCCATTTCTCAAGAATCTTGAATGGATCTCTTGAGATTTGGGTGTGCGCGGATTGCTGGGAGCCTCTTTGGTAAGCCCTATGTGGCTATCCGTGCAGATTGGCTCATTTCTAAACCGACCATCCTAGAAAATAGAGGATCAAAAATATTTTGAGTCCCATTCTGTCGATTGAAGTGATTCATTTTAGACCTGTAGTCAAGGGGGATTTGGACTGGAGTTGCCACAGTCCAACTTGCGATGACGGATCTGCGATCCGGAATAATCAACCATAGCGATTCCTGAACAATCTATAATAATGAAACTCATAAATCATACGGACAGCCGGTTGAATAAATAAATAAAGATATTTAGAGAATATTAGGATATCCAAATTCCGGCTTCATGGTATGTTTCTGCTGTATTCACCCTCTTGGCTGCTCCGCATGCATGCAGACAGGGTCGTACCTAGGATCGGTGGACTAGAGTATGGCAGCATAACATAAGCCAAGGACCTGAAACGGCCGGGAAGTGGATCGCCACGGCAATTGGATTTTGCTCCACAGATTTCCAGCCTGGCTAGGGTTAGAGTCTTCTCGGTAGCCATCCATATCTATTTTCGCCTAAAGCCTTCCAACGAACTTGATTTTCTGGGGGTTTGAAACCTGGGGAAGTTTCCAACGGCTTTTTAAAAGACAACCTGCTAAAGGAACACGGAACTCCCTGGACGGAAACTTGGAACTCAGGGGCAAATCCTTGACAGAACAAGGTTTTATACATAAAGCAAGTAGAGAATGATAGCCTCTTCGTTGATTCTGAGCATTACCAGCCACTTACTCCGTCTTTCTTTGCCCTGTTGTCATTCCAATCCTCAAAAAATAGTAATTGGCCTGTGCATGGTCAATACCATCTTCTTCCCCTCAATTTGACTCCAATCTCTGGATTTCCGATAGATCTGAGACCGCATTGCGTCCAAAAGCTCAGCCACAAGATCATAATAGCCAACTCACTTTCCTGCCCACAACCTGAAATTGCGGTCAAAGAATTTAAACCTGGAGGCCTGAGTTCTAGACAGTCTGTTGATAGCAGAGCACAACTGTTACTGCTAGTCCCCGGCCCATGAACAAGGATAGGCTAGCAGTCTGGCAAGTGGTATGTGTGTGACCAGAGCGCTAAAATATCGGTCAGCCTTGCAGTGTATGAAGCCAGCTGTCCTGCCGTTGTGCATTGACAATATCGCATCTGAAGACTTAGAAAGGGACTATATATTAGCGGTAGTCCACACCCGCAACAACCCGTGTACGACCAAGTCTTCCACAGACAAGCAGCTTCGGTTAATTGAGCACCACTTTATGCAGCCCAAAAATCTTGCTATCCTCTGAGGGTTGTTTTTTCTTTGCTTTCTAATTATGGTGAATGTCTTGGTTAGTCCTAGAGTTCCGAGGCCATCGTTCACCGACGAGGAAGAACGCATTTCAGAAATTCACGGCGCAAGTTCTCGGCGCTGCTCTCTTTTAAACACGCAAGGATCTCGTATCATTAGTGAAAGGTCCCAGCACTCAGTTGAGAATCATCCTCTCACTTGGAGCTCCTCCAAGAAACACCGCCAACAACAGAGACTTCGCCCACGAGAGGCACAGATTCAACAGAAAACAATACTAAGTCACTCTCGAGATATCCGTGACATGACTCAAGCAGGATTTATGACTAAATCTCATCCTGTGAGAATGGAGACCAGTCCCCATCTCCTTAGGCAAGTGGACCTTACCTACCGTGCAAGTACAGTTCCGCTTAGCAGCACATCCTTGCCAACTGCCTCTATCATTGAGGCCACAACCTCTAGGAGAGACAACTTCAATATCCTGTCCTCACATGCCACAAGAGGTTTCATCGAGGAGCCTCTTACAATTGCCACAGCAGACAATCGCAAAAGTCTGGGTCAGGATATGCCAAGAGCAGGCCAGGATTGGCTTTCGAAAACGCCATCCTTTGAGTCCAGAGCTGACGACGATATGTCCCCTACTTCATCATTCGAAGTGATGGATGGCTCTGAAGTTGATCAGATTACCTATCAGGGATTCCCGTCCCATATATCCAGCATGCCATGCCAGGTGCCCCAGAAGATCATGGAATACCCAACTGATCCTGAACATGTTGGTCCTCCCGCAATTTTTGAGAGTACCAACAACCCCTGGCTACCATTGATGATGGGAATCCATGGCGAGCAATGGCACACGCAATATCTGTCTTGCGGAATTTCTAGGTGGTCTAATTCCGAGAACATCGCCAATGGCTGGCCAGTCTCGGACATTATCAACGACACCTCTTTGGCAAGCTCTAACATACAAGAATGCGTAGTGAGAAATGGGATTGCTTCACATTTCACCCGCTACAACTCCACTGGGTTATCCCAGATATCAATCTCCAATGGGTCAGATTCAGGACACCTTTATCAAACACCACTGCTGGGACCTACATTCACTTCAAATGAAAAGCCTTCCATGGCACAACTCGATCAGCTTACATACCCAACAATTCAGGATGCAGCAGCGGAATCAGAGGTTGAGTTTCGTTGTAAAATGCCAGCCAGCCTCTCTACAGTCTCTCCAGAGTCAGCAGATCCACAACTTCTGGCAGACTCGACTTCCACCATGAACGACATGGATAAGAAAAATGCGCTACTTCTTGAATGGAAGCGATGTGGTCTATCGTACAAAGACATAAAGCGCATTGGAAAATTTAAAGAAGCCGAGTCGACACTCCGGGGGCGGTTTCGCACCCTCACAAAAGCGAAAGAGCAGCGGGTGCGGAAGCCAACATGGCAGAACAAGGATGTAAGGCCTTTGAATGGTCTATTTTCCCTCCCTTTTGTTACTATGAGACTTGATTCTACTTCACACTTTCATTGCTACAGACCAGAGTCCTGAGGCATCATTGTGCTAATCCATTATTTTGAAATTCTAGATTATCCTCTTGTGTGAAGCAGTAAAAGCATACGCAGAAACACCAAGTACGTACACGCCATTGGTCCATGAGCGCTTGCTCTCGAACACGGAGCCGCCGAAGGTATCATGGAAGAAGGTTGCACAATACATCTGGAACCAAGGAGGGAGCTATCAGTTTGGGAACGCGACATGCAAGAAGAAATGGTGTGAGATACATGATGTCAAGATTTGACGGCTTTCAGATCATCCGCTTGATTTGGAGCCTGTGATATGTCATAGGGAATGGATTATGCGAGACTGTTAGGGATGTTTGGGCTCAGATATCAGCAGAATAGGTACGAAGACGGATCTGTTTCATTTTCCTGTTCATTTGGCAACTTCAGTGTTCTGGAGTTGAAAAGCGACAGAGCCTAATTTTATGGGATTTCCAATCAATTTCTACTCCTATTTATCTGTAGTTTTGGGAAGTTAAATTCTCATCCGCATTCTCTAGTCGTACTATTTGATAAACGCAGCTTCCACAATTTGGTCATTGGTATGCGCCAAAATTAGGTTTCAGGGTCATGTGGGAAATTATTGGTTGGACATGGAGTTGCGACAAGAAGGATAGCATGTCCATTCAATTAGAGCACATATGAGCAAGGTTCTCCAGGTCTGTACGGCTAGAGTACCATCGGAGACCAACCAAGAACTTCTTCAAGCCATGTTCCATCTCCAAACTCGAGGGCATTCATCCATGGCATATCAGTCAAATCTATCATATTGTCCCCATTACACGCAGAATTGGGACCTTCATTGTAAAAGGAAGATCCTTCCTCCTGGGTTGTGGCTCCTTGCTTCGCCATTACCCACTGATGAGACATGCGCAGCAATTTGTTGACACGCCGAAAGAGATCGTCGTCTGATTGTTCACCAGCCTCCTGACTTGCAAGATCGGTCTTCTCAGTCATCCATTCCAATAAATCGACCATATTGACAGTATTTCGCACGGCCTCTCGGTCCCATGCTGGATCATCAAATGTCAACAGGTGCTTCAGTATCACCACACATCGCACAAGCTGGAACCAGAAGAAAAACGGAAATCCAATGTAGGCGCCGGGTGGGATAGTGTAAAAGGCATCTAACCATGATTTGACAGCATACACGGAGCGCCACAGTGACTCGAGATGCTCGAGTCCCGTCATAGAACTATTTGCGCTACTGTCGGACCAACAAGCGGAGAGAAGAGGATCTTGTGAACTAGCCAATCTAGTCACCTCATTTATACAGAGCTCAGCATAGTGGATTTGGGCAGTGAGCATATCTGTAGATCTCTCAGCTTCATGTTTAACCATTATAGTTCTAGGTTTGGTACATTCGATTTCTGGGTTGAAACAACTTACCTTGCCGTGGGAGATGAGCCACGCAGGCAGCTCTGAGCTCCTGAAGCTGGCCTTGTAGCACCTTGAGATACATGGAAGTTGCAAACGGAGTACTCTTCGAATCTTTCGTTTCATCGACATGGCTATGTGGGTCCCGAATATGCGATGCCTTTTGTGCTAGCACTTGTAGACGGACTTGGATCGCAAAATTTTCATCCAATTGGCAAGCTTTGGTTTTCTCAAGGTTATCAATCGCACTTTCCATCTGTGAATCCCATCGTAAAGGAACTATACGTCTAAAAGAAGACGAGATACTGAATACGACATTGTATTAGCTGAATGAAAGCCCGGCGGTTGGATATGGCAGGGTAGTGGTCAAAGTTAATCCAAGGGTAGAGTAGAACGCACATAGAACTAAGGACAAAACAGGCCAAGACTGCTCGTTGCTTTTCCAACATACCCTGGTCCGAGCTGTTGCCAACGCTTTGCTCAGGGCTACTCAGCCCTGGTGTCATTTTCGATATTGTAATCATCTCTGGTGACGGTGGTGGTTTTCCCAGCTGCAAATCATAGACCAGCGACATTGCCATCATCATCATCCGAGACAGGTTACTTGACCGTTGGAGGAAGGGATCAGTACTCCATGCTATGTAGGTCAGGATGCCGAGCAATATGTCGACACTCGATTGGTTTTCAAGCACAGAGGCCTTTGTAAGGTTATATTTCAACCTTTCCACGCGGGACAGCTTCTCTTGAGTGGACGTTGTCGCCACCGCGATGATCGCTTCCAGGAGGAAAGGCCGGTCTCGGCGCAGCTGCTCTATTGTAGTGCCGGGGAGGATGGTGATAAAAGGAAAACAGGGTATCATATGGTTCATGAACCGTTCTAAATAAGATCCAGCCTCATCAAGGTCCAAGTCATACAGTGGTGGCGGAGGTGCCGATGGCGATGAATTTGATGAGTTGATAGTACAAGAAGGACTTGAATGTGACGACGGAGCATCGGTCAATGAGGGCGGCGCCGTGTCAGGATTGTGATAATTTGAGGCCTCGCCATTGACTAGAGACTCAGACAAGTTTACTTTAGTCTGCTTATTGGTAGATACTCCGGTCGCACTGGCGATGGACTGGAGCATAGTCGTGAGGGTATCAATCCTACTCTCGAGCTTTGTGATGTGCGTGCCCGACTCAGAAACGCGAAGAGCTCGCCTCCGAGCTGAGTCTGACGGCTGGCAGTGTTTTTTAAGACGTGAACACCTAAGAGACGGTCAATCCGGGTTTCAACCGGGGTTCACGGCCGTGCAAGGAGACTGAAAACCACGATCATGCTCACCTTTCGCAGCTGGAACTATCGGGCCGGGCAACACATCGGCATTTCGCCCTGGCGCACTGCATGCAAGCTTTACCATATGAGCCAGAGCCCGGGGTTGGGCCTCGTTTCTCCATTTAGGCTAGAGGTTTTGCATTCGGTGGGGGTCATCTATACCGAGAGCATGAATGATAGCAAAAAAGAAGACAGGCGGCGAACAGTCCTTTGTCCGTTTGCTGGGTTGGACGTCACAATGGAACGGACTTAATTTGCCGAAGTCCGTTCGGCCCCGGTCGGATCGGGTTGGGGCCGTGCGAGTAGTTCGCAGGCCGTCTTGGTGCGAAAAAGAAGGGGGCCAGCGGATATAAAGGGGGAGTTGAAGATGTCAAAGTCAATTTCCAAGCAGCTGGCATTCAAGGAAGTCCATCTGAAATGACTGGGTCGGCTCTATATGTCTAGCTAGTGGTAGGGGAGTGATTCAATATCGCAAAGCCCCACATTTTCCGTAGTGAACAGACATTATAGGAATACTCGATTTCGTACCAGTTTTGTATGGTACTCCAAGTATACTCGAAACCATAGCCCCGTACCGCGCATGTCATCAATTGGAATGCTGTCAACCAGCTTCTCCCTGAATACTAATTCTTCAGACGTCATAATATTGAGCATGGCATTTTATTGAAGCTTACTTTTCAAGAGCCTATACCGTATTCTACTCGCTTGACATCTTTACTTCAAAAGGCTCCTATAGACGTGTACACATGACAAAGAGTGCCCTAGAATCCATGGATGTGACTTCATGATTAGAGTTATATTTTCCTCACTGTATATAAAATGTTTCAAATTCAAGGTAGATTAGCAACTAATAGATTGTACAGTGTATTCAAGCATCTCCTACAAGTATGGCTTCATCGTTGACAGGGTCTTACGCCACACAATATCCCCTGCATCCTTCTTTTTCAGCTCCGACATGACCTTCTCCTGCTGTAACTCCTTGAGCTTGTCGTTGACCAGAAAAAGCGAGCCGGACTGTCTCGTCCTATCCATTGTCATCCCTGGGCTCTGACCTGCAACCAGTGGCACGCCCTTCCCGCCGTACTTCGCGCTGGTCATCATATAAAGGATCTTTTCTGCAGCAGTCTCGGGAGATGTCCCAAACGTAGACATTACTGAGCCAACCAGTGGCCAGTACCACCTATTACCCCAGGCTTTCTTGAATACACCCGTGTCGACTCCTCCCGGGGCGTGATGGATAAACACCACGGTAGGGTTTTCTTTCGCGAGTTTAGACATGGTCAGGGTGGTGTACGTGCCTCCCGCTTGGGAGAGTGGAATGAGACTATGGTGGCCCGGCTTCTTTAGATCGAGATCGTCAAGGTATATCGACGAAGTTTCATAGCCAGCAGCGAGGACACTGATAATACGCGGGCTATTCGAAGAAGCTTGGAGCAGGGGCAGAAGGTGAGTGATCATCGACATTCTGCCATAGTAGGTCAAGGATTGCGCGAGTCCAATGCCCTCGGACGTTTCTTATCATGATTAGTTCACGCGTTCGCCAACAAAACTGCTTCCAGGAGTGGTACATACCAACTCGTGGTCCAGTGGAAATAAATCCAGGACTCATGTATAAGACGTCAATTTGTGTCTCGTTGGCTTTGATTTCATCACACATTCGTTTTATCTCTGCGAGAAGCGAAAGTTGACCTTCGAGCCAGATGATCTTGGCCTGCTTGTTGGACCGCCGAATCATATCAAGCGCAGGTTGATGCTTCTCGCCATTACGGCCCATAACATAAACCTTCACGGCAACGTTTGTCGCAACAAGTCGAGCCAATGTGGCTTTTCCAATTCCGTCGGTGCCACCCGAAAAAACGGCAATCCGAGGAGCTGTATCCTCCGTTATCCGGGCATTGGATGCCTTGACTTCTGCGTTAGAGACCATTACGGCGAGAAAATGATCGGACAAGATTTTGAAAACGAAGAGAATTTCCTCTATTTTCTAGAGGGTTGCAAGTGATATATACCCCTTTTCTAAAATCTCATGTTTTAACAGAGCAGAAGCGGACTTCCAAGTCCGTGTCCGTGTCCTGCGATTGCGTCGGAGAAATCGGTTTTAAGCCGAGTCACGAAAAACCCACGTTCACATTAATGAATTTCAATGAATCAAGCTTTTCTGTAACACACCATATTCTGTGTCTTTATATAGAGGCGTTTTGTTTGAATGAAAAGACCAGTCTTTAAAAGCCCCAGAGCGCGACAGACTCTCTGGGAGCTCGGTCGGGGTGCACACGACACCATCACCACGTTTTCCTTCCCTTGGACAATTATAGCTGGAGAGTTGTGTTTCGAGAGATATATCGCAAGATCAATAGAATTGATATTAGGTCTTGGAATTTTTCGAGCCAGCTTTAACCCAATGCTTATTTAAGTTTCCGGGGTCTAGCTTCTTTATTCAACGATGGATTCCACTTGTTCTTGCCCGTCGCTTTCTTCGTGACGTAAGCTAGTAGGCCACGATGATACAGTCAAATATGATTATTGAAAACTGCTTAATAAATTTCGATGGGAGCCAAGACTAATCACTGTTTTATAGGCAGCCCAGATAAGGCTGAGTCAACGGAGTATTGTTCATTTTCTTAATTCTATTTCTGCAAATTAGGAAGGTATGAAGAACGCGACCCCGAGAAAGTTCGCGTGTGTTAACATTATAATATTTCAAGCTATTAGATCGGTACTTCTGTCCTTATTTCTACTATGGCTGATAATAACAGTGACTCGACGAACTTTTTAGTGCACCATCAAGAAACTTTAAGAAAGGGAAGGAGTGTCATATAATAACGAGCACAAATTGGCACAAACTAGGCTCCTACACGAGTAATTACAAGATCTTCAGTAAACACCTCTACGGATGCAGTAGTTGGCACTGCTCAATGAACCATTTGAACTAGGATATTTGGACACAAATTGTTATGGAATAACCATATTTGATGTTATTCCGGTCGACCGGCTTGTTTCGGTTACGAATAGTACACATGACAGTATTTGTTCACGAAGAAGAACAAGTTGGAATCGGATTCCTTTATCGTCATTTCTTCGGCAAGCAGTGGATGATGAAATTTAGGTTATAGAAAGAGAATCCCCTTTCCTTTCAAGCTGAATCTTGAAAAGATTCAGTAGAGGGGAACTTAGGTCTTAGGTTAAATATAATAGATTCGCTTGGAAATCATATAGGAAATGTGACAGGTCAAGCGGGGTAGGAGGGGTAAGAAAAGCGAACCGTTATGGAGATATATTGAATGGAATCCTTTACAATTTCCTATCTAGATCTAGATCATATGAACTAGGAAAATAGACCTATACATGATCACAGAAACTGTTTGTCAAATATAAAGGCAAAAAAGCGGCCACTGCAAAAAGATGGGAACCTCATAGATCAATCAGACAGAATCACGTTGATCGATATCCGGGTCAATGAGGCTGCTCGGGCAAACCATACTTTCGAAGGATTGCATTGGTCTTACTCATATGCTCATGCTTACCTTCTGGGGTAAGGATGGAATTGATCAAAGTTATTTTCGCTATTTCTGCCTTAGCTTCGTTCACCTTGACTGAGTATATCTTCGAGTTAGGAGTGACATTTTTTGTCGGTCCTGATCCTTGGTTCGATCCAGAGCCAGATCCTGATCCTGATCCTGATCCTAATTTGGTCATTATGAACTTCTTGTTGAGTCTAAGAAATATTTATTAGATGATGTGCTTTAAAGCCGTTTATTGTTTTCTAGTACCTTCGGGAAGAATTCTAGAGGCTAGGATTTTGCGGGCCTCGAGAAGGTAGTTTTCTCGCTGAGATTGAGAAAGTGAAAAGTGATATGCTGAGTAGTGTTCAGTTGCTGATGCAAGAAATCGAGGAAACTGAGCTCTATGCGGTTGATTAAATACTCTTTGAAGCTTTGCTTTATGTCCTGTGAAGCTAATATGCTTAAATATAGAGTCAAGAGTGATTTCTTTTTACCTCTCTTCTCTTCCAAGAATAGAAAATCCAGCGAATCAAAAGGTGGCAATACTTCCAAATCAAAGACGTTATTGATCGTACGCGGTAATATACTGATCTCACATCTCTATATTAGCCTCAACACGATATATTTCCATTAATATCCTTATATCAGGCTCCACATATATATTACCAGGCCAATTTTCGAGCCGGGTGTTGGGGCTGTATTGGCTCAATTGACAGTTGCCGTATAAATCCCAACTCTTATTAACGTGTTTCATTATTAGTGCCTTGCGCCGCCCCCTAACTTCCGGGTTGTGGGTGCGCCACCTATTTTTAGTCACTCACTCATATTTCGTCATTTTTTGCTTCCCTAATTAACACCACTATCAAAATAAGCCTCAGTTCAATGAATCCTGTATGGTTAGGGCCTGCCTAGCTACCTCACGTATAGAGAAGCTTAATATCGCGCATTTAGCAGCAAATTTAGCATACCTATGACCACGCTTACCTATCATATCAATAAGCAAGCAAGGCCTAATATAACGTATTTCACTAGCGAGTGGGCCAGCCTCCCACCTGCTACTTTTTGAAAACACTATTTTTCCACCACAATACTAGATATTGATTTATCCTATCTACTAGGGCACTGGTTGATCCTATGCCCTATAATATTACATTCAGAACATCTGACCTGTATACGGAAAAGATTCTGCTTCAATATCCCGGCGGTGGATTCTTCAGCAGCAGTGTCGGGGAGAGCAACTCTATCGGGAGGAGCTTCATCGGTAGGAGTTTCAGGGAGAGTAGCTTCATCAGCAGTGTTTCAGCGGCAGCAAGTTTATCTTCCAATACCTCTGCAAAAGGGCGGTCGGCATTGCGCAGGATTATGATCACCGGATCTATGATATGAGTCGGTGGGATCATGGTGATGCTCAGAAAGAAACAAAATCTGAAGTTTTAAATTCTTTACCTCTCCACAGATGTTTTAGTAAAGAATTGGAGCACGATATCAGTCGCTGAAGAAGACAGAATGGATGGCGACTATGAGGGGTTGAAAAGGCAATCTGGTGATTGATGACGCTGGCTGCACTGTTGCCGGACCAGACTAGAAATGAACAGAGAGCGCAATCAAACCGAACAGGCCGGAAATGACAAGGCGAAGACCAGGTGATCTTCTATGAAAACTCTGAGAGAAAGCGCTGAACTACTTCGGATGCCTCCTCCGCGCTCGCTCTCGGATTCGAAAGACAAGGCATGTCCTCCCAGATCATCATAGATTTGCACTCATATTGATATGAGATGGAGAAACGTTTACGAGGCCTCAGTCATTACTATCGCCTCTTAAATATCTTTCTTTTTTTTGTGGATTCTCAAATGATGACGTCCCTTCACACCAATAGGGCTTGATAAACGACTTGAAGGCACGGATATAGTATACCATTAACTAGGTCGTATGAAGACCTCACAGTACCATAACCAACAAACCTAGAAGACCCAATCCCTTGCAGATTGTTAACGGCTCCAAGCTCTACTTTTCGTGTAAACATCATGCCATGCATTTCTTCTACCATGCGGTCATCGGAACTGCTTTATATAGTATTTATACAGGTCAAACTGCCCGCGCAAGCTCACAACACACTCGTCCCTCTCTCGTCGCCCTTCGGGAAGCCCACATCCCGCAGTACACGCTCCAAGGCGCCTGGCTTGTTCCGCAACGCATCGTACTCCGCCTCCGCCTTGACCATCAATGTCCCCGCCAGAATAGTCCCATTCAGCGAGACGACCCCGGGGTCTGCGACGTCGCCGGCCGCGGCTAGATCGACCGACACAGTGGCGTTCTCCTGGCGCCGGGGACATATCAGCATGGTCGAAGTCGTCATGGCGAGATTGTAACTTATCGCGGCAGGGCCGCTGGTCGGGTGGCCCGCGGAGTCTGCGAGGGTGGGGTCGAGGCCGCGGGCTGCGGCGACGGCAGCGTGATAGAGGGAGGTGTAGATGGCGAAGAGGGTTTGCGGGGAGGGATTGGGGGGTAGGGGGAGGGCGAAGTGTGCGAAAGGCAGAGCGGGGAGGGTTTGGAAGGAGGAGGGGGAGTGTGGGAGGGAGGCGAAGTGGTCGATGAGCGGGGTCCACGGGTGCTCGGGGTCAGGCCGGTGCATGGCCTCGACGGGGAGGAATTGGAGATGGCGATGGGGTTGACTAGCACCACTGTCATCACCGGAGTTGAAGAAGGCGAAAAGGCGTGGCTTGATGGACTTGTTGGGGCTAGAAGAGCTAGACGAGGAGGAAGGAGAGGTCGCCCAGGCACGCAGGCATTCGTACGTCGCTTCGAGGTCGGCCGGCTCGAGGAGGTCTGTCTGCGCCTTCCAGTCTTGGGTGGCGAGGATGAAATGATTTGGAATAACGGGGAATTTGTTTAAAACGAGGGCGTGGGTGGGATTAGTTGGAGGGAAATGAGCGAGCAGGAGGTCTGGCGATGGATTCTCGAACGGATCTGGTTTCGGTGCTTTGGGGCCAGATTCAGCGGGTTGGAGGTTGATGGGCTTCTTTGCTAGGGCTGGACAGTAGCGAAGTTGATACTATGTACCCATACCAGGCATAGAAGTTAGTTTGAGAGCTGTACTTCGAAGTCGGATTCCCAGCACGGGATGTGGCGCGGAAGTAACTCACGGGGATCCCGGCCGCGGTGATGATTGACAGGTGAGTTGAGGAGAAAACGAGATGGTTCCCCTCTTTGGCAGCTACGAACCGGCGGGCAACGAGCCCAGCGAGGGGCTCTGACAATCCTAATTGCATGGTGGGTGTGGGTGTGGGTGAGATCTGACGGAGAAGGAAGAAGGACGTGGGGATGAACGTGGGGGGGGAACCAAAGGCGGTGATGCGGATCGAGGCGATCGGGGTTCGATCTATGACGTGCGGCGAACCACGGGACGAACAGGTACCAGTGACCCGGTCAGCCCTACACCCTGCCCATCTAGACGACTCCGGAGACTTCTTCCGTTCTTCAGTGTCGGGGCTTGCAACAATCTACATTTGACCCGAAAGCTTTTTAGAGTTACTAAACGGGAAAACCAATTTGGTATCATGAGAGACATTCCATTAAAGCGAAGTATTTTCAGTTCCAAGACACCAGCCACCCCTGATCGCCTCCCCGAACCAGCGGGGTCGGGAACCAGGTGTGTAGCAAGATTCGCCGGTCACCAGAAGGAGAGAAAAAGAAAAGCCCAGGAGACCATGATCCCAGACGATGATAGAAGGAAATATCAGTAGACATAAGGATAACACATAATATCCCAGAGAAACAATCCACAACCCCCCAAAGGTATCATCGATCATCCGTATTCAGACAAATTGATCGTCAAGACGCCGCTCGCTGGTATACGGAAACATGAGACATGGCCACAAAAGAAAAAGAAAGAAAAAAACAGTCGAAGAAAGTACAAGAGGTTCTGATCCAGTCACAGGCACAGGGAGTCCTCGCAAGATGAAGTGAAAGGAAAGGAGAGGAAAATTAAAAACAGCACTCGTTCAGGTTATCAGGCCATCAATTCATGGAGGGAAATTTCATCGTCCTGCGAGTGGCCCAGGTCGGGCAGCCGCATAGCGGACTGGCCCATCAGATGCGTCGAGGGGCTGTCAAGCCATGGCCCGCGCTCTTCCTCATTGGCGCTGTGCACACCCTCGACGCGCTTCATTGTTTCGACGTCGAGGTCGGTGACATACGCGTCGCGCAGGGTTCCGTCTCCGGCACCGCCGGGTAGGCGTAGACGGACCTCAAACTCGTTGTTGAGCATCATCTCGTCCTTCCACAGGCGGCGCGGGCCGTCGAAGACGCAGAGGACCCGCTTCTTCGTCTTCATGGTGCTATTGGGGCAACCCCAGGACTGCGGATAGTTCCCACGGTTGTTGCGTCGTCGGGTTACGACGGCCCGGGAGCCTCCGTGCTTGGACACGGCATTGTTGGAGCCGAGGATCGAACGGGAGGATGAGGCGCTGAGCTTTGTGGATTTGGGAGCTCCGCGGCCGGCGCGCCAGCTCGAGAGGTCGTGGGAATCATCTTCGTCGTGAGAGTCATTATCGTCAAGAGCGTCGACGGGGCCAGCCACGTCCATCAATTGATGCTTCTCCATCGTTTTCTTCACCTCCTCGTCCGCGGCGACCTCGGCCAGTCGCTGCTGGTTGATGGCCTCCGATGGCTCTTCCTGCTGCACCACCCGCAGCACACAGTCGTCCAAGTGCTCGTAGAAGTCCTGCGCGCTGCTGAAGGTGGCTGAGCAAGTCGAGCACTTGCCTGTGGCGTCACTGCCGTAGTTGGTACCCTTCTTGCTTGACGCGGTGGGGCTTCGCTTGCGGCAGTTCGGTGGGGTCTGCTCCACGCCGTGCACCGAGGTCAGATGACGCTTGAACACATCTGCCCGATTGAAGCTCTTCTCCGCCGGGGAGCCCGAGCCGGGGCAGAAGCCGCACACCATGGTCCCCTTGTAATGGGTCAGAGTGTGGCGGTTTTGTCGTATTTGCGCGCGAACCCCTTGGTGTGGTACTCGCAGGTCACGATCGGGCACTTCTCAGGCCGCTCAGACTGGTGGGTGAGCATGTGGGCCTTCAGGTCCTTGAATACGCGGCCGCAGTCCGGGTGGGGGCAGCGGCCCTTCTCCTTGACCTCATCATCGGCTTCCACGCTACTCAATGCGGGGCTGTGCGGTGAGCGGCGGGATGGGATGGAAGAGATGGAGGAGCGACGGTCAGAGACGGAGACGGGTCGGGAGAATGCGCCAGCGGACAGCATCAATGGTGAGGGTCCAGAAAACTGCTCCATTGAGTCGCTATAAGGAACGGGAGAGGTGGCAGGAGAGTGGGGAAGAAAGTTTGTTGGTACGGTAGGGTAGGACCCATTGGTCTGGTCCGGAAAGGAGATGGTGGGCGTGAAACCCGGGCCGGATTGCACTGGCTGGATCAGAGAAGGATCTGGAGATACAGATTTAGTTCCATGCCAAGGGTCGGGAACGGGGAGAATTTCGCCAGCGTCAATCTTGAGCACCTACCAACAAATGTATCCGGGAATTTTTCCTGGTAGAGTCCGTCCATATCCAGCGCACCTCCCATGTAGTCATTGGGGAACAGGTCAGTCATGACCGCGGCGGGCAGGCCCAGACCATGGTTGGTGTTCATCCAGTTGTCGTGAACGACCTGTGCCGTTCCGGAATACGGTGACCCGATGGCGGAGGAAGGCGCACTCGCAATCGACGGCCCCGAGGCGGCAGAGCCGGTGGGAATCTGGTGTTCTGCCGAATGGGTCGGGATGGGCGGAGGAGTCGCCGGCATTGACGGGAAATTGGAGCTCTTCTGGACCTCCGCCGAGTCGGTATACATGGGTAGGGCGTCAAAGTATGAATGCGGGACCCGCGAGAAATCGGCCGCGGTCTGCTGGTACGGGTGGATGTCCATCGGGAAGTTAAACATATCCACGATACTCGGATCCATGGTCATGGGCTGGAAGTATGCGGATTGCTTGGGTCGGGACGCTTCGAGGGCAAGCATCTTGGTACGCAAGGATGGATGGAACTGGGGGAAGAGAACGAAATCCGAGGATTGGGGCTCTGCTGTCGACATGTGCTCCCGCGTCGTACGACCAGCTGAGGTTTTCGAGAGATCAGGAGGGATTGGGAGTCTGCGACTCTAAAGATTTCGAGAGTTCCAAGTCAGCCGGGGCACTTTTTCAATGATCTTCTTGTGTCTCGGACGGGAGAGGCTCCATGTGGCGGATCAACACATACCAGTGACAAGGTTCGGATTGCGGCCCGGTCACCCAACGTGCGAACCTCGGAATTATTCAATCAACGAGGCAACGTGCTGGAAAGGTGCACCACCACGGGATTCTGCAAGGGGAGAAAACGGGGGCAAACTGTCGCAGGTCGCATTCAGGTCGCAAGTCGCCGTGATTCTTTTTTTTTTTGGGCAAGACGGGCCGTGGAATGAGGTGTGGAGGAGAAGGGGCGCGTGGAAGAGGAGAGGGGGAGAGACCTCCTTGCGTCTTCGGTCTTCGGTCTTCGGTCTTGGAGGGTGCCACGGGGTGTGGAAGGGAGAGGCCAGAGGATGTTGGGAAGTAGAAGGTTGGGACAGTGAGGGTGGAGGGGGGTGCAAGGCAGAAAGGCAGACACCACGGCGCCGGCGGGTTTATATACAACCTGGGGTATCGGCAGGACCGAGAGTGGATAACAGGGGGAGGTTGACGAGGATCACAGAGATAGTTTGCAGACCGCACTCGATCATTGAGCAACCATGAGCAAGAGCCAGTCGGAGCGATCTGTCATGCGGTCAGAGAAAGTCGAGGGGATGGGGAATATTATAGCAGACGCATTGGATGCGCCCTACGGACTAGTTTATAGTCTTGTGCATCTCGGGGACGATCCAAGGGCCTCTGCCAATTATTCGCAGTAAAACCAAAACCAGAAAGGGAATAAATAATAATATTGTTCAGTGTAGGCGTGGGGATTGCCAAAAAAAAAAAAAAGAAAAAAAGAAAAAGAAAAAGAAAAAGAAACTAGAATTAAATAAAAGAAAAGAGAAAAAAGGATAAATCCAAATAAGACCAAATCGCATCGTCATTTTAGTCCCAAGAACCAAACACTAAAAACCAAAAAAAGACGAAAATCAAAAATCCTCAGAAAACCCTAAAACAGAAAATCAAAAATCAAAACTAGAAACGCAAAACACGAAAATCGACGCAAAATCCGAAAAGGGCAAATCGGACGGGTGACAGTACGGGAACCGTACCAGGACTCCCGGGCCCTCCACCACGAACCTGCGGCCCCCAAATCGACCGCGTGGGTGCCAACTCCCGAGGAGAGGCGGAGAAATACAGCGGTACCAAGCCGTACGAAGCCGTACGCACCAGGACTCGCCCAGATCGTGTGGGAATTACTGCTCAACCACACTGCTGGGGCTGTGCGCAGACAGCAAGGACAAGGGCAGGCTTAGTGCACCTGTAGGGTATGGCCCAGTAGCCCAGTGGCCCAGAGAGCCTGCTCTCTCTGGGCTACTGGGCTTCTCAAGATCCCGTCACCCAGTCCCCCCCAAAAGCATACCATTGGGACACAGACTAAACCTCTCGGATCGAGACTGGCTGGTGCAGTGGCAAGTTTGGCCTCGGCTTAGGATACCATCTTTGCTTTTTCTGCCCTCTTTCTTTCTCTTTCTCTCTTTGTCTTTGTTCTCTTGTTCTTTCTTGCTTTTTTGGGGGAGGCTTTTGCTCTAGTTGGGGGAGGTGCACATTCTGGTGACGATTATAGGCCGGGTAATCGGAACTATAGGAGACATTCTAGGCGATCCAGCAATAGGAAATTGGTCGGTACGTTTCTTGGTTTTGTTTTGTTTTTTCCCGCCCTTTGTATCATTTCTGGTGGAAATGGGGTTTCTTGTCTAATCCTTGTGGGATTCTTCATGAACTAGTTACCCGGCCTTGGACGTGCCCAAGTCCCGGGGCCCCGTCTGCGCGCCCAGCAAACAGGAAATTACACTTAGGGCCCCTTCTCAGCCCAATCAAACCTAGACGATTCGCTGGCGCGCTATAAGACATGGATCGGACTCAGCCTCCCTCAGGCGTCCTGCGTCTCTTGATTCTCTGAAGTCTCTCTTCTGACAGCGTTGTGGGGATTTTCTGTACCGCCCCTGCAGCCCCAGTATCCGGCATTATAGAAAGGGGATTCGTCAACGGGGGGTGGAATTAGCTTCGTCTCTCGCCCTACGGAGATACGGTACTTGTATACAAATCTTTAATTATGTATAATACGTATAATATATCCCAATATATGGGACTAATATATATGCGATTTGGAATATTTCAAATCAGATAAATGAATGATCTCACTATTTTCCCGCCTTCGGATATCACCCAGTCACATATTCTCCCTGTTAAATTTGTCATTTCTGCCCTACGAGCCCTCGGCCGGGAGCCCCACGGGCCCCCTCTCGCCTTCATGCGGGATTTCTCCGGGCAGCAGCAGGACAACAGAGAACGAGGAGACACCGGACCCGGATGAGAGATATGACTGTACTCTATACCCCCGTATTCCATGCAAAGAAAAAAAAAGAATACACAGGGCAGTCTAAAATTGAAAGTAAAAAAAAAAAAAAAAAAAACCTCCGTGCTGTACGGGGTCCTTGTCGGTATATTTGTACATCAGTCTCGCCTTATATGCTCGAGGGCCTAAGTACCTGCATCATCCATCCCCAATAGCGTGGAGCATTGCGGGCGTACAGAGCCGATAGATCGTATGTCTACGCGATTGTCCCGAATTGACGCGCCTTTTCACCCATGGGGGTAAATAGTGTGAGTGATGGTTGATGGGGGACGGGGGTGTCCGTGGAGTGGACCGACCGGAGCCACCAGAGATCGAAGGAATAATTATATGATCATCTCAATTTAGTCTCTATGGAAGAATAGTAATCCAATCGCCCGAAGTGACAGCTCCACGAGCAAACGCACTCGGGAAAGGGGAGGAGACGTCAACAGCACCCAAGATGTACCCGTCAAAGGGGCTTCCAAGTCGTGCAGGTGGCGATCGTCCTGTCCGAGCCTTAGACGATGATCGTCGGCGTATGAGGACTACATCGTATAGGTATAGGGGGGGGGAGGAGGGGGCAGAGGAGAGGAACAGGGGAGTGGGAGTGGAAGAAGGGGGGAGGACCGGGGTGGTGCCTAGTGGACACGAATGTCAAATAGTGTCCCCCAGTTCGTGAATGACATGTTACAGCCTTGTGGAATCCCAAGCGAGTCTTCACAGGGAAAAAGAGAGGAAGCCCAGACCTCTATACTGCTCGACTCTTGTTCAGAGTACGCAGCTGTACGGTGGGGACTTGAGGACGGCAGTCTTGGACACGGACGCTACTATTGAACTCCTCTCCCGCGGCCCATCGGCTGTCAGACGAACGAAGATCGGTGACAGGTGATTTTTTTTTTTAGCTCCATTTTATCTTTTCCTCTTTCGTCGATTTGTAGTCTTAGCTTTTGCTGATTGTTGTGGGCTCCCGGCAGACTCCATCATGTCCCGAATTAACTTCCTCCGGCCTATCCACTCTATCCCTGTATCCGCACCCTCAAAATTTAGGTATCGGTCACGCCGAACCCACCGGATACGGTGTGGATATTTGTGAGTTTTTGGCAGTGAGAAGATGACCCTGATGACAAAACGTGGTTTGAGGGGGTTGATCATCGATCTGACAGGGTTACATTACAAAGCGCGGAGGCCTCTGCTTGGAGGAGGGGGAATTCTGCATGGACGGGAAGAGCCATGGACGAGAGGGCTCGATGGGCCTGAGTTTCGAAGGGGCCGGGGAGAGAGAGAGAGAGAGAGAGCAGAGAAGACGAACTAGCGCCCGGGCGAACGTGAACCAGGGTGAAAGGGCGAGACCGACCAAAAAGGATGAGGGGGCTCGTCCCGACCGTCTGGGACCGACTAAGTGGCCGGTTCATGCGATCGCATCGAATCAGTATCGCGAACAAGAGGGTCGATAAGGTGGACCGGGCGATTCTTCCTTGGTTGAGACTAGGTCCGTCATAGTGGGAGAGAGCGCGATGAGGGAGGAGAGCGGGAGTGAATAGGAAATGAATAGGGAGTGAATAGGGAGTGAATAGGGAGTACAGAGGTATAGAGAATGTCCCCGGGTCGAGAAGTATGTCCGTCCATCTGGTCCATCTGGACACCTCTACATCTTTACATCTCTGCAACGACTTGCATGCTAGATGGTGGCATCCCTATACTCGCTCTCTCTGGTCTATCGGCTCCCCGGAATGAAACAATGACATTCCAGATCTCGACCACGTCAATCAGACAGGCCTGTGGGGTCCAGCCAGAACCAAAGAGCAGTCAGAAGGAGGGTCGCCGATCCCCAGCAGCATCGGCCACCTTCGTTCCCCACAAGAACCACCGCCAGACGAGCAGCGCATGTCAAACCCCGGCTGGGTCCCAGGATTGGTCCAGAGCAGAAGACTGCCCAAGCCCACGGAAATTGAGGCCTCGAACCGCTTGAACCAATCGACGGCCCCAACGGGCTTCCGAGCGAACGCGGGCGGGTCTTAGGGCATTGGCGGATGTGCGACCACGACTCGTCCTGGTTAGTCGTGGGTCAGTCGTGGTTTGTCTGGGGCGACGCTAAACCGCGGTGGGACGGGTCTGGCGCCGATCATTCTCAAATCAATTGGAAAAGAGCCAGGTATGTTTTTCTTTCTTTTGTTGGAGGGGGTATGCTCTTCTTCTTTTTCTTCTACGTGGCCAAAGTCTTGGGGGGCGGGATGAGGAGTTGGATTCTATCCGCTGTAGTTCGGTAATTACGCCTATACGGAGTATCTATGTGACAGTACACCAAGTTTCCCTCCCCTTTCAGAAGGGCTCCAAAGAGCCGCATGGTTTGGGTCCGTACAGTTTGAAATGGGGGCCGGTTCATCCCGTTGGTGCTGCCGCTACTGCTGCTCATTCTCGTGGCTTTCTCCGGCCTCTCCTGAACGCGCAGACCCCGGTCGGCGTGGGATGACGCTGTCCTCCCTTACTATGACTAGTTCCTCATGTATTCCGTAGGTCAACGCGCTTCACAGAGTATCGGAGGTACGGGAG